CGGGCTAGTACCAAAGCCAATCCTCCGAGGAACCACTTATCCAGTTCGGGTGGAATTCGCAAATTCTTGAAATAATATGCCCTGCATACATACAATACTCTGAATTGGCATGTGGTTAGCAGCTTACCGATGCGCATCTTTATAGACGGCAAGGAGCGCCTATCCATTTCGTTTGGCACAGTAATCTTAACATGTTAATCGAGATGTCGCTAGTGGAAGTAAACTCGGTTGGAGAACCTACTCAAAACGACATCACGTGACATAACTCAAGCGAGTGATGATCTATGCTTTGACCCAGACTAACATAAAAAACCAAGCTCTCAAACACCAGATGTTTTTGCGGCGAGATCCCACGATAGCCGCGTCTAAAGCATTTTCTACTTGATGCGGTGGCAGATTAAGAAACTGTTGGCCCATATGGGCAAAAAGCGTTGTTTTGGGGAGCCTGTGATACACAAATGATTGGACATTGTCAAACGCCAAGAAATGGAGAAAACGAGATACTTAACCGATTGGCGTATCACTGGCAACAGATCCTATTGGGTTCATGTATGGTCCATGCACACCTGCAAGACACGCAGGTTATTTGTGTCCCGTGATTTCAACCGTCAACGTCCAGCTATGTCTGGGACACCCCGTGAAACTGGAATATCAACTATCTGACCAATGCCATTATAAATGAACATGGCAGATCACAATAATATGGTGATCGTGACACTATCTCCTACAAATCGATCCAAAATTCCACAAGTAGCCGGTCTTCCTTCGTGTACAGCTTTAGAAATACAAGTCTGAGCCGGTACTCATGGGGAATATGAAATGTGATTCCTTCTCTCCGCTCGGGTAGATGTCCGACTGCTGGTGGGGGAAATAAAAGCGCGTGCACCAGGTGTTCTGATACCGGCAACACCACAGCTAAGCCAAAGCTGTTATACTTCTTTGAAGACTAGTGTGTTAATAATCCCTATCAACTGATTTAACTGCTGAACTGCGCAAAGTCACCAGCGATCACTCGATGAGATCATTGCCGCTTCAACAGTCCAAGTGATGATTTCATCACTTAAGTATCTTTAGAGGACTATTTACCCGGTGTATTTCTGGCTCTCAGCTTGGTAAATGCTGCACTATTTGTTGTTCATTCATCATGAGCAGGGAAGACCTAAATCCCTGCTAAGCGGTGGGCGATAAGCCTCCGCAGCTCTCATCTGGACGGCAATGATCAATCTTTCTCTCTTGCGACGGCTAAGCATAGCAGTTATATTCGCTTAAAGCGCGATGTATGTACATTTGGTCTACATAGGCGCCTTAATACCTGCTGGTAGACTGGTACTTAATCAGGAGATTTTGGAGGATACACCCCGTCATCACTAAAATTTCACTGCACGTAGATATAGGCGGCCACGACTTTATTCCAATGTTATACTTACCTTCTGTTATAACCAAATCCGTAGTCCTATTTTCATTGTGAAGGCATGAACGTCCCCCGAATTCCGAAGATAATTGTCCCGGAGCTGCACAAGCATCTATATGTTACACGTGCACGTTGACTACGGTTCTAGATGTGTAAAGAAATGCGTTGTCTCTACAACGCAACCTACCTACATACAACGTGTCCCTCCAGCTCTCTCATTTTGTAATCTCCCCCTCCCTCCAGACTCTGATCAGTGCGTGCGCTGGGTGAAATGTCTGAGTTTTGACAATGAGATTCCCACACCTATCGCCGCAAGTGGTAGAGAAGACTATGAGGCCCGGCCTTGAGCTAGGGCTATATGTGTAAGTTGCTAATTTCGCCTGGTAATAAATCCTTTATAATTTACCATGTGATTGTGGTTGATATAACGCAAATTGCCATATAGCCTTTATTGCTTGAAGTCGCGAACGTTGGGCAACCTTGCGCCGCCGGCGGGGACTAGAAGCTAGGAGATCACTGATTCAACTCTTCTCCCGCACCTGGGGGACAGGGGAAGGGGGCAGTTAATAAAAGACAAGTCAGTTCTATAATTCACCTAACCCTTTCGGAGTTTTCATCAGTACGGTCTCTTGATTGTCAATTTAAGTTATATTGCAGTAAAGTTAACTCCCTGACCCATAATTCGTGGGACAAGCGCGTTACTTCCAGATTAGAATCGGCTGCATTCGGGTGTCCATCAGGTACCGTACAGCTGGGTTCAGCGCGGAAGAGAAGAACAGGTTGAGGGGGGGGGTACCAAAAGAAGCATACAGCCAGGCCACTCCCGGTAAATCTCTCTCACTTCTTCTCGAATTCGGTCATCGCCGTTCTTTTATACAATCTGAGTGACCCTCCTAGATGTGATCACGTCACATGGGAGCGCGTTGTTACATGGATGGAATTTCTTATTATTCTTTTTCCAGCCATCCTTCCCATCCTTCCTCCAACTCTGGTGATTGATTTCATTAATTTAGTTATTACTCAGAGTGGTTTCTCTTTCGAGAGATGCATGTGAGGCGTTTTCAATTTATTCAATCTCCCTTATCAGTGACAAGACGAAAAATCAATGCCAAACAACCAAAGGTTTCGTATCAAAGAAAGAAAAATGTTGCGTGCGACACGAGACTTTCCCGACAGTGTGGTGTGGAGTTTCAGGCTGTAGCTTAGTTAGATGAAGGAAGGATCCGGGAAGGGAGCGGATTTTGACATGATCGAATCGATAAGCTCCCGGAGCTGAGAGATGGAACGGGGAAACTTTATGGAGAAGGGGTGGGCGGATCTTGGGACGGGCGGACGGGTGAGGTGCGGCGGCAGTGCGCGAAAGCGTGGAGGGGGAGCTGGTATGTGATCATGTAGGTACCTACTTTGATTGTGATGTATATGTATGTCGACAGGTACTCTAGAGTACTCTATTCCACTGACTTGTACAGACAGCGCATTCGGATTCGATCCTAGAAGAGTCAGATAAAAACATTGCATATGGGGTGCCGAATTGAGGGTATGTCAAGCAACACGGGTGGAAAAAGCAAGAGATGGAGCTTAGCTGAAGGCGGAGGAAGAAGGAGTACTACATGTACTTGTGAAAACCGGTTTGGAATTAACCATTTATTTTATTTTTTATTTTATTTGAAATAGAGTACCTACCCTATACCTACATCACATTGAAAGCTGGCACCGTGATACAAGACCCCCCCGGCCTCAGGTACGTTTACGTATGAACACCTAGGTGGGGTTACGTATCTCATCGATAGGAATTGGTAGGTTGGCCGTGGGCGAGTTAGGTGGGTACTGGGCAATACATTCCTAGAGCTGAAGGTAGATTTCGAATTTCATTCTTGTTGGCAGTACGAAATTGGATGGGCTTGTTCTTTAGGAAGGTTGCAATTGTTCAATTGAGGACTTGAGCTAGGCCTAGGATGGTTAATAGGTAAATTTTCTACCCTCCTTTATGATAATTCTTTTATTTTTCCTTCCTTTATATTTTATTTTATATTTTATTTTATTTTTCTCACTTCCTCATCGATCCCTAGCAAGCCCATCATGGCCATCCATCCTTCCCGAGACTAGCAGTAGGAAAAGTTAGCTGTTTTCATCTGTTAGTGGTCAAGAGTGAATCTTGTTCGTTCCCGTCCGAAGGGAATCGAATTAAAGAAACGTGTTCGGCAACGGAGCCTGAATTGAAGTCGAATAAAGTAATTAATTCGTTATCGCTACATACGCGGGGGGGATGGGATGGGGTACAGTGCAGCAGGCAAGCAGTGCACAGTATGTAGGTACCTACATGATCACGATAGGTATGGGGGAGGGATATGTGTGGGTATGGGTTGAGATGCAGCTGGCAGTATGTAGTGGGAAGGGTAGGTAACTGTAGGAAGAGCAGGTACTCTACATACTCACTGGTTAGTGGTAGGGTGTGCTGCGTATGGGGGCAGGGAGAGGCTTGTAGAGTAACACGACACGACACGACGTTGCATCCAAGTCACGTCTTTTCGCGCAAAGGCCAGCCCTAGGACATTACCTCCACGCAAAATAACGTGAGGAAGGGGTGGTGACCGACAACAGACGCGCAAAGGGCGAGGGGGGAGGGATCGTAGCTAGGCGAGTCGCTCGTCTCTGCACCTGCGCCCGAACGACCCTCGCAATCGTGCAGGGATTCTTTGGATTTCTTCATTTCACGAAAACTGTACGTGAGCGCCTGCGTTTCTCGTTTTTTTTGTTTATTTTATTTTTTCTTTCTATTTTCATTTTTTTCTTTTCTCGTTCTTTCCTCTTCTCGCCTCTTTCTAGCTGGTATGTATATGTATTAAATCACTTGTTTTCTAATTTTCCTTTCTTTTCTTGGATTACTTCCTTTTGGTCTTAATTCCTCGTACTCTTTTATCTAGAGGAGGGACCCAGAGATCCTGTGTAGTACTATATTAATATCAGGTAGTCAGTCAGACTGGGTCTACATAGGTAATTTTTTTTCCCTTTTCCTCCATTTGCTTTTTTTGGTCCTTTCCTTTCTATCTCCAGGTTTCTCTCCGTTTTCGTTCTTTTGCGCTGAACTTTGCGCTGGACAACAAATCCGCTGTCGATTGCCTGCCTACTACCCACCCCTCCTCCCGTGTGTCCTATTTTTTTTTTTTTTCTTAATCCCTTCTTCTTACCTACCCTCTTTTAGAATTTGCTTTTTCTTTTTTTTTTCTCTTTTTCTTTTTGCCTTTTTTTTTTTTTCTCTCTTTTTTTTTTTCTCTCTCTTTTCCCTTTCTTCCATTTTTTTTTCTTAATCCTTTTCTTTCTTTCTCACCATTAACCCTTCGAACCTTTTTTTCCCAATACGTATACTGCAATAGTAGTTGTATAGGATAGAGTGTACCGTACCTCCATACACATATCTTCTCACGTCTCTTCGTTTTCTGCGATCTTGAATTCATTTGCTATTCAACAGATATTCGCAGCAATTGCTTAGATTCCCTCTCTCCAGAAAAGTAGCAGCAGCAGCTCGCATCCTGTTTCGCCGAAACAACTTTTCCCTCACTTTCCCCCAGCAACCTAAATCAGAAGTTTGATGGCTCACAACAAGGCCTTGCCTCCTTGGAGTGACGCAGAGAAGGTATGCCTGAATATCCCAGATCTGCCCTATCTATATATCCAAGATCCTGTTTTTTTCCCTTGTTTTTTTACATCCATCATCCTGCCCTATGATCGATCTCCATTCTGCTGCGTGTGGGATGGCAGAGGGAGGGGAAGGGGAAGGGTGATCGAAGAGAGAGAAAAAACGTGTGTGCTGACAATTGATGCTTTTTCTTCGTCTTTTCTCTGGAACGTAGATCCAACTTCTCTTGGAGATTGCGAATCAGGTCAACCAAGATCCTAATTGGAGAGCTATCAACATTCCTGTAGGTCTGTAACCCTCTCTCTCTCCCGAAGTCTCTTTTTCTCTTTTCGTTGCAATTGCCTTTGCAAAACCGCCTCTTCTTCGAATTGGTTTTTGTTTCCACAACTATATATATTATATATATACACATGCATACGGTGATTCTACGCCATTGCCTTGGGTCTATGATCCTGCTTTTGTATTGTGTTGTGGTATGGGGCTATGGTGCATCCTGATGCGCTCGTCCTCCCCATCCCCGGCCCGAAACCCTCATATCCGGACTTGGGGAAGGATCACGACCAGGGCCCTGGCCGGAGCGGGAAATCTGAGGGGAGGGAGCTGTTAATTCCCCAATCTCCAGAGTCTGAAGCGGGCATGTAGACATAAATTGCACTTTTCTGTCTTCATGCCCGCTAGGCACACATCCTCAATACCATTCCCTAGAGCGTTAGCAATCCCCTCTAGCACCGTCCCCACACACGCACGCATACATACCCCATTGCCACCCCCTCATCTCTCCTTCACCACCGCTAACCACACAACCCCCGAGTCCAGGCCGCACAAAAGCCCAAGCCCAACAACTCTTCACCACCATGAAGTTGCACGCCCCGCCCGCACCCACGACTGCGACCACCACCACCACTGCCAGCAGCGATACTCCCACGACCACCACGGTCCTCCCCGTGTCCTCGCCCAGCAGCAACAGGAAGCGCCAGCGCGAAGATGAAACCTCGGACGCCGCCGCAGAGGCCCAATCGTCGAGCGGCGCGATGGAGACACCAGTGACGAAGCGCAAGCGCGGCAGGCCGACAAAGGCGGAGACGGAGGCGCGCCGCGCCGCAGAGGCCCGCGGAGAGATCCTCCCGAAGCCGAAACCATATGTGCCGAAGACGGCAAGCCCGCTGGTGGTGGGTCCCGACGGACAGGTTAAGAGGCGCAGAGGGAGGCCGACAAAGGCAGAGGCGGAGATGAGGAAGGCGCATGAGAGGGAGTGGAAGAGGAAGCAGTTGGCGCAGGGGGAGAGTGAGAAGGAGGAAAGTAAGGCGGGAGAGAAGGAGAAGGCGGAGGAGAAGGAGAGTGAGCAGCAGGAGGAGGAGGAAGAGGAGGAAGAGGAAGAGGAGGAGGAGGAGGAGGAAGAGTAGTGGTATAGCGGGGTGAGGTGAGGCGAGGGAGATGGCGAGATAGAGTTATATCTCGCCGAAACCTCACCTCAATTGATCATTAAAAATTATAAACAGGATAAAACAACGTCAAGTACGTTTATGCGAATATTCGGATTGCACTGGGGGCGGGGGCATGTTACGGATTCGGGGAGGGTAAGGCGCTGTACGAAGAGGGGGGGGTTTCGGCGGTTTCGAGCACTAGAATTATTGTATTCTACGTACCGGGAGGCTTTCTCTTTTTTTGTCTGATTTTTACTATTACTGCTACTACCACTACTACTATTATTATTCACTACTACTACTACTACTACTACTACTACTACTACTACTACTACTACTACTACTACTACTACTCTTACTATTTACTACTATTCACTACACATCCCATCTTTCTTCCTCTTTTTTCTTTACTATTCTTCTAGGGAGGGCAGGGGGGCACTTTTGTTCTGTTTTTCTGTTTTCGCGCGCGCTATCAGGGTGGTTCAGTATTTTCTTGGGAGGCTTAAGGGGTGGCCCGGGGAGCGGGACACCGGAGGGGTTTTTTTTTGTCGTTTGGGTTTGGTTGGCTATGTTGATTTTTGCAGCTATCTATGAATCTTTTTTATAATCTTTTTTTCTTTCTTTTTTTTTGGCTAGGCTGGCTGTCTATCTGGCTGGCTGTCTTTCGTTTTTTACAGCCTCTTTTTTCTTGGACCGCTCATAAACGTAAAGAAGGCTGGTAGTTGGCTATCTGTGTGTGTGCGTGTGTGCGTGTGGGTGGGTTGGCTGGTCTGATTTTTTTTATTATTATTTTTGTTTTGTTTTGTTTTGTTTATTTGCTACTATCCAAGTACTCTTACTACTTCCTTTAGTTGGAAAATATGGTCTTCTGTCTGTATTCGGGGTGGTTGTTGTCGTCGTTGTCGTTGTCGTGGTGGTGGTTTCTGATTTTCGATACTGCTACGTCTACTCTACTCTCTCTCTCTTTTTTGATATACATACAGTACAGAAGACCATCGGAGGAGCTAGCTGTTTACGCGGCGGTCCATTCCTCTATTTTTTTCTCTCTCCTCCTTCTTGAGAGCTCCTAGAGCTTTCTCACATATCTTAATCTCCACCCCAGCTGGCTCCGTCATGAACATGATCAGATGGGTTCGTCCCATTGTTGCTGCCTGCGATCGATTAGTATTCTGATCCTATCATGCTACAGTTACAGGGGTCGACCGCGAATTATTTATTAACTAGCTTCTAAAGCTACATGTAGTAGTCTACGTTAGTCAGTCTACATGACTTTTTTTCACAACCCATAATTATATCGCGGCCAAATCAATTGAAGGTGTTGGCGTTGCTGTCAGTCTGTTTTCCGCCCTGTGCAGCTGAGGATTGCGGGCCTTCTAAGCTTCTCCACCTTCCAGAACGGAGCTTGACGTGTACAGTAGGTACGTCTGTCATTGATTCCGAACCGGTCTGTACAGCACAGCAATCACCAGGCACCCACCCCATATTCCCCATTACTATTGTAACTGTAGCTGCCTCTGCTGCTTCATCATGATCATCTGCTGTCTTTGTCAACGACGACGACAATGTCGTAGAGAAGTGACGCTGGATAGGTGGGTGGGTGGCTATCAGCATCACGATTCGATCCGCCCACCGCACCCGCGCACCGGCGCACCGCACCTCCCGATCTCCCCCTCCGTAGAGTAGAGTACAGTAAGAACCTGCATTCTACTCCGTACCTACATCCATCCCTCGCGATGGATGTGGAGGGGAGGGAGAGGGCCATGACCACCTTTTTCCCCACACCTACCCTCAACCCTCGAACCAGACTCCCGGTGTCAGAGGGCATCGCGAGCGATCGATCGATCTCTTTTACTAGAAATTTTTTTTCCTACAAAGTGTGTTTGGGGAGGTGTGAGGTGGGATGAACCCACGGGCTTGGGGAACTGGGTCTTGGGTTGGGCAGGACTCACTCGGGGAGCTAGAGTAGAGTAGGATGGATGTAGGCACAGAGCTAGGTAGGGAAAAAAGCAATACTCTGACTGAGTGGCTTGGCGAGACCAGCTGGATGGGATGGGGGGACGTGGGCAGCTGTGGAGTGTGTGTGGATGGATGGATGGATGGATATCGATGGTTGATGGCTGGAGGGTAAAGCAGGTAAAGGCAAGAAAGCGTCAAGCTGCTTGCTGCACGAAGCAGTGGAAGGGCCGCTATCTGGCTGTGATGTGGGTTGGGGTTAATACCCTGTGTAGGAGTGTAGTTGTTGGTACATAGAGCCTTTTACCCGAGAATCTGGCTTCACGGGCCATCACTCGCTGGGTGGTGGCTTTTGTTGTTTTTGATTTGTTTTTGTGTGCTTGTGCGACTGAGTCAAAACCCCCGCTCCGCTCGGGTTTTTTTCTTTGTGTGCAACTAACTGTAACTGGCTGGCTGGGAAACTGCTGCCGGGTGGGGGGAAAGGGAAATGGGTTTGGGGGATTTCTTGTTTTGGTTCGGGAGTGCCACAGGCGCAATGAGGTAGGTGTAGCCCAAATTTAATTGAGTTTGGTTTGGAAAATGTGGAGGTGGAGTTGGTGGTGGTAACGACAAATTTAGCTGTGATATGGTTAGATCACTTTTGGGGGAACATTAAACTCTTTCTGAGTCAACATATTAACTCTCTGGGCATATAGGGATCAGAAACTCTACTCAACCACGATCATGGCCATTTAAGCCACCATCACCGCCGCCGCCGCAATTGCAGCTCCCCACTACCTGATACAAGCAATCCCATATTGCCATCTCCCCTGTCTCAGTGCAGCCCGGCCGGCCGGCACCGTGCCTTGATCATGAGTCCCCGGTGTACATATACATGTAGTTGTGATCTGATTGGAGCAGGCACAGCTATTATATTAATTCTAGAAGAATGTTTTATTACTTACATATATATACTTAGGGCACAAAGGATCGGGACACATTAATTACTCACCGAGACCAATCGTTGTAAGGAAATCAGGTACGACGACGACGACGACGAGCGCCGATCATGTTTCAAAAACCGGTTCGGAGGATCATTGCTGTTTTCAGTGTTGACGACGTTGGAGCCCTGTACCGTGGTGGAGTTTTTGGCTTGCGCAACGACCGCCAGATCCGGGGTTTGACGATACTATGTATGTGGTGCTATATCGATTAACTGCCGGGAGGTAAGAAAGCAGATAGGTTTAAGTTTCAGTGGGATCGTTACGGCCACCAGACTGGAACTACACTCATAACTCCCCTTCGAAGGTGCAGTTCTCAGAGTGTCACATATGATATGTCGGCTGATACCTATATCTGGTCTACCGCATTCGGGTTGCGGGGTGGGATTATCGGCGGGGGTAGCAGCGGGGTAGATTAGAGACGGTTACTGCTGTGGGGATGTTTGGTGGAGTGGAGGTGATGTGTTTATAAGGTAGTTGAGAGCCATGATTATTCCTCTTTTATACATGCATAGGCACTGATGCCACGTATATACATCTTAAACGATGGAGAGGTCCAACGGACTACATACATGTAGCTAGGAGTGCTCTTGTCGATCGGTACTAGCATACACTCGGGACACTGATGTGTGTAATTATACGAATACACATAATGAACCAGTACTATATTCATACTACATGCTTATCCTCTTGAGGAATTTTGCGATGCGTTTACATATAATTGATACCTATAGGCTTGAGGTCTTGCAATTGAGTATCGTTTAGCGTTATTAATTCATGATCACTAAACCGATCAGCTCTATCACAATTGCACATTATAGCCAGCTACAACCAACAAAGTACATATATATGAACCTATATCTAGAACTTAACCTACAACGTCCCCATTGATCAAAACCAAAGTTGTCATCCGACACCTAGCTATCATTGGAGTCACATAATATCACTCGTTTTATCAAATGCACATGTGGCTTCCGAGTCTAGCCAGGACCCCGCACTATGCATCCTGTATAGCGTGCTAAAGACTTTGGATATCACTTCTGCTGTAGGCGAACCCATATCTACATGTATTCCTGTTAAACTGATGGGTCACGTCAGACTGCAGCTGCTCCTGACCCTTGAGTCACTGCCGGACATGTAACTGGAACCGGATAGTTGTGACTTGTCTCATTTAGTCAGCTGGCAGTATCAATAACGCTCTGCTGGGTCGTATTTCGTAAGCGTGGGCTGGGCCAGAGTAACAAATTCCTCATAACGTGACGTCACGACGTGACCATAAACCAAAAACCTAACCCACAACTACACCTACTACAAATCATATCTAATGGAAATGTGCTATCTAGAGAAGGCAGAAAACATCTGCCTACTTCTAAGAGCCCTAGAAAACGGTGTCTTGGCGGTCGAGTGATCGCTCTTGACGCAAACATCTTGCGGGCTGACTACAGGAACGGAGAAATGGTTTTGGGGTGCGTTGGTGTGGGGTTTATCTGGATTTGGAGGGGAGAGAAGTGGCTTGTGGGTGTTACGGACGGGTGGATTGGTGTAGTCCTCATTTTTCATGGCGGCTTTTGGGGTGGAAATGGTAGTCTTTAGGGAAGAGGTGTGATAGTGTAAAGGACATTTATAGAGAAAGATGCTGTAGGCATGTTATTTACTGTGTTGTTGTTAGAAATGGTAAGGTTAGACTAGTAATTTTGCTACTGTTAGTTGTGGGAAATATAGTGTGAATTATGGCCGATAATGATTGGACATGAACTTACGGACCATGATTAATATAGTTACTTCATAAAGTGCAAACTATAGATTGACAGTGAGGTCAGTATGAAAATTGCGGCGTCAAAGCTTTTAATATTTCTATATCTAAGTCATATATATATCACAAGTGCCTCAAACCTTGCCTCAGCGACATTTACCCATTATGCACCCCTAACCCTATCGACTCTCCAACCCAATTACTCTTATGCAGAACTACATAAACTATGCCTCCACTATCTAGGGTTTTGCTATTCTACTTTACCGAGAAAAACTCGGTTTAAAGCTGCAGTACTGTACTGGTAACACAGATAGAAGATAGTTTACATTTCACTCAACGGAGTGTTTGAATCCTCTCTGTAGCATTATCATCTTTTTTTGCTGTTTGTATGTGGGGGTTTACCCCGAATTTGTAAAGTATTATTTGCGGGGATGCATGATCGAGGATGGTGGGATAGTGGAACTAATTAGTGCTGGAGCCGGGTTGAACTTTTTGCATGGATGAGTACTGGTTTTTCTTTTTTTTAGAAGTTGGTATGTACAAGGCTGTGGGATTAAGTGAGTGAACGGATCCACGCCAGTCAACACCCCATTTAGTTCACTCACTTAATGCAGAGCCTTGTATATAGAAGCTATATAAATATCTGCAACGTAAGTTAGGGAAGCATGAGGTTATTTAGGGCTCTCGGGTGAGTTTTGTCATGATTGATATGAGGAAACAAAAGGAAACAGGGTCATGTTTATTCATAGTGTGGGACAGGGCCAGTGTCCCACGCTAGGGTTAGGTATCTTAAGGAACCTCCAAACTACATCTGCATATGTTTCGATAGGGAGACCGGCCACTTATGCAGTTACCAACGACCACCACTAGCTACGGCGCCCCTTCGCAAACCCAACTACATGTACTTGCAGCCAGATGAAAAACTACATAAGTAGATGTCACGCACACGTACGTCTATGTAATGAACCTCAGTCATGTCAGTCGCCCAAAGTGCTGTTGATGTTGTGATATGATGAGTCTCAGTCACATGTAAACAGTTTCGATACTGCACTTGGGACTATGACGGGCTGAAAAATTCTTTAGTCATATGAGAGATGGGTAATCTGTTAGCTCGATCGAGAAGGGGTATATATTAATGGGCTGCTTAGCTGACATGTATAGTTACCCATTTTTTGGGTCCTAGCTGTGTTGCAGGGTGTAGTGCTTTTCTCTTCTGTACCAAATACGCATATGTACTTGGCCTTATTTGGAGGATTATGGGGAAGAAGTCGTGACTTGCATATATATATGGTGGGTTTTGATGTTTGTCTATCCAAACCTTAATTGGGAGCTAGGTTAGACAGTTTCCCTCTATTGTCGTAACAAACAATTCAGCAGAGTCCGTTGAATTAGATACAAATTGCAGGAAAACCTTTCGTGATATTTGTTCACTGTCAAGGCTTCGACCTGAGAGCTATGTGGCCAGGAAATAGTAGAGTTCTAAGGTGATTGTGCATATCATGCCTAAACTTTAGTTTGCAATTTTCCCATTAATTAAGTAAAATAGTTGCGCAATTAGCGAGAAGCTACAAGTACATGGTTGAGGACCAATAGAATATCATCTCGTCTAGTAAAATTCAGGTATCCTCTCCAAAGCACTGTGTTTGCCACCAGCGGTAACTCGAATTATATAATTAATGCTACTGGCGGTCAACTAAAGGCTTTAAACACCGGTGGGTGCCCAAACCAAGGAGCTCTCTATATAAGAAGTATTTCATACCATCTAGTGGCAAATTTCTTTGGAGTCGATCACGGCCCGGCCCCCATTTTATGATTAGCTCGGGTTGGCCAACCGCGGATAAGGCCATCGGTAATTGATCTAATGTGGCTTTTTGCTTGGTAGCATCTGTCTTTTTGACAGAGTAGGCCGGCAGTCGATTGGTTCTCCCGGATCCAACGCACGACTGGCTGACCATGCAGAGCACGGAAGTGAGAATGGAGATGAGTTGATTGATCACATTGCATTTCCGGCGCTACAGTACGGTCCCCGCTCCAGACATTTGGGGGACTTAGACACAACCTATAGCTATAGTATTTCCAGTGCTATTATCTTATACCGGGAGCTATGACCCGGCAGCTCGTTTATGTAAAACACGAGTGAGAATTTATGATTAAAGAACGAATTGCTCTGTCTTGAAAAATCCCAAATATTTTGTCTCAAAGTGCCCCGCTCTTTGGCTTAAAATTGGACCTTACAGATATCTACGATTAATAAATAGTAATCAAAAAAGAGAAACCAAGAAAAACGAAACTCACTAGACTGGATACATATATGACAGTTGGGTATTTATCAGAGAAAGAGAGTGTATGTTCTTTCCCTTAACATCTAAAAAGCAATTGAACACCGAGACAGGGAAAGAAGATACAATACATCGCTACAATCAAACAGAGGTCAACTCGGCATAATCTTAATATATAAACATCGTCACACAGCTGCGTCGCCACGGGACGAGCATGAGCCAAAAAGAAAAACTCTAATAAATGATTGAAATATGGTAAACTACTTATAACTGTGAGAAGACTTGCTCGGGTATAGTTAGGCTGAACAGAAGACGAAAATGCAGAACAATCGGATGATCAATCAAGATCAAAGAAAAACCACCGCCGATATAAACAAATTACGCAGAAATAATTTAAAACTCTGATGTTAAGACAATAATTCGTAAAGTAGCATGTAATTATATCTTGGATAGTTTTCGTCCGTCTCCTTCTTCGATCTATTTTCTCCACTGGAGGGTGGCGGTGCTGTCATTAAGATTGGAGATGTTTATATAATAAAATAATGCAGTTATCCGATGATGATCGTAATTCGTACTCTCGTCTCTCAGAGATAATGTAATGAAGGTAGATGTCGTATCACTGTATCGTCTTGGGTCGTTTATTCATATAGTTGAAATATAGGTCGTTACACCATAGTCTGAGACCTGACTAGTAAATTACCAGTTCCAAATTCGCTTTGAGAACCTCTAATATTTACTAGCCGCCCGCTTCCTTCATCAAATTCTCGACTACCCCCAGTAGGACTTATAACTAGGGTTGGGGTTCTAGACATTCTCATCATCGATATGTGTTCTCGAAAAACATTTCCCGGAAAACTAGCGCTTCGGGGTGTCATGTCGTAGTCTGGTATTGGCGGGCTGCTTTGTCTTTCAATTACTGGCGGATGAATCCGTATAGCATCGAGAACCTCCTCCATTTCGACCTCAATCCCAGTAGATTTGCAATCTGTAATAGTAATATCGGCGGGCGTGAATATTCCCAACCCTATGGTTGCATCTGTGTTCTGTTCACATTCGATTGCAGCTAGAGTACAAGCCGCCCTCTGAGTTGCACAAACATCTGATGTATCCCACGTGTCAAAAGGATCAACCTCAGCCCCAAGCCCTGTAATCGGAGGAGTTTGAATGACGTATAGCACAGTTGGATTATGAAGCTTTGAGTGTGTAGGAGTTGGACGCAGAACAAAGGGATTATGGCTATTATCTCCAAGAGTTGTAGAAGAAGAAAAATTGTGAGAGGTAAAATCGACTGGCTCAGGAGGCTTTTCTATGACCGTTTCTGATGCTGATTCGAGCCTTTCGGTTCCATCGGACGAGCGAAGGCAGTTAAATGCTTGTAGTGTCCAAAATATTGCCTGAAAAACAAGGGAAACAACAAACAATGAAAACCCCGCAATGACCATAGGGTCTCTGTCACGGCCGAACATGGTATTTGGCATTGCCTTCGGACGGAAGCTCATCCACCCTAATGCAAGGGTGGAAAGAACAACAGCCAGGGCAGTTGAGATAACCCCACCTAACAGATATAGACGTTTTTCGGGGGGAAATATAGTGAAAAGAAGCAGAAGAATACATGTTGTAATGTCGAAAGCTGCAGCTGCGGTGCAGGACGACGAGAGGACGGAACGAGCTGAGATAGTAGAGGCGGAATATAGGATGAAGAATACAGTTGTGCTCACTGTGAGCACTATGGTGATAGAGCCCAGGAGACGAATTGTGTGTCTCGAGGGGCGGAAAGACATGTCGTTTAACGGGTAGCCGGTGGTGAGGGTATATATGGAAACGGGAGCAGACCAGAATGGCCTGTCTCTCTGCCTCCTTTTTCCGGTAGAAGCTGATGCCTATGGTCCGGGTGGTTGCAAAGTGGTGAAGGTAGTAAAGGGGTTATTGTTGGTTGGTTGGAGTTAGGTTTACTTGAAGATGTGGTTTTGACGTGCAGCATTGATTTAGTGATGATCATTAAACGTTTGCCAGAAATTTGTACATGAAGGACTTCAAGACACCAAAATCAACGTGTGACGTGGAGAAACGTTGTGGGGTTCTCGTGTCAATATTGTGGCTTGATCCGTCAGGCAGTATTTGCTGGGCGAGAAAGAACCAGGGTATTACGCCATGAAGCCGCCGTTAGATATGATACGACCCGGATCTCGGGAGAGGAGATCTCGGACGATAGGTAGAGGAGGGAGGAGGGGCGAAATGAAATGATAATGGGAGGGAATGGGGCAGGGGTAGGGGTGATGATGGTAGGAGGTGAGGATGAGAGGAAAGGTGAAGTAGATAATTCCCTTCGGGGAGCGCTACAGGTTATGGTGTTTGTTTTGTTTTATTCGGGGATTTTCCGAGCTTCCGTCCGTATGCGGTCGAGTTGATGGGGAACACTGATGGACCAAAACAAAACAACAACGCCAGGAAATCCCCCCGAGTGCACGGGCCAGTTCCAATGCATGCACAAGCGACGATCTAATCCTAACACATCCAATTCTTAACATGAAATAAAACACCCCAAAATATTCACTTGCGTTGCTGTAAGTGATGATCATGCAGTCCAGATCTCCTCTGAACAAACAGAGCCCCGCAGTCTCGTGCTGAACTCTCAGTGGTTTCCCGTCTTAGTAATAGTATCGCACCCTAGTGGGAGCCTACATTTTTGTGTTACCCAAGAGCCAGCAAGAGCTTCTCACTTCTTTGCCTCTCTCCACATCCACCAACACTCCCACCCCACCATTATCATCGTCTTTCTTCATCGTCTCCATCTCCATCCATCCTCCATCTACCTCCCATCTAACAAAAGCCGTCTGGCTAAATCCCAACAAATAATCTAAAGTACTGTTCTTTTATCAACATGAAGCTCACTTTTAAGGTGGGTCATAGCCGTTGCCCCTCCCCCACTTGTCATTTCTCGAATCTTTCGAGTTTATCAACGCAACATAACGCAATACTGACCGCTTTCTTTTCTAATAGGATCTCAAACAGCAAAAGTTCCTCATTGATGCCGAGCCGTCTGATACTGTTCGTTTTAGCTCCCTTACGTCTGTACATGCGGGTACTAACTGGGCTATGATAGATCGGTCAGCTCAAGGAAAAAATCACTGCCGAGAAGGGATGGGATGCCTCGCTCCAGAAGCTCATCTATTCAGGTGCTTATCATATTTGTTTTATACTAGATTTTGAAGGTATTTTACAGGCTAACAGACCTTCTATCACAAGGCAAAATCTTGCAGGATGATAAAACGGTAGAATCCTACAATATCGAGGAGAAAGGCTTCGTAGTCTGCATGGTATCAAAGGTAATTTACCGTGTATAACCTTTGGTCCCCTTTTGGATGATGACTGATGAAGGCGGATGATAGCCCAAGGCCACACCTGCAGCAGCTTCAAGCTCTAAGGCTGCAGCCACCCCAGCTAAAGTTCCCTCAACACCTGCGCAACCCACTGTACCAGCAACCCCTCTGCGCCAGCTCAATCCGCTGCCGCTAGTTCCTCCAGTTCTGCCGTTCCGGAGACCCCAACACCCGCCGGCTCAGGTTCTGCAGCCCCTTCCAACTTCAATGATCCTTCAGCGCTTGCTATGGGAGGAGACGGCGAGTCTGCTATTCAAAATATGATTGCAATGGGATTTGAGAGGAGTGAGGCTGAAAGAGCTATGAGAGCTGCATTTTTCAACCCAGACAGGGCTGTGGATTATCTCCTAAACGTATGCACTTTGATATCTTTCATTTATGCGGCAGAGGCTTAGATTAACTGGATGCAGGGTATTCCTGATCATGTCCAGCAAGAGAGACAACCTCAGTCACCAGCTACTCGTCCCGCCGCTCAAGCATCATCTGCCCCACGATCGGCTGCTCCAGCTGGAGGAGATGCTTCGGCAGCTTCAAATCCAGAGAATATCAACTTGTTTGAAGCCGCCGCCGCCGCTGCTAGCCAGCGCTCTGGAGGTGGTACTCGTGGTGGAACTGGAGCTGGAGGACTTGGAAATCTTGATTTCCTCCGCAACAACCCGCAGTTTCAACAACTTCGCCAAGTTGTTCAACAGCAACCACAAATGCTCGAGCCAATCTTGCAACAAGTTGGGACAGGAAACCCTCAACTCGCTGCTTTAATCAGTCAGAATCCGGATGCGTTCTTGCAGTTGCTCAGTGAAGACCCTGACGATGGTGAGGGTGCCCCGTTGCCGCCAGGTGCTCAGCAGATCGCAGTCACTCCTGAAGAAAGAGATGCTATTGAGAGAGTATGTTATATGCCCCGTCCCAGTTTATAAATTTACCCAATCAGAATCATTATAACTAGACACTAATATCCGGTTAGCTATGCCGTCTGGGTTTTGACAGAGACATGGTAATTCAAGCGTACTTCGCTTGTGATAAAAACGAAGAGCTTGCAGCCAACTTCTTGTTCGAGCAGCCTGACGATGATATGGAGCCGTAGACGTTTTTCATTAGGTCTTTGTTCGTTAGCTTTCTTGTTTTTCTTCTTTCTCTTTTCTATACCGATAAGCCAGGTGGACTGGACGGAGCGGTAGCCGGTCACGATGGGTAGCTAGGCGAGAATAAAAATGAAGGTTGTTTGATGGAAAGCAAGAATTGGATTCGTCGGTCGATGGATGATGAGACACGAAGATCCGTAATTATAAGTCTCCGAAATTGTTTTTATCTATCCTAATCACATTCATGACTTTTGTCATGCTGACTTGATTTGGTCCATCTTATTATGTTTTACCTCCATATCTTTTATAATTTGTTCTTGCAGGCGTTGTTAGGTGTGAGCGGGAAGTAAATGAAACCATGAAATGTTTCGCGCATCTGCACTGCATGAGACTACATGTACATGTAGTGACATTGAATTATATCTCATTGAATCTTTGAAACTTTTCTAAGGCCCCGTTCGGACCGCCCGAATTGTTGCAGATTTGTATGGTAGAATAATGAAGCAGGAGGAAAGCTCTGCAATGTGGTGTTCGGACAGCCCAACTTATCCGTTAAGTACTAGTGAGTTAAGGACAATGAGGTTTTGGTGGCTTTCAAATAATTGCATCGAGAGGTAATTATTGGGGCTTAGTAAAGAGTCCTCTCTGATGATACCTGGATCCGATCCTCAATGTTGCGGGGCCTGATAATTTGTCTTCCGAACTTCATCAGGCCGAGAAATAATGACTTATCTGTCTCAGGTCAGTTACGGACCTTCTTCTTTCAGGCGCATTATCATTTCTTTCCTCGTCCAAACGGAGCCTAAATGTATAAAGTTTAATGACCATGCGTGTAACCACGAACACATGTGCACGAATTTTAAACCTTTCAAATCAGGGAGAATTTCATGACTTAATGGGGAGAATATGTAGCTTTTTATCAACCCGAGCCCTTCCTGTGAATTGGGGATAATAAAGATGTTTATCTTAGTATCCCAAGTACTGAAGAGTTGCATGCAATTAATGAATTAAACAAAAAAAAAAGTACTGGAGAGGCTTTTGAGATGCGAGTGATGGACCATGAATCTCGAAGAACTGTATATTCAGCTAGAAAAACCTTAGTAATGAGCTACGACGAGACTTCTGACATTGTTCTAGCCCCGGGTTCCCAAGTATTTGATACTTTTGGTTCTATTTATTTGAGTATTTCATGCAATTTCAGAGAAGACGTATACATATATTAAGCAGCCCTATTTTGGTCCGTGCTCTTCTAGACGATATGATACTCTCCAGGAGAGAATGAAGAGGTGGAAGTAGAGAAATAACAATTGAATATATACTTTAAAGCTAGCTTGTTGGTATATACATGTAGTTCTATATTTGCTATCAAAAGGCCCTGCTCGAGGCAGGAAACTGCGCCGAAGCTTCCAGAGAACGGGTGATAGTTCATCCGCAGCCAGGATATCATAGGTATAGATGCCTCAGTGGGTCCTTTACGCATACAACAACCCTGTAACTGCCTATCAATGTCCGCAGCCCTTTTTTTTTTATGGCTTGTCCCCAGCTCTACCGTCACGAATGTACCTGGCGACCACGTGCATGACAGCTTCTCATGAAACGTGCAAAAAATATAACAACCAAAACCGCGGAATCAAGTTATGTGCTCTCAGAGATTCAACTATACCATACCACACTTGCTCTTGTCCAACATCCAGACCTCTCAACCTCATATCTTGCGACTACAACCAACCCAAACCACCGGAAAACAAGATTCTCAACTGAACCCAGAAGGTGAAGCCCGGCTGAAGTGCGCCAAGTCTGGCTTGGCATAGTCCCATTCCTTCTTATGAGGCTCATGCTTATCCAGGAATTTGTCCATCACGCTGTTACAAGGCTGCAGCATAATAATGTTTATACGTGCGTGACTGTCCCTATAGGGAGCGGAGAGAGAGAACTTGTGAGGATTTTACAGTACGGCAACAAGGAGGGAGGGAGGGAGATCGGTATTGTGCTTTATCAGCTCATATAATACTTTCATAGGAGAGAAGAATAACACCCCGCCACGCGCAGTCAAGCTCATCGGGAGGGAGGAGGAGAGGGAGGAGGAGGGGCGTTTGACAGGGGCATAGGGACGAAACGCTAGCGCCCTTGTCGTTCTTCATTGGGACTCGTCTGGTCGTCTACAAAGCTTCAAGCCCGCCATTTCACCAAACCCGACGTTTTGCTTAGAATCACAGATTCTGCAGAAGCACCCACCCAAGTGGCCCTCGAGTCGAGCGAAATTCCACCCACGCGACTGCCAGAATTGACGGGAGTATTCAGTTCTCCCCACTTCTCCCTTCTCGCCTGGACTCTTGTCCCTCTTTTGCCACATTTTTCTTCATAGATATTATAATTTTTATTCTTTTATCACTACTACGGCGCTCTTGATTCTGGTTTCTTGAAATCAATTTTTTTATTGCCAGTGCAGTGCCACCAGAGAAGAGTTTTTTCCCAAGCGTCTTCAAGAAACACGGATACACCGCGGCTATAGTGTGAAGGGATTATTGTCCAAAGATTCGGACACCAAGCGCAGAGTATCGTGCTTGCTTGTTTGTGTGCGTGAGGCGGTGTTTTAAAGTTGGAACAGGAGGAATTTCTGTTTTTTTTTTGTCGAGGTTCGGACGGAGGAGAGACGGAGTGAGGGCCACCAAGCAAGCGTGACCTAACAGCCTGGGACCCACGAAACCACGACAATTAACCACCACCACTGCTACTAGTAACCACCAACAACAACTCTTTTTTTTTTTTTTTACCAGTCATCATAAATACCCCTTGATCTATATAACAGCAGCACGCGAAAACATGAAGAGGGAAAGGACTAGCACAAGCCGCAGTCCTAGCAGCGACGGCGCGGAAACCGCTATGGGGGAGATCAAGCTCGAGGATTCTCCTCGAGACATCGTTGCTGGAGGAAAGATATTGAGGATGGGAGATGAGATCAAGGAGGAAAAGGAGAAAGGGAACGGTAGTTCCAAGGCGTCTTCGGCTTCGCCTGCACATGGGAATACTCCTTCTTTATCACCGACTAAGGGCGAGGAGGACAAGGGGTCGCCGGCCGAGGCGGAAACTGGCGATTCACAGAAGCCAAAGCTGTTGCGGGCATCATCGTCGACCAAAGTGCTCAAGGAGAAGAAGCCGCCGGCCTTGTTCAACGATTATCCGAACAGTACTGAGGAGGCGACATCTACATTCACCGTCATAGATGCTTGCATCTACAGTAATAAACATATCGGAGACTCTGGACAGGATGGCGATGGAATGTCTTGCGAGTGTAGAGAGGAGTGGGGTAAGACCATTTCATTCATCCATTCCACGCACTTTAGAGAACGTTCCCTCTCCCCTTTTACCAGGTCCTAGAGTTACTGGTTCTTGGCTGTTTTTTCGGTAGACTTTTTTTTTTGTTCGGTTTCGCTGACGCGCCGCCACAGATGGGACACATAATGTTGCCTGCGGCGAAAATTCCGATTGTATCAATCGAATGACCTCCATGGAATGTACACAAGATGATTCCTCTTGCGGCTCTGATTGTCAGAACAAGCGCTTCCAAAAACGCCAGTATGCAAATGTTTCGGTCATCAAAACCGAGAAAAAGGGATTCGGGCTCCGAGCAAATGTTGACATCCCGATCAACACCTTCCTCTACGAATACGTTGGCGAGGTGATTGATGAAGGCAAATTCCGTAGAAGAACGCACAAATATTTCCAGGAAGGAATTAAACACTTTTATTTCATGTCACTCGGAAAGAACGAATTCATCGACGCCACCAAAAAAGGTGGTCTGGCTCGTTTCTGCAACCACTCTTGCAATCCAAACTGCTTCATAGACAAGTGGGTCGTGGGTGACAAGCTGCGAATGGGTATCTTTTCCAAGAGAGATATTATTGCGGGCGAGGAACTGGTATTTGATTACAATGTCGACCGATATGGCGCCGAGCCCCAAACCTGCTTCTGCCAAGAACCCAACTGTCTGGGGTACATCGGGGGAAAGACTCAAACTGACGCAGCTCCCAAACTTTCTCATAATATTATCGAAGCTCTTGGTCTCGAGGATTCAGAGGACTGGGTAACTGCCACAGCCAAGAAGGGTAGACGACCAAAGAAGACCGGAGAAGATGATGATGACTATACTGAGAGTGGCACACCTGGCACCAGGCCAATGAGCGAAGCAGATGTCACCAAAGTCATGTCTTCACTCCTTCACTGCAAGGAGAAATGGATTATCACCAAACTCCTTGACCGCATCATCGCAAGTGAGGACGATGCTGTATTCGCTCGCATTGTCAAGATGCACGGTTACCAAATCCTTGGGAGGATTATCCAGGACACTAAAGACGATATGAACGTCGTTTTAACTGCTCTTCGAATCCTTTTTAGGTTCCCTCGTATCACAAAGAATAAAATCACACAGTCCAAGATCGAAACCATAGTTGTAGAATTCACCACGGTTGAAGACGAACAGGTTCGTGAAGCATCAAACACTCTCATCCAGGAGTGGAGTTCTCTTGAGACAGGCTTCCGTATCCCCCGGCGTGCGCCAACTTCTACAAACGACAAAGAGCGAAATAATGCATACAATGACCGTGATAACAGAGATTCGCGGTCTAAATCAGGCACTCCACCACCCGATCGGACTGCAACCCCGCCCACTCGCCCGCGCCCGCAACCCCGGGAGAAATCTTTCCAAAGCCAACCTCCTCGTGGGCCTCGAGCAGATAGAGCTCAGTATAGCAATAACAATGACAATAAGCCGCGACGAGATATTCCTTGGGGCTGGCATAAGGCTTGGCACGATCAACAATTATATTACTACTCAAACGATGGCAGGACAAGATGGGATATGCCAACTGAGCCATGTCGGTCGGATGATAGACCTTTGAAACCGCCTCCGCCTCCGCTAAGGCATGGCGAACTTCCTCTTGACCCGAAAAGAAATGCGCTGCAAGCAATCATAGACTCGATCACGCAGAACATCGACGAGAAGAAAGTAATGAAGGTGGAGAAAGCTCCCGAAGAAACCGAAAAAAAAGTTGCTGAAGTTACGGAACAGCAAAAGAGACGGAGCAGTAAGGATAGAGAGAGGAAAGAAAAGGAGAGGAGAGAAAAGGTCTATGACGACGATAAGACTAAGAATATTCTGATGAAGAGTGTGAGTAGTCAATTTTCTTGATGGTTGGATAAATGCTGATTGTTTTGTTCTTAGTTTGCCAAAGTTGTTGCAAACGCTGTCAGTAAATATTCAAATGAGCTTGGCGGCCGTGATGCAGTCAAAAAACACGCTAAAGATGTACGTCTCTATCCGCACATATATTAAACCAGCTCGGCTCTTGCTCACAATTTATCTATAGATCACGGAAATCCTCGTTAAAAAGGAGATGAAAGATGGTCGTAAAATTGTCAACCCCCACCTTCTGCTTGAGTCCGAAAAACGCAGGGGCAAAGTAAAGATTTTCGTCAAACAGTACATCGAGAAAGTGATACACCACATCCAGAAAGAAAAGGAAAACAAAGCCAAACGCGACCAACATCGAAAGGAACGAAAAGAACGTTCTCACGGTAGTAGCAGCTCTGATGGCAAGGGTAAAGACAAAGCCCAAAACCGTGCCGAAGGGACGGAGAGTGTAGACTCGCAAATGATGGATGTCGTCCAGGAGATGAGCCCGATTGGCGGAAGTGTTTCTCCAACGAGGGGAACACAAACACCCACCTGCTTGACCCCAGGGAAGAGAAGGAGAGATGATTCCGATGACGGCGATGAAAGTGGGAGGGGCTATGAAAGTGAGGAGAGGCAGAGCCCGAAGAGAGCTAAACCTACGGGCCCAAGAAGAGACATGACACCTCCTGCTAATGTAACTACTACAGAGTTCATGGCAGGTGGGGGTGGGGTGTATGTCTGCTAACTTTGGTCAAGAGAACGTTACTGTTGAAGTGTTAGGTGATAATAGGGATATGCTCTGTCGCTGGCGGGCCTTGTCCTGTTTCTTTTTTGGGAATTTTTCCATGGTAGGGGATAGTGATGATCTGGTGCAATACTCTCCGCCTAACCACATCTTCCCTTTATTAACTAGCTATCTTTATCTTCTTTGTCTTTCCTTGAGGAGTTGTCGCTTTTTTTCTTCTTTTTTTCTGGCAAGCAAGGGGAATCAACTGTATAATTAACACTTTTCTGCATCTCTTTCCAATTTGGTTTTGTTTCTGCCGGAGGGTTCTTATTTGAGCACTCCACTTTTCTTCTTTGTCCAAAATGGTTCTACTTTTCTTATTACTATATCTTTTCTTTTATGGGGGAGTTAGGAAATCGTTTTCATTTTCGCCATCTGGATTGTTTTCGTTTTCTGGGTATGAATTCTTATCCATTTCTATTCACCGTACTTATTTTCTTTTTCTTTCGTACAGGTGGCGGTAGCTATGCGTGGCTTCTATGGCCAACTGAATATCGCGATCGGTGTTGCGGATGAGTAGGCGTCAGGGTGTGTTGTGTACAGATAGTATGTACGTTCTCGTTTGAAGTCCTTTACTTTTTGTTTTTTATTTGGCCAGGTCGATGAATGGGGAGGGCAGGGCAGTCAGTCAATCAGTAGATATGGAGGAATTATTTATGGGGTTACTTCAAAAGTTACAATTGGCTCTTTAGTGGGTTTTCTGGGTAGCACTGGATGCTGGCCGACATGATGTGGAGAAAAGCAACACAGTATGGTTTGGTACATGCGGTATCACTCGGTCGCGCTCCTAGCGTAACGAGGTACCCTATATGAGGTAGGAATACCTTGCACTGCATCAGTTCTTATCTTTTTGTCATACGCATGTACGATGAAATTGGGGGAACTGTGTCGTGTGGATCTTTCGCCTGTTGGATAAAAGTTGTCAGAACAATCATTACTTCAGATGCAGTCTGCAGCAGTCGCAGCGAAAGAAATATGTACTTCAATTAAGAGTTGTAAATAAGTTTGCTTCAAGTGGTGGTCATACGCGCTGGCCAGTCGCAGGATGGCTCATTTAAAGGGTTTACTGTATCCATATTGCGGAATTCGAGTCTCTTTTGTATACTTTAGATGTACAGTTACTATTCGAAGATTTTCATGAGATGCGAAGAAGATAGCTAGTACATGTAGTTTATGTGATGAGTAGTAATCACTACAATATTGTATTTCCGCTCCCGCCGCGAAATCGTGATTCTTTGCGCCACTAAAGGCATGATTGATTCACTGCAGGGTTTTAGGGGCATAAACGATTGAAATTATCAACTTTATAGAGATGTATCTACTACCTCAACCCACATCCACCACCTTACTAGAGGGCATCAATATCAGGCCACGCGATATGCTGCGGTTGAAAGCTATTGAATCTGGATCATGAACACTTACGGGTTGTGTACTTCTGCTATAGGATCTGCTATGTGAACGACGGAGACCTATAAATCAAGCTATCTGGTTGATAGGGTACCCACTTAGCGGAGCCCGGGCCGAGTCGTGGATATAGGCGGAAGACCTCCGGATTTGTGCCAAGCTTAGGCAGCAGTACGACCTCAGGTTTCTTCACGCTAGGAGTATGGTGTCCCCATGTAACATGAGAAAAACGCCAAGTCTCGAATAACTTTTCAGCCACACTAGATATTAAAAATCCGTACAATAAAACTCTTCTTCATCACGGTATTCAGCTTTTTAATGTACGGATTTTTAATATCTGTTGTGGTTGAAAAGTTATTCGAGACTTGGCGTTTTTCTCATGTTACCTTTAAGACTGGGGGTACTATACTTCTGGATATCTTTATCTACAATGGTCTAAAACAAGTTGAGATTTCAACGAGAAGAGAAGATAGAGGTAAATGCCTTACTCTCTCTGCCTTGCTGGGCCAGCGGAGATTCTGATTCCCATAAAGAGGCTGCCAGTGGTTTATCTGGAGAGATTGTAAAAATGAATGCATAAACGTGTTCTATGAGTAGTTACGTATACCAGTATATGTATGATGGTGAATCCACCCGCAGTCAAGGCAGATATTGGAGTAACGTGTCAAGCGCTCTCTTTTGACTTTGACTAATGGCCGGCCAGCCTTATTCGTCTTCCCCAACCATTCTTTGCTGTGGACAGTAGAAGAAGAAGCTTTGACATAGATCTTTATCTCCGCCTTTTTCACAAGGCTGAATCTCCAGCCAAACTTCATACCTGATAGGTCACCGAATTAAGAAGTAACTCGCATCTCTCAGGGTCAGCCTACTGTAGTAGAAACAAGGCGTTGAAAATAGGCTGTAGCCGATGTGGGCCATCAGAGAACTCGAGAACCTCTCAAATGGTTTGCTGCCCCGTACACTCATAGATGATAGGGAAAAGCTAACTGTGCGATATCTTGAGTGTCATACGCATATATCAAAACCGCAAAGGGAGCTCTGGCCTTGGGTGGATGCAACTTCAGGGGGCACTGGCAGGCATCTGAAATATTCAAGACTCTAAGTTATTACTGTTCTGCTATAACATAATATTCTTGTAATCTCGTTCAAAACATCGTCAGGCTTAAATAGATATGTACATTTACCCCATCCCACAAAAGAAAAGGCCAATAAGTAAAGAACGCTCCAGACTCCAAAGCAAATAAATGTTATCATGCGGTACTGCCACCACATATATTATCCATCTCCATCGACATGCTCTCGGGCTTCTTCCCTTCTTTCGTGAAAATATGTAATACCCTGATAAAACTACCAATAGCCATGATTAACGGTAACAACTGTCCAGTCGATCCCAACTCATTTACCCCACGGATATGGTTCCATCGAATCATCAACTCCACAGTCAACATAAACGAGATTAGGGAACCACTTAGGATCACCATGCTCGTGCCCTCAAGGCCCTTCTCCGCCTTTGACCTTGATGTATCTTCTGGCTCTGGCTCTGACTGTGCCCCAAAAACGGTGTCATCGTGACTCGTACTAGGGGTGCAACATAGCTTATTTGCGATGGGCCAAAATATAACGATCGAATGGATTATGCCCATGAGAACAAAAACGATCTTCATAAACGTGCGCAGCCAGGTGTAGAGGTTAACCTTGGCAAAGAAGTAGGCCCATGTGCTACATGGTGGGTGACGCATGTGGTCCATCCCCGTGAAAAAGAACCATAGTCCATACACGCAGAACCCTGTACTCAGGACAAACCGAATCAATCCACCGATGTTCGACGCTTTGTGATATGCGAACTGCTTTGCCTTGAAGATTCCGCCATCTGCTTTGGCGTCGCCCGAGCACACCCCTCCCATGCAGAAGATAAGCATCATATACGCCTCAACCGCGTAGAGACCGCTCCCTTTGGTAATTGTAATAAAGAGGAGACCAGCGAACATGGCGGCTTGGAAGCAGCTGTTTACACCACGCACGCCCTGGGCTTCGGTGGGGAGGAACCCGTATGCGATGGCTGAGGTGACCCATTGCAAGTACACGCCGATACGAATTCCGAGGCCATAGGTATTGTCATCACCGTCGAAGCCGCATTCGTTATCTACCGGGGAGGATGCTTGGGCCTGACGCTGCTGGAGTTGCGGTGGGGTGGGAGCGGGAGCGGGAGCGGCAAGCGCGAGGAGAGGGAGGAGCGATAAAAGCCCAAGAATGACATAGGAATGTTCCCGACGGCTGAATAAGGTTCTGACCATAGCTGAATCTGTACTTGTCCGAGCTTCTTGGTAACCGTTCGGGGGGTGGCAAGGTATTTATTAATTTCACGAGCTCCTCGAGAGGGTACCAAGGCTGTGCCCAGTTCTCGGCCTGCAACCGTGCACATACATATCTGGGTGGTTTCCATGCATGTTTCGAGCTTCTTTTTTTTCTCTTCCTGGGTCGATTGGCATTGGGACGCTTCATTGGGTTGATCCCTGCACTGCCCCCCTGAGAGAAGCGAGGCGGCATCATCAGACATCACTCGGCTCGGCAATCGCTGCTGTGCTTGCATGCATGTCCGTACTCTATTGCTACAGCGAGCGGGAGCTTGCACCAGTGGAGATAAAATAAAAGCTGGGGAATCTTACAAGCGGTGCCAATATAGCTAACTCTCACTACAAAATGAATATGGATATTTTGAACGACAAACAGGCAAAAATAAAGGAAAGAGGAAAAAAAAAAAAAAAAAAAAATCCAACTCCAAGTATGAACACACAACAACGCCATATTTTCCTCCCCGCCCCAATTAATATCTCCCTCCCATCGCCCCACCGCCCCACCGCCCCCTCCCCCTCCCCTTCACGCACAAACAAAAGCAACAAATTGAAAATAAGGGCAGATTAAAAGGCATATAGGGACATAAGCAATCATGTACATGCATCATCACAGTCATTCATTAGGTTTATCCGTGGGAGTGCGTCTAGGCTTGTCCCCAAATATCTTTGGTAGCTTGGTGAGGTTAAGCTTAAATTTGTTCGTTGTTTCGCCTAAAACAGGGCTTACCTCTGAAGCCGGGGATTTCTGTGCGGAGGAGGAGGCCGTGGGTGTTGTGGAGGGCGTGACTCTCTTTACCGTCTGATTAGCTTTGGCGGGGACCGAGATGGGGGCGGGCGCAGCGCGCAAATCCGAACCTATGTGACTCCCCTGGCCTTTACTTGCAGGCACTGATGGCGAAGAAGAACCACGTCTTTCTTTCTGCGTGGCATTTGGAATGGCGGCAGGGGTGGTGGGTACGCTCAGGCTCTTTGTACGCCCAGCAACAGTTGGAGGGAGAGAAGCAACAAGCTCATTGGGACCCGGTGCGGGAGGGGGGGCTCTTGACTTCGGGACAGTAGCAGGTTGTCGGGCAGTTGGTTCTTGAAACGGAAGAGGGGTTCGATTAAGGGTTGCAAGGGCCTTGGCACGAAGGAGTTTTTGATTCTCCAGGGCTATCCTCGATTGCTCCTCCTGTTCTTTCTTCTCTCGTTTTTGTCGCTCCCTTTCTCGTTGCAACTGCTCCTTCTCTTGTTGTTCCCGCTGTAGCTGCTCCTCTCGCTGTAGCTGCTCCTCTCGCCGTAGCTCCTCCTCTCGCTGTAGTTGCATATCTGTTTCGTTCAAGGGGTTGGGGGGGATCATTGCAGCCCCCAGATCCGTTCTACGGTACTCAGTATCGGCCTTGCGTGCGTTATCGTCTAGAGCTTTACTGCGTTGTTCCTGTTCCGCCTGGAGAAGCTCCTCAGTTTCGCGGATCTCTTCTTCCGTTAACGTGTCCTCAATGTCCTGGAAGGTCTCCGTGTTTTCAATCGCTAAGATGCAGTCAACCCTGCGAGGCGAACTGGTTAGGCGAATTTCCACCTGGTATCTTGGGGAGTGGAGGCTTACTGGGCAATCATTTTATCTAGAACTAGAGGGTCTTTCCCTTTGAACTCTGAGATATCCTCCTTCTCAACAACGTATGGATCCTTAAAGTATGCCTTTGCACACCTAGTAGCATTGCGGATGGGGTCCTGTTGGTCGACAACCCTAATTTGTAATTGGTTCTTGAAGAGGACCGTATTTCGCACAATCTCCTCGAACGTCCCAGAAGCATGGAACCTATACACGAACACATGCTGCTTTTGTCCAATTCTGTAGGCTCTCCCAATAGCCTGCTCCTCCCACATAGGCGACCACTTGAAGTCAAAAATGATGACCCTATTTGCACCTGGAAGATTTAGGCCCAACCCGCCAGCCTCAGTGGAGATGAGCCCGACTTGAATGTTGGCTCTATCGTTGAATTGCTTTGTGAGTTTTTGCCGCGAGCCCATGGGTGTTTTCCCGTCGATCTTTATGAAGGAGACACCCCACGATTTCAATGCCTTCTCAAGGAAGCCAAGCGTTAAAGTGCTGTGAGTAAATATTAACGCCTTATCCCCCGCCCCGGTCGCGTTGTCGATGATGATTTTGAGCAGGTACATCTTGTGCGAGTGCTCAACCGCCATTGGATCTCTTACAGTATTCATGAGTGCCCTCGCCCATGGGTACGGCTTATTGATTGCACTCAGGAGATCATTCACATCGTCGTCCATATCGTCAACGTCAATGACCGAGGTCTCATCATCCGAGGCTGAGGGCGGTGTGGGGGGTTTAAAAGGCACTAAAGCCTGATTTTTGCCCTCTCGCGTGTCCAAGGTCTCAACGAACGAGAGAGGGTGGTTGCAAATCAGGGAGAGAAGGTGAACAGCGTCGAAGAATTTTCGTCCAAGCTTTGCCGCTCCCTCTCCTGGCATCTGTCCCGTGGTCGTCGGGTCATTGACGAAATTTATATACATCTGCCACTGCAAATCGGTCAACGGCACTTTGATTAGAAATTCGGTTTTTCCCGGTAGTTCCCCCTCGATGGCGCCGATATCCATTCTGTGGACTTTGGGGCCAATGTCTTTCTTGAGAACCCTAAGCATCTTTAAACACCTCCGCTTGTCCTCGTGACTGCTGTCTGCGTACAGACCCGCCACAATCGGCGCGACATATTTCCCTTCAAACTCTCTCCTTGGGCCTAGAAAGCCGGGATCAATCCATTCGATCATGGACCAATACTCTATCAGGTTATTGGATAATGGAGAACCAGTCATCGCAATTCTAGACATTGACCTAAATCCACGTGCAGCATCCGAGATCTTTGTGTTTTGGTTCTTCAACTGATGGGCTTCGTCGGCAATAATGATATTTGGCCCATCAAGGAGCATCATTTTCATCTGCTGATGTGTCTCCTCTGGAAGTGGGGGTGTATTGAGTATAAAGTTACGAAAGCCCTGGTATCCTATGAGCAGGACCCCTCCGTTCCTGTACCATTCCCGTATATTGGATATTCGTCTCTCGGGTGACGTTATCGAATCTGCCCTCCATATCTTCCCTATGTGTCTAAAATCTGCTCCTTCGCGATTGTCTGGTGATGGCGGCAGCCAGCGGTGAAATTCATCACACCAGTTATCAACCAGCCCCGGCGGACTGAGGATCAAGGTCTTTGATATTCTTAGATGCTCGGGTATTTGCTCATAGGTCTTCTTATCGTTTGATGCGGCCGCTGTCGCGATTGTATGAAGTAATGTAATGACCTGCAGCGTTTTCCCCAATCCCATGGTATGCGCCAGTAGCGCACCTCTATTCTGCCCCATCTGGATCAATTGTTGCCACATAAACAAGATCCCGTCGATTTGGTGTTTCTTCAAGTAATCTGCGAAGCAACTGTGTAGGAAGATTTCATTGTCTTTGGCGTACTTGCCCAAGTTGACAGGGATCTTTTTTGGGTCCCGAGGGATTCCGGTATTTCTCTTTCTCGCTGCCTTTTCTCTATCTTGCCTCCGCCTCTCATCTCTTTTCAAGCGCTCACGCTGTTCTTGCGAAACGGGGTTTTCTTTGACTTCCTTCAGCTTCCTGAGGCCGGTGCTACTATTAGGCGTGACATTGACTTCCGAGTCGTTAAGATCCACTGTCCGCCTAGAAGAACCAAGAAACGGTTAGCAAGGGCGCGCGACTGTGCATAGAGAAGGTCGCTAGAGCATACCCAACACCAGATTTCCTCCTTTTCTCTTGCGGTTTCGGGGGTGGTGGCAATGACGGAAGGGCAGTAACATCCCCCTCCTGATAGGCTCCCTCCTGGCAGTACGGCGCCAGAGTATCCTTCAACAGATCCATGTATTTGCTGAACTTTTCCTTGTCAGTGAGGCGATCCACCTCGTTCTTCTTGAGCTTCTGCGAAGTATCAGTAATTCCCAGCGCCCAGGCAACATAGATGGTCGAGATCATTCTAAATATCTGTGCGTTATATCTACCGGTCTCATTTAGCTCGGGCTCCTTCTTCTTGGGCGACAAGCGCACATACTCATCTAGACCGGGCACATTCTTGAACTTTGTCCGGTAGAGCTGCTGGGCGACGCTGATGATCGAGTCGAATGATTCCGAAGGGGCGAATTGCTCAAGCCGGTACCACATCGCCGACCTCTCGTGCTGCTCGGTCTCTTGGACCAGTCTGACGAGCAGTTCCTGCGACTTGTTTGCTTTCCCGCCGTCATTGTCTGCTGCAAGATTTTGAGCCAAAGCCAAGCGCTTCCTTTTCTCGCGCCTGGCCTCCCACGCGTTTCGATTCGGTGGCGGATCGTCGTCCTCGCCGGTAAGGTCAATGATCGGTATATCCTTCTTTAGGGCGGTCGGCACAGCGCTCTGAGGTTTCTGCGCGGATACGGGTTCGGCCTTGACCTTTGCGGAGTCGGAATCAGAGGCGGGATCTGGTACGGCCCTGCGCTTTCCTTTGGCCAGCGTCGTGGTGCCTTCCTGTATCTCGCCCTCTTCAACGCTATCCTCGTCGCCCATCCCACCCATGTGTGCGTCTGCGTCATCTTCAACCACCTGTCCTTCCTCCTCGTCACTAAACAGCCGAACCGGTCTCGCCCGCCTGGCTGGTCGGGATGGGAAGTCGGAATCTGATCCTTCCGAGTCGAGTATCTCGTCCTCGGCCGCCTTTCGCGCCAGATGTTCTAGAACCTCAGTCTCGCCCTCGACTTCGACCGCGACGCCATTGACTATATCCTTCACGGTGTCATCAACAATAAAGCCGTCGAGGCCTTCGTCGTCGTCACTGTCGCAGGCGTCAGTGGTGCTTCCTAGGCTTTCGCCGTCTTCGTCGTCAGCATCGTCGTCGCCATCAGCCATCTCGACATCGCCGTCCCGAGCGTCTCGAGCAACGGCCTTTGTTCTCGTAGCCGTCGTCTCCGGCCTCGGCGGCGTCTTCTTCCTCTCCATCAACCCCACGATCCACCTATTAAGCTCCCGCTCCGCGATACTAGGCTCCATAACCTTCACCTGCTTCTTCACAAGCGCCTTCTGCGTCCACCCCACGCCCACAATCTCCGCCTTCATCTTCTCCAGCCGCTCCGTCAGCTCCTTGACATACCCCCTCGCATCCCTCGCCGTCCTCGTCCTCTCCCGCTTCTTCTTGGCCCACCGGTAGATCTGCCACGCCCTCGCCTCCCTCCTTGGTAGCTCGCGCTTGCGCCAGCTATTGATCACAACCTGCTCGCCCTCGTTGAGCACCTCCAATATCTCCTCCGCGCTCAGCGCAACCTGGTTGCTCCGCCCCAGCGGCCGGCCCAGCGGCGCGCCGCCGTTCTCGGCCGTTAGCTCCTCCCACGTCTCGAGCGAGTACTCGCCCTCGGAGCCCGAGTCGCCCAGCGTCGGTAGCTCGGTGTCATTATCGACACCCTGCCATTTGAGCAGGTAGTCCCAGTCACCCGCTCCAGCACCCGCTCCAGCACCATCTTCAGCGGCGGCAGCAGCAAACACATCCTTATCCTTCTTCTTCTTATCCGCAGCAGCGAAGCGGACCATCTGCACATCCGACGTAGGCTGCGACTCCTGCGGCGCCTCGTCCCACGGCAGGCTCACAGTCTCGGTGTTCTCCTTTGTGACGCTGCAGGAGCCGTCGGGCAGCGCGGTGAAGACGGTGACAGACTGGTGGTGGTGCTTCAGCACCAGTGAGGGGCGGTAGGGCTTGACGCCGTGGCGGACGTGGCCGTTGTGGGTTGTTTCGGAGGTCTCGGCGCTGCGTAGGAGGTAGCGGATTTGGCGCTCGATGTAGCGTTGGTGGCCGTGTGGGGTGGGTTTGTGGACTGTGGGGGTGTGTGTTAGTGTGTGTGTATGGAGGTTTGGTGTGCATGTGGTGGGGTTTGGAGGGTGGGTTTGCTCTTTGTATGAGAGGGGTAGGTTTGGGGGATGGGGGGTGGTAGCAAGATGGACTGTTTTCTTGGGAAGAAGTAAAGGAAGGAAGAAAGGAAGGAACTCTAGCTGCCAGATATACAACTCCTCTGTCCAAGAAAAGGGGGGGGGGGGGGGGCAAATAGGACAGATCAAACAAAATGGACAATAAACATTGTCCAAAACCAAAACCAAAACCAAAAAAGGGCAAAATCTCCAAACCCCCCAAAATCCAAAAACCTCAAAAACCAAACCCCCCTCCCCCCCAAAGAAGAAGCACAATCAAAAGGCAGAAAGAAAGAAAGAAAGAAGCACTTACCAATAACAAAATTCCCATCCTCCTCCTCCTCCACCGGCATGTCCTCGCCAACACCCACATCCCCATAAATCAGCTTATCCACGGGCGTCCCTCTCGGCGGCAAATACCTGTTTCTCCCCACCTTCCCTTTCCCTCTCTTCCTCTCCTTCTCCTTCTCCACCTTATGCCGTCCGCTGTCCTTCGCGATTGTGTCCTCCTTCTCACCTACTACCGGGAGCACCTCCTCCTCATCGTGGTGGTCACCATCGTCGCCGACGGGGCGTTTCCGCTTATTCGACGTCTCCGGCCCAACTGCTACAGCCGTAGCGGTAGTAGGAGGTGGTGTAGGCATAGGTGTAGGCGTGGCATCATACAGCTGCGACACGGGCGTGTCGGCCCTCCCCCCGGCAGCCTCCATGCTAGCATCCGACTCGTCCTCGCCGAGCATGTAGGGGCGCTCCTCGTCCTCGCTGTTGTGGTGGTACTCAATGGCCAGCCTCCTCCCGCGGTGGGCGGCGCCGATGGGGATGGTCTCGATGGCGCCGGTGTCCTTGTTGCGGACGATGCGGACGGCGGTGTGGGTGGCCAGGAGGGCGGCGGCGTCGGCGACGAAGATGGGGTTGTCGGCTGCGGTGGCGAGGAGGTGGAAGGGGTCTGAAGGTGGTGGTGGGGGTGGTGGGGGGAGTGGGGGGAGAGGGGGGGGAGGGCGAGGGGGAGGGAGTGGGGTTGGGAGTGCTGGGAGGGGGGTGGGGAGGATGGTGGTGGTGAGGGGGTGGGCGATGGTGACGTCGGGAAGCGCGTTAGTGTTAGTGCTGCGTCGGGGGTTCGGCGGCGGCCGCGGCGACGGTGGTGCTGTTGCGGTTGTGGTGGTGGTGGAGGGGAGGGTGCTCTGAGTGGGAGAATCTCGGGGTGTGTTTGTACTAGTGCCTGTCCGGGCTCGGGGGTGGAGGTAAGAGAGGCAGCATACTTGGGGCTGCGTTTGCGCAGGGCGTCGATGGCGTGGAGGACGCGGCCGCGGTGGCCCATGGACGAGAGGTGCAGGTCGGACCTGAGGCGGTCGTAGGTGACGATTGTGAGGAGTGTTTCGCCGTCGACATCGTTTGAGATGAGGGTGGCGGTGAAGGGGACGTGGGTGGAGGCGGGGAGGAGGGGGAGGAGGTGCGTGCTGACTTGGTAGGGGTTCCAGTCGTAGGGGTCCGCTGGGAGGGCGGTGGTGGGGGGGAGGGGTCGAGGTCCATTGTGGGTGGATGGGGGTGTTTGTGGTGGTTAGAGGGGTGGGTGGTGGGGCATAGGTGTGGGGTGGTGTGGTGTGGTGGTGTTGGAGGGTGTGAGTGTGAGTGAGTGTTGAGATGAGGTTGATGCGATGATGTTGTGGTTGTGATGGTGATGGTGATGATGGTGGGGAAAGAAGAAAAGGTGGAGCAGTGGAGCGTGAGTGTGAGTGTGAGTGTGAATGTGGAGTGGACAAAAAGCTTGTCAGGATTCGCGTCTGCCCTTTCTGCCTGTGGCCCGTCCCGCAATCGCTTGCCTGCTTGCCTGCTTGCCTGCTTGCCTGCTTGCCTGCCTGACTGCTCGCTCGCTAGTCAAAGTGCAAACCTTCTTCTCCTCTGCAACGGCGTGTTTGCACATTCAATGGCTGGCTGGCTGGCTGGCTTTCTACTCTTTCCCCTCGTGTGTTGTGTAACGCGGTTGCTAGCTAGAGTAGCGTGTGTGGGGTCAATTCGTTGCTTCCTTGGCGCTAACCCTTTACCATGCAGGGTTTGTCTTGTCTGTCTGGGAGAGCGCGCGTTTGCCCTGAAGGGTGGGAATTGAGGTTTTGATTTTTGGGAACGGGGAGAGGTGACGTCACGGGAGGGACCCTGGGATTGGAGGATGGAGAGGGCTGCGGTTGCGGTTGCGGTTGCGCCTGCCCCTGGAGCTAGAGGGAGGGGGATTGGGGTGCTATGCTGGATGGGGCTACGGTGCACGTGGGGAGTTGGGATGAGGTACTGGGGGTGGAGTGGGAATGCATTGGGGTTTATCATTGCCATGTGGTAGTTGATGGTAGAGCAGCACATAGTAGTAAAGTAACTTAAGAGCTTGCTATCTACTCAATTGAAATTGCAATTGGGAAACTTGATCATCAAATTTGTATGTAGCTAGTAGGCCCACCGTCCACTCAGCACCTCCCTACCTAACTGCACCAAGACTCGTTCCCCGGACCTTGGCTCCGCCGTACGCTACTCTACCCAGTCCGACTCGAGTGTTAGTTTGCACTAGCCTTAACTTGACTGCTAGTAGAGTATGTAGTCTAGAGACAATGCCTAAAGGGCAGGGAGCTCTCTGAAGTTTGGGTCGTTGTCGTGGTGGTGGTGGTGCTGGTGCTGGTGCTGGTGGGTCGTGCAGAGCACAGAATGTTTTACCTTACGCAAACTCCCGTAATCAAGAGGAGAATAGTTCCAGCGCCAGGTACTACATAGAAGGGGAGGAGAAAGGAGGGAGTGCGCTGGTGGGGTCTGACCTTTTTCACTTTGACTTGGACTTTGACTTGTACTTTGACTTGCACTCTGGCTTTGGACTTCGACTTGGACTTCGACTTTGGCTTTGGCTTCATCTTCATCCCTATTATATTGTTTACTTGTTCTCTACGTTTATCGATTCGGCCGACGTATACCAGCAGTCAGATTGTTACCAGCAGCTTCCGGATCTCCAGTACTGTCGGATACACTAACACCGTTACAATCAGCTCAATCTCAATTAATTAATTAGGCAGTAGTAGGACACATCTATATAGGCTCGATCGGACGGAATCTTCCCCTTCTCGAAAAACACACACACACACACACACACGCACGCCCCAGTTCGTCCCGTCTTTAAATCTCGATCGCTCCCCCTCCCTGGCTATCTCGTGTGTTTGGCCGTTTTAATTTTTTTTTTTTGCAGATCTGCAGCTGTTGGATTCAGAGGAAAAAGAAACGGCCCGTCGCCCGCGGACTTGCCTTGCCTTACCTGCCTTTGGGGGAAGAGGCTTGATTATAACATTATCTACCAGCTATATTCGCTACTATTGCTTGCTATATTGCAATTGCTTGATATCACTCCTTCCCTGCCTGCCTGCCTGCCTGCTTGCTTGCTTTCTGCATCCTGCCTACTACCCGTCTCTCCGTCGCGTCTCCCACCAACCACTCACTCGCCCTCGCTTCCTTCCTTGCCAAGCCCCGGCCTCCCCCCCAAACACCCACCACCCACCCCTTCACACGCCATCACCACCACCCCCCCCCCCCTAACCGCAACCACGGCCTCCCCATCGCCCGCCCGCCGTCATCCACCGGCCCCCTACGCCCACCCGCGCCGCCACAGCCAGCAGCAGTACCAACAACACCGAACACTGCACCTCACCCGCCCGCCGTCCATCTACACCACCGCCACCACCGCCCGACGAGCCCCACCACCACCGCCGCCGCACCCCGCCACCGCCCCAAGCACTGCCTTCTCCTCGTCGTCCGAGGAGCTCCTCGAAGCTGCCTCCTCGCCCACAACAACAACACGGACAGCAACAACCGCCGCAACCACAATCTCGGCCGACACCCGCAGCGCCTACTCCATCACCGTCCTCCCCCTCCAAGGCCCGCGCCTCACAACCACCCACATCCGCCGCTGCAGCAGCACAAGCACAAGCACCAGCACGCCCATGAGCTCCCGCCACACCACCACCACAACCACACAGCACCCCCCGCACCCCGGCTCCTACCTCTCCACAACACCCTCCTCCACAACCCGCTCAAACACCCCCATCAAGCTCCCCCTCCAAATGACTGCCCCCACCGCCGCCCCCACCACCACCTCCACCCCCACCCCCCGCTCCTGGCTCGGCGACCCCGACGACGTCCCCCTCGACGACCTCCGCACCCCCAAGCACCACCACCGCGCCCAAGTCCTCGTCCCGCAACAAGCCTCGCAAGTCACCATCTCCACCCCCGGCCTCCCCCCCCCCAACGCCACCACCCTCCCCGCCGTCGGCGACGAAGAGTCGCGCCCCGGCTCGCGCGACAGCGAATGGAACAGCACGCACCCGTGCTACCCGCACCGCAACCCGTACGTGCCGCTCGACAGCGCGCTCTACCGCACCACGCGCATCATCCGCATCAGCCGCGACTTCATGGTGTACGGCGATCTCGCGCCGGCGTATTCAAACGTGTTCCCGGACATCCTGGAGCCGCACGTGACGGAGGAGCAGTTCCGGGTTGTGGTGGCGCGGGTGAATGAGGAGATGCGCAGGGCGTTTGATCCGTGGAGCGTGTGGAACTGGGTGGATGCGCTGGTGGGGCTGGCGACGCTGTGGCTGTGGGAGGAGGTGGTGGATAGTCATTGCAAGCGCGTGTTGCGGGGGTGGAGGCGTATTTGGAGGGGTGGAATAGGGAGCTGGAGAGGTTGGGGCAGAGGGCGGTGTTTATACCGTTGAGGAGGACGGGGTATATGAATGTGCGTATTCCCCTCTAACCCCCACCTCTTCCCAATTGTGGTCGAGCAGGAGACTAATGGTGGTGCGGTGTGTGCGTGTAGCTCGATATCCAGATCCCCGACCCCATCCCCGACCCCGCCGCCACAGACGAGGACGACACAGAGTCGAAGTTTGTCGACGAGGACGCATCGGAGACGGGCAGCACCATCGGCCCGCTCGGCAGCGAGGCCGGCCACCACAGCCTCCGCATGAACAGCATGAACGGCCGCGGCGGCGGCCGCATGGGCAGTCTGGGCAGTGGCGACTACTCGAATGATGCTGGTAGCTATGGCCGATGATGATGATATGTGCGGATGAGGGAATGTATTTTGGGTGCCTTTTTTTTTTGAGAGAGAGATAAAAATAGTAGTGTGATGGATGGATGGATGGGTGTTGATGTTTTTTTTTTTTTTTTTTTGGCTTCTTTTATTTTATTTAGAATTGTAGCGCTGTTTTTTTTTTTTTTTTTTTTGATGTGGTGGTGGTGAGGGGGGGGGGGGGGGGGGATGTATGCCTGCTTGGGTTTGCTGGGCTTTCCGCTGGGGGGTTTTTTTTATTATATATATATCTGGATATGTCTTTCTGCATGTCTTTCTTTCTGTTTTATCTTTTCTTGCTCTCTTCTGTTCTATTCTGTTCGGGTCCTGTGCTGCGCGCGTGGGACGGAAATAGGTGTTTCTGCTTTTACTTGCATCTTTTCTTCTATTTCTTACTTTCTATCCTTTTTTTCTTCTTCTCTAACAACTTTACCTTTACTTTACTTTACTTACTGCATGCATCATATCATATCCAGTCGTTATACCGCCATATATTAGTTAGTGTCTTTTGTAACTACCCTTCTCTTCTTCTTTTCTTCTTCTTCTTCTTCTTCTTGTTCTTCTTCTACCATCATATCCTGGCGAGTGTGTGCTTCTTTCCCTTCTTCCTTGGGGAGGGAGGGGATAACTTCTTATATATCCCTTTGTTTTTTTCGAATTTGCTGCATGTCCGTTATTTAGTTTGCCCTATCCTATGCATGATTTTTTTTTCTTTTCTTTTTAGTTTGTTTTTGTCTGTTTGTTAGTAACTGCATTTAGTCGATCGTATGAAGTCGAAGCCTCAGTCGAAGCCTCAGAGGAAAAATGCGGGGGCGGGGGGGGGGGGGGGGGGACGGGAAGAGGGAAGAGCAGATCGAGGGGGGGGAGATGTGATGTGCATGTGTCAAGTGTCAAGTGGCCATATATGATATGGGATGTCCGATGTCGATATCTGAAAAGGGTTCAATTTTATATTTTGCATTTAGCTATAGAGCTTGGGTTTTGCTGTGTTGTGTTGTGTGAGTTGTGAGTTGTGAGTTGTGTGTTGTGTGAGAGTTGTGTGGGAGTGGTCATGAGGTGTCACTCGTGCTCAACTCAAATTCTAGTCCTGCAGCTGCGGGTGCTATTGTTCGGGATGCACCACACCACTCCTGGCTAGCAGCCAGTACGGTCAGTAGAACACCCGCCGTAGCTCGTGCCTCGTAGCTTAGCCCCCCCCCCCCCCCCCAATACCGCACACCCATTTCCAACCCGTAACCCCACCACCCCATAGCCAGAACCCCACCTAACTACATGATCTTTACTAGTAATACCTAAGTACACCCCCACCACAGACATAGTTGCCGCTATCAGACGCGGATCCGTCTGTTTTAATGGGTATTTCGGTGGCGAGTGATATTTCATGAACCAACCCATCTGGCTGATTTGAGGGGGAGTGGCCATTCGAACTACAGATGGGCACGCAACCCTCTTTGATCCCCACACCCCCTCTCCTTCCCCCCCATCCCCACATGAACATACCACCCCCCAAGAAAAATTGTCAGCTAGTTTCGTCCGGCCTACTCGAGTGTTTTACTTTTAGGTTGGGGAGAGGTATTTTTATGCCATAGTCTATGACTGCATGCACAATTTTGCGCCTAGAATTAAAAATTATATGATTTTTTTTTTTTTTTTTTAAAAAAAAAAAAGAAGGACAGTGCACTTGAGAGGATGAAGGATGGTAAAGATGGATTCTGCGTTAGTTACATAGTATTATTTCAAATCTTTCCCAGCTCTGAGGTTATGTCACATGACGAAAAGTTTCGACGCTTTGGCGGGGCTTCTGGGTGGGCCATTGTCTCGATTTTCAATACTTAATTTAAAGGATACAGCACGAGGGGGTACGTACTTTCCCAATCTCCGTCTCACCCGGACCTAGATACGCTTTCCCAGACCTAACGTTGATGAAGATAGGGGGAGAGTAGGGAGAAAGGGCAGTGTGTACACGGAGTTAGTAGGCTTGGGGGAAGGGTTCGTAAACGAAGGAGCTGAAGTGTGGTGAGTGGCGTTGACCACATGTAGTTTTGCTGCCGATACACAGATTTTACCTCTTCTCAGAAAGTGAATTGGTGTTGGTGTTTCATGTAGTCCGGGCAGAGGGAGGGCACGTACGCTGGCTAAGTGCGCGAAGCCGTTCTCTTGGCACGCGAGTGATATTCTGTGGTGCAAATAAGGTTTGCCTTGGACAACGTCCTTGGCAGAAACCTTAACTAGACCACCATTGACATCCCAACTGATCAACTTCGCTCCCCTCTACATTTCATTGCTATTCATGTTCATCATCAGACATTGACACTTCCACCTTCCGAGCTTGATAGATTTGCCATGTCCTACGCACACATGGAAACTACGCCTAAATTACAGCTTCGGTGTATATGCACCCATGTCTAGGTATACGAGGGCTCATCGCGAAGCAAGCATGGCATTCTTCCACAACTTACCAACAAATATTCTTCACAACAGCAATTTCTTTTGAGAAGGATACGCATCCTGGATCCGGGGGTCATCTAACTAACAAGTCTTGTATTAGTCAGTCATACAGCTCACTAGCACACATCACAGACAGCTATTGTGGCACCGGCAAACTGGTGGAGCAGGGCGGCATGCGTTTGCTCTTCCTGTACAACATCGTGGACTTCGGTTTCCCCGGGTACTTTCCAGGATAGCGTCTAACGGAGAGGAGGAAAATCACATCTTTACTTTCTTTACTTTGCAGGTGCCGCAGATGCGATAAGGACATATCAAGTACCAAACCATTGTGTGAAGTCTACTTATTGTGTGCTGCACGTTGAGCCTTTTGAGGAATCCTCTAAAAGAGTGGATAACGGTCTCCTCTCCGGGAAGGAAAAATGAAGACAATATGCAGGTCAAGAATGTCACTTCTCGTATACCGGCCCAGCCGCTTCAAATGAGGTTATTCTGAGGTCAAGCTGTTATGCAAAAGAACAGATCCGGAAGATGCGCTAGATCAAACACTACAGTTCAGCAAAGGGGCAGAAAAAAGAACTAGTTTGGGACAGACATAGGATTCTATTCTCACAATTTTTCCCCTCATGGAAGTCACAACCGGGTCATATAGCTTCATGCATCGGATAAACTATAGACTGGATTTAGCGACTAAAATTTTTCTTACCAAGAGCAAAGGTTGCTTCGTAAATAGAGAGGCTGGAGAATGCAGCTTAGCGATACCTTCGACCCCTGGGCTATTCGCGAGTTGAATATTGACATTCTACTCATGTCCTATACCTCTACTTACATATGAAAGTAGAGGAGATTAGAGGTGTCCCGTACCAAGACTGTACTCGAAATGTTACATTCTTATGTCATACGAGCGCACTTCAGGAACTAGTTCTATCTCCCACTAAGTATTCCATTTAAAATATCAGAAACTTAAAATACTTCAGGCTTCAGAGGGATAACATCACCAGACAAAAACACCCCCAATAACTAAATTTATAGACAAAAAACAAAAACAAGACTATATACACGCAGCCCATTCATCATCTACTTTGCACAGCAACCCTTCTGCTCAAAGGCTAACTGACTAACCCCATCTCCCGTGACGGCGCCCGCTTTCCCCGCCGCCACCTGACTCGGCACCGACACGTAACTGGGCGGCACATCCAGTGCAGGATTCCTCAAAAAGAAGTGACGCGGCCTCAGCAGCAAGCTCATCGGCTCAGCGGGCATGACTGGGAAGTCCTCTGGGGCCGGAAAGTGTATGAGGCCGAACGTGTGCCAGACGACAATGTCCTCATTATCAATACTGGCCGTGCCATCACCAACCCACTCTGGTAGGCCCATTGGGGGCTCTCCTGAGGTCTGTGGGACGTGGCGGCCGGCAGGGTGTATTTGGTCATCGGCGTCTAGTAGTCAGTGTCAGATGGAGATTTTATACTAACAGGGAGTAAGGGTGGGTGGGCATACATTTAGTGACATGTATGGTATGTCTTGCGAACCCAGCGCGCTTCCAAACTAATCCGCCTTCCTTCACTAGTAATGGTGGAGTCTCCCTCGAGACAAGTTTGTAACTCGGGAACTTCCCCGAATACGGGTGTGTCTTGTTAGTATTGCAGATATCCCACGTCCGCGATGTACTGGCGTCGTAATCCGAAAGCGACTCGCCCACAGTGGAGTACTTTGTCTTTTTCGCATAAAAAGCATTTCCATACTTGTTCTCGGCGCTGCCCACCTCGTCCTCGCCCCTGGTTGCATCAACCTGGAACACCGTGTTCTTGTGCCCATCAATCATGGGATCAATTCTGAGGCAGAACAAGTGCTCATGGTTATGCGCATTTACGCCTGGATGCACCTGGGTGCCCCAGCCTTTAGTATCCTCATCGGGCGCCATGGAGTAGGTGTTGAGGACGCCCGTGAGTTTGATCTCGAGCTGGATGGTGCCGTCTTGGTGTAGGTTCCAGTAAACGCAGTACTCGTAGTTCGCGGCGGTGAATATGTGCGAGATGACGAGCTTGCGGCCGCGAGTGACAATCACCGAGTTGTCGCGGAAGTCGGTGTGCTTGAAGAGGATGCCCGAGTCTTCTTCATGGATGCAGATGGCGTTGGGGATTGTGGTGGGGATGCCGGCGGCGGTGATGAAGGATGCGTCCATGTAGTGGATCACTCCTTTGCAGTCGCATCCAAGGCTGGGAGGTCATATATTTAGCCATACACATATATTGAAAGATAGGGCCGACCAGGGAAAGAAGTTATTACCTGAGTGAGTTGGTCATATACCCGCCGCCATACTCTCCCAGATCAAATGCATGTTTTCTATGATGCGGATAATCTGGGCTCCCATACGGGACTACCATCTCCGCCAATGATAGTCTCCAAAACAGCGGCCTAACGACTCCACCATCATCATATGTCACATTATTGAGCACAATCCCTTCCTTGTGACTGAAGCCCACATGGAGCTTAAACTTCTGCCACTCAATGACCCGCCCCTGCACCGTGAACGACACTCCATCAGGCTGCGTGATATTGATCGGCTTCACATCGGTCCTGTAGGCGGCGGGGTCGAGGTTATAGTTGCTGGGAATGGTGTTGACGGGCCGCCGCACGGCGGGGATGTCGATATCGACTATTTCGCCTGTGGTTGTGTTGACGATTGGACAAAAGTCGAGTGGGAAGGCGTATTGCATGTCATCGAGATTGGGACGGTAGTAGAGGATCGCTTGCTGAAGGCGAATGCTGTTGCCGAAACGCTCGTCGTAACCAATTGTCCATGCTTTACATTGGTTCAGTTAGACATGAGTAATATCGTAAGCTACGCGGGGGGGTATAAGCTTACGATCACAGTAGACCTTGTGCATGTCCTTCTCTGGAATTCCCAGGATTTCGCATTGCTCAATCACCCTGCGATTAGTCCTAATAATCTTCTCAGTCCCTTGCAAGTCCTCTACCGTGAGCTACACATCCGCCCCACATTATCAGTCATCTTACTCAATTCCTCACTTCAAATACAGAGTATCACTCACCATCGGCTGCACTCCCGTCAGCTTCTCCCATGTCTTGATCACCCCATTCGTTAGGTCCACAATCCCATCACACAAATACCCATGCCCCACCACTACGACCTCCGCCTCCCTTAGCGGCCTCGGCGCTACTTCGGGGGCCTCAAGCCATGCCAACATCTCTGCCTTCTTCGGCTCCGAGAGACACACCGTGTTGTAGCGGAGTTTGGGGCCATGGGTTTCCGACACAATTGACACCGCGTACTCGATCTCGAGCTCGGAGAGCGGGTCGAGAGGGTGGGGCTGCGGTGTGTCGGGCTTGAAGAGGCAGTCGCGGATCTGCTGGAGTCGTTCGAGCATTGTTGCGGTTTGTGGATTAATTGGTCAATTAATTGATGGGAGAAGAAAGGAGATGGGGAGGAGGTGTAATTTGGGTAGATATATATATATATATATCTGCGGGGTCGGGGAGCTGTCTATGTAACTAAAATGCGTCGGTACCGTGTTTGTCGTATTGTGTGCGGGTAAGCTGACTGCATCTACCAATGATCGTTTGTAAACTTTATTGTATATATGATTGGCGATAAGCCCCATAGCGGGGGGATGCCGGGGACCGATAACATTATGCAGTTATCGATATCGCACCTCTTATCGCAGCGGCGGGATCCTAGTGGGCTACAGCTTAACTTACCGTTACATGGAGAAGTGGGCATTTTTACAAGTAGATGTTTGTAATAAAATAAATAGTAAATACATATCGGGATTCCAAGGAACGCTACGAGCTCGCTAGTCGGGAGTGGGGATAATATACCATACTCAAGAGAGGCATTCGTACTCAAGTTTGCCCCGTTGTAGGTTGGTGCTAGTGGCAGCAGGGGTTGGTGATTGGGTTTCGATCATGGTTGCCCTCTTCTAGAAGGTTGGACGAGAGAGAGAGGATCATAGATGGTCACTCGAAGGCCTGGCACTGGTGGTGTGCTGTTTAATTTGGCGTTTCCCCAATGGGCTGATGTTGTGTTCCGTCTTAAGTTGAGTAGCTGCTGTGTTTACTATTCCTACCATACCTACTCTACTCTACCTAATATTTACTAGTAGCTACATGTAGCCCAAAGTACCCTACTGTTTTCTAATAAACCTGCCCGCGTAAGCCCATCCTGGCCAATCGCTGCGATGCGCATCGTGCCAAGCGAGACTACTATTATCATTGACCTCTTTTGTTTTGTGAGCGTTAATAGATCTCAAATAGTAACAATTATCCTCCATAATCGGTATCTAAAACAACTGATACAGCGAGAGGGAAAATTATTGTAGAAACAGGGGTCTAAAAACAGGGTTTCTATGGCTGGGCAAGCCAATAGGACTCTTCCCATACTTCTACCTCACGCTGTACTACTGGGTACTCAATTGGTGGAAAGAAACCCCGCGTTTTTTCTAGAACTGCATGTATGCATGAATATGGGTGGTTGGCTGATACTCTAGGTAGCTATCGACGGCTGGCTGCCTGAATCTGTAGATCGTCAGCCTTGTTTTGTTGCTGCCCATACATAACAGCGGGGAGAGAAGGAGGGAATGGGAGACTCCAAAGAGTTGAGTTTATCTCTTTCATCACCATCATCCCACCCCAACCCTTCTCCTATCCTAATATTAAACCAAATCTTTTCCCCAAAAATAAAAAATAATAAACAGAAAACAAAAATACCAAAAAAAAAAAAAAGCAGAAACCTACCAACCATGTCGTCCCCCAACGGCGCCCCACTAATCGACATGCCCAAGCTTACAACCACAAATTATAGCACCTGGGCACCGCTCATGAAGAATCTCCTCAAAATAAACCTAATCTGGGGACTCGTCCAAGGGCGCGAAGGTGCCCCCTCCCTCAGCAGCGGTAGCAGCCGACAAGAAATCGAGCACTTCCATGTGCGGCAGGACCTAGCCACCTCACAGATCTTCCTCAACTGCGACAGCGAGGTGCAAGCCAAGATCGCCGATATCGATGACCCGGCGGAGCTGTGGCGGTTGCTCAAGGATATGAGCGAGAAGGCGACTATGGTGGATGAGTATTGGTTGCGCAAAAGACTGTACTCCGTTGAGCTGGGTGAGTGCGGGTCTGTGGCGGCGTATGTGGGCTTGATACAGGACACGATCAATCTGATTGGTGCTTGCAACCCTGACGAACCCATTGGGCCTGCGCAGCACTGTTTTGTACTATGTGATGGGCTATCCGAGGAGTGGTTGCCATTTATTGGGGAGCTACATCGTGCGGGAAAGACGAGCAGGAAGCCGGAGGAGTTGATCAAGTTGTTTTTGGAACATGAGGTGCAGCTGAACCGGGAGAAAGAGGAGAAGGAGAAGGAGGAGAAGGAGAAGGAGCGGAAACGAACTGAGGCGGTTCCAGTGCCGCCAGAGCCGGAAAGGGTACGAGAGAGCCCGCCGGTACGGGAGAGTCCACCGGTACGAGAAAGTCCATCAGCACTATCACTATCACTGGTGACAGTAGGAGGTAGTGGAGGGGGAGGAGGAGGAGGAGGGCAGGAAGCGCCTGAGGTCGCTCGAAACATTCTGGTCCGCTCCCGCCACCGCTTCTTCAATATCCGCGATACAAAAGTCAACTTCTACTACACTCACCACTTCAGTTTGATCCACTATCACGCCTGCTATTCCGTCCCGGCGTTCTCCGTCATAACAGACCACATTCACGTGCTATATCCAGAACTATGCCGCCAGATATACGCCAACGACCGGCGGGACAGGACCATCTCTGGGAACGAGCAAGTGGGCGATGTAGCAATATACATTAAGCCCTCCACCGGCGAACATGAGGAGGAGGGTGCTGCCAATTGTGGTGGTGGTGGTGGTGGTGGTGGCACTGCTAACTCCGGTAGTAGTATACGTAGTAGTGCTGCTTCTGTTCGTTGTGGTGGTGCTGCTGATCCTGGTTCTGAGGAGGGCTCCCCATCACCGGCAAGTGAGACCGTGGTTGAGAAGAAGAAGTTCCTGGATTGGATCTTCGAAACGCCAGATTGGAGGCAGTTGTTGTTGGACAACTTCTGGGAGTTCCCCGGAGGGAACGGAGGGCCGACATATACATTGGAGGTCGAGTATGAAGAGAGTAAGTATTCCTTTCTTCAATTTTGGAAATGGATTAAACTAACGCCAGTACAGATCATCGCGTTTCGATCTACTTCGACCACGAAAGAGAGTTTGAGTCATTGGGCGTCACTCTGGAGATGTTCTTCCCACCAGAGGGGGATATGGAGTTTTGATAAATGTAACTACATGTAGTTATTACTGCTTTGAGATTGTCTTTCCTTTTTTTTTTGTTTATTCAGCAGTTATTTTCTTTGGTTGGTTTGGTGTATTCGCTCGTTGCTTTCTTTCTTTTGTCCGGTTGGTTTCTGCGTAGCTATTTTCGTTAGCTGGCATCTCATAATACTACACCTTCTCTTCGGTACTATCTATAGTCCGTAAGCAGGACCTGGCCCTGGCCCTACCTCGACCCTTAGCTACTGACTGTCTTCTATCTCGAAGCATATAGAGAACTCATATCATTGTAGTTGACCGAGTCTCAGTTAATTCACTATCCCTGCACTCACAAGACTTATTGGCTGTATATGTTCATGCTTCGGTACCTTACATATATTGCTACACGAGGATTTGAGTAGTCAGTATACGTGTGGTGCGGGGGTATGGTATATCTTGGAGTGCGGGTGTGTGTCTTCTTCCTGCGCGCTTCCCTCTCTTGGGTGACATGCGTTGAAGTTTATTCTTGGAAAGTCTGTAACTGCCTTGACTGATATCGACGATGATAGGAGATAGTGCTCAAGAGTCAAGGTCATTCCTGTCTTAATGAAATACATTAATTCGTAGCATACGTACTTATGCGAGACTTGACTACATGTAAGCCACCTGTGGATAGGAAGTCTACATTTACCATCTCCCCCAGCAGGAAATCCTTCAAGCCCCGTTAGTATAGTGGTCTATGCACCTGATTTAGGAAACTTATGACGACAGCAGGATAGAGGTTTCGGTCAATTCCCTCACGGAGCCAATTTCGAATTTTTTTTATTTCTACCCCGATTTTGTCTTGGAATAGAAAAGTAAAGAGTGAACCGGACGGAGCCATCTGGCATTGTTTTCTGTGACTATATCAATGTTGAGGGCGGGGGGAGTCAAGGCGGTCTCGGCCTCGAGACCTTGGTCCTGTCTTGTCGCGCCCGCCACACCGTGCCTGCATGTAGTGACAGTGAGCCACCTAATAGTATGTCAGCTAGCTACTTGTAACCCGTTCTATCTACGTGCATTCTACTACTCGTAGGCTATATATACATGTAGCTATATGTAGGGGCAGGCATGCAAGAGCTTCGACTAGCTGATATAGAAATACATTACATACAAACTCTACTAACAGCCCCCCGCAACTAGCAACTAGAAACTAGCCCTACTTGAACGTCCCGACACTCCGCCCTAATTCGTGACAGTATAGTAGTGGCCTAATTTCTCTCGATCCCCCCATGACCAAAAAGCCAAGATCATAGAAGACCACGAGTCACAAGTCTACGTATCCTCCGGATCCCACCTCAATCACAACCTATCACTCGCGCCCACAACCCGCTTCTCCAGCAATTGATTGGTAATTGATTTATTCTGAGCAGATGTTTTTAAAACCGTCATATTCCACTAGCTAACCCACAACCATCTAAGTAGGTTATGTACATACACGTACACACTCACCAACCCACATCCACGCAGGTGGGGGACATCATAAAGAGCGTAAGAAAAGAAAGAAAAAAAAGAGAAAGGCTAGTCATTATCTCGCAACATTACTAAGCGTTGAGAAACAACAAAAAAACAATCGTAGAGAGCGTAAGAAAAGAATAACACAACACAGCACAGCACAAAACAGTAGTATGGTGCTTGCCGCCGTTGACCAAAACAGTGATCACCGGCCCCCACATAATGTTGGGCTGGGGAGTTAAGTAATCAACTACTCTAACTAAACCCCAGCCAAACAAGCAGACAAGACAACCAAACAAAGTAATCAACTATCCAGTCAACGTACCGCCAAAACTCGAAAAATTGGCTATCTCCGGCCAGGGATTATCACTCGAGTGATTGGTTGAATGGCATCGATCTGCATCAGAAGTTTCCCATACAAGTAATTTTGATCTCTGGAAGCTAGCCAATTTTGCGAGTTATGGCGGTACTCAACTGCGACCATCCAACCACCTAGAGTAGCCAACGATCAACCAGCCAAGCCAAGCCAGCCAAACCAACCACCACCGCCAAGCACAATCCTCAACCTCACCTCACTATCAACCCTCACCATCAACGTCAGCCAGAGAAGGAAAGAAGAAAAAAAAATCAAAAAATCAAATCTATCATATTCCACTATAAATTTACAGATATGTCTGCAAAATAAAGACATGAAAAAAACAAAACACAATCACCTCATCATCAAATCCAGATCTAAGCAGATGGAAGTATATGTAAGAGGACATAAATGGGGTAGGGGAAAGGGGATTGGGGGTATATCGTATCATAAACAACGTACAGTTAAAAGGAGCGTGACGAAAGTAATTCCCGATGAAGTAGGATAGATGCAAGTGGGAGGGGGAAGGCGGAAAGAAGAAGAAGATCTTAAGAAAGGAAGCATAACACAGTACATGTACTCTACATAATGGTCCTCATCATCAATCAACGTCCCAACCAACCAACCAACCCACATGATAGCAAAAAAATATAGTAAAAGAGCAAGGAAATCAAATATAAAAAAACACCCAAATGACAGAAAGAAAAGAAACAAATTGCAACCCATATGATCGTGCAACAGCAAGAAAAAAATCCACCACCCTGTTTTTTGTTCAGTCCTTAGATGGGTTGACCCATCGTCCCCCCATCTCCCCCCATCTCTCCCCCATTCGCCAGCCAAGCTATGTAGGCTTCCTATACAATCGAGCCCGCGCTCCCTCTCTCTTCCATAACCAGCACTCACGCCACCAATTTGTTATACTCCCGTAGCCAAGGGAAAATTAATGGAAAAGAAGAAGCACAAAAAAGTACACCACACAACACCATACCCATTTAATAGTAGCAAAACGAAAATGAAAGAAGAAGAAAAAAAGCAAGGCAATGGCCCCCGAGAAAGAAAGCAAGAAAAAGCGCTGAAGCTCTATTATACGCTGATGCGTTCTCTTCCAGCAACAACTTCCAATACATCGTTCACCACGGCTTCTAGCTCTCCAACTCGCGCTCTCAGCATGCGGTTTTCGGCACGAACGTCGGTATCATTGTTGCCAATCCAGCCGCTGGTGCCGCGGCGTGTGAGCGACGCGAATCCCCATTTCGTAGTTGTAACTGGGCTGGTGACGGGGGTCTGTGTAGGTGTGGCAGTCCCGTCCGATCCCGCGCTCCATGCCTGCGATAGTGGCGTCGGGTTTCTGATCGAGGCGCTCGATGGGGTGAGGGTGCGGGTGCAGTGCTCACACTTAGTGCTTGTTGAAATAGTGAGGCTCCGGTCGTCGGCGCCGCCATCCATGAAGCTGTCTACGGGACTAACGACCTGGCTGGCCCGAGAGAACATGCTCTCAGTGTCACTCTCGAATCCGCTGTCACTGGCTGCGGAGGTCCTCTTATTTACCCTCAATGTCGTCCGTCTCTCAAGCTCCCCTTCCAACTCTTCCCGCTTCGCCCTCTCCCTCTGTAGCTCTCTCTCCAGCTCCTTGATCCGCTTCTCTCCTTCTGCAAGCTTCACGTCCTGCGCCTCTCTCAGTATGCTTTCCTCGGTAGCAAGACGTCCAAGCTGCATCTTGTACTCCGATAGCTTAATTCGTGACTCCTCCATGACCTCTTTCGTAACCTCTTGCTCATTGTGCATGTCACCGAGGGCCTGGGTCCTGGACTTGTAGGCCTGATAGACACGCTCCAAAAGATCACCCGCGGTAACAGCAAGCTCCTCAAGACGCGCCTCAGGCGTACGTTTCCGAGCCTCCTCTGGAGTCTCCGCCGTCCCTTCCGGCTCCTGGATAAACGAGTTCAACAGACTACGGAACGGGATCCCCGCAAACTCATCAATCAGCATCGTCGGCCCAATCTCTGGCGAATAATCACGCATCGAGCGCGACGATCGCGTTGGCGACTCTGGCGGCGAGCTGCCGGCCGAGGCGTTTTTCTGGATGGCGTGGCCAAACGAGCTGCCGATCGAATTGAAGAAGCCCTTGTTTCCATTCTTGGAGTTCTGCACCGTCAGCGTGGAGCCTGATCTTTGCCTTGCCGCGGCAGTCGGTGCCTGTGTAACCGGCGCAGCTGCCGCGACGGGGTGGTCGAGCTCAGCAGCTCCCTTCGCCGCAAACAACGACGAGAACAACGCAACCGCGCCAACCTTCTTGTCCTGCACTTTGTCGCCTGTGAAGCCCATTGCTGAGGAATCTGTCCGAGTGTGTTTTGTAGCTGAGGGGGCCTTCTGGAGTGGTGCTGCCTGCTGTGGGGTCGTAGATGGCTTTTTCGGAGAAGCCTCTTTATCGGTCGGGGGCTCTTCAGTACACGCCGAATCCTGGTCACCGTTGTTGCCCTGTGCTGATGATGCCGAGGCCGTTATATTGTCGCCAGGTAAATTCCCCGTTTCAGTGTCGCTGGGATGATCCTGTGACGGCGCTAACAAAGAGAGATTTGTGGGTATTTCCGAGGTTGTAATATCAGGCGGGGAGGAATCTTTGGAGGGAGAATTGGAGAGTGTTTCCTGCTGGTGCTCTTCCTCTTTTGATGATGATGGCAGAGTATCAGGCGAAGAGGGGAAGTTCGGAGTGTGTGGTACTGGGAGACTGACGTTATCAGACAGGGCAGGTGCGTGGGGCGCCATGATTGGAAGCTGTTGGTCGGCCATGATCTACCCTATGAAGCTCCTGTATATGATCGAGTGCGGGTTTGATGGTTGATGTATATGTATGTACTTGCTGGAAGACCTGCCTCCTGGTGGTGCGTTGGCGATTGGATGCTTGGGTGGGTAGCAAAACGTGGGTTTCGGGGGGGGGGTAATTCGATGGCCGATGTATCAGAGTGACTTGTCGGCTGTAGGTAGACAGATTAGCAATTGGTCAGAGTCAACCGATGACAATTCGGGAATGGGGGGGGGAAGGGCTTTTTACATAGAATTATGAGGAGACTCGAGTAAGAGGTTTAAAAAATTTCCGTGAAACAGTAAACGTGCCCAATTCCCCGGGATTGTTTGAACGGTTGGCTCAGACGATTGGCAACGAAGCAGTCTGAGATGGGGGAAGAAACGAAGGGAAGACGAAGAAGGATAACACTAAGTTGAAGTGGGTAGCGAAATTAGAGGAGGGAATTGTGTGGGGGGGTAGGTGGGAGGGAGGGGGAGGAGATTGACGATGATGAGAAGGGATAATGGGGTAGAGTAGTTGGGAGGAGGATAGGTTAGGTTGAAGGGGGTGGAAGGGCACTCATACACGATTTCTCTTACACCCGTTCACGTCCTTTACTCACTCTCATACTCAACGTTTGTCAACTCTACTCAGGGGAGGTTGGACGTCTTGGGATTGGACATGGACCGGGGGGGTGGCTGACAATACAGACAAACTAAGGTTGAGGGGGGCAACCACCAGTTACCAGTTGTGCCCACCTACCTACTAAGGCTGTCACCGATTGCCTGTTTTAGTATTTACACTCACGCATTATCATGCTCCTCCTAACTCTTCTTGTACTTTTGTTCAAGCAGTGTGGCCCTTTCTGCCCGTTTCTCACTGGGCCGGCCAAGCAAACGTGTTTTAACAGACAGACAGTTGTTTAGTTTCACCTGGTTTAGCCGCGCAGGTAACTCTTCAGGGCTAGCTCCAGGAACGAAAGTTGAATGGAAGAACTTGGCGAGTCCGTTGGCTCCCGCTCTCCGCGATTTTCTTCTTCCTCGCAAAACATGTAGCCTCTTCAGGCAGGCAGGGGCAGCAGCGCCAGTGCGGGTGTGGATGTGGATTGATGTGAGGAAGCGCTGGAGGCTGAAGCTGTCACTCGTCACCAGGCATACATGACCAAAGGGCAAATACTCAAAGCACACACACACAGAGCTTCTTCCTCTGTGCACCGAAGCTGAGCTTTGGGTTCTTGTTTTCATCGTGCAGAATTTTAATCGGACCCTGACTTTGCCATCATGAACCTCCGTACGATGATGATATCAACGCATACCGCACACCCACCCCGTCCTGCCCAGCCAGCCCAGCCAGCCCTTTTTCCAGCCTCCTGCATGTCAATTCGACATTTTTTCCCCATCAAACTCCAAAAATACATCTCTGCACTTCGCTTCATGAATGGAGATCACATGTAAAGATCCAATCTCTTTTTTAAATTTCCCTCCGCGTATCATGTAACGGTAACGTGATCGATGGACGGGCGATCATACGACGATGACCGCCGCCGTTTGTGCATCCCTATGGTTACTGGTAGCTAAGCCTCCCCCAACCAAAACACCAAACGCGAACTCCACATTCTCCTCCCCTCCTTGCATGCAAAACAGTAGGGTACATACATACATAGAGTCTATCAAAGCTTATCACTCCCGGCCTTCGCCCTCTTCTCTTCTCTTCACGACTCTTCAATCCAAGATTCTTGTTTCCCTACATCTCTCTCTCCGTTTCCCTCTACCTATCCCAGTACCACCACCCCATAGGGCCCATACCATACCATCCCCAAAAGCAGCACTCTAAAAAAGCAATACCCTGTCTCACCTGTCTCATCTGTCTTGCCTGTCTTGCCTGTCCTCCTGCCTGCCCATATGGCCCATGCTCACTCTTTCCTCCGCGCCTAGGAGACCACTTCCCACTCTCGGTAACCGATCGATCGGGTGCACATCCCGGAACGGAAAAGGAACAGCGCGCGGTCTACGGCAGCGCAGTCTTCCGTCCCCCCAAATTTCCGAGGGGCCCTGCCGGCGGTGACGGCTGGATTGGGTGCCCCCCGGGGATGCGGCCCTGCGCGGGGAGGAGGGAGGGAGAGGGATTGTGCGTGGGTGCGTTTTCCGTCAATAGTAGGACCCGGGACTTTGTTTCCAGAGGTGAGGTGGGTGGAGTGGGACATGGGATATCACTCGGGTGTTGTTGACTGGATGTGGGTGTGTGGTGGTGGGTGCTGGTTGGTGGTGGGTAAGATTGTAAGCGTAATATTGTGAGGTTGTGAGATTGGGATGGTAAGATTGAGATTGTAGGTTGGAATTGCCAGTGGGTCGTATTTTGTTTATATTGAGTGAATCACCGGGCGAGACGAGGAGATTATGTTTCTCCACTGTGTACCCACCTGGTCCACAATATTGGCAGTTCTACACTCCGCCGGGCACACCCACCCATCCACTCAGTAAATCCACTCCACTATTCTACTTCTTACATTCCCTCTATCCCCTCCACGCTCAGTCTACCAGGTCGTGCCCTGTAGACTCGTACGGTAGACACACCCCACCACCACCACCAAGCTCACACCAAGACCCGTGCACCCCGTGCGTGCGGGCCCAGCGAACAAACGTACGGACTCGTCACCGGCCGCGCGCGGGCTGCGGGTGAAACATTTGTGTAGTTATGTAAAGCAAACATCAACCGCTCTACATCTATGTCTATGAGGGATTATAAATACACACGGGGCCGCTACAGCACCTAACTCTGTGGAGAGTCAATATATTTGTCTGTCTTCGATTTTTAACTGGAGAGTGCAAACCCTAACCCTGGGGTACTCCCTTCTAATCAATCAATTGGGAGTGCTCGGTAATGCACCGAGCGAGGGGTCAAGAGGAATATAATAGCCGAAGATGACTGAAGGCCTGCCTGCCTTAGCGACTCTACTCTAGGGCCGTGGGAAAGAGGAGTCGGACTGCATGTGTGTCGTGACCAGTACTGCAGTGCTAGTCAAGCCCGTGCAGTCGGTGGACGGGCTACGTATCCTTTGGAGGCCGGTCCCGGGTTTGCAGAATGTGCCGCTGGAATATTTTGGAAGGTGATAGGATTACAAACGACGACATGCTACATGTACCTACTATACATATTGGATGAGTAAAGACCGTGGTCTAGGAACTGATCGAGGATATCCAACTTGGTACGGCCACTATTGACAGCTAGCTGGGGAGAAGCGTAAGGGCCGTGTGTTTTGACGGCGCAAAATATAGACGAGTTCGTGAGAGTTACGGTTATAGGCCTAGTAGCTATGCTGCCCTTATCTGACCATAATGCACACTGCAAAGGCCTGACTTGCTTGTGTTTCTGGACCCAGTTTTTCTGGAGCAGCTGTGTTACACGGATTCACGGAATATCACTCGGCCATGCCGATAGAAAACAAGCACCCGATCTATTGCAACTGGTCGCTACGTAATGGGAATTAAAAACAATGGTATATACAAGTGCCCAATCGGCACCGGGAAATGCAAACATGCCCTTGGGAATCAAAAAAAGAAAGAGGCCAAGAAAAAAACACAAAGAAATCTATACTCCCGCTTCTAGCTACGTCCTACCATACCATACCAACCCACGCCGCAGACCTCTACTCCTCCAGCATACCCTTCACCCACTCCGCCACCTTCTCCGCCATAACCTCTCCATGCTCTACCCACACCCATTAGCACACCTCCCCCAAAACACAAAACAGCGAAGCAGCGAGCAACTCACCTATACAAAACCCATGCGGCACGCCGCCCTCATCCAGCACCATCCTCGGCTTCCACTCCTCGCCCATCCCGCGTCCCCTCGTCTTCATGATGGCCTCCCTCGTCTCCTCCGCAACCCAATGGTCATTCTTTCCAAAGTAGAACCAAAGCCGGCTCACGCCCGCCTTCTCGCTCCCCCAGATGCTGTAGTCCCAGCGGTCGTGCGTGATCTCGGCCATCTCGTCACGCGCCATGGACAGCGCCTGGAAGACGGCGCCGGGCGTGGTGAGCAGCGAGAGCGTTGTTGCGGTGGCCGACGGCGGGTGCAGCGTTAGTAGGCGGATCATGGCGTAGACGAGGCGCGTGGGGAGGAGGGAAAGCGGGTGGGAGAGGTGCGAGATGAGGAGGGGGAGGTGGGCGCCGGTTAGTGTTAGGAGGGTCTGCGGTGCCGGGGGGTTAGCTAAGTCACTACATGTAACGAACTGACTGGTGTCTCAAACTAGCTAGATAAACCTCCGGAGCGGAGTGGAGAGCGGATACATACACTCAAGATCTTCCCACTAGGGCTTTTCGCAATATCAACCACTGTCGGGAACAACATCACCCCGCCAAACACCTCCGGCTCATCCTCACCGTCACCGTCACCTTCACCGTCACGCCCCCCTTCACCCCCATCCCCGCCCTCCACCAGCCGCTTCTTCTCCCGCCGCTCCCCCAGCACCCGCAGCGTCTCCATGGCAATATACGCGCCCACAGAGTGCCCCATAATAATCACCCTCGGCTTCTTCCTCCCCTCCTTCTTCTCACCCTCCAGCTCCTTCCCACCTTCACCATCACCCTCCTCACGCCACGTAGCTCCCCCGCCAGAAATCCACTCCACAATGCACACCTTGTGCTCCACCTGCTCCGCCAGCGTCCAATACCCCCCCCCTCCTCCTCCCCCCCCCTCTGCGTCACCTTCCACGACCTCCCTGGCGGCCGTCTGCTGCGAGTAGAACCCCGCATGCGACACGCCGAGCACGTGCACTTTCCGCGCCAGCAGTGCCGCCAGCGTGCTCAGAAAGCGCCGGTAGTACTCGATGAGACCCGGGTTGCCGGGGAGGAAGAGGATGTATGTTTCGCGCCCAGAGTCGGAGGTGGAGGCAGAGGCGGAGGTGGAGAGCGCGCGGTAGTAGAGTGTGTCAGTTGGGGGGAGCCCGGGGGGGAGGGGGAAGGGGTGGGTTGTCATGGTTTGTGTGCGGGGAGAGGTGTGGGGAGGTGGAAGTTTGGGGAGCTTGGGCTGGTGGTGGACTGGAGCTGAAGGGTTGGAGCTGGGTGTGGCGGTGGCTGGTGTGGCTGGTGGGGACTGGGAGACTGGCCCGGTTGGGGTTGCGGAGAATTGGTCGTGGGGGGATAGGAAGTGTTGTAGCAGTGGTGAGGGCATGATGCCTCTAGCTAGATAGATCCTATCGCGGATCTGTGGTGGATCGCCATCTAGATACGAGTACTAATCCAATCCACGTACAGTTGTTAGCTTGATCCTTACACTCAACACCACGAGCTCTCCTCCTCACAGCTCGAGCCAATATTGGAAATCCGGAAGCTCGAGTCTAGGATGCTCGAGCTAGCTTTGTAATTAACTACATGTACGGCCGAGTGATGGGTGAACGATGATGGCGAAATTGGATAATGAACCCCCCCGAGCCCGCCTGTCCATATTAGGTAAAAATGAAAAGTATACTCTATCGAGATGACCCGTTTTTAGGTATAGTTGTTATTAATGGTAATCAGACTGAGCCAGAAACGGGCTAGAGTTAGGGTCGGGGACGATTTTATTTGGTTGGTTGACTGATAAAAAAGTGTTTCCGGCTCCGTCTCGGGCAGAAAGGTTGTTTGAAAAGCTAACCGCGGCCGGGATCGAGCCAGAATAACGGAAATTCGGTATGGTGTGGCTTTTGAATCAACAAGTACGTCTGGTGTCGGTTCCTCCAGATAAATAGTACTGTTAAAGAACTCCACCTTTTCAACCCAGCGAATTCTTTTGTTTTCGGGTCATCAGCTAGACTGTAACCCGAAATCCTGACCATTTATTGGCCCCTGAAATACCTTGGCTTTGGTTCTAGTGGCTCTGGCTCTGTCTGGCTCTGTCTGGCTCTGTCTGGCTCAGTCTGATTACCATTATTTGAGGGAAGCTCTGGCCGGTACACTCTAGAGCTCCAACACCTCGAGTGTATTCATTCCCATGATCAGAGCCATGAGCAGCTCGTGCTGATCGAGGCCAACATTAAGTGGGTCAGTGTTCGTAAAATTATGAATATTCTGGATAGTAGCATACTATGTGAAGTCCCCAACCGGTCCGTATTATATTAACGAGATTCTACCACTGTTCTGGTTGACTACACAGACGGTGGTATGTGCGTCATGGATTATCACTCGCATACAATACCTGCGGAATGGGTGCTGCTTGTGGCGGAATAACAGGAATCGGGGCGTGGAGTGATTGGGTTTGATGGAGATGGTTGGCTGTCGATGGTGCTGCATCAGGGGGATGTGGTTAGTCAGGAGGAATGAGTTGGTAGTTTAGTGTAGCTAGGTTGGCGGGTCAAGTAGGCTGTAGGGACTAATGAGGCGCGGGTTGGGTGGTGCTTGCAATTGGTGGCGCGGTCTTTGGATAAGATATTTCTTGGATGGTGATTTGCTTGGTGTATGTACTGTGTGTTGCTGCTTGAACCCGTGGCCAGGATGCTGGAGGCCCTCTTACTCGCAAACATGTACGTATCAATGGGCATCAATAGACCGTCACATCACCAATGGGCCTAGAAACTCTCACTTTCTGTCGGAGGTCTGTCGTCGAGCTACCAAGGTAAGTCTTTAATTTGTGTCGAAGCTTAAGTCCTTCCCGGTCTTCGCAGAAGAAAAAATGATTTAGTGATGGCACAGCTGATGGTTGCCTAAATAGAGCACATACAAGGCTCTGGAATTAAGTGAGTGAACTAAATGGGGTGTTGACTGGTGAGGATCCGTTCACTCACTTGATCCCGGAGCCTTGTAGGTACATGTAGAATTGCATCTATTCGTTACCCAGAAGCCAATCACTACCTTTAATTGCTCGGCCAATTAAGGATCAATTAGAAACTACTACGCATCGATCTGAAATCGGTAACACAAAAATCACGCCGCAACTGCTCGTGTATCCGTTCTCAGCCTTGCTAGACTAACCATCATTATTATCACCATATATCACCACACACAGGCTACCATATCTCGATATACTATCTATATATACAACGACCCAATACCCTAACCGCTATGGAGGCAACAAATGCTACTTCGAGCATTGTTCCCTCATTGAAATCACAGTAAAAGTGGCTGTTTTGAGTCACGAGTACATCAATAAAGTCAAAAACGCACAATTCGCCATTCGAAAACTATTCAATGAGCTTCAAATGCTTGCGGACATACTTGGAGATCTAGAGAAGAATGCGAAGGACCCCGGATCAACAGTTTTACAACAACTCAAGTCTCCAATCAGAAGCTACCGCTGGGAGATAACGAGACGGCACAAGGAATTAGAGTCAAAGAAGAAATTGATTGGATTACAGTATTGGTGGAATAAGCTCAAATGGCCGCTCGAGGATGCAGAAACTTTGCAGATTTTGCAAGAAATCGAACGGTTTAAAACCAGCCTGTTACTTGCCATGAGTAGTGATCAGAGGTGAGTTGATCCCCCGCGAGTTTCCCTAGACACTGGTAATGCGCCGGAGAGAATTTCCCGCACTCTACGGACCATGCACAAAAGAGCAAGATATAAGGCAAACAAAAGCATGTATACGAATTGGAGATGTATATGTGTACAAATCAAGCTTCGGGGCTGGGGGTAGTGGATTATAGATCTTTTTAGATTATTGTGAAGTGGGATTTTCTGGATGGGAATATATACGAATGGGACGCATAGAGGAACGGAAATTGTATCCCCAACACATTACCGGTATCTAGGTGCTCTGGGGTGAGCTCCAACCCCTTGGCTGCTGATTGACTTGAGCTGTAGCGATGCTAATCTAAATTAAGTCGTGGTATGAAAGAGATAAGAGAGCATGGGCGAAAGGAGAATATCAGAAGGAATGGTACGTAAGATTAGGACCCAATTAAGAGACTCTATAGGCCTGCATACAAAATGAAAATGCACGGCTAATAGGTGCTCTGGTTATGCTTAGATGAAAAGCGCGTTGCAGTTCTCAATTGGTTATTCCCGGGTTCCTTTAATGAGCGACATAATGAAATCAGCGGTAGAAGAAAGAAGAACACGGGACAGTGGATCCTAAATGCACCCGAGGTCCAATATTGGAAAAGGCCTGGAAATCACGGCCTTCTTTGGGGATATGGTGTTCTTAAGTACTATGAAATATACATGTATTATTAATATCAATATAAATGTACTAATGAAAGCGTTGTGTGGCATAGCTGGCGCCGGGAAGACATTTTTAAGCTGTTTTATCTCTATGACTGCATGCAATTTTATATATAATTCTAACTTTCTAGCTCTCTAATGATCGACGATCTCCAAGGTTAGGTGGGATACGGGGTAGCTTATATATACTTCAACTATAAAGAGCAAGATAAACAAAGCCAACCCACGTCATTTCTAGCCTCATAAAATAGCTCATTTCCTAGGCATCCACACAACCCTTACCCAAGAATCTTGGGGAATTTCACAAAGATCAGAAAACGCCGAACTCCGGGGAGTTGTACGACATTCTCCTCCATGTGGCAAAGCCTTTTACCAGAACCTTTTTCATCTTTGATGCCCTAGATGAATGTGATCAAAATGGTCAAAGAAAGGAACTCTTACCATTATTCCATAGAATAGGGAATGATAGGATGAAATTGTTTTTGACAAGTAGAGAGCACCCAGAAGATGTCCAAATTTCTTTCGGTGAAATAGCGAAAATGAAGATCTGGGCGAAAGACGGAGACGTGGCGAGCTATATTGAACAAAAGATTTCCGAATACCCCCGAGCGCGGAGTCTTGTTAGCCAAGGCAACTACAGAGACAAAATCATCTCCGAGCTTACGGAGTGTGCTAAGGGGATGTAAGTTCAAAGAAATAAACTTGGGTTTTATTCTCGAAAATGTTGATTGACATTTCTCAGGTTTTTACTTGTCCATTTCCATATCGAATGTCTATGTCAACAGGCAACCACAAAACAAATTCTTATGGAGCTTGAAAGGATTAAAAAGGGCCCAGGTGGTAGCACCAATAGGTCATTAAGCCCTACCTATGATAGAGCTATGGATATTCTTTATGCCCAACACCCTCCAGGCCGCGTTGAGCTCGCAATAAGAGTCCTTTCATGGCTAGTGAAAGCTAGAAAGGTACTCACGATCCATCAACTCCACGAAGCTGTAACGGCCGATGAGGGCTGTACTACCTTCGAAGAATCAGATTTACCTCACATGCAGACGATGATTGATGTCTGTGCTAGGTTAGTAAATTTCGACAAAGACAGTGATACCATACGACTAATTCACTACACCGCACAGGAATACCTTCTTACACATCCTATTATCCTCGAAAATGCAAACTTTAAGGTTGTGGGAGCCTGTATAACCTATCTCTCGAGTAAAGCAATCACTCCACCCCAATATAAACCTCCCCATCTACTTAATTACACATATATGCGGACCCAATCCGTACTGGCCCAACCCGTACCCCCCTTTTAATGTATCTTCAGGGGAGGTATTACTTCGTGTTTTATCTTAACGAGTGTGAAGAAGCCTTATCAGAGGACTTAGTTTTGAAACTTGTATTCATTTTAAGCCGGAACCCTCAATGGCTGGATATTTTAACGCCTCATGGTGCCCTTATGCCGAGTGGGGACCTGACCAGAGTTAGTCCGTTACAAATTGGATGTATACTGGGACATCTTTCTGCTGTCCAGAAATTACTGAAAAATGACTCTGGTGTTCCTACTGCGGAGAATAGTGAGCATGAAGGGTTGGACTTAGCAAAATCCTCTCTTGGTGGGGTTGTTGGGCGTGTTGGAAGGGGGGTCAATCGAAAAACATAGCACCCATTGTTCGTCTAATGGTTGAGAATGGCGCTAACCCCTCGGTGATGGGCCCGAGCCAGAAAATGTTTCTAAGTGGTGCTCTCTATTCCCATGGTACGGCACTTCATCATGCAGTGGAACATACATTTATAGAGGCGATTGAACCCTTACTTTCCTGGGGCTTTGATATGTCTGCTGTAGACAAGAATGGGAGAACAGCATTTCACCGTGCAGCGATCGATGAAAGAATAGAAGCAGTGGAGCTCCTACTTTCCAAGGGCGCCGATATCTCTGCTACAGATAGGGGTGGTTGGACGGCACTTCACCTTGCAGCGGGACATAGAAGCACAAAAGCAATGGAGCTCCTACTTTCCAAAGGCGCCGATATCTCTGCTGCAGATAGCGATGGTTTGACGGCACTTCACTATGCAGCAGCGGAATATGGAATGGCAAAAGAAACGGAGTTCCTACTTTCCAAAGGCGCCGATATCTCTGCTGCAGATAGCAATGGTTGGACGGCATTTCACCTCGCAGCGAGATGGGATTCGTCAGATTCAGTAAAGGCATTACTCGACAGAGGCGCCAGTACTTCGGACGTAGATAACAAGGGGAAGACGGCACTTCACCTCGCAGCGAGACGGGATTTTTCACGGTCAGTAAAGGCTTCTCTTGAAAGATGCGAGGACATTTCAGCTATAGATAGCGATGGAAAGACAGCTCTACAGTGCTCAGAAGAGCATAATATATCTACGGATATCATTCAGCTTTTGAAGGTAAATACTAATAAGTTCACGCTTACTATCAGTGGAATCTAACGTGGCATAGGACTTTACCCAAAAAAGAAAATCTCTCGTAGTCATGCCCTTAGGCCAAGGAGAAAAAGCATATGAGGCGGAACGAAGAGACTAAGGGGACTGGAAACTAAAAACGAATAGGTTTGTACGCTGAACTCTAATGGATAGTATCATATCAAAGGCATATCTAATATGGATGAGAATTGGCGCAAAGAAAACACACAAAGGGCGGCAGGCTTCTAGGTCTGATGGGTTTGGGGGAGGAGGTAGGAAGGAGGAGGAAGTGGGAGGAAGTGGGCGAGACTTTTAGTATTATTCTCGGTCAGGTCTTGGAAGAGCGTTTCTTACTGTTATTATATTTTATTTGCGGGATGTAGAGGTTATGATGTATAAGTTTTGTAGAGAACAAGAAGGAATTTAGTTGTTGGGATTTTATATATATGTGTATCCGTAAATATATCTCCCTACGTATCTATAGTAGGCTAAATGAGTAAATTCATAAACTTTATTTTCGAAGATTCTTGGGAGTATAGGTATTACGAGTGGCGGGTCGCTGAGCCAATTTGGGCTTATAAGCTCTACTACCAGAGTTAAACTTCTGGAGCATACAAATCTTAGCATGCACATCCGAAGATTATCACAATGCACTAGCATATACGAATGATTATCTATGAATGATAAGCTGATTGGATATCTAACCGAGCCATCTACATTTTACATAAGCAATGAACACAAATCTACAGAGTGAGTGGGTTTAGTTGAGACTACAGGCAGAAGTACTGAAGACGAATTCTTTTTTCTAGAGCGCAGGTAACGACGAGTGATCAACTGTGATTCTTAGGCGCGGTGACGACTCACGTGATGTGAAATTCCGGGAGCTACTCTACTTAGAGTCAAGTACTACATGTAGATATCATCCGATGGCCTCTCTCCTATCTCCCTCTCTCCCCCTCTATCTGCTCTTTAAAACTTCATCATGTAGCTAGCTACATGTACTTACCCCACAATCCATTTCCGCTTCGCCGTCCGGCTCTCACCCGATCTTCCGAGATCTCGGGAGGGGCTTTTTTGCACTGGAGCGGTGATGTTACTGGAGCCCTATGTGGTTCCGTGATTTCGTCGGTAATGCACATTGTATAATATCACATATTGAGGTGGGTGCTTTTTCTGCCTTTGGTGGAGGACTTGGAATGTATTGACGATGGATGCTGACGGATAAGCAGAGTAGCCTCCATGTTCGTACTTTTGGCAACAAGAGCACTATGTACAGCATATACCTCTGCATACATACCCATTTTAGCTATTACTCTATGTTGTTAAGAGCCCGAGTCAAAAAAAACACATGGGCCGAAATTCCCACAGCCGATTCGACAATATTCCAAAACAGAGGGATTCATTGGGTGCTGGGATGACCGAGATGCCTCGGTAACGTAGATGACGTACCTAGAGCAACAACCGATCCGCCGCCCTATCACAAGCTTACGGAGACCTCACGATCACGGGTCAGTCAGTCTCTTTCTCACATCCTGTCTTTCTTACATCCTACCTGCCTGCCCTTCTCACAATTACAACATCTACCCCCATTCTTGCTGTCTAAATAGTACTTTACATCCTCCCCCAGCTCGATCTTTCTTCTAGACTCTGCTCCACACCTTCTAGCACTCCCGTTGACACGCCTTAGCACACCCGTCCCTGCATAAACACCCTTCACCATGGCCGTCATAACCTCCCAAGCGTAAGCCTCCCCCATACCTCTCCCCCGCAACGCGTAGCTAACACCCCCCAAAGACCCCCCAAAGGCGACAACTCCATAACAGTGACGGACAACCGCACCGGCAAGACCATCGTCATCCCCATAACCCACAACGCCATCCCCGCCACGGCCTTCAAAGCCCTCAAAGCCCCCGTGCCCAAGACCGAGGATGGAATCGACACGGACGACACTGCCAACGGCATCCGCATCTTTGACCCCGCATACCTAAACACCGCGGCCATCTCGTCGAAAATCACATTCATAGACGGCGACAAGGGCTTCCTCATGCACCGCGGATACCCGATCGAGCAGCTGGCCGAGAAGAGCGACTTTCTGGAGACGGCCTATCTCCTCATCTACGGCGATCTGCCGGCAAAGCAGCAGTACGACCTGTGGAAGTACGAGGTTATGCACCACACCTTCCTCGCCGACGACCTCACAAAGCTGATTGGCTCCATGCGTTACGGTAAGACCAGACGCTTTCCCCCTCCCCCCCAACGGCCACCTAAGTGAGACCTAACCTCGCCAGACTCCCACCCCATGTCCGTGTTCATCTCCGCCTTTGCAGCCATGGGCGCATTCGCGCCCGAGGCCAACCCCGCGCTCCAGGGCCGCAACCTCTACATCAACAACAAGGACATCATGAACAAGAACATCATCCGCATCCTCGGCAAGGCCGCCACCGTCGCCGCCTTCTCGATGCGCGTGCGCATGAACCGCCCGTTCATATCGCCCCGCGCGGACCTGGGCTACGCCGAGAACATGCTCTACATGATGGACTCCATGTCCGAGGGCGAGAACTACAAGCCCGACGCCCGCCTCGCGAGGGCCCTCGAGATCCTGTTTATCCTGCATGCGGACCACGAGATGAACTGCTCTACCTCCACCATGACGCATGTCGGCAGCTCCCTCGTCGACCCATACTCTGCCGTGGCTGCCTCCGCGGCTGCACTCTACGGACCCCTCCATGGCGGCGCCAACGAGGCCGTCATCCGCATGATTGAGAAGATTGGCAGCGTGGAGAATGTGCCGAAGTTCTTGGCGGACGTCAAGGAGAAGAAGGAGCTGCTCTTTGGCTTCGGACACAGGGTCTACAAGAACACGGACCCGCGGTCAAAGATCATCAAGGAGGTGTCGGAGACGGTGTTTGAGGCGTGTGGCCGCGAGCCGCTGATTGAGGTTGCGATCGCGCTCAAAGACGCGGCGCTGGCGGACCCGTGGTTTGTGGAGAAGAAGCTGTACCCCAATGTGGACTACTGGTCGGGGCTCATCTACAAGGCCATGGGCTTCCCGCTGGACTTTTACCCGATCCTTTTTGCGGTTCCGAGGGTTGCGGGTTGGCGTAAGTTACTCCCTTTGGCTGTCCCAGTGAGAAAGACAGAATGCTAACGATAGGTGTGTAGTGGCGCATTGGAAACAGGCACTCGACACGTCGGGCGCAAAGATCTGGCGCCCGAGACAGGTGTATGTCGGCGAGAAGCTGCGCGACTATATCCCCATGGAGCAACGGGCCGCGAAGGAGATTGTGGACAGCAAGGACGGCGTCAAGGAGCTGCCGCACTACCAGAGCAAGCGGAGGCTGGGAGCAAAGTTGTGAAAACGGGTTTTTCTTTTTTTTTTTTTTTATGGTTGTGGTTTTTTTTTTTATTGGTAGCGTACGTGTAGTTAGTTACTAGGGCGTTCTTTTTGTAGTTCAATATCAGACTTGTTCCCCGTTGATATGCGGTTTTGTTTTTTTGTGAGGTGCTGTGGGGATTTGCCGGGGGTGGTGGTGTTGACGCTTGTGGCTGCGGCGGTCATGGGTTGTCACTCGTATGGTGTGCATGGGTACTCGGGGTTCGGGAGACCAGAGTATCCACCAAATACCACTTCCATAGAATTGATGCCATTCGTATCTTTGTTGGGCTAACCAAGCAACCCCATATACCGAACCAATCCCTCGCGTACTAATACACTTGGCAGTACGCAACAAAAAAAAAAAGGAAAATAAAAAGGAGAATTAAAAGCCAACGTCGAAGGAAGATCCGTAGACCAAACAAAAAAAAAAAAAAAAAAAAAAAAAAAGCTGATTCCTACAAGGCACAGACCAACAAGACCCATACATTTCTACCCGATTAAGGGGTACAGTCCGATACATTACACTATTCGTACTAGCTAGCTGCTGTTTACTCTCTCAACTGATGGGTGGATACATGTAGTTCATCCACCATACACCACGCCCTGGTACATACATGTACTCTATGGGTGTGGTTTAAATAAACCACAAGATGAACCAAGTTGCCTAGCCAAGTGGGCGGTGGTTTCAAGTTAGATTGTGGTTTCATTTAAACCACACCACGGTGATTGTTTTAAACCACATTATAGTTTTGACCCAAACCACGCGGTAGTTTGATTTTTAAACCACGCCGGTTTGATTTGATTTAAACGACCTATATAAACCACATAACTACATACATGAACTTACGCAAAAAAGCTACATACATACATTGTAGCTAGCTGGTGGTTTTAAACAAACATGTACATGTACATGTACTTACTCGACCTTTATCCAAACCACATAGTACGTTAGCTACATACCACAAGGCCACACGGCCCCCGCGGGTGACATCCAATTCCGGTGCGGATCACAGAACATCACTCGGTCTATCTGCCCCCCCCCTTCCCTTGGCATACAGCCTGTAGACCTAGCTCGTTTTTATGTCGAGTTGTCCTCTGTGCCATGGCATGGCATGGCATGGGCGTGACGGGTTTGGTCTTGCGGGAGTAAGTGGTTAGGAGTAGAGGTATGGGTGGTGGTGATGTGTGGGGATAGCTTAATTGCTTGTGGTGCATGTACTAGCTCCTATATTTTAGTATAGATGGGCAACACTCCGTAACCATTCTGCGGCCCAAGCACAGGTTCTTTGCAAGTTCTTTGGTGAGCTGGAGCTGGAACTGGGATGAACAAGTGGCAATCGTGCTCTATAGTTTACTGCTAACTACATCCCCATCCCTAGGCTACTACCATACATGCATAACCCCCACAACCAATGCAAAGCAAAGTAAGGCAAAGGCAAAAAAGAAAAAGAAAAGAAAAACCAAGCCAACAAAAAAAGCCAAAAAGAGCCCAAACACAAAAACGCAACACACCCATCAATCACAATTTAACTTTTAGCCTCCCCTTCCCCCTCCCCCCCCCCAACCACCCACACCCACTACCCCTCCTCCTCCTCTTCCCCCTCTCCCCCACCCCCTTCCCCACCACCTCCTCCTCCTCCTCATCCTCAACCTCCGCATACACCGTCACCGGCTGCGTCTCCCTCCACGCCGCCGTAAACATCGGCTCCCTCTCCGCCACCTCCGCATACTTCAGCAGCGCCGCCCGCGGATCCTCATCCCTCATACTCGCTAGCGGAATACTACTCTCAATATGTCCCTGGTCCGGCTGACTCTTCCCCCACGGCGTGACCGCCGGCATATTCGGCCTCCGCGGGTCGCCCCCCCCGCCCGCGACGACCCTCCGCCCCGCGCCGCCCGTGCCAAGGATGGCGTTCGGTAGGATCACGGCGTCGGCGGACACGGCCGCCGTCTCGGTCGTGTCGTCGATGTGGCGCTTTCGCGGCGCTTTTGCGACGACGAGGAGCGCGCCCTTGGTGGAGAGGGTGGGGGAGTAGAGGGCGTGGAGCTCGCCGTTGGCGGAGCCCGTGAGGATGTGGTTTATGCGTGGGTGCCAGGTGGTGGCGATGAGTGGGGACCCGGGCGTGACGGGGAGGGCGTGTTCGGTGCGCAGGGTGGCGGCGGAGAGGATGTGCAGGGTGCCGGAGGTGTCGCCGGTGATGAGGGTGGTGCTGTTGGGGGAGAAGACGATGTTGGCTTCGGGGTGCAGGGGGGTGGCGAAGTCGGTGCGGGTTGTGATGGGGGTTTTGAGCTTGCGGGTGTCCCAGACTGTGGGGTGTTAGTGAGAGGGGGAGAGAGGTAATGATCAGGATGAAGGGTAATGATCATTCTGCGAGAAAGGTGGGACCTACGTTTTATATCCCCATCCTGCCCCCGCGTCACCAGCATGCGCCCATCATGCGAGAACGCAATCCCACCCGTCCATGTCTCCCTCTTGTGCGCATCCCGCACCTCCATCGCCGGCCGACTATACGGCCCATCACCCGCATACAGCGCCAACACGCCATCCAGCGCCACCGTCGCAATCAAATTCTGCCCACCCGTGCTCCCCCCGCCCACGCCAGACAGCACATCCTACTCCTGCCCCCTTTGCCCGTCCTGCTCTTATGCACCATGATATCCCTATGCTGCCTCTTCTTCTCCACGTCCCAGATGCGCACCGTCGAGTCCGTCCCCGCCGTCACCACCACCCCCCGATCCGTCGGGTGCCACGCGCCCGCCGTCAGCTCCGACACGTGGCCCTTGGTGTTGTGCATGTCGCGCAGATACATGTCGCCCTTTACAAACTCGACGAGCGTGTCGCCGTCGCGCGAGAGGATCTTGGCCTGTGGGGCGGCCGGCACGACGAGGAGGCTCTGCCCGGAGTCGGCGTGCGAGAAGAGCGCGCTGTGTATGTGGTGCGACTCGGAGGGCTCGAGTGACCGGAAGGCGTGCAGGTGGTCGCGGCTCATGGAGGGAAAGTCCCAGAGCTTGACGAGGTAGTCGTGGCTGCCGGTGGCGATGCGGGTCCCGCTGGGGTCGAGGCTGATGGTGGAGACGGGCTTGGTGTGGTCTTTGAGCGCAATCTCGTGCGAGATTGGATACTCGTCTTCGTCGTCGTCGTCGTCGCTGTCACTATCATCACCGTCTTCATCCATCGCCATAGCACCACTACCACCAGCACCTCCTCCTCCTCCTCCTCCTCCTCCTCCAGCAGCATTCCGCCGCTCAACCTCCGCCTCATCATCCTCATCATCCACGCGGCGCTGCGCAACAAAAACCTGCTTCCCCTTCCCCTTCCGCGGCGGCGAGTCAGGCGCGTCGAGCGGGCGCCGGCGCGTCTGTGCGAATTGCGCCTCGACGTTGGGCTTCACGGTCTGTTTCCCAAAGGACGCGGGCAGGAATGCGCGCATGGCGGCCTCGTCGGCCGTGAGCTGGGGCTCTTCATGCGGTGTGTCGTCATCGTCATTGGCGGCGCCGTCGGGGAGGTCGCGTTCTTCGGGGAGCATTTTGAGGGGTTTGGATTTGGACATTGTTTTTCTGTTGTATTTGTGAATAGCGACAATCCCAGCCTGTGTTGTAGGGCCTGACCTGACCTGCACTCCGGGTAACCCCCCCGCCCCTCCACACAGACAGACACCGGCACTCCCGCACCACACCCGCACACCCCCACCGCACACACACAGCACACAGCACACACACAACATGAACCCAAACACCCCCTTCGACCCGCAATCGCTCCTCAAGAAGCCCACCCGCGCCGACCCGTGGGCCCGCATGTACCTCCTCCCCCTCTACCCACCTACCCTTCCCCCTACACCTACCCACACGCAACCAACACAGCCAGCCAGCTAACCAACAGGCAAACAGAGAGACATGGCGCTACACAGGCCCCTTCACGCGCTGGAACCGCTTCAAGGGCGCCTTCCCCGGGCTCGGCATCGCGACGGTGGCGTTCGCGGGATACTGTGCGTATGAGGCTGTGTTTATGAAGGAGGAGAAGCATCATGGGGAGGGGCACCACTAGCGGGCGAATTGGGGATTGGGGGGATATTGGGGGATATTGGGGGGGGGGGGGGGGCTATGTAGATAGCTAATGGGATTCTTTTTTTTCCTCTTCTTTCTTTTCCGGGGCTGGCACCGGCATTGGGGGGGTAGAGAGTGGGGGATGCATTGTATTGCATTGGCTTATAGTGGGATAGTAAATACGTTAAGGGCTGCTGGTATGTGGTATCGAATTGGAAATATAAGAACTTCCCGGCCGGATGCAGATACAGATGCAGCTATAGATAATGAATCCGCACCGTAGCAGTTGAGTCGGCAGTACCCAGTAGTAGTAGTAGTAGTAGTAGAAGTAGAAGTAGAAGTATCATTCGTAGCAAATAGATAGACATCAGTGGTAAACGCAGTAGGTACATGTACTTAGTGCCAATAGTACTGAATCCCGGTATAAATGCGAATATCAGTGCTAGTAAATAATACAAATGCCAACAATACTACTCTGATACTAATACCAATACCAATACTAATACCAATATTAGTAACAACAGTAACAGCAGTAAATCCCTACTAGCACGTCATCTCCCCCCGACCGGGTGATTCCCCATGACTGAGCGCTTCCGTCCCCGGAGACTACACTATGTAAATACCATACTGCCTCTCGCCTGGCCTCAGTGCATGTGCGTCTATAAGCCAGGAGCTTACCCCCAGCGTATTATCCCCCAACAAACACAGACATACCGCGTACCGGCACACCGCACCACCAGCAGCAGAAAGCAGCCAAACGATCATTTCCGCCCTACTCTAGCCCTCTCACTCACATTCACACACAGCATACTCACACATACTCACAGCACACACACGCAGCACACAGCAACAAGCAAGCATCTTCAACATAGCCCTCAAATTGCACTCCCCCCCCCCGCACACACATCTAATATCCCTAATTTCCAAGGTCCATCCATCCATCCCTCCACCCACCCGTCCATCCGTTTCCGAATCCAAATCTAACATGACATACGAAGAGAGATGCGTGCTAAAAAAAAGAAAGAAAAAGAAAAGAAAGAAAGTAGGGCATTAAAAAGGAGTATCAAAAACTCACCACATGAAAGAAAAATAGAAGGGAAATATGGATATAAAGAGAGAAGAAAAAAAGAAAAAAAGATTAAGGAAAAAAAGATTAATGAAAAAAAAAAAAAAAAAAAAACAGGATACAAAGATTAAACGCCTCGCCCCCGTGACCCCGGTCCCCAAACCACTCAAATCATAAACGTTTTTTTCCTCTTTCGCTCCTCTGCCACCACCAGCACCAAACATAGGAACTTCAAACAGAAAGGTCCAACCAGAAAAACAGTGCAGAGAAGACAGTGAAGAAGAACAACAAAAAGCAGAGCACATCGCTAGTGCAAAGAACGTCAGCACCCCCCACAAACGACGTCTACATACCCTCCCACACCAGCGTCCACACAACCATCCACAGCACCCACCCTGCTGCGCCCAGCCCCATGCTCCACCCTCTCCCGGCCGCACTTAAGAAGTACACCGCACCCAAATAGCTACAGGTAACGTCGCCGTCACCATCCCGGTCGCCATAGCTCCGCTCGCCCCCCGGCTGCTTCATGTTCGGGCACGAAAAGCCAAACGTCGTTGGGCAGCTCTGCACAAGCGTCCAGCACAGGTCCATGCACGGCTTAACCTCCTTATAAGGGCCCGGCCGGATCACCTGGTCAATCTGCTTATTTCGACTGGCAACGCTAGTCCCAGTCGTGTTTGTGTGTGCGGCGAGCGACGCCGGGGATAGTGTCGGCGAATATGGGTGCAGCTGCAAGCCTTTGTTGGTAGCGTTATAGAAGAGCTCGTTTGATGCGCGCTCAGCAAGGTACGAGAGTGTCGATGAGTAGTCCATGCACCGCGGGATGGTCACCGCGCACAGCCAGTTTTTGTACGCGGCGGCGCAGTCATCGCATGTGCGTGCGAGCGAGTAGGCCGAAGACTTGCTGGCATTACATGGAATCTGCTGCAGCGAGTAGCTAAAGTTCTGGTACCACGATGCGGCGATGTTGTCGTAGAAGGACGTAAGCTGCTGGATGCCGAAAAGGGTGGGGTTGCTGGGCACTGCGTATGCGACTTCGCTGCAAAAGGGGAGGTTGTAGATAATCTGGCAGTTCCCGTCGCCCTTGGTGTTAATACGCATTGCACGCCAGACCGTTCCCGAGGTGTCGTCCGGGTCCGAGCCATTTCCACCGGGGCGGGTCAGGAATCCAATATATGTAGAGGAGCTGTTGAGTTCCCGGAGGTGAAACTGCTCCTTGGGGAGGTTACCCAGCCCCCGCCGAGTCATGGATACGTCGGAGGTGCTGGTCTGGGCGAGCCCCTTCACAGCGCAGTAAGAGCGCTCAAGCCCATTGAAGCGGGAATGCACGCCGGTATTTTGCGCGTACATTTTGTAGGGAGGGGTGCGGGTCATGAGCTCGTCGCCGTCTACGTCCTCGTCAAAACCGCCTTCGCGGGAGGAGGTTGTAGTCATGTTCCCTGTGATGAGCAGCGCGGAGCTGTCGTCTGTGTCGATAAGATAGAGGAACTGGTCTTCGATGTATTGGTGGTACGGCCTGGTGGTGGAGAGCACAATCTCATAGTTCCAGATATCAACCCATTCGTCGGTATCGTCGACAGTAGGGGCGTAGACACCAATCCACGTCGAGCCGGATGTCGTGATTGTGAGGTTTCCAAAACCACCAATGATCGGTATCACGGTCTGCGGCTTGTCCGTAACTGCCGGCCCTGGGGCCTGATTCTCGCTGGTGCTGGACATGAAAACCTGGAGCTCCGGAGGTGGTGCTATGGGGCGCTGCGACTCCGGAAGGTCCTGATTTGGTTGGGGCTGTAGACATGTATTGAACGTGATGTAGAGCTCCACGGCATTGTCGTCTTGTCGTTTCTCGTTCCCATGCTCCCCATCCCTCTTCCGTAATTCACTTCCAGCGCCCCGCTTAGCGGTACTCGAGCCGTAGAGATCATTCGGCTCCAGAAGCCAGTAGTTGATTTCCCCAAACTGAAGGTTATACCGTCCAGGAACACCGTTCCCCAGCCCTCGAACGATCTCATTATCCCTTGTCCTCAATTCCTGAAGGTCCTGTAGTTCCAGGATCTGCTCATGCCAGTCATCAGTATCGTCAACATCGCCTCCACCAGCTGCTCCTCCTCCGCGGCAGTCCTCATCCCGCGGTGCACAAAAGTCGCCATTCAGCTCCAAACCGCCCAAAGTTTCCAACCCAGGCAGCCGAACACTGGTATCGAACGAGTACGCTGATCTCGGGTTTGACACAAAGAACAGCACGAGCACAAGCAAAGTCGTAGCAAAAAAGGACGCGAGGAATTTTGATTGTAGCGGCGTGAGGCTAAACGAACATGATGATAGTGACAGTGAGGGCATTCTCGTCCAAGAACGCAGTTTGGCTCCTTCCTCCTTCCCTCACACTCGACTACTTCTGCACTCCTCTCTCTCTCTCTCCTCCGCTGTGTATGGAATTCGCCGGGGCCAACCAGCACACTCAACAAACGGCACGGGGGGGGGGGATAAAGGGCAAAAAAAAGAGAGGCTGCAACTGGTTGACGTTTATCGGAGGTTGGCTCGCGTGGGTTGCGTAAGTCGTGTAAAGTGGATGGGGGGTGGATGAATGGGTGAATAGGTTTGGTAAGTTTGTGCAGGAGACAGATATTCGATAAGAAACAAAAAGATAGATTGATTTTCTTGCGCCTGCGCAATGCTGAATCGGTCTCCTGAAAAGGAACTGTCTGTATCGGGCGCGGGGAGCAGGATTACAACGCAATGCAGCACGGGGGGGAGTGGGTGGGTGGGTGGGTGGGTGGGGCCCAGCTTCCAATGCAGGAGGAAGGGTATCAAGTCAAGGGTATCACAGACAGGCCCAGGAAAACTCGGGAGTGAGTGAGTGACAGCCAGGAAGATGTATGGATGTGGATGTGCTAGATCTAGCTGGTGGACAGATTGGCCAATAGCAGCTGAGAGTAGCAGATATATAGATGGCTGTTTAAAGTAGGTGCCCAACTTTATTCCCTTCTACAGTACTTGTAGTACCTTATTATATGTGTATGCTCGATCCCGCGAACAAGGGGAACGAAGAAAGAAAAACATGCCGTCGTCGTCGTCGTCGTCTTCTTCTTCTTCTTTCTCACAGCCGCAGCCAAACAACCCTTCCAAAAAAAGAACTAATACCCTGGCTACATCTTAGCTAGCAGAGCTAACTACCAGGGTCCAGCTGCCCAGCATCTCACCCCCCCTGCCAAGAAATCAGGGTCCCAACGGCCAACGGTCAACGGGGGAATTACGGATATGTCAAGCACATCATCATCATCACCATCCATCACCAACAGACAGGCAGCCCTAATATATATGTTCCGAATTCCGAATCCCGAGTAGTTGGTTGAACACGATCTGGGGATTCAAATGTGAGTGATCACCACCAGCACTCTATTTTGTTGTTGTGCGAAGACATCTCTATCGACGGACGGCCTTAGCTGGTTGGACCAACTTCCAAGTCCCAACAGCTACTTTAGCTGTTAGCTGAACTCCCGAGAACACCACTGTGATGCCTACGCGTAACGCTAAGCTGCTTCTTAGACAGAGACCATGATGGACCGGGCAATTTTACAGCACTGACCTCACGATGGCGCCATTACCCGTCCCTTCCATTTCCGCGCTGCCAAACAGTTGTCTCATAGTCTATTTTGAGTACATAGAGTTCACCCCCCTGCAATTAATCCGTTCTTCCGCTATGTCCCTACAGTGTAACATCTGGGGAGTGATGTAGCTTCTGTTACAAATATACTGCCGATTCAATTATGGAACCGAAGAACGTGCACATCCCCATCATAACACCGACAGGCCTCTCCCAATATAATATGACGAGCGCTGTAGCGATCACATAGCTTGGCGCAAGTAAGGGTAGAAACGAGATTACGACCCCACCAGTTCGTAACACAGAGCTTAATCGAACTGGCAAGTGAAAGCCATTTATGCAGAGCTCGATGGCCCCCATGATCTCATATTCCTGCAGGATCTTTAAAAATGGAGGATAAAGGCCGGGTTTATGGATCCAAAGAAAATCTAGACGAATAGTCTGACAGTTTAGTAGTCAAAGTACGTACTGGTGGTCTATATAGTTAGCCATATCTCAATTTAAAACCCATTGTCCGATAATAGTGACCAGCTGCTGCTGAAACGTTAGATGCTTGTATAACATCTACATAAAGTGTTACTAACATATTCTATACATACATGTATGTGCAAGACAGCCAAGGCCAATAGTCCAATGTGGTCGTTACAATACCGGGGATTACAGCCGAGTGATCAGTCGTGATCAACATCCCCTGCATCTCCCACATCGACCAACTTGCAACTTGGCTTCTCACACGCACACGTCCCAACCAAACCTGCTGTTCAAAACTAGCGCCTGGTCATTTCCTGTAGGTGATAGGCGTGGGGCTACAATTACCCATATTTATGACCAGCCATACTGTTGACTAGATGAACGTATCACACTCTTACACATACACAGCAAACTAGCAGACAGAAGTACTTTGGCCAATCAGCAATTGCAAAGTCATCTTTGATCCGATAAAAGCCGGTACCGCAAGCTCAAAACCACACCTATTACCGTCGGCAAAGTCTCGCCTAATCGCCATTTGTAAAACCGCATTCTTCCACCCTCCATCATCTTCCATCGTATCCGGATATCCGTGCTATTCCCCACGTGCTATTTCACTGCAGAGACCTTAGAGTTGGATAGTGTGCGGGCTTGTTTCCATGGGGCTCAACTCAATTTCAGCACCTTCTTTTCTTTGTTTTCTCTGGCTGTTTGTTGGCACCTGGTCTTCTCGCTTGGTTTTTTTGTGGGGCCGGCCGGGCTAATTTGTGCGGGTACCCAGTCTCGGCTTTGTGAGTCAAGTTGCCCCTGCGGACTCCAACCCTTGCGCCTTTCCTTTTCTCTTCTATTTAGCCATATATGCGCCCACGCGGGAGTACCGGGGTTGGCATGGGTAAGCTTCTGTAGCACTCCCAAGCCCGAATAGTCGGAACCTTTCTATCCACAATCCAGGCTTCTTCATGCTCGCCACTATCGACAATGACAGCGCCAGTAGAGCCAGTCTGTTTTCAGGTTCTGTGGGTTGATCATGTATGATATGTGAAGTTTATACACGATAATATGTTGCGAGTGATACCGTGTGATTCGTGGCCGTACCCCAAGTTAAAATTGCCTATTTAAAGCTGGTGTCAGCAGAGGAGGCAAGGGAGAAGAGAAGGGGAGCCATGTGGTGGTGAGTTGGTTGATCTGGTCTTGTACGAGTACGAGCTGTTCTCAATAATGTAGCAATATATAGCAATATATAGACACCTAACTACATGAAGTAGTTGCTTGTCCTTATACTACTACTTTAATGCCGTCGACATGAGAGGCAGAACCTTCATGCATGGGCCACAGGGCGAGATGTGATTCTTAATAATTAACAATTTTGACAGTAGCAGTGACAGTATCCCTTAAACAGTTAACAAAGCGCCCACCAGTGGGCTTAAAACTACTACATACAGTCACTTCACAAACTGGCAGCCAGTTTCTCGATTCGCCTCCCTATCTCAAGTTAATCAAGGCCATCCAGTACACCCAGCACCGCACCAAAAGACACAGACTACGAGAGGTTCTCTCCTCTGGCCCATTTGTGAGCCGCCAATCTTACCACCTAACGAACAGTGCAGTGGAACCTATCCCCATCGACGTATCGTTTGATACGCCAATATCAGTCAATGGTTGATGTGCCTCCCAGTATTCAACTTTGAGAATGACAATTCATAAGTACCAACTTTATACCTCTCCTCAAAAAATGTTCCTAAATGTAGGTAGAGACCGGCCGGCTGCCTCAGCTACGAATACTCTGCTTTGCCTCGACGTTTCTCACTGACTACGCCGAGTATTTAGATACCAGCCTATCAGATTTCACAGTGAATGAAGTACAAATGGAAGGGAAGCATACCGCGATTTATACCAAAGGGATATCCTTGACGAGGAATTCCGAATAGTCCGGATCCACAAAGTCATGTGGTTCCCTACATGCCACTACCTACAAACATATGCTCATACTATCCTGTCCGTTAGTGTAGGCGGATAAGTAATGTTATGAATGGGCTAGAGGCAACATGCCTAGCTGGGGGATGGTGGATCACAGTGTATCACTCGCAATACTTGGCTTTTTTACCAAATTGGACGGACCCTGCAGAACATGTCTAAATTTCAACTGTCGATTGTTCCTACTCCGATTTCTTCCTAGACAGCCAGTCACAGGCGAGGGGGAAGAAATATTAAATGGAAAACTCTACATTGGGGAGATTATGAGTATTTGGGGTATACCAATGGAATGCAACCGGAAGGTATATATGGGTCCGATCAGTATCGTGTCTGCATCCACAGGAGCTGGGAGTCTAGCTATCATGTTATTACTCCCTCACCGGGCTCACCACCAAATTTCTTTATATGGAGCCTACCTGTGTGTTGTTATATGGAAGCTGGTATGGTATCAGCCAATAGGAGACTTTTGTGGTGGTGGAGTCCCTGGCTCTTCTAGAAGAAAGGCTGACACTTCTTTTCTTTTGCCAAATAATCACGCATTCGACGCACCCCTCCATCATATTACATCATGCACTATACCCCCCGAGTGAGACACACAATATGGATGTGGAGCCATAGCCAGGCGTGTATGTAGGTCAGTGCGCACATGAGAGTGAGAGACGATGATTGACTACTAAACTATGTAGGTACAACAAAAAACCAGACCAAACGGCGGCCTAGATAGATAGAATTCACACCCACCTAGCTTCTCCATATTACTAATAACTAGAGGTACAAATTCTACCCGCAGCAAGCTTAAGAACAGACACAAAAAGAAGGGCAAAAAAAAATATAAAGGGAAAGGTAAAATAACATGCATCATAATTACATCGCTTGGTTTTCCTTCCTGAGCGTGCCACGATCATTTCATTCAAGGTCAAATAACACCCCCCTACAGACCGACCAACCGACCGCCCACCAGAAACAAAATGTATTTGTGAAAACCGCGGACAAAAAGTATAAAAGAGAAGTGGTAAAATAAAGGTATGGAGAAAGAAAAACAAGATAGAACAGGTCCAGGGAGGAAAGATAACCCAGGTATTCAAAAACATCCCAAAGTTTAGCTAGCAGTATTGGGTATTTCAATCGAAGGTACGAGAAAAATAACAAGGGGTGGCATAAGGTGAAGGGGAATAAGAAAGGTCATTAGCTTTGTGCTTGACCCAAGAAACAAAATTATTATTCCCCTCTATACTCATTGAACGCTGTGCCCGCTTTTCAAGAAAAGGGAAAAGGAAAGGATAAAACCGCGAACCCAATGCTATAATTAATACTTAAACAATTTCCGTCTGTCTTGGTGCTTGCCCCTTCTAACGATGACCAGCGCCATTTGTCCCTGGTCCTTTCCCTGTCAAAACTTCCATATATTTTTCGTAATCGAATCCCTCCTCTTCCCTCTCTTCATCACCGTCCTCGACCTTGACACGGACCTTTGGCATCGTTTTCACGAGCTGCTCAATCATTCCATCCGGTATCAAAGAGTGGCGTAGGTCCACCTCGGTTACATAAGGCTTGCCATCGGCAACTTCTCGGAAACTCTGCCATACCTGCTCCGCTGAGTTCTGGTCCTCCGTTACTTCGACCATGAAGCGGATAAACTGCTCAAACGTCACTGACCGGCCGCCGCAGCTTACGGTATTGAAGACGCTATGCATTTCCTCCTCATCATAGACTAAACCGAGTGATGCGAGGGCAGCAGAGAACTCAAGCTCGTGGAGAGAGTTAGAGAGATCACGGTCGAAGTGGCGGAATACAGATTCAAACTCTTCCAGTTGAATAGGCGTAAGGTTTGTCATGTTCCGGGCGACAATCTGGTTATCTAAGAAAGACAGCTTCTTGGCAACACTTTCCTTTGCAAGCCCGTATTCGTATTCAAGCTCGTCATATGAGTACACAGTGTAATCATTTTCTTCAATATTGGCCTCTTCGCAGTCCTCTGTTAATTTCTCAATGCGGTCGAGCTCAAGTTCGAGGGGAATAATGTTGTTGTGGAGTGTGCGAACTATTCGGAGTTGGTACTATAGTAGACTTGTCAGCAAGTCCGAGTGAGTATTCATGAAAAAAGTGGCTGCAACTAACCTCGGGTTCTCCGTCCAGTTCGCTGATTTGAAGCGATACGGTATTTAAGCATAATGCAAACTCATTTGCAGCGTTGGCGAATTCTCGACGCAGTCCCTCTTTGATATCCCTGATTTTCTCGTTTATCTGCATACTCCTCTTGCCCTCAAACTGAAGCAGGATTTTCCATTCTCTGTCCAGATTCGCCAAACTCAACCCGGCAGGTGGATCGTAGTCTTTTAATCGATAGGTACTCAACTTGGTCTTAATATTACCCAATAAGCTTACCAAGTCCGCCTTCTCCGCCACCCACGCGCGCTTCAGCGTCCGTTTATAGGCACCAAAATTGGCATATTGGCTCTTTGCGTCCGCATATGTTCCCGAGAATTTTGCGGTGGTCCACGTATTGCGAACCTCGTTAATCTGCTTAAGCAGCTCGGTCATCCGTTTTTCGAAATTATGTTGCATACTCCATGCCCCTTGCATAACCTCTACGAATTTCTCAACTCTACGCCCAGCAGTTTCGATTCTATCAAGTTGTGAGAATGCATGAAACCAGTAAGCGATGTAGGTCATCAAGGATTTTTCATCCGGCCTAGCGACATCGCAGACATCCTCAACATCGAGAAGGGCGGGGATGCCGATTTCCTCGGTTGCGATGCGGAAAGCGAGAGCAGTGTTACCCCTGTGGTCAGATTTGTCCAAAGCATCGTAGTCGATCAAATCCGGTCTATGGATATCCAAGAGGGCACAGCTATTTATTTTGTAAGCGTAGCTCACCGGGAAAGGAGAGGAAGTTGCTTACAAAGCGAGACCATTATTCCATGAACTCGAGAAGTCGCGGATATCAACCTCCTCATAGCATGCCGTCTTACGCTGGCACCAGAGTAGTAAACCTTCCTTAGCTGTTAAACCTTCCTCGTTGATGTTGATCGTGAATCGCAGAATCAACATCCATAGCAGACCCAGGATAAGCTTGAGATTCCCATCTACAATATCCTCGGCACCGATGTTCAAGAGTTGAATCCCGCGGCCACGGATATATTCGAGCGCCTTGTGGACATTCTCGCACATTTGCACTCGTAGTCTAGGGTTCGAAGCATATTTCCCCAGTGATTCATTGCCGAGAATTTCTAGGAGGTGGATGAGTAGTACCTGTCAGGTTGGCTCGTTACCAGGTCAGTCACCCCACCATTGTTTGTTTGTTTATCGCGCACACATGCGCCACGTGAAGAAGGGTGGGACAGAGCAAGGAAAGAAGGGCGCAATACCCCTGTGGCAAGATCTTTCTCCAAAGAGTTTGCGGGAGGAATGTTCCGAATTGCAAGTTTGGAGTTGAGCCTGAAAACATTGGTTGAATACCATCAGTCACAGTTCACATCTGCCAGTTCTCATTCAGGGGAAGGATAACGCAGCGGATGGAGGGGAAGCGGGGCGGCGATAACAGGGGGGGGGGAAGCATACCATTTTCTGAAAGTCTTGTCCTGGGTGACGATCCACTGCTGTTGAGCCATCTGTGAGTAAAGAGAGATCTGATTCTCGAGCGAAGAGAGGGGAGGAGTGATGAGAGAAGAAGGGGTGAAAGTAGGGGGATTGCAGATATCAGCTTTTCTAACTGCACAGCGGAAAACAAGCCGTGGAGCAGCAACAGGCAGCTTGTTGGGTGTTACGGACGGGGGTGAGCTTTGCAATTTGGGGATGTGTGGTTGATTGGTGCCGCCTGGAGTTGCCTGATGATGAGCCCTAACCCTGAGATCAACTTGTTTCGCGTTTCGTCTCCACCTTTTCATGTATCTATCTGCTAGGTGCTCTACTCTAGAGTACTATGCCTACTATCTTACCGGGTCGGTACTTTACTGAAAAAATACACACCATTTCCCTCTTAGTCGCCCTATGCCCCCTCACAGACCCGATTCAGCGCTTGTTGCAGTCAGTTTGCAGATGCTAGTCAGAGGTTCATCTTCACCGGACCTCCCTAGGTAGAGAAGTCGTTTACCTTCCTACAAAAGACTTGCCATTCTGAGATGGTTCGAAGGCGAAGTGCTTCATGGATATGCAACTTATTTTATATACATGTATTAATCCACTCAAAGCTCCTTCCCTACTCTAATAACTTGGCGGCTGTCTGCGTCCAATCGGCTCGGAGATAATATAAACATGCCTGTAAAGTTGATTCAAAAGAACAAATATATGATGGAGATTCGATCTACTTAAGCATTTTGATTTTGATTCATGGCCAGCTATAACAACAGCAAGCAAGAGTCACTTCTAACGTCCAGAAGCAATCGGGGACGCCTACCAAACCAAAACAATACTAAAAAATAGAGTTGCAGCTATAGTATGAAAGGGGGGACTCCATCCAGTATTACTAGTAGTTTATCTTTGGATAGCTCTTTTCTGCATACCCTATGTATACCCCATCTTTGGCTATAGCTAATTACTAACACACTCTTAGCCTTGGTCTACTACACTAATGTGCAATTTACTCCGCCCAAATATGTGCCCCGACTGGACGAAAAGAAAATTTAACATTTATCTCATGTTTAATTTACGGGACTATGGGTTGGTACGGTGTCGTTAATCGTATCATTATATATAGACAAAAGCTTTCGAGGATTATTTGCAGTACTTGAAATTGGGTAAATGTCTCCTGGTAGTACTATAGTGAAAGAACGTATTTATAAACTTATGATGAAACCAACGATTGTTAATACATGTACGCATCTAGACTCTGTAGCAAAGACCCAAACCATCTTAAACAACATGCAAGGTTGCCATTCACAGATTATCACTCGATGGTTATGCGGCCAGAGATATGCCATAAGTCGTGTCTACATGCACCACGGCAGAGCCTAGGGTGGATTCACGGAATCAATTGGAGAATCAACTTCCATATGGATGTGTCGGACCTTATTACATGCGCTACAGTTACGTGCTGTATGTCCCCTCCCATATAATCGGTGATACTGCATCATGTATGTATACGTTGCATGTAAAGTATAAATCATATACAGTCATTTCAAAAGTTTTCGTGGTCGGGGGTCCGGCAGCCTCTAATTAAGATAGTTAAATGTAGTTACATGACTATATCCGTAACTGTATATCCGTAACTGTATATCCGTGCCTCAAAATTAACGCTTCCTATATCCTAATAATTTGAATTGTGATGTATGTAGTTGGTATATTTTATATTTCCCAAGCTCTTTTTGAAAATTTCATCATGGCATGGTTGATCGAGAGCGGTTAATCACACCATAAGTACTGTCGTTCACGGGGTATTGGTGGATACTGGGTATTGGCGAATTGCAGGTAAAAGTTGGCTTCGCTGTCTCTTTTTTGCCCTGTCCGCCATCACCCAGTATCCGCCAATACCCCGTGAACGACAGTACTCACGACGCGACACCTTTAACTCTGAGTTGGCGGCGATCCCCTGGTCCCGCCAAACAACGCATATATATGCACGGGGTTTCTTGTCTTTTTTCTTGCTCGTTCCAGCTAATACCAACCACAAATGTAACCCCCATGAATAATAAAGATACATGTTTGTAACTTCAAGTCTCATCTCATTTCCCAATCCTACTTTGTGTTTCTCAATATTGGCCTCGCTAGGTCGACGTCCAGCTGCGTTACACGTGTACTCTAATTTCCCACTAATGACCAATTCTACCCTACAGATTCATAAAGGCCACCTTTTATTATCACAATTAATAACTAATTTTCTCTTCTCAGTCTAAGATATTTCATTACCGGAGCTTTAAATTCTCCATATAATGACTTAGCCCCGGCTCAGGTTGAGGTAGTCCAACAACCTCAAGAGGAATTATCGGGGGGCTTGATTTAGATGCAGGAGTAATTGATACTGGTTACCCTTGAAGATGATGTGATTCTAGATCTTCACCTAGTTAATAGCTCGACTTGCCGGCGCTGTCCATTCAGCTCTCAATCCCTCAATTTGCAAGTCTGTCCCTTGGATACGAATAAACCTTTTTCCAAACTAGAATACAGGTATTGGAGTCAATCACACAGAGAGTTTGCAATACGTGGATGTTTGAATACACAATTTAATAAGGTCACTTATATATGTACTTTTATACCATATTCACTGCACTACCCTCCAAATATACATGTATCTCCTAGACGACTGAAACGGTTACGGTAACATTATTAGTTTGGTCAGTCCTCGGCCAGAACTCGACTATCACGATATTAGCATAGATCTACTCGATAAATGGAATTTGAGTGTGAATATCTTACAGGTAAAGTCAACGGCTTGTCCTGAACTCTTCACTGTATTCAAAATGGAGGAGTAAAGGACCAGGTTGTTCCCATTGGTTCCAAAGTCACCCCAATTAATGCGACTGTGTCTACGTTAGCGATAGCTAAGGAGGTGAGATGCGGGGGAATTACGCTTGCTGTAGAGGCCCGTTCCACTGCGTCCAGTCATCTTTGAGGTATACGCCGTCCTTCCTAACTGCTTTAACAGTCGCTAATTTTGCTCCATTCCACACAACTGGGATGCTCAAATCGGCCGTGCTCGTAAGTTCGTATACGTTCTGAGCCACAGTTGGAGTATCGTACACTGTGACATCAAGTGGAAGCTGAATACCAGCTGAACTCTTGACTGTCAACGTATCCCTCACACCGACAGCTGCGTTACTGGTAACCTTGTCAAAATACGCCGACGTGAGATTGAACCCCGTTGCGGTGGTAATGTAGTCAGTTCCTTTCTTCAGCATGCTACCTTGATTATTGACAACACTCCTCAACACGTTCCCGTTGTACTCCAAGTTCACCTGTGCTGCTGCTCCAGCGGATTGCCCCTTCTTTACCCAGATTGTGGCAAGCTGGTCATATGCAGGCAGCGTATTCGGAATATCCCTCACCGCATTCTGAATGATTGCCAGTTTAACTGGATCTCTCCACTTCTTGTTAACGCGATCATAATGATCGTTTCCATTATCCCAAAGTTGTGCACCAAGCTCGTACTTCTTACTTGTGCGGACGAAGAAGTCAAAGTAATTCCATGCCGCTCCGTTTTCTACCGACGTTCCCGTGAGACCCCACTCACCAATCATTGCAGGAGCCTGGAACTTTGTTTGAAGTGCGATAAAAGTATCTTCAATAGCCTGTTTATCGGCGGCCGTTCCCCAAAAGGTGCGGCCCCAGGAGGTAGAGACGAAGTCCCAGGGGTCGTAGTCATGGACATGGAGGATGTAGTTGGAAGCATTGGCCGGCTCGACAAACCAATCAACCGTGCGTTGAATGTTTGTGTTCAAGCCGGGGAGGGTGAGGAGGCGATCGGCATTATAACCACCGGAAGAGCGAACGATATTGACAAAACGTTGATTTGCATCGTTATATCTAGGTTGTATTAGTAATTAACTATATTGATAATAGCACAAGTGAATTACTTACTGTTCGGCATTTTCTTGACTACTGCTACCGGCTGGTTCGTTCAAAGACTCAAGAATGAGTTTCTCAGACTTTGACTTGAACCGGTCCGCGATCTGGACCCAAAGTTTCTCAAACTTGGTCTTCCTCTCCTCGAGAGTTTCCGGTTCAATTGTAAAGTCTGCCCATTGCCAGCTGTCGTGGTGGACATTGAGGACTACCCAGAAACCTTTACTAAGAGACCAATCCACGACCGTCTCAACACGATTCATCCATGCTGGATTAACAATATCTATACCCAACGTCAGCACTGGTATTAAAGGCTTATGTAGTGAAAGCTATCATGACATACAGTCTGGAGCTTGACTTGCAAAGTGGTCGGTCCATGTTACGGGAATACGGACGGACTTAAAACCGGCTCTTTTGATCTCGTCGAATGTAGATTCGACCACTGCCGCATTGCCCCAACTGGTCTCATCTGGAATAGCATCGAGAGTATTTCCAAGCTGTGGGAATAATTAGAAAGACACTAGTTACTAACTGCACATGTGCACTTACATTCCATCCGGGGTTGATTGCAGACCATGCCTCTTCGGCAGTAACAACCCTGAACGCGATGGCAAACTGGGCGCCGCCGGCCACAGCAAGAAGAGAGAGTCCTTTCAAGAACATCGTGGGAGTATATATTGCAAGGTTGGCGAAGGAATTATCTACAACATCTCCAGTTTATAAAGGCCACTGCCCAGAAGTTCTATATTGCATACCATCGGAGTTCAATATACGATGCCCCGAAATCTTCTTGTCTTTATGGAAGTAAATTGAGGCTACTCCGTTCAGATAGTCTGTCAATTAATTAGGAGCAATAGAGTACCCGGCTATTATATGGAATTGTACTTGATGTGGAATCTGGGCATTCATGTCAGGTACGAGAGCTTCGGGGTTTGAACCGATGGGGCCGCCGATGAGACATGGATATACGCTTGGCGGCCATTGCATAAATTGGTCTTGTTATTACACATGATGAGAAGTAGAAGGTAGGTACTCTCTTAGAAGAATCTTGGAGGAATAGTGTCGGTAAAACGGGTTGATTTTGAAATACTGCCGCCAAATGATTGGGGCGTTGTCCCTCTCGCGCCGCCGAAAGTTAAGCTTAATTTGAGGTTGCTTAACGTAACCCCGGGTCTGCTTTTAGTCCTTTGTTCCTAACCAGAGTGAAATTAGTCGTGATTTACGGCAATGGGGAAATTTAAACATCATACGATATCACCCGTTGTCGCTACCTCTACATGTAGTTTCTATTACCGTCACATAAATACTAGATGTATGTAGGATCTTAACGATCGCCATGGTTTTCTATTACAAGAGAGAATCAGACGGGTTAGCGAAACCACATGTACGCACATAAGTACTCTATTTAGGCCGTGTCTTCTTCTGGGTTCAAACTTTAGTAATACAGTCAACACCATTGAATGTGCGTGGCCTAGCTAAGAGGGTTTGTGACTGGTGGTTACTTCATGGCCACGGGTCTAACTAAACAAAGCCCGAATTATCGCTACCTATTGCAATACTTACGCTCTACTCACACGTTATGTACGTAACCTGTCGCAAAAAGAAATTTTCGTACATGTATGCATCATGTACGCGAGGTTTCACCCGCGATGTGGAAATGATATGTAGGACAAAAGCAACAGATAAAGATAATTCTCGTATTATATTTCTCTCCATTACAACCACCCCCCACGTAACGTGAACATACCCCTGAATTACTGCGTTCCCTATTTCACCCCTTTACACATTTCCCATAATAGTACATCACAAAAGGAAAGAAAAACAGAAAAACAATTGCCATTTCAACATATCCCCATTCGACGTGGTGAAGGAGGTGTAAAGAAGTGGTTATTATATCTCAAGCTGTTTTTCGACCCTCTAGAACAAGAATGCAGCAGCAACGGCACCTGCAGCCACAAGACCGAAAGATGCACCGTTCTTGATGGCAGCTCCAGGCGCATCACCAGTTGAAGAGGCGCTGGCGGAACTGCCAGTTGTGGTAGAGCTGGTACCAGTGGAGGAAGTTCGGGTGCTGGTGGTAGAAGTTGTGAGGTTGTTTGTAGCAGTTGAAGTTGAGGTCAAAGTTCCATTTGAAACACCACTTGTGACGGCAACAGTAGACGTAGATGTCAAAGTTCCGTTGGCGATTGTCGTTGTAGTAGCAGCAATACCAGTAGTGGTGCTGGAGATGGGGTTTGTGCCATTTGACTGGGCTGAGACCGAGACGGCGAGGAAGGCGAAAAACGCGAGGAATACGAGGTAGTAGCTTGGAGAGGACTTCATGGCTGCGTTTGTGCTTGCGGTGACAGTGTCGTTTGAGTTTGAGGAGGAGGACGACGATGTAGCGGTAGCAGAAGGGTTGGAGGTGGTAGAAGATAGAGTTGCGTCAACTGTTTTTCCTGGCCAAGTGGTTGCTTGAGGTACTCCTGTGATTGTAGTAGGGACGACAACACCGGAGGGAACTGAAATTTGGAGCATCTTGACCACCTCTTTATATCATTTTGCACCTTTCGATCAGCAGTACTTCTAAAAAAGGAATTATTTTTTCACTAGGGAGGGTGGCTGGGCAGGGGATGCCATAATGTGCTGACGAGTCTTTTCGAGAAGAAATTGTCGCAAATGGACTTTTGAGTGCCGGTGAGGGAAATCCATGCTAAGTGTGGGTGGGAGGGGATAATAATAATGCAGGTTGCTTACCTGTAGGGGCTGGGTAGGTGACATTGTACATAACTCCACAAACTTTGTAGCCAATGCTGATAGCTTCGTAACTGAATGCAGATCGGAGAAGTCAGCACTACTACTCTAAAAGGCTCTTGATGAAAATCCTCTTCCAAATGGAGAATTAAAAACCTACATTGCGGTGTTGTTGTTGCCACACTATTAATAGAAACAGTTATATATTAGCCTGATGACTCTTTGTGGGAGCAAAGTGTGGCTGGCTGGAAACTTACAGGTTCATTGAAAACACAGTCGGCCAGTTCTTTAACAAAGTCAACATCTGTGCAAATGCAGCTCATGATTTCGTTGATAGCTTGCAGAGTCTCATCATCACTCCCGTAGTCGCCACTTTTGATCATATCGGCGTATTGCGAATTATCCGTGAGTTGCTCCGTGACGCACTAGATTCCCGGCACCGGGTGATTATCAGAAAACATAGCCCCGGTTAGGTTTATAAGGGGATTATGTGATGAGGCAGTAACGCAGTTGGGGCATACCTGGGGCAGTTCACTTCCAGATCCGTATTTCTCCAGTGCAGGGCATTCATACATGCAGTCTGGTGCCTGGTCGGCCTCAGTGATGGTAATACCATTAATGGTTTGCGAATCATCTTCACTCTGCGCGACTCCATTGACACTAGAAATCACAGAGAAGGATGCAAGAAAGATAGTCAATAGGCGCGGGGCGCTAAGTAAAGAGCGTTGAGAGACCATATTGTTGGCGGTTGGATATTAACGAATGAATCAGATTGTAGTAAATCTCAAGGGAATGTGAATACCGGCCAATGTAACGAATGATGGTACTGAAAAAAGGTAATATAGAAGGAGCGAAATTCGGGCTTCTTATCCTTTTTTCTAAGCGCAAGTAAGAAGCTTAAATTCCTCAAGCTATCACGCCTCCGTGAAAAAAGGAGGAGCTAAGGTAGTACAAGCATCCTATAAGGGAAGTTGGAAGTATCATGAAATTCGACGTTAAACCCCCTCGTGCTTGCGACTGGTTGGAAGTGAGTTGATTTAGCCTAGTACATGTAGCTAGTCCTTGTGAAAATTCATTTGTCTACGCCGCTTGCACACGCTACCAGGGGAATTTGGAGTCATGCTGATACATACATGTAGGTACTCTAAATTTCTAAAACTCTTTATACGAGCTTCCTTAGCCCGAGGTCTCCTTGGGCCCATGAAATTCGGTTAGATCCGAAAGCCCTAGCTACATTACATACCCTGCCGCACCGTTGATTCGGGTTTCCGGCTTGCCGAGTTGTTTCGTTTCCTTACTTTACGTGCATACATGTATTGTAGTTACAGGCGCCTATCAGCCAGGTGCGTTTTACATGTACTACATTATGATAAGGTACATGTACTTTAGTTTCGTTTCTCATTTCTTTCAGCATGCGTGCACGCCAAGGGCTGGTAATGGTAACTACATGTACATGTGCAATACCTGTGAGTTGCTGAACCTCTTCTCTTGGGGACGAAAGGTTTTATAGGTACGCGTGTATAAAAATATACTGCATGCACATGTGCGTAGTGATGTTACTTGAATGGTATTAATTCTATAGCGTTGAAGTTCACATCAAAATAACACGGAAGGTACGTGGCTCTAAATAAGATATTGCTTAAATCTTATAATTACCAAACATAAAACGTCGAGAAAGATAATGTCGACACTGTCTGAGATACAGCTGTTACAGTTCAGCCCCCGGTCGAAAGGAGATGATCATGTTACAAATGGCTGGTTGCGTAAATTTATGCTTGGTAGATTTCAACCTCACTTAAAGGCATTGAACAAAAAAAAAAACAAGTACATGTAGTAAGTAGAATCATAGTGAAATGCTGTAAAGTAATTCGCTATCATGAAACCCTTCCCCTTGTCAAGAGTATTGTATTAGGTGAGTAAAAGTAAGGCAACATTGATCTTGCCTGGCCTTAATCCTATGGGATGGCATTTCAATCTGGACTGGTTCAGTATCCCAATCCGCAAGTTTCCAAGCATTTTCCCTTACTCTACACTCAGCATCAGTTGTTGATTGCCTTTTAACGACTTTCTTCAACTCTTTATCCACCAACCCTTAGTTGCACCTCCATTACCCTTCTCATTCTATCTCTGCTAGTCAGACAGGCAGGTGGAAATTCTTCTTCTGCTTGTTCTTAAAGCTGTGCATTTGTTGCTACACTTCTTACTAAGGGTGTGGCGAGCCGAACGTACCTCTGTTCTTTTTCCCAATACAGGGGAGGTCTTGTCTGGGCAACACAGCTTCCCAGACCACATCTATCTTTCTCTACCCAAAAGAACCTACATGCACTCATAGAAAAGTATCTGCCAACCGCCTGGAGAGCATTGATTCCACTTTTCTCTTGGTCTTGAGAGCTAAGGAAAGTACACGGCCGATATTTCTTTATTTTCTTTGGGCGCCGGAAAAACCGGAGGAGGGCTATCTAGATCAAATCAATCAACCTCCGCGCATCGCCAGTAATCTTCCCATCCATCATCCCTTCGATCCAGAGCCCTCTTGCAACACAACCTACCTGACTGAACCTTGCCTACCTCTCAACTCCATCTGTCTCGACTGATACCATATCTAATCAGGCCTTTTTATTTTACCGGTAATTAATCCTTCTTTCTATATTCATTCTACTTTGTGTGTCTTTTGATAAACGCGGCCGTTTCCTCGTACATTTCCGTTTTTCGTTTTTTTACATCCCCGAACGATTGGCTTGGAGTGTAGGTCATCATTCACACGTTTTTTTTTTTTGCGCCTTTCTATCCATCAGCCTCGACTCACTGCGCTTCATTGCGTTGCACTGGGAAAAGGCCTGATTGATAAAAAGTCAGTACAATCTTTTTTTATTTTAAATACGCTCTACTATTTCTATTGGAATTATCATCTCCGAAAAGCAAGAGCTAATAATACCTTCACGGGTTTATAGAAGTACCTCCTGTTTGCAGTGTGCTTATATTTGATCAACCTCTCTCTCTGTCTGTCTAACAACCCATCTCGGAAATCTGTAAGTGCCACAACCCCCTCCCCTCCTCCCAACCATCACTCTTGCCTTTCCCTACCTTGTCTCTCTCTCACAACACGTTGTTGCTATTTCTGTTTGTGGAAGAATCGTTTTTCCTTTTAAAAATTTGTATCAGTCTTGATACCCCTGTCGCTTAATCCCATTATTGTCTCTAACCTAACCTACCTGCCTACCTGCCTAACCCCCCCCCCCCCCTTTCTTCTTTTCCTTACATAAACACCTTTCGTCGTCGTCATCGACAATCGATCATCTACTTGAACAATATACATCATATATATCTTATAACTATGAATTCATTTTAACTGGCTAATAATTTATAGCAACTTTTTTTTTCGTAATCTTTTTTGTTGTGTGTGTTGTGGTTGCTCTTAGTACACCACCAACCAACATCAATCATCATGAGGGGCCGAAGAGGTCAACGTGGTGGTCGAGGTCGAGGACGCGTTCGTGGGCAATCTTATCCACAACGTAGACTCACTGATCAAGGCTCGGAAGAGAATAACAATGAGGACTCATCGAGGCCTCCCACACCTCAACCGCAAGATGGTGAGCCTGAGGAAATAGAAGTAGATGAGGATGAGGTTTCACCTGCTCCTACCGTCCCTACTCCTCCGGCTCCAAGAACATTGGCCCGCCTTCCTTCAATGCCATTGCAGGTTAGTTTGCGCGCTAGGAAGGGCCTACACAGTAGTCCTGCCGATAGTGAAATGGCAAAGGAGAACAACAATTTGGGCACTGCTGCCGTTGCTATAGCTGCTGAGACACCTAATACTTCTGCTACGATGGAGACTTCAGGCCATGATGGATCTTCTTCGGAGGTTGAGGATCGACAGCCAAAGAGAAGACGGATTCTTGAAAATGGATCAGCTAATGCAGCTCCTCTTACATCAGATGCTACACCTACCACCCCCACAAGGGGGAGAGGTAGGGGTCGGGGAAGAGCCCGGGGAAGAGCTCGTGCAGAAGTCGGTAGGCCCAGAGGTAGTAGAGGTAGAGGCCGAGGAAGAGGGTCACGTGGTGGCCCCGGCTCAAGGGGTGGAAGAGGTGCGTATCGCACACGGGGAAGAGGACGAGGCGGCCGAGGCGGCAGCGCCTCAGTCAGGACTGTGGCAGAGGGGCCTGTAGTTGAGGCCGCATTGATGAGGGTACCAGAAAAAGAAGATAAAGAACAAGACACTACGTCGGCAACCGAGTGGTATTCTGGTGTCACAGGCACTTCTTATCGTAATCCATTACACAGCAAGCTAGATGCACTTCGGGAAAGGGAGATTAAGCTTGCTGCCGACTTGGCATCACTGGAAGATCTCAAAAAACGCAACTCTGATATAAAGGATCGATTTAAAGTTGTTGCAAAACTAATAGTTACTCGCCATCAGACTCGTGCAAGCAAAACCTTGAAGGAATTGAAGACAGGTAGAGACGTTACCAGTCAGGCGCCATGGGCTAAGGAGATCTATGGCACGTTAGATGACAGGCTCGAGACACACTTGAGCCATCTAGATGGCGAAAAGGAGTTTAAACAGATCAACGGAGTACAAGTTTTTCAGAACAGCTGTAAAATCGTACAACGATCATTTGAGGTAGGAATTTTTCTACTATATTTTACTTTGTGTATAAAAAGATTAATGCAGTTTTTTTTAACCCTTATTTTCTAGATATCGATGGGCGAGTGGATGGATCGCTGTGTCGTGGCATTCATCCGAGAGAAGCGTGACATCTCTGAGCTTTGGAAAGTCAGAGACCCATATCTCAATCAGTGGATCCTCCGCAGATGTGGAATAAACAGGACCGAGAATGTTACGATGACCGATTTGATCGAAACATTTATGCACCGTGAAGGCCGCGATCGCTGTAGATATGATCGACCGCAATTGGCCACTCGGACTAACGAGGGTCTATTCGACCGCAAGGTCAGTGAGACATGCACTGCAAGAGCGAGAAGAATATTTGGCGAGTGCATTAGAGTTGAAAAGGCCTCACTTATGACACCCCCTCAATCGCCAGGGTTAGAAGCCAATAACACAGATGATATGGAAATTGATAGTCAAATATTGGATGAACTTTTGTCGAATCAATCAATCTACGATCGTCTTCGAGATAACGACAAGCCAGGAGTCGGAAAACTTGATTTTGTTCTTGACCGTGAGTCTTCTCGAATCTTATATCTCATAAAAGATCATTTACCTAACACCGCGTGCTTAGACAAATATGACCCTAAGAATCCTGCCCAGGTTCTCCCGCCAAGGAGATACACCACTCGCGAAGCTATGGCTGTTGACAGCTTAGTTCGCTTGAAGGAGGGCATAGAACTTGATTCAGAGGACGAGTTCGATAAATATTCTGAGGGGGACTACTACTACGATGATGAGGATGAAATTATGTCTGTAGACAAGGATCTACTTAAGGAGAAAAGTCCTGATCAGAGTGGTTCGGGAAAGGACCATGGAAACAGAGAGCTTGTTGATCGAGAAAGTGAAATGTGGGATCTTGTCCCTTCTGACCCCCACCGGAGCAGTGGGGAGGGGCGGGAGTCCTCGGTGGAGTCTGAAAGGGAAGAGGTCATAGTGCCAAGCCCCAACTATCTTGCCGAACCTAAGACTTCAGGCGTTGAACCTTCTCGAGAGAGGTCACCATCATCTGGCCCTCTCACATCTAAGCATTTTGATTTCGTATTGACCCCTGATGCATCATCTCAAGATCCTGTGTCTTATCCAGCCAGGGCAATGGAAGATGGGGAGGTACAAATGCTGAGCACCAGTCCTGATCTTCCCCAAAAGGCAAATGGTAGGTTTATCTTACCTTATAATCCGTAGTTATGAGATCAAGAAATTGACAACCTTTTTCTCAAAGGTCATCCAAGCGATAAATTAACCCCACCAATACCCGGAAACGGAACCTTGATCAAGGCTGTAGGTTTACCACAAAAACGCCTTCGCGATGGATCCGAAAAAGTACAACAAGATTCTAGCAAAGAAAATCTCCGGCCCAAGCTTCCGGATATCCCGAAGCCTCCAAACGACAGACTAGAAACCGTAAAACCGCCCAAAAGGCCGCCTTATGATGCTATATATCCAGGGGTTTCTACTGGTGCTAGACATCCATTTTTGAACGATAGAAATTTTGACAAACCGATAAAAGGAAATAATGTGGTCACCGTGAGCCATAGTCCGCAAAAGAATGCACAAAAACTCTTTACTGACCCACCTGGATTCTCCCCCGTCCTGATGTCTTCCCCTTCTTCCAATGGTACCTCCGGAACAGCAGGTAATCGACCAGTTCCTAGTGCTACTTTTAGAGCGAGAGGGTCTTCACGCAAAGAACCTGGTAGACCGGGTCGAAAGCCCAACAACCCCTCCACCCCGTTGTCGTATGTGCAGCCTGAATATCCTTTACAGGGCAAAGGTCGTATTCTTTCACCAAAGCCGCCCCAAACACCAACTCAGATGGGTTATCCTCCGACTGGATACCCTGCGTCAAAGTTTACAATTCAGTCTAATTCTACCGTTCAACCCTCGTATCTAAAGCCGTATGCTGCCGCCACGGCACCTTCCCCCCTAAGGAGTCAGTCAAGGCCCCCATATGATCCCCGCGATAGTCCCAATCCCACATGGGCTGGGGCTTCTTATTCTTATACGAGCCCAGGCCAATCTTCATCTCCATACCCACCGTCTGGCGAGTATAATTATGACCCCTCGCGTTCGTCAGTGCCTCCCCAAGCTCCATACCATGCCCCTCCTGTCGGATACGGTCCCTATGGCGTCCCGGGAGGGCTAGTTCGGAATACCCCAGGACCTACCGGGAATCCGTTCCAGTCTAATAACTCTACTCAAACTCCCTATAATAGCCAACCTCCTTACTTCACTCCACCAGGCCTTACTTCAACTGCACCTCTACCCCCACCATACCAGAGGCAGTACCCTCCAAGTCCGAGCTGGGGGACATCACAAGCTCCAAGCACCCCGGCACATCCTCGAAATGGTTTACAGGGGAAGCACCCCTACGAGGGGAAAGCACCGCAGTTATTTACTCTACCACCTACTACCCCTACGCCTTCAGGGCCGCAACAAGAACCAGTCAAGTACTATGTTGGTGATGGCGTTTATAAAACTGCACCTTCAACCATCGAGAGACTGCCTTCACTTACACTGTCGCAAGGAACAGTTTTCGAAGAGGATAACTTGTCAAAAAATTTAAACCAAATGGCCAGAGACGGCAATTGGGGCTCTGGAACCCCTGGAGGCGGAAACCCCGGCTCCCAAGGGACCGCGCTCTGAATTTGGGCACGATGATCTGATTGATTAATCAAAAGAAGGGTTATAAAAATTTTGGGAAGGTGTTATGGAAAGTGGCGTGTAGAGTTTGCGAGGACCCGATCCGACAATAGCGAATCCCACACAAAATTTGGAATAGTGGTGTAATAGTGGTGTATATGATTTGGGCGATGGAGTTTTAGGGTTCATTCCTGCGGGTCTTTTTTTTTTTTTTTTTTGTTTAATTCATTAATTGCATTTCCTGCGGGTCTTAGTGCCTCTTGCATATTTCTTTTTTCTTTCTTTTCTACTTTCTTTTTACTTACTTACACGCCCTATCCCTGCATTTTTATAACACTCGTTCAATTCACATATATACTTAGAATGGTATCAACCTTTTACCCCGACGAGTGTCGATTAAGCTTATTATTCATTATTAGAAGCGGTATTATCCTCGTTTTTTATGTACTCCACCTCCTTTTTATTTATATCCTTTGTTCCCCCTTCTCAACGGCTCAAAGCCTTCGGCTCACCCCCAGTCAAATTTTTGCTCATCATAAATAAGGGACTTTCTTTTGTCACAACGAAATTTTAAATGCGCAAAGGAACGAGGAACCGGAACCGAAGCATATTTTTTTAAAAAAAAGAAATTCACATGTAAATTCGAGGCAGTTTATTATATCAATATTCAGTTTTCCAGTTTTAAATGTGCAAGGCAAAATACTAGACATACATGTAGTTTTAATAATCCACATCCTTAACCAGATTCATTCTGGTAATTTTGCCAAGACGAGTGACGCCTGGTGAACCGGCTGTTGAAGGCTTTAGTAACAACCACATGCGCTGCGCGCAATATATCACCGTGCTGGGTAGAAAGTAACATAGATAATTATGAAAATATTCTCATGACTCACACTCGTTGATTTTATAACTAGAAGGGTCAGTCAAGATTACTCATACATGTAGTGGTGCCTACTAAAGCCTATATATACTCGCAAATTGTAAAATCATGTATAACAATGAGATTAATAAGTAAACTCTACCATAGCAGTTCAGTTATTACATATATCTACATGTATCTATCTACCACCGGTTACTAGACGCATATCAAATATCAAATATCAATCAGTATCACCCCCCCCCCCCCCCTTCCCCGGGTTAGCCCGAAGCCATTAAGCACGTCTTGGTGAATAGGATTCATATGGATTTGCCTAAATGTCCCAAAGATTTTCATATAGTAATTACACTAAAGTCTCGCATGTTCTCCATCCAGCTCATTCTAGTTATTTAGTCTAGAAATAGCAATAAACTTTCGGGCTTTCTTGGGGCTCAAAAATAGTTAAATTAGTCTGTTTCTCACGCATAAACCAATGTTTTCCGCCGGAAATACGCCTCTAAATATGGACTGCCAGCCCATGAGCCTTGAGGATATCAAAATCGCGAACCCCACAAAGATTATGATTCCCATTGAAGAGCTCGTGTTTGTGCCAGTCGTTGATATAAGCAGTATTGTCACTACAGCTATATGTACAAGTGACAGCAAATTTCTAAATCAGGTTCATTCGGTCTTCCTATAATAGGTTTCTTTAGTGGAAAGGGTCCTCTAGTATCTGGTGCCTAAGAAACCATATGATTGAAACATTACACAACAGCAGTAGCAGCGGCCTAAATTAAACTTTGAGATATTATGCCAGTGACATATAATATGCTTTTTGTCTCTGTTACGTATAGTCTCGCTGATGGTGTATAAAACACTCCTAGTTTCCGAAGTATCTATTACTTTCCAGCAGAAACAGTCCATATTTCTTCGGCGATGGATGTAGGGGGAACATAATTTTTGAGGAGAGCAGTTTAGAACCCGCTGGTTTTCCGCTATGCTTGCGATCGAACCACGCCCTTGAACGATCGAATGAAAATTATCGTCTTATATAATTTTAGCGGATGATCCAATGTTTGTCGATTTATGCGAATAATACTCTTTTCTGATGGATTGTACATACATAGTTTGTAATTGATATTAGGTTATATTGACTTTTTCTTTGAGTAAAATATCCAAGATTTAAGCTCACAAGGCAGACCTGCAAGAGGTGGGATGCACAGTAGACTTGACAACCTATGTCTATGTTGCATATTCCATATTGTGGTGTTTCCATATTGTACATATGGTTGGTCCATATTTAATTGCTCGGAAATATGAGTCCAAGATCATTCAAGTATATAGACTGGAACAGAGTTGGCGAACACAACTTTCAGCGAGGTAATCATCGCTTCACAAGAAAAACAGTATGATATCAAATCCCGGCCGCTGTATTAGCCATCTGTGTTTATTTATTTCATGAGCTTTAACCGCCGTCTATTCTACCTCTTTGAAAAGAATAAGTTGGTCGCAGCACAATGTCACTCAGAGTATTACTCTTCTACCTCCATCTCCTCATCATCTCCACCCTCGACCATGCTTTCCTTAGCTAGCTTCTCGGCTTCAGCGACCAGCTCTTTTGGAACCTCTTCGTGCTTTCCCCATCCCTTTACTATACCCTCGCCTGACTCAGCGGTGGCAAGTTTTTCATGCCTGACCCATGTCATTTCGAGCTCAAAATCTTTATCTTTCGAGTTATCGTCATGCGCAAAGTATATGATTCGGGCGGCATGCTTGACGGCCTCTTTAACGGTGATATTGGGCAAGGGTAGCTTCTCGAGCTCGGCTTTGGCAGCCTGACGACCACGACCAGTAGCAGCACCGAAGTAGCCCTGTATTAAGAGTTTTAGTAAATAGTGAGAGCTCTTTGTCTATCTTTAAAGGAATCTTTAGAGCGAGTTGCATACCCAACCAACACCACTTGGCTCAACCATCCACAAACCCGGGCCGCCTTCCTCGTCCATCCCTGCAATGATTGCAGTGACTCCAAATGGTCTCACACTAGAGTAGAGAGTGTATGCCTGGGCATACCCGCCCATCCTGTCCGCCAGACTGGAAACTGGGATAGGGGTGTGATAGAACTTTCGCCAGGATGCAGCCTCACTACGGGCGCGGGAGGTAAAATGACGAGCGTCGGGGATAAGACCGGAACATGCCTAAAAACAGGACCGGTGATGGTCAATTTATCTGCTGTTGGTAGTAATGAGAAGGGTGCGCTCTGGGGAGATTTACGAGTCCAACATGTCTATCGACCATAGCAATCCTTTTGTTACTGCCTGGGACCAAAAGCTTGCTCCCAATCAGCTTTTCGACTGCAAGGACGACGCCATCTTTGCACCGTATTCCGATGGCGGTTCCGCCGTTCTCGACAGCTTTAGTAGCATATTCTACCTAGAAATTGACCAAACTCTAATCAGCGAGGAACTCTCATCTAGTCAAAGACTCGAGCAAAAACACAGAGAGAGAGAAATCCCTTAACTAACCTGAAAATTTCTTCCATCGGGACTGAAAACGGAATTTGAAAGATCGTATCCTGTTCCGATTGATGTCTAAGCCGAAGCCTCTATCAGCAACCACCCCGCAGCGACCCCACAATATATTCTGAAACATTCGGTAAACAAAGCTGGGGGAGTGGTTACCATGACGGACGGAAGTTCTGATTACCGGTGGATGGATGGAGGATGATGATGATGATAGTAGTTTGTTGGGCTTTGGGTTTAATTCGTGGTGCTCAATATTCTCTATGGCATCAGACAGCGGAGGGGAGAGGTGAGAGCTGCACGCGTTACGCTAAGCGTTTCTAGGAAGCGGCTCCCAGGGCTCAGGGCAATACGGTCCGGGTAATGATACTCCTTCTGCAACCAAACTTTAAGCTTGAGTCAACCAAACCATGCCTCCTCCATCAGCCCTCGCTATTAAAACATCCTCTGTTATCCGACTCGTAAAAGAGGAGGCTTCTTATCATAAAGAAGCTGCTCAGCAGAAAGCTCAAGTCGAAAAGCTTGAAGCAGATGGCGCTGACGAATATGAGCTGAGGCAACCGGTTCGTCTTTCTTCAAGTTCTGAAGATAGCTTTTTACACGTATTGACTCTTTGAATATAGAAAAAAGCTCTTGAAGAAACTCTTGTGATGGCTCCTGCGGTTAGAAAGAGATTAGCTTCATCTCTTGAACTTCTTCAAATGGCTCTTGTTAGTGCTGCTATCTAGCTATCCGTTTTTAAAGTCTCAATAATATCGTCTAACTTAAATGAAATCAGGACGACGCATCCGAGGCCGAAACCGCCGAAGCAAAGGAGAAGGCCGCTAAAGCTCTCGAGGATGGAAGGAAGGTTCTTAAGGAATACGGCGAATATGAATAAAAGGCCTTGCAATACAGTATGATTTCTGGAGCTAATAAAATGCTGTATTAAGATACCATAGAGCTAAATTAAATGTGTAACCCGAATACTAGATATTTACACTTCTATACTCACCTGGACCTTTGATTGATTTGCAATTGCTAATAGCTTCACATTGTGATCATTTCATCCAATTGTAAACAGTATAAATATTCTTGTGGCATCATGGTAAAGTTTAATTAAGAATAAATCAAACAAGCTCAGATTTACGTTAAATGCGATCGAGTGATCATTAATGATTGGTTCCAGACCTTCTCTTACATCTACTTCAGTCTCTTTAGACTTACTTTTTGGTATATTGTGTATACTTAAATTTTGATCTATGTAATTAGTAATATTGATGATATGGGGGGATCTTCTCTAAATTCCTCCGGAAAAAACAAATTTGAGCAATATTTAATTTGGCAAACATCCAAGGTAGGGACAAACCCCTCGAGTGGTATCCAGAAATAAAACTCTTAATAAAAGGCCACTGTGAACTCGGGTGTCAAGCTGCGTATCCACGTCACCACTCCAACTAAAACCCGATAACTTGAAGCAACAGTATCCACACCATCCTCCAGTTCTGCTACTACTTTCTTCATCCTCCCCTTCGACACTAAACACCGAATTAGTTCAATCTTTCTCAATTTGTTATCTCAGCTAAATTGCGAATTATGGAAACCAGCGGACAACATTACCTTCGAGTTCCCTACGCCTATGCGGAATATGAATTCAAATGTCCAAACTGCGTATATCAATTCAGGACCCATGAAGACTTGATCCATCACTTCAGCCACGATGAATATCACGCGTTTAATGCTGGTCTCTGGAAACTCAAGCACCCGAATTATACCGAAACTCCCATTTTCTGTTTTCGCTGCTCAAAAGTAGTTAAGAATCTTTTACATCACTGGGGATTTACAGCAAAACACCATGTTTGCTGGGCATGTGGACTGGACTACAGTACGGCTGAGGATCTTGCTGAACATGTACGCGGACGTGGTGCCTCTGGTCGCTCCCATCTAGGGAACTATCTGAGGTTCAACCTCGAGCATTGTTACAACTGCAAAGTTTGTTACATGATCTTCCCATCACTCTCCACACGTCGACGCCACGAGTCTGAAGACTTGATCCATTGTGATCGGAAGATCTTGAAGTACGCTAGCTCTGTTTGTTACGACCCTTCTCTTTTAACCGTAACGGATCGGTCAGGTTGGATGTATTGCCATCGATGCAAGGTAGTTCTTAGTGAAAAAGGCCCGTCACATGATACTCTAATTATTTGGAAAAATCACAAAGATACGAGTACAAACCACAACTACTGCTTGGACTGCAGGCTTGATTTTCCGAAGGACAGAGCACTTGAGCTACACATCAGCAAATTTCACCCTCTTGATTTTGCTTGCCCGAGAGAGAATTGTCGAAGGGTCTACAAAACTTTGGAGAAAATGCAAACCCATTGTGCTGAAAAAACAGGCCTGGTTTATCCTTGGGATGAACATGTGGATTTTCAGTGTGATTATTGCCAGAAAATTCTCGGTTCACTGGATGCATGGCAGGAGCATATGAAGAGTGATGCTTTTCACCTTCATATCCTTCAAGGTTATGATGATACCTCCTTGCAAAAGAGTACGGAGAACTTGGAACCTTTTAGTTCAAAGGAATAGAAAACAAGCGGTACTTTCTCTTACCTAGACTTGAGGTGCAGCTTGTCGGTATAGAATCAACCTATACACAAGACTAGACAAGCAGGGAGTACGGCGGATATAAACTTTGTTGATTGTGGGATATTTGAGAGACCTTGACTGGTATCCACTATTGAAATCACTGACTGTGTCTGAATTCGATGTTCAGATATAATCATATTTATCTTTGATGTATAATACTACTATGGAATCCATGAAATAGATGTATTATCAGCTTCAGACAACAAGCTTGCAATCATCTATCGTTCCATATGTCCGGATGCGCAGGTTTTATCCACTTTACTAGCTCCAACTTATTATGTTATTACGCCTTAAACCAACAACCTATTCCAATCACTACTTACATAGTACGTCCATACCCCTTACATAGTTTTTCTTTGGCTTCTGATATAAAACACAGTTGAATTCTGAAGGGGGCCTCCAATTATATTTTATCCGTAGTATCCAGTTCACTCTAGCTACATGTACATATAGCAATGCTCCTAACCCCACTTTGTTAGAGACTAGACAGTATCCTATATATATAAGTATCCGTTATTTACCAAAACAATATCAACCATAAAACTAAAGAGTACGAAAGTAATAAGAATATATATCCCAGCAGTCTTTTAATTTTGGTAACCCAAATCTTTATCAAGTGCGAATAACAACCTGCTAGGTTGAGTGCTGATACCCATAAGTAAGTACTAGACCCAACCTTTTCCCTCTTATAAGGGCCCTATATATAGTATTGAAATAGATATATAGACGTGTTATATACATAAGCTATACGATTTTGAACCTTTCGTTCATACACGAAACTATTCAAGATACCTCGACTGCCGCATGCGCTTCGCTTGCTTCGGGACGACCTGATGCCAATAAATAGCTATAGACACAACCAAAGTTCTATTTTTCGGTGATTACAGCTGTTTTCATAAAACCTGGCCGTACCAACTTTCACACAAATTATATAGCTATAGACCTCAAACCGATTACCTCGACAGGCCCTAAACAAATATCTGAAATTAAATCCCTCCAGGGTTCCCCAACAAGGCCGTCCGGATTGCCCAAGCAGACAGTCAATTTAAGGTTCCTCGGATCGCGCTGTACCGCAGTATGTGTGTGAAAGTTCGCCCGGCCAAGTTTTATGTAAACTGCTGTAAATGACCTCAGAGGCTACCGTTTCCTCCGTAAAGGGGGAGCGTGATCGTGTGGGCGTAAGAAAAGAAGAGAAAGGGGGAGGGAAAAAAGAAAGACGCAAGAAAGCAAAAAGTGCTAGCTGGGCCCTAAGTCGGGCCTTTCGTTCATGGATATATATCCAGTTTAATTTTGGAGCGGAGGCGGGATGGGCAATTAACGCGAGCGGGATCGATCACGCACGTACGGGCCAGAGTGATACCCCCGTGATCGACGAACGACATGTATGGCGGGATTGACGACGTTGGTATATATTCCGCAATGACTACATGATATGTAATCTAGATGGGACATGTATAAATTCGAGGTGCTCGAACTGTGTGTAAATTGATAGCACATATATAAATACATACATACGCTATGTGTACTAATCTACATCGTACGGTAGTAAGTACGTGTCATGGGCATATCTCTGATTATTTGGCCGCGCTTCGATAAAATATTGAGTTACTCTAAGTCTAATAGATTGAGGTCGGAAATGTAAAGCCAAAGATGAACGAGGCCGAGACATTCAGCAGCCACCCCTTGAGCGGCCCCGTGAACCGTTAAAGCGACCGGATATTACAGCGGGATGTTGTAGAACGGAGCCAATTGATGTTCTTTTTTCTCTTGTTCCACACAATAAGAAGTGATTTAAACTTCGCCATCTAGATCAGTGGGAGATTTGCGATCGGCGGTGCAGGCAAGTGAGACATTTCTTGGCTTGTAGTGAGTCAGTCATTGGGTATCACTCGGTTTTTTGGTTTGTTCTAAATTTCCGAGCGATTGATTGTGGCGTGGGCCAAGAGATCGATATCGGTTTCCCTGGCCACTCGGATACTCCCCTCACTCGGACATTTAACGTAGAAAAGATTTAAGTGGCTTCTGTACCTCTTCTCCACCAATCATCGTTGACTGTCCGAGTGGGGGGGATGTCCGAGTGGCTATGAAAGTCGTCTAATTCTCGTGCCGAGGTTTTTGGTGATGGATCAAGAAAATGGAAGGACTAGAGAGAGATATCGTCAAGAGTGGCTAGCGAGTCTTGAAGAGGATAAGCACACTTCACCAGTCTATATTGATCTACAATACCGCACTCTAACAATTAGCCTTTTGTAGTGTACTCTAGATTAATATATAACCGCCACATATTCTGCAGATTTAGTAGCCTTCTTCGGCCCAGGTCCGACAATTGCACGCTCATTGATCAGGACACTTTAGGGAGCGGGTGCCACTTGAAAACCACTTCAGAAGATCAGTTTTAAAAAGCACAATACCCAATATATAGAAATATTGGCCCCTACCGTACCACGAGAAATCTGTTTTGCGAATGAATGACACCTGATCCCGAAGGTATCGTGAGCCATATGTTACTGGGTCTCATCACTTTAAACCATCATTCAAATATTCCTAGGATGAAGTAGAGTTAGTGCAGTGTACCTACTATACGCGTTTTAACACAGCAGAATCCTACAAAGCGTACGGGTCGACCTTGTCATAATAGGTGCATCTATCACAGAGACCCAGACAAGACTCGAATGGCCCCTCCCCTCTATAGAGTACCTATATTATAGCTAAACCTCCTGCTCCTAGAGCCACGTGCGTCTATACTCAAAATGTCAAAGACGTGATAGCTGATCGGCGAGTGGCGAAAGAGAGCCCACGACTCACAGACGGTGCCTGTGCTTCGCACCGTTTCGTATGATTCCTGTGCCTTAGTAGCGAGATTAAACGGTGATTGAATTAAGGTTGGCTTCGAGAAAGAACGCGCTTAATTGGAAACCTCATTACGAGATTCGAACTGCTTATCGACAATCCATGGGCTAAACACGTCGTGGAGTACATTTGAGTTAAGTACTTTCCCCTGATTATCTTTGCCTCGGTTCAGCTATAAACGCACAAACATCACCAGAGCTCGGGCGTTAGCCACCCAATGTCCAACAACCAATACAAACAACACCTAAAAACAGAATAGGAGTCCCGCTGTCTTTTTTTTGAACCAAAACAAAACAAAACAAAACACAAAACAAGCTTGCAAGACAAGACAAGACAAGACAAGACAAGACAAGACAAGACAAGACAAGACAAGACAAGACAAGACAAGACAAGACAAGACAAGACAAGACAAGACAAGACATGGCAAAACAAGACACTGACTTCTAGCGCTTGTGTTGACCTGCGACTGTAGATGTGTTTGATCAGCGCCAGACCTATTGGGAAATTGCCCTGGAAACCTGAGAAAAGATCTCGGGTCTTATTAGTTCCCGGTATTTTGAGGCCGAGCGACGAGCGAGGCCGAAGATCCGTGGGTTAATAATCCGGAGCCGTGGAATACACTAATAGGAGACTAGTTGACGGTTCGGTTCCTGCAGCCAATTGAACCCCTGCATGTCCTGCTCAAGGTCCTTAGTGGGGTGAAGTGCTGGTCTCGTGCTACACAATGCCATGCCGTTAGTGGGGAGAGACTAGAGGGGGGTTTGTTACGTGGTATCGTAAGGAGGAAGAGGTAGAGGGGTCAAGTTTTTAAGACTGGACCTCAACCCTAACATTAATGCAGTAAGAATTCCTACTGATATTGTTTTAATATGTAAAGGGCTACAGTTGTACAGATGTATGTAATATATCGATATCGCACCACGATATAAACGTTACTACGTGGCCTGCATGTACTCTATGTATCAACCAGTATTTAGGCTAATGCCTAGAAAGAATCATCTGCTTTTACTGAAGAGTTATAGTAATGTCAAGCATACTAGCTAAGTAATCGTTTGCAAGAGATTGTTCATATCATCTCAACGTGATGCTGTAAGTAACTGAGAGAATTGCTTGTTTTTCCCCAGTCCCGGGCTTTATATAGAATGAGTTCAGCTCGTATCGGCACCCATCAATCACCAAGAGATACTCCAAATTCTGGGCCGTCTACTATCAGTACGCGTGTTCATCAAGCCACCAATTTGCAGTTTGCATGCAGAGATACAATTGCAAGTAATGTGATATTACCACGAGGGAAAAGCAACAACATACCAGACATGACTTCTCCCACCCTCCGTTGCCGGTTCTCCGCAACCATCCCTGTGGGCATTGAGTAAGCTTAAACAAATCATCTAGAATGCATAACAGAGGGGGTAGGATAACTTAGATGGAAGGGTACGTACCGATCAGCCCTAGCCCAACATCCCGTATCTCATTGAAGTCATGGAGTAACTTAATATGCTGCTTCACCGTCTCAGATGCTGCTGGGTTTCTGTTTACATGTCAACAATGTTAACAAAAGTACGAGGCAGGCAATATGGGCAAGGTAAGAGAAACTTGAGCTTCTTCACACCCTCATCGTGCTTAGCCTGGACCTGAGCGATCTGTTTCTCGAGTGCGAGATTGCTAGCCTTGAGTGATTCCTGCGGGGTTGAGGGTTAGCTAAAGGCACATCACAAGACGGGATCGAATGAAATGAGGGGACGAACCAGCTTGCGTTCGCGGGCTGATAGCTGCAAGGCGGGCTGTAGTTGTGTTGATTGTTGTGACGGTGCCGGAGAGCCGTCTGATTGTTGTGTTCCCAATTCCGATTCTGGTGTTGAAGACATCTTTTACGATTGGCTCGGGAGTAGGTTTACTTTTCTTTTGCTCTGCCTATTCCAGCTTATTCGTTCGGTAGTGTAACTCCAGTTGTAAAATAGAGAACGTATTTGTAGTATGCTGCTCTCACTCGACGCAACTGACGTCTGTAGCAATCCGTCGATCACTTAAGCGAACCTTGGCCTACTGCCTCGGCTGGCACAACAGCTAGTAAGGAGAGACAGAACAACGGCTAGATACATGGTATCTCGCTCGTATTTTTTAGGGGCAATCGATCCGAAGGTTCTATTGAATTTGCTTCTAGCTCTACTCTATATAGTAAAAAAGAAAGACTATGATGTAACGTATGGTACTTAAATTTGTTGTCTTTAGTCGGAGTTTTTACATGCCGCCGATTTTTATCGGCTTCTAGCGCGTCGGGAGGATGTTTAGTAACTTTAGTTAGTGGGATCTAGGGATTTGTCGAGGCGAGGAAGGAGAGTTGGCTAGTTTAGTTCGTTTGTCGTTGTTAGAGGTACTTGTTGGGTTACTAAACATAGAAGTTCTAGTTCGTAGGGATGAAACTAGGACCCCAATCCTGGAAATCTTTAATAAAGGTAGGAACACTACAGGCGCAATTGAAGTAGGTAGGGGAGAATCCTCAAGGGTGGGGGAGGTGGTAAGTACTCTAAGGTACCATTTAATACCTGATGACATGTAGTTACTCTACTGAGGTTAGTTAGCTGCTATAAAGTTTCACGAGGTTAAGGCGGTAGAGTGTTTTCCTCATGGCGTTCATAGTCGAAAGTGGCTTTCTGCACATACGATTTTTACCTCAGATGAGGAGCACGCTCTAGCTGTCTACCGTACTTATCCGCGACTCGCCAGACAAAATTCTAGCTCCCAGAGCACATACTCTCTACATGTAGGTACGTGTGTGTAGATAGCCTGTAGAGCTCAGTCAGCGCGGGTCAGGCTCTGATATTGATATAATCGGCCACTGCCGAGAATAAAGGAGGCCAAGCCCTAGACCACATTTAGTCGCCAGGTACCAACCAACCAACAAAATCATCCACAAGGAGTTCCCCTCGAATTGCTATTTACAATTACTCTACCATACGATCGGTTTCGTGAGCCCAATGGCAATGTCTTACTCTTTTCCGGGACCTCGGCACCTAAGACATGATAAAAGAAGAAAACGTAGGTATGTACACAAAGCTTTTCTTGGTCTCACAGCATGATTGCATTTTCACGTTTTCTTCCCCCTTCTAGTGCTGCTGCACAAATTTTCCATGGAAGGTAGATGTTTGCGTGTAACCCGCAAACTGTACCTGCCTTTTCCTTTCTCAGATGACTATCATCCTCCCGCCCCTGGTTGATTTCTACTCTGGGAGTGCCAGTACGTATGCTCTAGTGTTTTTGTATTCCCCTGGGTACTAAATATGTTACAGGGGCCTCCGTTGCTAGTGGAGTCGTCCTGTTCTGGAATATTGGGCCTGGAATATAGTAGGGATGGGTGTTTACCCGGAAGAACGCGATAGGTTACGCCCTGTTCTGCTTTCATGTTGTTCGATCTGGTCCCTAGACCCTGGCTTGATAGAAATATGGGGGGTTGAGAAAACCGAGGAAATCCTTCTTTGAGGGGGATCTTCTCGGTTTTTTTTAGCACTCATCGGGAAAGAAATAGGGTAGATCGGGTAGTGATTGCAATTGATAACGCAGAAGTAATAAAGTACTTACTGCACATTCCACATCATACATGCCTACTCGTATCGACCAGGATGCCGTTATCCGGCAGCAGTAGAAGCAGAAACTCTAGACAGACCGAGCATGAAGGACGTCTGTGCTTCCTGTCTAGGCTTTTTTTGTACTCTATGGTTCTTAATGTGATGCCACAATTTTGGGTGAATCATTCGGTGTTTCTCATCTCAGGTCCCGCCCGCTTGTTTAGGGGGGCGACTAGTATAGAGTATCGATATCCTATATATACCCTCCTGCCCTTCTGCCTTTCTAATATTCCTGCTCACCACCACAGCTCTTTCACTCGTTTCAAGCGCTGCTACTATCTTTTTGGTGTCTTTGTACGCCTATCCCTTCACTGATATACTACTATTACTACTATTACTACTTAATTCATATCTATCTCGATACTCTGAGCAGGAAACATGCGTGCCAGTACTGCATCCCTCATCGGGGCCTTGGCTGCTTTCAGCAGCTTGGTAGTCGCCCATCCTCTCACTGATGCAACCTTGGAGAACCTCTTCAAGCGTGCAGTATCCCCGGATAACACTTGTGGGTTTGCATATAACGGAGCTGGCAACAACTACACCTGTGATTCAACAACTGCTGGAACCTGTTGTTCTCAATATGTTAGTACCATCTCTTGAGATATATATGTCGGCAGTTTTAAGTTTTATCTTCAATACTGATTGAGTATTTTTTTGACAGGGTTACTGCGGTTCTACCTCAGACTATTGTGGCACCGGATGCCAATCTGACTTCGGATCCTGCACTGGCGGTGGTGACGGTACCGTCACCACCCCCGTTGACCCGCTCCTCTGCGGTGCTACCAATGGCGGAAATTCATGTGCCGCAGGTCTCTGCTGTTCGCAGTACGGATACTGTGGAAACACCACTGACTACTGTGATACCGGCTGCCAATCTACCTATGGAACCTGTGACACCGGAGCAGACACTGGCAGCGATACCCTCTGTGGGCCAATGAACAATGGTGCTGTTTGTGGTAACGGCGAGTGCTGCAGTCCTGCCGGTTACTGTGGTACCACCGAGGACTACTGCAAGTCTCCGGATTGTTTGGTTGGATACGGTACCTGTGATGCGAGCTTGACACCAGCTGGTGCCAGTACCGCGAGCATTCCGAGACCAGTTTTGGGAAGTGTGCCATACGGTGCGGATATCTATGACTGTGGTAACAACCCGGGTGTTGTTGGTTTGACTTTCGATGATGGTCCATACCTCTACACCAATGACCTTCTCGATATTCTCGCATCATATGGTGCCAAGGCTACCTTCTTTATCACCGGAAACAACAACGGAAAGGGTTCGATTGATACAACTGCTGCTTGGACCTCAGTTATCCAGAGGATGATCGCAGACGGTCATCAGGTCGCTTCTCACACTTGGTCTCACGCAAACTTGTCTTCGTACTCTGCCGCTGATCAGGAGACGGAGATGATCAAGAACGAGATGGCGCTCCGCAACATCATCGGGAAGATCCCAACTTACATGCGTCCTCCGTACTCTGAGTGCAATGATGTTTGCAAGTCTACCATGACCAAGCTCGGATACCACGTCACCTACTTCGATCTCGATACCCAGGATTACCTCCACACCACCCCCGAGACTCAGCAGCTGTCAAAGGATGTCGTTCACAACATCTTGTCTGGTGCTAACTCGGCCACCGATGACTACTTGTCGATCGAGCACGATATCCATGATCAGTCCGTACACAACTTGACTGGGTATTTCCTGGACCAAATGGTTGCTTACGGCTTCAAGGGTACGCCTCTTCCTTAACCATCCTCTTAGGTATTTATGCTGACTTTGCATGATGAATAGCTGTGACTGCCGGTACTTGCTTGGGTGATCCTGAGGCAAACTGGTATAGAGATGCCTCTGGTACCTCTTCGGTTAGTTCTTCTTCTTCTTCTTCTATAATTGCTTCTTCTACTTTATCTTCCTCTATTTCTTCTTCTGTTTCTTCTTCTATTTCTTCTTCTACTTCCTCGGCCACCACCACCACCACTTCGAGCTCTGCAACTTCTTCAAGCTCTGCATCCTCACCGGTGTCCTCGTCGACTTCCACCCCTACCACTGCGGCTTCAACTTCCAGCACGAGCTCCACTACCCATGTAGCCACCACACCCGCCACCAGCACTACCACTTCCGCAGCGCCAACCTCCACCGCCATCTGCGCCGGAAAGTGGTGTGCCAAACCAACTAAACCTTTCACTAAATCTACTGGATGCTGGGGAGCGTATGCTGACTGTTATATCGATGTTAGCGCCTGTAATGCAAAGAACTGGGGAAACGATAAATCTACCTGTAACAACTATGGCCAGAATGTCTGTAAGAAGATCGAGAAATTCTGTGGTAATTGTGGGTGGTGGGGTGCGTGCAACTCCAGCGACATGAAGCTCTAGATAGAGCGGGTAATGTTTTATTTCTGATATGTAATGTTTGTTTTTATTGGCGGAATGAAGCTAGGGCTATGGTTCTGTTTTTGGGAATATGGGATTGGTTGAAAAGCTTATGTATTGTGATTGGGACTTTGGACTATAAAATCTACTACATTTATATTGGTCACAGAATTACAGAATTGCTTGAAGAAGGCTCTAATACCATAAAATACGATTTATTGATTAAAAAATATTATTTATTTGCGGGGAGTAAAGAACTTCGCTAGGTAGGCAATTAATGAATTAAAAAAAAAGAAGAAAGAACTTCGCTAGGTGATCTTGGCATGATACTAAAATACGAGTGATACATTATGACCCATCAACCAGTAAATTATAAAGCAATAAGAACGGCACGGCATGGCACGCCTCATCTCCAAAGACGCCAATAACTTCCCTCCGGATCTTATATGGATTGGCTATAGTTCTCGAAGAGCACTGATATCTCCTTTTGATTTCACCCTCAAGCACTCCCCTCCCTCTGCGCGAGAGACTGATTGACGTTTAATCCTCAGATCAGCTCGAGGTGTAACTATGCCGGCCTCGACGCGGTCCAAAGTCAGTCAATAGCAGCTCGATTCTTGGTTTCTTTTCTTTTTCTTGGACTATAGCTACATAGTAGCTTGTATTATAGGAGCCCTAAAGCTCGATACAACCGGGTGCGCCGCAGCCTCCTGAATCTTGGGTGCTCCCGAAGCTCAAAGCATAGTAGGACAAAATTTAAAACGGCCAAAACCCAGCCCATTCTAATAAGACTGAGGTGCCTTGATATTCTGATCCTCTCCCCCATGTATTCTGCTCGGATGAGCAAGTCGCCCCCTTGTTGACTGAACGCTCTATAGACCACGAGGCTGGTGGATGGGGCGGACCCAATGGTCGATACAAAAGATCTGATAAGAGGCTCGACTATTCGTTCTGAGAGCCTTTATTGCAGGATATATGCAGGTTTGTGGACTTGCTACCGGCCCTTTCGACGGCTCATTCGCCAGGCATACTCACTCGATCTCCCTTACTTGATTCATTGCGTCACGTTTTAATTCATTGCCAGTGTTAAGAGTGCTCCATCTGCAACATTTGACGGCAGCAAGGCAATATTAAGAATGTCTCCAACGGGGTATACTCAGATATTTATGGAGTATGATGCAGGGTGGCCAGTGCATCCCATCCCACCAGTAAATGAACGGGGGTAAATAAAGATTCCAACCTGGTGACAGGATCGGCCCCCCGTTTAATCTTGGGTGCGCTTGGACTTGGCGGAAGGTTCCGCTCGGAATTTTGGTGGATGGAGAGCTCCGTTAACAAACGTGCAGGGCGACTTGGCACGTGGAGAAGTGCAGAAGCTTATATTTGGTTGGCACTTAGTCGAAAGCTTATACAGTCGGCTCCCTATAAGGTTATGGAAATACCACGACAAGTCGTCTATTCTAAATCCAAATAGTATAATCCTTGTGGTCAGGAAGTATTATGATTGGTTGATTTTCTTGGAATCAGGTCGGTGGAGTGTAGAACAGAACAGCAAAATAAATGTATCTAGCTGCGACCAACCCTCTGAGTGAGCGTGATGCCCCTAACTCCATCCTCCCATCATCATGATTTCTGAGCAGTTTTCATCAAGTCAAATGAATACGAGATCGACCCTTTGAACCTATTAGATAACTAAAACTATTTACTAGACGCTTGTACCCTTATAAAGCAGCTACCGGCCTTATATAGTGTTTCAGGGTTAGGTTTGGTAGAGTCGAAAGTCCACTTTTTTGTAGAATGGGAAGTTCGTGGAACTTCACACTAAACCATCACTCTTTGGTGACGGAACCTTCAGTTTTTGGCAGTGAAACTTTCAATCTTGTTAGCAGAACATTTTTCACTTTTTGGCGAATGGTCCCAACTTCCATTCATGAAAAGTCACTCTCCCTATAAGGGTAACACACCAAAAAATTGGAAAAAGTACTAAGGGTATTCTTATAGCGAAAATATGAGCACTTGCCCTTATGTATCACTACATACTAAAAAAAAGTAGCCTGCGGACTGGGCTCCTTATAATTATAGGGCGAGTATTCTTATAGAGGATACCCTTACAGAGAGAGCGACTATAACTATATATACATGTACTTACAGGCTCTTATTAATTTGCCTCCATTCTCTTGCCTTCTCCCCTACTAGTATTTATTAAGTACCGTTTATAATTTACTCTAGTACAGTTGTCGATATATCGTTTCTCGCTCCCATGTTTTTATCTCTTATCTCCATAGCTGCGCAGGCGCATTTCTACCTAGGATGCCGGTAAAGACGACCAACCGACAGGAAAGATATTTTTTTTTCCGAGACTCGTGCTGTCCCTGAGAACAGTCATATGGATACATGTATATATCTGCCCCCGGAAAAAATGATATCATTGGGTGGTATATGTATATATATGGGTGTCCAGGCCTAGCTAGGGTGCTTTCACGTGCAAGGTTTCAAGAGCCAATCTTGGCACACGAGTGACACTCCATGACCCCATATATTATATGTAATCCCGACATAACCACGTGCAAGAAAGGGGGTCAAAACCTAAGAGTAAGATAGACGCCTTCCCGGGCCATTCGAACACCCCCCTCACTCGAACAGTTGATGCTTATTGGTGGAGAAGCCCAATTCAAGAGGTACAGAAACCGGTTACAGCGCAGATATTTTCTTTTTTAAGTTAACTGTTCGAGTGAGGGGGGTGTTCGAGTGGCCCGGGAAGGCGTCTAACACGGAAGAGATTTCCCAGAGAACCATGATGATATTACTGCATAACACTATAACTATAAATCTACATGCACGAGTTCATCAATAGTACTAATTAACTACCAACAGATCACATACATAACGCGCGCTCACATTAACTCACTTCACTCCACTATCTACCATACTTCTCTAGATCTCATATAAAAAGACAGGCCAAATAAACAAAGAAAAAGAAGAAAATACCGACATCTTAAGATGCAATCAAGTTAACACCGCGCCCATAATGAACAGAAAAAACTTATTATACAAAAGTCAAATTTCCTAAACCAAAAAACATGAGGCAGTTTTAGCTTGAGAAAGAAAAAGAAAAGGATTTAAAAAAGCCGTAAAAATAATAAAACCATAAAGTGAGTACCCAGGATAGAGAGCATAGGGAAAAAGAAACTCGTATCCACGCATGCATAAAACCCACCACCCATTAAAGCGTCGTCAGCCTCACCCGCACCCGCACTATATCCACAGCCCACTACTCATTCTTCCCCAAACTCTGCATATTCACCAACTCAAAGTACTTCCCCTTCTTGCCCAACAACTCGCTATGCGTTCCTGCCTCCACGACGCGCCCCGCATCAAACACATAGATGACATCCGCCTTCTGGATCGTGCTGAGTCTGTGGGCGACCGCAATCGTCGTGCGCCCCTTCGCGGCCGCGTCGAGCGCCGCCTGCACAACCTTCTCGCTCTCCGAGTCGAGCGCGCTGGTGGCCTCGTCGAGGAGGAGGATCTTGGGGTTTCGGATCAGTGCGCGGGCGATTGCAATACGTTGCTTCTGGCCTCCGGAGAGGAGGGCACCCTTGGACCCGCAGACTGTCGAGAAACCTTCTGGCAGTGACATCTGTTTGCTATATTAGCCTTCTGTTTATCATGGAAAGGGGGGGTAAAGGAAGTGGGAGAGAGACTTACGATAAAATCATAGATATTCGCCGCCTTACATGCCGCCACAACTTCCTCATCGGGAATCTCCTCCCTCGCACCACCCAACAAAATATTCTCTCTAATCGTGCCCTGGTATAGCGTCGGCTCCTGACTGACCAGCGCAATGTGCTTCCTGTAGTCGTTGATCTTGAGCGACGAGATTTCCTTGCCGTCGACGAAGACGCCCCCAGCCAGCGGGTTGTAGAAGCGCTCAATGAGGGCGATAGTGGTACTCTTACCGCAACCCGAAGGCCCGACGAGGGCAACGTACTGACCCGGCTTCACAGTGAGGTCCAGGCCACGCAGAACAGGCTGCTCGGGGCGCGTGGGGTAGCGGAAGTGCACATCGCGGAACTCGACGGCGCCTTCCATGGACTCGCAGGGGGCGCCGTCCTCACTCCAGGTGTCAATCTCGGGGACACGGTCGAACAGGGCTTTGAGCTCTGAGGCGGCGGCACGGGCTTTGCCCATGTCTGGAGCGAAGGAGAAGATTGTGCCTGCAGACTGGGCGCCAAAGATGATGGCCGCAAAAACGAGGAAGAACTTCTGCATATCGTACTCGTGCGTCTTCATGAGCGTACCGCCGTACCAGAAGCCGAGCGCGATGCAGAGGAACATGAGTGACTGGGAGGCAGCGTAGAGAGACGATGAGGATATGATAGAAACGAGGGACTTCTTGGCCTGCGCTTTGAGCTGGGCGTGGTAGATGTCCCAGACGTCTTGTTCACGGGTCAGGGAAGCGACGGTGCGGATTGCGGCAGTGGCCTCGCAGGCGAAGGACGCGGAGGATTCGTAGGCCTTCTTGGAGCGCTGCTGGAATCTCAGGAGCATCCAGAAGCGCAGGAAACCGCACGAGAGCAGGATTGGGATAGTAGCGGTGCAGACAAGAGCGAGCTTCCAGCCCACGGCGCACGAGACGGAGATGGCGGCAATGAGGGTTGTGGAGACGATAAGGAGCGTGCCGAGTGTGACACCAGAGATACCACTGAGGTGCGTGGTCTCCGTGGAGAGGAAGGACGTCAAGGCACCGGTGCTATTCTCCTCGCGGTCAAAGTAGCCAATCTCCTGGCGCAGGATGGTGCGGAAGGCGCGGTCACGGACACGGCGGACGAGACGCTCAGAGCAGAGGGCAAAAGCTATACCCTGGCAGAGATAGGCAAGAAGCTGGACGAGCGCGAGCATGAGATACATGAGTGACCAGAAGTTTGCATCTTTCCTCAGCTGGCCGTAGTTTGACGGTGGCTGCGAGAGGGCCACAATGGATTTCGAGAAGAAGACAGCCTGCGTAGGATACCCACCCCCGGCAATGACAGAGAAGAAAAGACCGACAGCCATGTAGAACTTCTCGGTCTTGTTGAATCCGGCGGTCAGCTTGATCAGTGTCCAGAGCGAGTACTGCGGTTTTTTCTCGGCGGTGCGGTTTGCGAGCGCCACAGAGCTCTTCGACTTTGCGGTTCCTGTGCGGCCAAGCTTGTTGCCGAGCTCGAGGTCCTCTGGGTCCACGGGCGCGCCGCCCTTGGTGCTGGCGCGCGTGAGCGTTAGCTTCAGCTTCTCGTCGTCGTCGATTTCGCCCTCGTCGTCGCTGCCACCAACGGCCAGAGCGGCGCTATCATTGGCTGCGGAGATGCGTTGCGCCTCAACAAGGTTGTAGTATGCGGCCCTGCGCTCGAGAAGGGCGTCGTGGGTGCCGGATTCGACAATCTCGCCGTTCATCATGACGATGATATTGTCGGCGGTCTTGATGGTTGAGAGTCTGTGTGCGATAACAATGGTAGTTCGTCCCTTCGAGGCGGCATCGAGTGCGGCCTGCACAACACCCTCAGAGCGGGTATCGAGCGCCGAGGTGGCCTCGTCGAGTAGCAGGATCTTGGGGTCGGAGACAATAGCACGGGCAATAGCGATACGCTGCTTCTGACCGCCGGACATGAGGAACCCACGCTCACCAACATTTGTCTCGTACCCTTCGGGCAGGGTTCGGATGAAACCATCGGCGTTGGACATAATACAGGCCTTAACAACCAGATCGCGCTTCTCCTCCTCAGAGGCGTTCTCGTACTTTGTACCGATGAGCCCGTGGCAGACATTCCCATAGATAGTAGTTCCAAACAGCACCGGCTCCTGCGAGACAAGCGAGATGTTCTCCCTCAGCCACCGGAGATTCAGCGTCGAGATGTCGTGCCCGTCGAGCAGCACCTGCCCGCCCACGGGATCGTAGAAGCGCTCCACAAGGCCAATGATCGTTGACTTCCCAGACCCGGACGCACCCACCAAAGCTGTCACCTTGCCCGCGGGAATAACTACATTCATGTTCTTGATGACCTCGACCTCCGGGCGACTTGGGTAGATGTGCTTGATATTCCTCAGCTCAATCGTGCCCTGCACCTCGGGCAGCTTCGCGCCCTCATCCGACGCCGGGTCCAAGGGCGACACACGGTCAATGGTCGAGAAGATCTTAGCCGCCGCCGCAACAGCCGTGCCAAATGCCTGGATATTCGGCGCAACATTACCGAGCGAGAACGCACCAATGAGGACCGCCAACAGCACCGTCAAGATTGCCGACAAGTTTGTATCGCCCGTCACCAGGAAACGACTCCCTTGCCAGAACGCAAGCCCGTAGTTGAGATAGACAATGCACATCATAAACCCCAGCATCACGGCCAGCGACATCTTCATCTTCATCCCCCACTTCTCGGCCACGCGCAAGTGCTCGTCATACATCTTCGCCAACTTCTCCTGCGTGCTAAACGCCGTCGTGTTCCTAATCGACGAGAAGACCTCCTCCACGACGGTTCCACCCTCCGCATACGACGCCAGCGACTGCTTGTTATACTTGACCATGAATGTTGAGCCAACACCCATGATGAGCGTGATCGCAACCACCGTCGAGCACAAGATCAGCGTGAGCTTCCAGCTCTTGATGAAGCCGATGATGAACGCCGTGAAGAAGGTTGCGAGGGCGGTGAGCGTAAGCCCAATCTTCTCCGAGATACCCTCCTGGATCAGGTTGGTATCGGCCGTGATGCGGGTCGTGATCTCGCCGGCGCCGAGCTTGTCGAAGAAGGCGACGTTCTGGCGGAGGATGGCGGCAAGGTACTGTTCACGGATCTTTTGCCCCATGTGTTCGCCGCAGTAAATGAAGGCCACGGTCTCGAAGTAGACCATCACGAATTCACCAATAGCCATGTATATAAAATAACTATTCTACTTATCAGCATAACTTCACCAAAAAAAAAAGCCAGAAAAAGGATAAATACTCACATAGTAAACCGATTCACCTCACTCTGCATATGCGCTGGCGTAATCGTTCCCAGCGCAAAATCCTGAAACACTCCCGCAAGCTCACCAAACACCACCGTCATGAGCGGCATGACCGCGCCAGCAATGATACTCGCAATACACGCACACACAATCAATATCTTATCATTCGTTGTGGCATAGCGGAACAACGTAAAGTACGTCAGCTTGACCTCGGGAATGTCCAGCTGGCGCCGCACGATCGCCGCCTCCTCGGGGGTGAGGTGGGCCAACGGGTCTTCGCCCGAGTCAGAGGTGGCCGAGGCGGGGATCTTGACTGTCGTGTCGGCGACGATAGTGGGGGCGGACACGGGGGTTGTGGGTGCCGATATGGGCTCTTTTTCGGAGAGGGAGGAAGCCATTGTGGCTGGCCTTTTTAGAGGGGGGGGCTATAGAGAGCCTGGTTTATTTGGGGGGAGTGGTTTTTATTGTTTTTATGTTTTATTAGGTGGGTATTTCACTCCTTTTATGTGTGTGTTGTAGAGCTCTTCTCCTGTGCTATAATATAGACGGTTAGCGATATATTCCAAATCCATCATGGGCAAGCTCAAGCTCAAGCTTTTGTCTGCACGATCTCGGCCCGCAACCGACGCTGCTGGATCGGGCAAGGAGTTGACGAGTGGGGCGAGGCATTGGGGGGTTGGGGGAGGTGGGGTGAACAAGATGGGTCTGCTGGGTAGGTAGGGCTTGGTTGGGTTGGGTGTGGAGTTGTAGTGGTAGTAGCATCGAGGTGATATGTAGTAGAGTAGGGCTTGTGGGTTTCAACTAACCTTATCTGTCTCTGAATTATTCTTGTCAGGGCAGACAACCGAAATAAGTAGGCCGACCAGAGAGATATTCTGAGAGGGTTCGAAGAGAAGAACGAGACTGTAAAAAGAATTAACAGTACAGCTTCTGAAGGAGAGAATGAACGGACTGGACTGGATTGCACAGAACAGAACAGCACTGCACCGATCGACTGATGAGTAGAGGGTAGAATAAAAAAATAAAGAGGGACGAGGCAGTTTATTAAGTATTGAATCTACAAACTCGCTTGACATGGGGCCCAATGTGGCTTTTTCTATATAGTCACCAACTTAATCTTAACTTTCCTCATGAAATCTCGGAACGACGAAGTTCCGGCGGTTGTGGTGGTTGCTTGTGGTTGTGATCATGGTAATACAAGGAAAAAAACGCCTCCACCATCCTCCATCCCCCATCCAAGCTTTTTTGCCCCCCCCCCCCCCCCAAGAAGAAAGCACCTAATCGGGACTGCATGACTGGCTACGGGCCGTACTTTGACTTTCGTACAGTGTCAGTGCCAGTGCCGTTGCTCCCAGCTTGGAGTGTGCCTCTACTTTACACACAGTCCATCCCATCCACTCAAGTCTTACGCACACACACTCACACAACGGGTATGTAGGTACGATATCTAACAAGGTACCTCTTCTGGAAATCTGTCATAGGGTACTCTAAACACCTGCTCTGCTCCTAACCAGCTCTAATCAACTGAAACACCTCCCAGCTCCCCCCAGAACGCGTGGTGGTAATGCTAAACTTTCCCAAAAGGCTAAGTCTTCGCTAAAGTGAGACCCCTTCAATGAAATCCCAGTGCCGCTCAGGAGAATCACAAAGACCGGGAAATCGTCGTTCCGAGGAAGGAGAATACCTATCCAAATCCAAATCGCATACATGTAATGTCTTGAACTCCTCTTGACTCCGGTCCTCAACAACAAACCAAACATCACCCTTTCATTTTGCTGCACTGCTGCTGCTGCGGCGGCGGCGGCGGCGGCGGCGGCGGCGATATGTACATACCAATCCATTCAGCACAAAAAAAAATCACCCTGATGGTTTTCTTTTTTACTTTACATATCGAGTAATTTCAACCTGAAATACAAAATAGTACATATTAGATATTTAATCAATATCCTCGTATTTTCATTGCATAAAAATTGGGCGAACCAAACCAGTCCCAATTTAAAGCCAGGGTCCAAATCTCCCCCCGAGGTTTCGCCCATCCTCGGCCTCGCGCGCATAAAGGACTCATAAACACGGAATTCCGGCAACCACAACCCCTGACCCAATAGAAAATAAGCTTTAACTAAATGTGCGCTTGTTTTCCTATCCGTATTCGCTTTCGTGACGATGGAACTCCGTGAGGTTATGAACTTTGGACAGAATGTTTAACTGTTGATCAATGGCATGATAGAGATCTCGGGCGAGAAACAAGGCCCAAATGTTTTATCATGGCCAAAAGTCTTGATATGACCTAAGCAGAGTTCCCTCCCCCCCCCCCCCCCCCCCCCGCGGGTCATAGGGCAGAAGTGTCAATTGGATTCCTTGTCTGGGATTAATGTCGTATTCCTGGACCTTACCCTAGGAGGGGTAAATAGTAGAGTCATATCGATCATAATCGTCTGTTTTTTCTGCTTGGAGAAATGCTCTAGATCTCTCTACGTTAAGATAACCAATAATGCCTTCCTTGCTATTGAAATAACCAATAAGATCTTTATTGTTAGCTGTCTCTCTCTGCACATGACTTCTGCGGGGCGAATATTAATATGACGTGATGTCACATATATACCTATCAAAAGTGCAGAACTGTCGTTTCTCGGTTGGGGTCCAAAACGGTTAGAGGGCTGTTACACGAACAACCATTGTCTGTCGCACCGACACTGCGCACCTCCACACGAGGCAACAAAGCAACGTTGAAGGAGTGCCTAACAAAAAGTCGGGCTTCCCAGATGACTCCGATAGGTGATTCTCTTCGTTTTCTCCATGTTGAATACTGGCAGGCGTGCTGCATCGCTTTCTCCCTTGCTTTGGTCCAGTCAGTACGATATCGATAAGGCTGCGGGTCATGGATCATCACTCGTGTGGTTGCATGACTCATGGAGGTTGCTAGCAGCTTAGTCCTAGCAGTCATGATACAAAGATTGAAGGGGAAATAGGCCGCGTAGCAGGCGGTGAGAATATCTATCCTATCAGAATATAGCTAATAGGGGAATTGCAACAACTCATAACTATGTTTAGTCATCGAAGATCACTCGTATTGCAGCGTTCCTGTGTTTGTCTCGTATGCCTAGGCAGCTTTCTTTTTGGTTGGATACGTACATACTTTATTTTTTGTCGGTTTATGATATAGATAGGGTGGTCGGACGCAGTTTCTGATTGAGTGCCTTATTTTCTGTTGATCTCGACCGTGACTCAGTGATGGTGCCTTGATATTAAAAATACCCTCAGATTTCTACCAACCTTGAGCATTTGGATCTCACCCGGCGATGCGCATTAGTGCCGGAGAAATTACGGTCCGGGGGGAAAAGGTTTAGGTTGACCTATGTGTGTGCATCCCGTTCGCTAGCCAAGAAATCTCCAATATCAACCTTTAGAGACTCGGGATACCACCATGAGAAACACAGTCCATAGATTCACGAAAGCAAGAGCTGGGACGATATTTAACACCTAGAAGAACGTTTGCAGGCGTGTTGCTTCCCTGGATTCAGACAGATAGATCTTTTTCAAAAGTCTATACCCCCCCACTCACGTGATCACCCCCACCCCTAATGCGTTTGGAACCATAACTCACTCTAGTAACAGGAAGCGGAGAGGGAGGTGATTGATGATTTAGGGAGGTCGATGGTGAAGAGGTGGATCGGCTTGAGCCCCTTATGAGATGGGCGTCAGTGGTTGATTGCTGGCATGAGACAAATCAAGGTATCTGTTATGTTCAGTTTGTTAGCATGTTTTAAACAGAAGCCACCTACACCCGGCCCGTCACCACTACGCCAGTATGAACAGAAAGGATATTACCCTGTACCGCTTTGCAGTTTTGGCTGGACAGGTGCCTCTCGATTTGCGGGTCGGTGACGATATGATGGAGTGTCGATGCCGGATACCCAAAGCCGTTCGGGTTCTTCTAACAGACACCCGATCCACGTATATGCAGTCTCCCCAGCACTGAATTTGAGCACCCCTATTCCTCCGAACCAAACCGACTATAGTAGCTCCAGGCATAGGTTTATCGCCCAGCCCCCACCAGGCATAGTTAGCAGACAATCTAAATTTTCGACTTTCAATATCGAGCAACCCAACCACACACGCAAGCACAAATGCAAACAACCAACACTCCATTATTCGACGTATTTCAGGCTCATTTCTATCTATTTATTTCACCATCTGCCGCATCCGATCACGTGCACACAATCTGTACTACGACTCGGTCTTGCCTGACAATCCCCTTTCCGTGTACCCCCGACGGCGTAGGAAACCTTGGTGTCCGGGCCCAGGTTTTCTTTGGTCCAAATACCTATACTGGGCTTGTTTAAGACGGGGGCGTGGATTTAAAAATGGGTTTAAGGATGGGTTTAAGGATGGGTTTAAGGATGGGTTTAAGGATGGGTTTAGCGGGATGGTTACAACCCGAGCTTGTAGTACTGTATTCTCGCCAGCCTACTCTCCTCATACTGCTCTTCCATCTCATGAGTACTACTCAAAGGGCGCATTTGATCATATCTTTTACATTCTTCCTGGGCATTTGCCTGATCTTTGGGCTTGATATCCTTGTGAGGAAACCGCTACAAAACTAACATTGTGGCGGAAAAGTGAGTAAGGTTTTGTACCTACAAGTTTACAGAGAGGAAATTTGGAATCATTCGAAAATGCTAGCCAAATACTTAATAGGAACATCTCCCATTTGGATTCATGGTGTTTGAAGTTCTTTTCTCTACGCTGACATCGCCCCCTCCCAGGACCCGGCTTAAGTTTTTGAGTACTCTTAAAGCTGTTTTCCACTTAGCTAGTCTACCTAAGTTATTCTACCCTATGTGGATAGGAGATTTGAAGAGCGCGCCAGTCAAAAGCGTCGCCTCTAGAACTTCGACGATTATATTTGACCCCGAAATGAGTATCCCAAGACGTTTGGAATCGTTTTTACCTCGTTCTAAAACTATCAACCTGGACTTGCTGACTACCAAGACCTCTCTCTATCTACTCTTGGGTCAGCTCTTACTCATCAACAAGCACGCATCACGTGCGCATGCTAACTAGATGATACAACACAAACACAAACCGGGCTCGGAGGAAACAGATTTCAGATCCATCTCTCGCTAACAACGCTAATTCGGCTAGTTGGTGTAAGCTTATTTGATTATGAGATCCGATAGAGTAACAGATTTCATGTCGGATTTAAGGTGGACAGATTGCCGGTGTGAGAGAACCCCGAGTACTACGACGTACAGAGGTACTGCATACTCTGTACTGTATGCTGCCGAGACGGAGAAGAAGGAGCGGAGATTGAGCGGGAACTAATTGTTGTGCAGAGTCGGAAGTATTTAATGGGCAATTAAAGTAAGGTGTTTGTAGCGATCTAACCGAGCCAGCCCCCATTGGATTATCGTCAGTAGCTAGCTAGATACTTATATAAACGCCACCAATAACAACAACAATCTCAGCTCGACATAACCAACCTGTCCTCTGCATAGATTGACCTGGTCCACAACCAGTAGAACTGACAGATACCAATTCCCTCCATCTCAAAATCAATCAATTTCTACAATGATCAACATCCTCGAGCTTCCTAATGAGCTTCTTTTCGAGATTGCCAGATATTTTGAACAGCCCGAAGAAGTCTACAGCCTTGTTCTCACCTGCTCTGATTTCCACCAACTTTTCTCAGATGTTCTCTTCGACTTTGCTGTCTACGCTCCCAGCAACGACATGCACGCAATCCGTGTTCTCTACACCTACGCCTCAGGGGGCCACGGCCACCTCGTTAACAAACTCATCACCAAGCGTGCCAGCGTCAAACAACCCTCCAGTGATAGCTCCCCAGAATCCGGTCTCAATCTCTGCTCCCGAGTGCTGCAGTACGCAATCGCAAAAGACAACAAGCCTGCCGTGGAGCAGCTACTCAAATGTAGCGTCGTGATGGACACGCCCGACCATGGCTTTTTAGCCCTGCACACAGCCGTGATCTGGATACAGGATGACATGCTTCAATTCCTCGTCTCCAAGGGCGCTGACGTGCACAAGAAGGACCCGCAGTCCCGTGACGCCCTCTCGATTGCTGCACAGCTTGGCCACGCGTCTACGATCCGCGTGCTGCTGGATCTGGGGGCCACTATGGGGGTTGGCCAGTCGGGGCGGACGGCAATCCATGAGGCGGCGAGGCGGGGGTACACGGAGATACTGGAGATGCTTCTGGGAAACCCTCGTGGAAAGGTTTCTCTAGACGTTCAGGATAATAGGGGGAGGACTGCCCTGGGTATCGCAGCGCGTATGGGGGATACGGAGTCGGTCAAGGTGTTGCTTGATCACGGGGCGGATCCGGATATTCACGACTCTATTGGGAGGAGCCCAAGATTAATCGCGTGTCATCCTGACAGGTCGGCGATTGCACGTCTTATGGCGGGGATTCCTTTACAATGCAGGACGAATAGAGGATGAGCGCGGCCTGTGATGAAATTATTCCACTGTATTATGTCTTATGGGACTGAATTATTGTTGCTTAGATTGGTGGGACGGATAGTATAGCTATCACCACATGGGGTTTAATTTAGCTATTTAGCTACGTTTTTCTCTTGTTTTTTCCCCTGTTTATTTATAAAAGTTAGAGGGACCAGGAAGGTGGATAAAAGGATACTCAAGGATGAGGAAATGGAATTGAATCATAAAGGATCACTCAACGTTTGTCAAGAAGAATATCTCAGTATGACTATGTCTAAGACGATAATGCAGAAATAGTCTCGCAAATAAATGATCTCTACCTGCCAGAACAAAAGAGCTTAATCCTATATATCTTATATACACATGAGACCCCCGCCATTGAATGTAAACCGTCTGTTCCCTTTTTTTTAACTTTATTTTTTCTAGATCGAAAAACGACGCGACTGCGCGCGAGATCTATCTAAAGAATGAGAATATAAGGTATCTAATAGATTGTGATTGCAGGGTTAGGTGTCACCCTAACTCACTTTGCCCGGGGCCTTGCTCCCTTAAGTATTACTTCCGGGCCTGCCTAATGGGGTACTTAATTAATCGCAGATTAAACTATCCTAGCTTCTCGCACATTATTTAGCTAATCGGTCTCCACTCGATGGCCAGGGCCAGATGTACAGAGTCTGGTAGAATTATTGCGGAAGTCAGGACTAAAAGAGTGGGCTTCTTGGTCCGTGCTCACTGCAAAAACTCCTTTAAGGGCCAATAGGACTATCGGGTCACGGAAAACCCACTTTCGCAATAATTCTACCAGACTCTGTAGTACTGGCCAGTTTAGCGAAACCCTTTCGGTACATGTTTTTTTATCCCTTAAGCTGTCGCGAAAATGCTGACCCACAAAAAAAAAAAAAAAAAAAGCAAGTTTGGTGTGGCTTTACTAACAGACCCTGTTATCCCTCTTATCAAATAATAGATCTCTCATACAAATCTAACTTCTGTTATAAGGGGATCAGCATCAACAGCTTAAGGAATAGTACGGTAGATACTTATATTATAAAGAATAAGTTTTGCTAAGCATCCGGTCCTGACCTTGGGGGAGGGATCAAAGAAAAATTGGCCAAATGGCCGAGAAGCTAAGATAATCAAACTGCGGTTAGGACCAGATCGAGATCTGATCGATTATACTACACTTAACCTACGAGCAATAGTAAGCTCCATCCAGAAAGAAAAAAATGCCAATAAATTCAAACACAATTAAAAGTCTCGCAGAAGAAGATGCTTTTCAGGGAGAGAAGAGGAGTCAGGTAAACCTAACCTGTCATCATGACCCACTAGCTACCCTCTCGCTTCATCATAAGGAATTAACTAACGCCATACAAGTCCTCCTAGATATCATTTAGAATACATTCCAGTGGTTGTTTCTGTGGAATACATATCGCTGGCGTGCACGTGACACGTACGGGGTGGCTGACAATTTTTTCTTTCATGAATTATCACTCGCAGCGGATCTTGCTGGGGAAATAGATCCAATTTATAAGTTCCTCACAAACCGGCATGGTGATGCCTCCAAAATGTATATACAGATAACGCTATGCTCTTAATTCCGACAAGGAACTTGGTCTGATCTAAGTTCGGAACTTAGGCGCTCCTCCACTGGTTGAGGGATCTGGAGTCGTTTCTTGCCCGTTGTTGTAGCCTAACGGCCTACGACACCATATAGCTACCCGTGATCCTTATTTTATAAACGCTGTATTGGAATTTTCTCCAGACACAGATGCCTCCCCCACCAAAAGAAAACCCTTGGAGAGCGGTCTCCAATTACCAAAAGGTAGAGTGAGCCAAATAAAAATAAAGAGGGACGAAAGTGGCATAGGGTTTGGCATGATGTTGAGTCTGAGAGCTTCAATTAATATCGATATCTAAATTATAAAGCTAATACAGCCTATATATCTTAGATCTAGAGGAACCCGGGTAGGATACTATTCCTCTTGACAGCGAGCCCTCTACTGACCTTATTGCTTTGAACGACACATATCCGACGCACGAGATTAGAGTGGGCCTTCTGGTTAGTAGGGTGTAGATATGATACGGTGTGGCGACGCCTGAGGTTGCCTATAGAGTGGTAGTCTGTGAACACACCGCCGGGGGAGGTAGCGGCACTGACTAAGTTGAGCAGTGATAAATTCACCTGGCCAGATAGAATCTGGCAAATATTACAAGACCGAATTACCATGGTCAGCCATAGCTGGCTAACTGGGCCAAATTGCAAACCACATAACTCTCCTCTCTTAAATCTCCATTTATCTACATATATCTAGCTAGCCCAAGCGTGCAAGTCAGTGATTGTGGCTTTGGTGGGATTAAAACCGAAAGATGTACCCGAGCAGTCTTTCTTAATGGTGTTTGTGATTTGTGATTCGGTGCATGATTCCACGAAGTCTTTAACAGCCACGGCCCGTGCCGTGTATTGGCGGCTGCCATTGCTTCAGGGCTAGTGTTTCGGGTATATCAATTAGAGGGGTTGAGAAACAACGACGAGTGGCGTAGTACTAGTGGATGTACTACAGAGCTCGTTGAAACCACGTTGTACCAGAAGACTCTGAGTTCTCCTGGATCCAGGGGTACCGGGTGGGGGTACTCTCTATCGGTGCTTACCTCGATGATGAACAGTGCTTTTTCTTCTTTCTGTGTATTTCTAAGCTACATGTAGCTTAGCCCCCCCAAAAAGCTTTAACCGATCAATCCTATCACTCTCTAAAGAAACATCTCTATCCTGGGGTTACCCCAGTATAGTGGGCCCTTTATAAACAGACCCCGCACACATCACGCCCATCATATGAATTAAACAAAAAAAAAAAAAAAACTTCTATCATATGTTATCACTCGTTCTCACCCCCACCTATACTCAATCCGGCCGGCGAAGCTTTACCCCACGTTAAAAGGCTGCTCCTGGGGTGAACATCGCTCCCCCCCCCCCCCAGGGGCCAGGGTTGCTCCCACTCCAATCAGCTAGTCTAAACCCCATTCCCACTCTACGACCAGCACCACCCACAACCCCGACCACCGCTACTTCACAGCCCATCACTCGCACATCTCCTCCTCCTCCTCCTTCTTCTTTGGCTCACCCACCACCTCACCACCCCAGTCCCCAATTAACCTTCAGCCCCCAGCCTCTATTACTCTACCTACATAGCTGAGAATATCATAATACCCTACAAGCACACGCCAACACCTACATGTATTCAGCCTGATAACCCAGCCGAGCCAGACCAGGCAAAAACCTAAAACCACATTTGTATTATCATATCATGTATCATGTACCACCTACAAATCTAAAGCACCTAAAGCACTACTCCACATGCTATCAAACCTCACCCCCATCCCCCACTATTCTCACCCTCATCCCCACCAAAATCCCCCCACCTACCACCCAACCCCAACCTCGCCATCTACCCCATACACATACAAACCCTACAACAACCGGTCCGACCTCCGCCAACACTCCCAAGCCCAACGCAAAATTCAAGCTTCTTTCCACACACCTCGCCATCCAATCCCACAAACCCCCTCCCCTCCCCGCACGACCCACGCCATCGGGATGCAGACAGCCTTAACTGGCCTGCATATGTAAATCTGCAGCCCTGGGGCATATGTATGTGTGTGTGTCTGTGTAACATAACAAGCATCATCATCAACACATCACCACCGATGATCTTGGCATCGCCATTTTTTTTGTCTTCGCCGTCGGTCAAGTCGGTCGGTCCCCGAGCTCGTGGAAAAAAAAAAAAAAAAAAGCCACCACCACCATGCACCGGGAAAAAAAAAAAAAAAAAAAAAAAAAAAAGTCAAGATATGCCATGCGAGAGAGATGCGGGGGAGTTGGGGCATCTGCATCTATGACCTCGGTAAATTGAATTATGTACCATAGGCAAAAGAATCCTCGGAAACGATCGCTCGCCTCCGCCCGTTGTCCATTTACGAAAAACAAGGTTTAGTTTGGTTTTGATGGAAAAAGAAACTCTGTCAGTTGTGATTTTTATTAATGGTTACCAGACAATCGATCATTGACCCTTTCAACCCTAACCATTGCATATGCCAACTTTTAGGCACAAAGAATAACCTTTAACTTAACCCTTCCGTATTTCTATCCTACCCGCCTGATGAAAAACAAAACAAAGAAATAAAGAGGAAAAAAAATGAACACTGAAGAAAAGCTACGATCAAAAAAAAAACCTTGCTACCACTACCCACTGCAGACCTATACAACAATAAAAACACACTAGACAATTGCCACCCCTCCTTCAATTACCTTTTGAAACAGGTAGAGATTGAACTTCAATTTATTCTCGTGGCTAGCGATAAAAATGAAACTCGTAAGACGCAAGACAGGGATAAACCAAGATAAAGCTATAACCCTTATTCGTTGTTTACACTTGCTAACGCCGATCTTTTCGCTGGTGGCGGTGGCGGAGGCTTCTTCAAACTTCTGCTCACTGGTGGCGGCGGTGGCTGTTTCCTTACACTGTTTGTAGTCGATGTGTATGAGCTACTGGTGCTCCTCAGCTTCGCGCTACCGATCGAAGGGGTATTCGATCTCGCCGGGGAAGAAGAACGATCATCATATGTGTGCCTGTCGGGAGAGCTGTGGACCGAAGAGTTTGTGCTGTCAGCGAACACCTCCGTGTTGACTGGTCGCAGGCTACGTTGCGAAGGCAATGGTGGCGGTGCCCCTTGGTCTGACCCGGCTCTTCCCATCCTCTCGGACCCCATGGAATCGTAGTTGCGTCCTACTGGTGCAGTATTTGTCCTCTGAAACACTGGCTTCTGCGGGAGCCTGTCATCACGGTAGTCCGGTGTCGGGAGACGGTACTGGCCGGACCTTTCCGATTCTGGTGAGCCGGCATTGTGACGGGATCGAATGGACGGACGTTCGGCCACGGGTGGTGGTGGAGATTCCTCGCGCTCACGGGTTCCATTGCCAGTGAAAGCATGGGCCGTCTCCGAGCGGGAGCGGGTCCGCTTAGCCTTGCTTGTGGTTGATCTAATTATAAACATTAGCTCCCTAGGTCGCCCAATAAGGAAATAACGGAACGGTAGTACCCGGCCGGCCAACTCCGTCTAACGTTCATCAAGATGTCTCTGCATCTATCATGGTACTCAAGCTCCGCATCCAGAAATGCGCCCAAGTCTGCCATTGACTCGGCCTCAGATTCCTGAATATCGCCCATCCGGCGGAGAACATCTTCGCTGGACTCCTCGTACTTGATGCGCTGAGCCCGCAGCTCTTCTTCAACACGGAAGTCCTCGCGCTTCTGCTTCTGCATCTTGGACAAGGTTGCGTCATAGGCAAGTCTTCGAGACTCGAGCTTCTTACGAGCAGCCTGGAAACATTGAAACATCAGTAACGTACCGATTGGGCACACATCGTATATCTCCTTACCTGGTATTCCTTGAGCTGGGCCAGCGATCGTTCCAATGACTCGAGCCAGCTCTCGCTGGCTGATGCTACGTACGCATCCTGTATCCGGGCAATCTTCTCATTCGCCTGTCCCATTTCTTCAAGCCATCAGCTGGGAGATCAATGCAGGTAGCACCAAGCAAGGGGGATGAGGGCATACTAATGAGACAATTGCCGAACAAGCTATCTTGCTCGAATTCCTCTCCATGGGTGATCATTGTCTGGGCCAACACATCCACAGGCAACATCTTCTCCCTGGCCTCACCCTCTTTCTTTGCGGAAACCGATTGGATGTAGACGCCCATGGACTTGTGGAGCTTCTCCATTCCTATAGTAGCGATTTTGTTAGACCGGCCAGTCCCCCCAAGCAACCAAGTGTCCCGTGATGGGTGTTAAGATGCGGTGGTACCTTCGTGTCGGAGATTCATCTCCATTTCTAGGTTCTTGAACTCATCGGATGCGCCGGTTTTCACCTCGCCTCCCATTCGTTCACCTGCCCATTGCTTGAGCCTGTCGAGCTTCTGAAGATTCCCCCCATGAAATTAGCATTGTAGGACAGGCAGAAATGTTGATAACGGGCTTACCTTGTTCATCATCTTTGCTGGAGGTGCTTTGAGTATCGGGGAGAAAGAGTTGATGTGGTGGTGGTTAGTCTAGTTTAGTCTAGTTTAGTGATGGGGATTGCTGTAGGAAAAGCTGACGACGACCGATGTAATAGGGTACTTTGTCGTCGGGAGTGTGGGCTTCCGTTAATAAACAAACAATTGGCAGACGGTTCTACTGATGCTCTAGCTCTCAACCTCTCTTTTTTAGGAGTGTGGGGTGAGTGAGAGGCAACGGTGGTAACAAGAGCGAATCCGGACAAATGGTTTTTTTTTGAGTATTTGTGGGGTGGTGGTGACAGCGGCAGTAATAAATAGGAATGGATAGATGGAGCGAGAGATAGAAAATGAGCAGCAACCGGTGCAATTAAACTGAAGGTAACTTTTTGTTCTTCCCGGAATAACTATGGATGTTTCTGTATTGTATGTACGGCGATGATGATGATGGTGAAGACGGTTATCTTTAATTAACGAGAGAAGAAGGAAAAAGAGGAAGAAGACGAGTACAAAGACGAAGTAGACGACCAGGAACAAAAAACACCTCAGAGAAGCAGAACAACCAAGAAAGAAAAGGAGTGGCGGGTAGGGACAAGATGCGGACGACAGCTTCAATTTAGCGAATTCATGGATGGCAAATACTGGGCGGGGGGGTAAGGAAGTGAGAACGAGTGAGGAGGGGTGTGGAGGAGGAGGGGGTGGTGGACGACGCGTGCTGCTCTTCTGTCTATCTCCCTCTAGGCTGGCCACTTTTCTTCCTAGGCCAGACCGATCATGGCTTCTACCGTCTGTCTCTCACAGACTGCTGTGCAGCAGCAGGAGAGATGTTCTTAGCTCAGGCAAGTCTTTACTCTATCCAAGGCCCAGCCAAAGTGCTTCCACAGGGGTCTGTCAGTCAGGCCGTGGAGAGAGGAGAGGCGCTGGGGCGTTCCATCATCCCTGCAGATCCCCAGGCGGTGGATTGTGGTGGCCATCCACCTACCCCATGGCTGCCACAACTCCCCCCCTGGCCTGCCCTTCAACTGCTTTCTCCATCCACACGGACGCACCTCCGCCAGTCGGTGCATATCCCCAGCCCGTCCCGGAAACATTCCAATTGTTCCATGTTCCGTCCGTCTGTTCGCCCTCAAACATGTCTATGATCTCTTGTATCTCCACATGGGCAACGGGAGAGGGGCCAAGAATAGTAGGCCAAGAATAGCAATTTACAACAGTGATTTACTTACTGACTGACTGACACTGAATATAGGAGTGGGTGAGTAAAAGTAGGGAGTGAGCGACTCTAGTTTAGTGAGTGATTCTTCAGAAAGCGCTGCTGCTGAAGAAAAGTTCTCTCAAACGCGCTATTGGCGCTTGTAGATCCCCCTAGATGTTTCATCTCCATCGATAGGTATCTTTCCCTTCACTCATGAGCATACCTGCCCCCCCCTTCACTTCCAGCTGGAGGGACCACCACCACCACCACCACCACCGCCGCTACCAGATACCTACTGTTACCGACTTACTGGGTCGCAAAGTAGGCCGATCTTGCTTGGTTGCAGTGTGCAGACCGCCAGGTAATAATACCCGCCAGTAAAAACTCGACGTCAGCAGTCGGTCGGCCGCGGTGATGGGGCAACAACATGATGTAGTTAGGATACTTTCCAACTTCTGTGGCATCGAATCATTGCTTTTTTGGTTGGCCGGACGGCCGCGGACAACAGGCGCTATTTATTTCCCATACGCATGTCAAACAGAACTATATTTCCCTCCTAAATTAGGGGGTGACAATTAACTTATATGATATCTGATTTCCTGGATGCCGCTGCTGCTGCTGTGCTTACGATAACCGCTTACTGTGATTTATGGATGTAGGTACTTGGCATGGATGTAGCTATTTCGCCTGAGGGACAATGGTTGGAATGGGATGTGAGATATTGACGGGATTGGTGGTGTTTCTGTGCCTGTCAGAAAGGAAAGAGCTTATTTCTTACAGCTTCCTATACCGGATTCTTGTGTAGCAGCCACAGTCGATAATCGATAATCGGAAATCGAGATTCAGCATTCTGGAATCTGCACCTTCATCTACAGCATACATACATGACAATGGCGATATGATACATACAGCTGCTGTGCTAACCTGATACTGCAATTCAATAACATATATGTAAACTTTTATTAACCCTTTGTTTGCCGTGTAAAATAAGTTTTTCAAAAAAAAAAAAAAGGAAATTAAATCTAACTAATAGCCTTGTCCATGCTTCACCGTAGTCTAGAATTTCTTCTTCCTCTGCGGCCTCGCATTCTTCTCTCTCCTCCTCTGCTTCAGCTTCAGGTCCTTACCGATCTGGTCCCTGCTCTTCAACTCGCTCTTCACTGAGCCCTTGACCAGGCCTTTCTCCTTCGCCTCCGAGTACCTCTTCTTCCTGACCTCATAATCATCCCTCGCCTTATCCGCCGGCTTCGGCGCCTTGACACTCTTATGGAACTGTCTTCCGCCGCGTCTACCACCGACACCGCCGCCACCACCACCCGGTACACCTGGCGCAGCAAATCTATTCCCACTGGCCCCCGGCGTCTCGTTCTCCCCGACCCTTGGCAGGCGCCCAACCTTATGGGCGCTCTTCCACCTCGAGAAGCGGCCCGACTGGAACGACGCGGCAATCTTCTGCCCGGACTCGCCAATGATCATCTTGGCACCCTTTGAGCCGTCCTCGTCGTTGGCGCGCTGGACAAACTTCTTGGCCTTCTTGTCCCAGCGCATGCCCTTGGCTTTATGCGCCTCTGCGAAGCCCTTTCCGCCGTCGTCGTTCGTTAGGTCGAAGGTGGCGCTGCGGGCGGCCTCGGCGAAGGACCCGCCGGTGACGGAGTAGCCGCGCTCTTCGGCGAGGGAGGAGGTGGGCACATAGGACATGAAGTGCTCTTTATCCTCCCAGCTCTGCGCCTTCTTCATCTTCTTGTTCATCCTCGTCACCGCCGGTTTCTTGAACGTTGCCTCCAGCTCGCCGTCGCTGGCCGCATCCATATCCACGTCCTCGTCGGCGCCATCTACATCGCTGCCCGCATCACCTTCAAAGTTCACCTCCTCCATCTCCTGATCACCTTCCTCCTCCTCCGCCGCCGCCGCCGCATCCTCCATCGCCCCGCGCTTCTTGCTCGGATCAATCTTGATCTTCTCCCGCCTGTTGCGCATCACGTTCGCCGCCTCGCTGCGGTTCAGCCCGCGCTGCCCAATCTCAAAGATTGTCTCACTGGGGCGGAAGTTTGCCACGCGGGCCAGCATCTTCACGCGCTCCAGCTCCGCGTCCGCCACGTCGTCGCTGAAAAGCGGATGTGCGGCGCTCCAGCCCTTCTGCGCAATGGTGTCCTTGGCGCGCTTGACGCTCTCGGCGGAGGCCGCGACCTTCGTCTTCTGGTAGAGCTTCTCACCCTTCACCATGACGCTGCGGAGCGACGCGAGCTCGCTGTCCTCCACGAGGAGCTTGTTGATGTGCTCCATGCAGCGCTCGACGCTGTCGCGGACGAGGCCGCCGACAACGACGTCGGCGGTGTAGTCGAAGTCGGACTTTGACCGGTGTTCGCTGTCGCGGCCGAGGACGAGCTTCTTGCCGAGGAAGAGTTGGAGGTCGAGGAGGTAGGGGGCGTCTTCGCCGCGGACGAGCGAGTAGGCCCATCCCTTCTTACCGGCACGGGCGGTTCGCCCGACACGATGGATGTAGACCTTGGGCTGCGGGGGGAAATCGTAGTTGATGACGTTGGAGAGAAGGGGGATATCGATACCTCTTGCGGCGACGTCGGTCACGACGAGGATGCTTGTCTCGCCGGCACGGAAGCGCGCGACCTGGTTTCGGCGGGCGGTCTGGTCGAGGGTGCCATAGACGTATGAGACGGGGTATCCGGATGTTGAGATGAGGTGGGAGAGGTATTCGACGTGGTGCTTGGTGGCCGCGAAGATGATCGTTGAGTGCGGGGAGGCCGCCTCATGTGCGGAGGTGCCTTCGGGCCGTTTGCGCTTCTTTGCGTTTGCGCCTGTTACGGGCGGGGGTGCGGCAACGGAGCCTTGCGGGATCTTGATGACGTCCTGGATAAGGTGCAGGAGAGCGCCCTCCTTCTCCGAGGATTTGACGGTGAAGAAGGATGACTCGAGGTCCTGCGAGATCTTTGAGTCGGCGTCGAGGCGCACAAGTGCTGGTTCTTGGAGACCGGCCTTTGCGAACTCGACGAGACTCTTTGGGAGGGTTGCGGAGAAGAGGAGCGTCTGGCGGTTTGAGGGGAGGGCGTGCAGGATCTCGGTGAGCTGCGCGGAGAATCCCATCTCGAAGAGGCGATCGGCTTCGTCAAAGACAATGTATTGCACGGACTTGAGGTCAAGCTCCATCTCGACCTTCAAGTGCAGGAAACGACCGGGAGTGGCAATCACAATGTCGGGGTTGGAGGCCATGAAGCCGAATTGGTCCTCGAGACTGTCACCTCCGACGAGGAGACACGCTTTGAGGTCGGTGCCGCGGGAGAGCTCCTTGACGACCTTGAGTGTTTGTAGGGCCAGTTCACGGGAGGGTGAGAGGATAATTGCTCTTGCGCCAACCTGGGTAGCTTAGTATACAATTGCATATATGTAGAACTGAGTAGAGCTGTAGAAGGCATATACACACCTTGACACTGTGCGCCTTCAACTTCTCAATCATGGGAATAACAAAGGCCGCAGTCTTTCCAGACCCCGTCCTCGCCATTCCCACAACATCCATTCCCTCCAGCACCAGTGGAATCGTCTTCCTCTGAATTGGTGTCGGGACCGAGAAACCCTTCCTGCTAATCGCCTTCAAAATTCCAATATTCAGTCCTATATTCCCACCCAATTAGCTCACTTCTCCCCACTACTCACTACTCCCCACTATCCCACCACCACAAAAAGACCAAAATCACACATACCCATCTGCTGAAACCCACCACCCTTCTTCACCGTATTCTTCCCCTTCAAATTGCTCCCCTTGCGATTACTCGCCGCCTGCTGCGCCGCAATGAACGCCTCATCACCATCGTCGTCGTCCTCCTCGCCCAAGATCTCATTGACGCTCTTCTCGGCGTGCAGTCGCCGAGGGTTGTAGGCTTCGGTCTCGCTATCGCTGTCGGCGGCGCCGAGTGCCGCAGAAATGTCGTACTCGAATTCGCTCCTCGTGGGGGAGGCTGCGCGGCCGGTCATTGCTGTAGGGAGTAGTTGGGTTTTTGAGAGCTTGGGTTTTTTGCGGAACTGGAATCATTTTTTTTCGTTTGGTGGTGGGTTGCGTTGCAGGGGTGTGTGGAACCCTGGCCCTGGGGGAGGTAGGGTAATGGGTCGTGGGTCATGAGATATCACTCGTTCAGTGTGAAGGTTTCGAGGTGCCGTTGCGGACACTCTTTCATGGGGTTCGCTTTAGAAAAAGTAAAAGTGGGTACAACTTAACAGCTCTCAGAAAGTATTGAAGTCGGAGCCGATGTTGGATCAGTACGGGGTTATGCGAAGGGGCCGGGTGCTCTGGCAGCATTTGGGTTTGCCAGGCCCTGTAAGATATATATATTGTGGCGGTTCACACCGAGTTGGTCGCAATCCAATGCGGCTACTCGTCAATGATTTGGAACGCAACTTCTAAACCTTACCTTGGCTTGCCTCATGCCTAGACATTATGTTGGTATAGCTTGGCACGGGTTCGTGCCTCGCAATATTTCTACTGGTATATTATGAAGATCCAGGTATGTAATTACTTGTAAGGGGCCGGAGAGCTACGTACAAAAAGACCTATCTACAAAAACCTACAAAGAAAAGTACCTAACCTATTATGGATTGCTCCAACGTTAACCGTAGATTCCCCTATCCTCCGTCTCAAAAAACTGAGACGGGAAATCGGGGTTGGAGCCATATTCCTAGTTTAAGATTTTGATACATTTTCGTACTTCGATGGACAAATCGAATATCGCCCGCACCATAGAGATTAATTGAGACATTCGCTGGCAACACACCGTTTATAAATTTAAAATTGCTCCCCGTCCTAAGCCTCCCGGCCGCAGGTTTTATGTAGGGAGCCATGCAGAACCACGCAAAGACGAAGGGATAGGTCAATTGGCCCTCTTAATAAGTGTGTTCCCTTAGTCAATGTTCACTCATAAGGGTCTCACGATCGATGAGGGGAAGGGTTGCAATGATCTAGGTCTAGCTCAACCAGCAAGGAACAACTAGCAGATTATGTTTGTTCATACTATATCACTCGCTCTTGGCACCCACGCCCACACCACAACCCATACAACCACACCCCACACAAACACAAACACAAACAACCACAAACCCGCAGGTGCGGATGCTACAGTTATCACCAATATCACAGTCATCACCAACATTACAGTCATCATTAACGTTATAGTCATCACTAACATCACAGTTATCACTAACGTCGCAACTATCACGAGAACCACAGTCATCATTACCATCCTCATCTCATACCTAAGAACCACCAAATCTTAGGAAAGATGGTTTCGTGATAATCACACACCTCAAGTCAAGCCTATCGCCGGCAAAGTCGCAAACGCTGGTATATGGTAGATAGGACCTATCTTTCTGGTCATGGTTTTTCTTCATCTGGTGCTTGGGCACTGCCGAACCTTTGAGAAAAGGATTGAAGTTTGAATCATCGAGTCGCCGAGTTTTCTTCTTCTTAACAACGAGGATGAGCTTACAAGGCTGGGATCAATCCTCGACTGCCTCCTCCATCATGGACGAGGTCCCCCTCTTGAACTTTGTCATCTATGATGACGACGAGTAGCCTTGTTTATAGCGGGATCAGAGTTACTCAAGCAAAACATGATCTGACATGCCGTTCGGAGGCGCTACGTACTATACGTACCTGTGATTAAGGACCATGGAAACAAGACGATTTTTACTGAAGGGCGAAACAACCCTCGCGTGCTCACCGAAACCGAGACCGACCTGGAGAAGTGAACATTAACCATTAACTGGCCCTATTACAGCAGAAGACAGGCCTTAGATGGTATGCTTATTCTCTGACTGTAAACGTCGAGCTCTATTCCGTGCGAGAGACAACTTAGGCCCTGCTATTCGCCTAGGTCTTGACTTAATTCTAGGTCGTATATATAGTAGCTATGGCTTTTTCCTTAGCCAAAGATCTCGAGACTATCGTCCTTCATCGGTTGGATAGACCAACTTCCTTCTCAACTAGCGGACGGTTGAGGAGCGGGCGACTTTATTTAAAATCTTGGCCTTGGGGTTATCGAGTGACTCACCATGACTCGCAGCCTCAACCAGTACTTTTCAACTAATAGCCAGAAAAACCGTGGTATTAGCAGGAGCTTTAGGATCACGCTTGATTAAGTTATTAGCGGGATGGCACGGATAGTTCAAAACGCTATCTTTTGATAATTCTTGGCATGACGCCAGGATTCGATAATACATGGAGCAACAATTACCATACAAGGTTGACTCCGAGAAGTGTTTCTACTGAAACACAAAGACGCAAGAAGCTCAGTAATTCATTCATAAGTACATGTAGTTTCATGGAGGTACTAGGTAGTACAGTCTTTTACCGTCTCTTGACGAATACTACCACTTGACGAACAGGGATTCCAAGTATGGAAAGAAACAGTCAAGCAACAGCCAAGCTACGAGATCTCCGGTCCTTTTAATTTCTATTGGCCCAAAGTCCCCTGTTCGTCAACTGGCAGTATTCGTCAAGACTGTAGTCAATTGGGGCCAATGGCCGAAGGGTTACACGACGATTTAAACAGGGATGTTGACCGGTGGTATTGGCCTGAGTCGTAGGCCCCTGATCGGCCGGAAATCGCCCTTTTATCGTAGACTACCTTCACGATTCCGGAACCGTACATGATCAAATGCTGCACGTGGATTAGATTCACTTTGAAGACTATGTATTCGTGTGACAACCCGTGTATGTATGTCCGGCAGCTGCACAGGTTTAAAAAGTTGTCACACCCTTAAAAAAACAACCACAAAAGTCCGAGGAAGGGCCGAATTCTATCAATTCTCTTCCCCGCCTCGGGTAGCTACTAAAAGCACAAGATAAATAGGAAGCAAACAAAACAAGGACTAAAAAACATTCTGCGCCATAGAGAGGTATGTATGTAAAAGATTAACCAAAGGCCTGTCCATTCCATTCCACCCCGTCAAAAGAAACCGTATACGATAATTCAAGTTATTACACCAGCTCGAGACCCAGTAGAAAGACAGCCACAAATCTACGATAACTGAATCGATGATCGCTGTCGACTATGGAGCCATGCCTGCCCTGAGCAGAATACGAGGAATCCCTACATTAAGAACTGTGGTTAGCTTGCACCAAACGTATAGAGAAGAGAAGGTGGCACGAACAATGTAGACAATGACAGCACCAAATATGGTGGCAGCGACGCTCTTGCCGTCCTTAGGATCATTGGTAGAGCCCATCATTGATTCATGTCTACAAAAACAGAGTTAGTAAACGTCGCTTTATATTCCAAGGGGCAATGCGGTCGAGTCGTACCCAGACTTGAAGAGCGTCCCAAGGGCGCTAAGAATGACGATGGCGAATGCGGAAATGACGATGCTAGTGAAATGGTTAGTCAATCCGAGCTGGCAAGACCTTTCTGCGACTACACGACAGCGTGAGGGAGAGAAATAGTTACCATGACCAGGCGGTGAATCTATGTGCGTACGTTAGCATTCTTCCAGGAGAGGTTTTGGGAGGGCTCAAGGTGTAGCAGAGCAAGGAGGGGGGCATACGCAGAAAAGAGAGGCTTCATGGTGAGGTATTAATGTTCTATTATCCAGGGAGAAGTGTCTTAAAAGCGTAGAAGTGGTCCGGTACTGGAGCTACTTGTTATTCCGTTGGTGTTATTTAGTCCCGGTCGCGCTGGTGACGAGTGAGGTCGATACCAGAGGCTTGGCGCGATATTCGCATTACATAACCAGCATGGAGGCTGAGGGATCCTGTTTGGCGTCACGTCAGGCAGATCAGTATTCGGACAAGTCCTAACAATCACCCGCTCACTCATCTCCAGAACAAAACTCTGCCATCACCACCACCGCGCCAACCTACAGCTTGTCTAAATACACCACTTGACCCTTCGCTAATACTCTCTCCGCAGTATCTCCCATCGCATCATGGCGTCTCCAGCTTCTACTGCGGTCGCTGCAGGCCCAAATGATGCTCCTCGGCCAGTAGCTCGCAGAAGACCTGTAAACGACAACCCTCTGGTGCAGCGCCAGAAGCGTCCACGGCCAGCTCCCGGTATCCGTCCCTCTGCTGCTGCAATAGCAGGCGGAGCAACTGCTATCGCTCCTCGTCACGCATCGACCTCGACGCCGACACCTCCAACCGCCCCAGCTGTTGTTGCTCCTGCTGCGTCTGCGTCTACCGCCACTACAGCTGCTGCCCCCGTCAAGCAAGAAGAAGAGATCCAATGGCAGGAATACAAGCTCACAACCACAAAGGCCTCCCTCATGAAGGACCTCCGTTACCACGTAATGCGCATGCAGTCGAAGCGCATCGTTAACCCTCTCGACAGCCAGGAATTCACAAGACCCATAAAGCTTCATCGTCGGGATCCAAGGGCCCCACTTCAGGGTGCGAAGGAGGAGGCTGCTGCAAACGCAGTTGCCGCTGCCCACAAAGCTGCGGAGGAGGAGGAAAAGGCAAAGAATCAGGCTGAACAGGACAAGAAGGACGCTGATAAAGCCGCTGCTCTGGAGAAGATCGCGCCCTATGGCGGTGCGCAGAAGCAGAAGAAGAACGCGTTCCAGAAGAAGACCCAGCAAGTCTACAAATCTAATGATGCCGAGAAAAAGCTACGCTACGAGGAGTTCTTTCCATGGTTTATTGAGGATTTTGATAATAAGAACACGTGGGTTGGGCAACTTGAGAGTTCACTTAGCAAGGGAGTATTCGCAATGTTTGTGCTGGATGACGGTGCCTTTAAGATGGTGCCTATTGAGAAGTGGTATAAGTTCACGGAGAAGAACAAGTTCAAGACCATGACGTCAGAAGAGGCGGAGGTCGTAATGAAACAAAATGCAAAACCACCAAGATGGTTGATGAATCGAACAGAGGAGAAAGAGCGAGAGCGAAGAACTCTCGAAGAAAATGCGAGAGCGACAAAAAAGCTCTTTACTCGGAAGGGTGATAGATTGCCAAAAGCAGAAACGGATGCAGATGACCTTGACTTTGACGATGACCAATTCGCCGATGATGAAGAAGCTCCCATCATGGAAGGCGAGGAGCATGAAAATAAAGAAATCGAGGTAATATCAGTTATGCGCTCTTTGCTTTATCTGAAACACAGTTGCTCAAAAAGTTGCTCCCCTACAGAATCGTATCAAAAAGGAACAACTGTCTGCGAACTTCTTTGACGCCCGTGGCGAACGTGAGTACGAGGAAGAAGAAAAGGAGAAGAAAAAGCTTGAAGCCGTCCGTCGTAAGCATGGTAAAAAGGTCAAGAAGGCCCTCATGAACCGTGAGGGTAACTACACATACGAAACGGACTCCGACGCAGATCCATACGCTTCGACAGTATGTCATTCCGTCCGATATAATTTGATATAGAACCCCTGTACTCAATTGCACTGTTACTAACCCCGGTTCGGCTATAGGACGACGATTCCGATGACGAAGAGGAGGAAGCGCGTAAACAAGAAGAAGCCAAGAAGGCCGAGGAAGCTAGAAAAGTCGAGGCAGCTGAGAAAGAAGCACTTGAGAAATTGGTTGCTGAAAAGGCTGCCGAGAAGGCCGCGGCCGCAGCTGCAGCAAAAGCTGCCACAACCACTCCCGCTGCCGCCACTGCCGCCGCTGCTGCCGCCACTCCTTCTACTCCCGCTGCCGCTCCTTCTGATACGAAAACAGCCAAGCCTGTTGTATCTAAGAAGGCAACACAAGCACCTGGTACATCCACCCCTCTCCCCACCGCTGGGCCGAAGCTCAAACGTTCAGGGTCCCCAAACCTTTCTGGGATCGAATCCGGGGCCGAGTCGAGGAAGAAGCCGAAGAAGAGCCAAGCACCGAAGCTGGGCACAAGCACGTTGCCTGTGGGTACAGACAAGAAGAGTATCGTAAAGCTCAAGGTCCCCCCCGAGAATCTCCAGCAAATCTCGTCTTCTGAGCCTTCTCCGTCCCCTCCTTCAGTCGCGGGCATGACCGCAAAGAAACGCAAGAACGATGGCAATGCGACTGCCGACGAGAAGTCAGGGGAAATGAGCGATGGACCAGGAAGCAAGAAGCAAAGGATCAAGCTTCTGTCCGGTGGACGATCATTATCGCCGAGTGCAGCTGCGAGTAGGCAGGGAAGCCCTGCGCCTCCTGCACCAGCTGGAGCTGATGGTATGTCCCTCCATTCCATGCTATATGAGATGACGGTAGGCCATTTGGTCTGCTAAACTACCTTTGGTTGGAGGCGGGATATCTTCATCAAATTTAATTTAGCTGACCAATGGCCAATGATTGCCCCCCCCCCCCCCATAAAAATCTTACAAGTGGGTGTTGACTAACGGTTGAAGCAGCGTTCATCACGGACGAGGAAATCAAGAGCCTCTTGTCAAGCAACCCTGGTGGTGTAACATTGAAGTTTATTGCAGACAAGTTTAAATCGAGGGTCAGAAACGACGAGGTCAAGGCGAGACTTGTGTCGAGTATCAAGAGATTGACCGTCTCAAATGACAAAAAGACTTATCATCTGAAAAAGGATGTTTGACGATACGTGGGGAAATTTATATCTCTTCCTTTCTCATTTGGCTATTAATTTTTCTCCCACCCATGTCTCCCCCATGTTTTTTTTTCAGTTATTTCGTTATGACACGAAGGTATGGCTAAATTGGTATGAGGGTCGATGGCGGAGCATGTACTCATAGTTGCGGCTTTTTCTAGTATCTTATTTCTCATTGGTTCATTAGTCACTAAACATAAGGACAGAAATCACAGAATAGACGACAAGTTAGTCGAGTGGATGCAATACAGAATTTATCACTATTTATTTCCATTGGGGAGTTATCCATGCAGTATACCAATGCCACCCAAGAAGATTCCGTAGTAACAACAGAAGGAGTATTGTTATGGATGAAACCATTACAAAGGCGTGACTATCTAAATGAGTACATGTAGTAACCTGCGATAGTCTTTTTTCAATTGTTTTATGGGGGGTCTACAGACGAGCCAATCCATGTCATAAGGTTATCAAATTCAGTGTAAAACAAGGAATAAATTAAACAAAGCGTAGCCAACAAAAAATCCCAGGACGACTTATGAAAAGAGAGGAATGCGAGATCCAATCCCTCCGACCACCTTTTTAACGCCATCGAGCGCTCCAGTTCCTATGTCCTCCAAAAATGTTTCTGCGCTCTCCAATCCAACCTCAACAGCTTCTATCACTTTCATCTGCAAGCTTCCCATTGAGATGTCTTTTGGCGACCAGTCTTTCTCGGAGAGCATAGATTTGATCCTTGAATGCATCGCTTTCTGTTTGTTAAGGGTGACAAGTGTATACCATGTACAGGCAAGCTGGAGAGCGATTGTATTCAAGGGTTGAGCAATTGCGCCTAACGGTTGACGGATCTGGGTATGGTTGAAAGCACGAGCCATAATAATGATAGTATCAAGCATACACATTAAAATCAAATCACCCGGGATGTTCTTATCCCACAAGTTTGCTGGGTAGCTGTCAAGGTCCCGCCATGATTTACTGAGTAGGGACTGGATCAGAGCATCATCGCCGGGGAAACGCATGTTGAAACTGTCAAGAACTGGCCTCATGAGCAGCCGAGAGAGTTTTGGTTCATCTTTGGCATTGCGGAGAAAGTCGATCTTTTCTCCATCAAACTTGGACTTTTTCCAAATCGCATAGGCGCGAATACTTTCAGCGGTAGCCAGAGCAACCTTGGGTTTAACTGAAACTCTCTGGGCTTTGAGTTGAGTGAGTTGAGCAGCTGTATCGACAAGGTTTCGAGATGTTTCTGAAAGAAGTATCTTGATTGTGTTGACACCTACAAAGCGGATTTTAGATATTGATATCAATTACGAAAAGTCTAGGCCAAAAACTTACTGCTTCCAATAGATACCCAGCTCCGAGGAGAGAGTTTCGCCAGCTCTGCCTTTTTCTTCTCAATTATTTGGTTGAAGCGCTCCTCAACCTGCTTCTCATCGGCTGCACGCCTTCCAGACAATTCTTTGCGAATCTTGGTTTTCAACTCTTCTTCTTTCATTAGAACGACAACTACCGGAATCTCCCCAAAGTCCAAATTGAAGAATGCCTTCTCCGAAGCATTAGTTTTGTCCTCAGTGCAATCGATACAGTACCTAAATATTTATCTGTAAGATAAACTCTTGAATTGACATTTATGTGGAAATTGTCTACTTACCAGATAGCATGAAGCTTGTCCTCTGGATTTGTTCTTCCCCGGTATTGGGTTAAGAACTGCTCGACGACTTCAAAGCTATCGCTACCACCAGGTCCAAAGCCATCTGAGTAATGCACACGAACCAGGTCGTTTTCGGGAATCGATATTGGCGTCCCAATATCCGAACAAATGGATTTATCAATCTCCGAAACCTAGTAGACTATAAGTATGGATATATGGCCTTTAGAGATCAAGAGAGTTCCTACCACTGCTCCAACCGCTGGTGCTGCTCCCGAACTAGGGTCTGACTTGACCCACTTTCCAAAGGTTCTGCTAATAAGAGAGGATTTTCCAATTGCCGGTCGACCATAAATCAAAAGGCGCATGTGTTCAACAGAAGAAGCTTCTTTCAGAATACTTTCTACCGCTTGGTTTTCCCACCATGGCAACACATTCTCTGGAATTACCAAGTACCTATCCCGGATAAAATTCCGGAAGAACCTCCACTCGTAGAGTTGAATGCGAAGAGACAAACTGATGTCAAAGACCAAGTATGTTGACGGGTGTAAAAATACTCTGGCCTTGGTGTGTTGGACATACGGCGCTTTTGTAAGGTACTCTAGGTAATTTCGAGGCGTGTCCAAAAGCCCCCAGCTAGATTCGTTCAGATACAGTTTAAACATCTCACCAACCTTAGATGTATGATAGTGTATCATGTCTGTCATCTTCATTGCCATTTCTGAGGCATGGGCTGACTCAAAGACATTCCCTTCTCCCGAGAAAAGGACGTTATATCGTTCCTTCTCGGTGTCGAGTACCAACCCTTTGTCCATTGCAGCGCGCAACATCCATTGCAAGGGCCACAGGCCTAAACCTTGACGCTCAGAGCCTCCTCCAATATCATGATGAAAACCTAAAAACCAGGCTTCTTCATAACTGCTGCCTGCCAACTTCACTTCAGATTTCCAAAGGGTTGGGCTAAAAAGAGGTCTTCCCTCATTCAATGCTAGTGCATGCCGGAAATGGTCAACAAGGTGAGGCGCATCTTGCTCGAAATCGATTATTGGGACACCGTTCTTAAGTGTGTTGTGAACTGGAAGTTGAAATACGGCTTTGACGGTATCGAAAACTCCGATAAACCGAACGCGAGGAGATGGTTGGCAGTAAGATCTTTATAACTTAAGTTAGTTAAGATTTGTGAAAGAATGTCGATATTTATATTTGCTTACGTTAAATATTTAGGACGATCAGACTACATATTCATGCTCATATTAGTAAACGAAGAAAAAATACAACTCAAATATTCATCAAACGCGGATTCAAAGCACTACTTACCAGACCCAGAAGCTGCACCTTTTTTGTAAGCTCATAATACTTTCTTATGAGATCATAAAACCGAGTATCAAAATCCGCATCCGTTTTCATATGTTCTGGTTTAATCACTCCAACATATTGTAGGAAGGATGCAAGTGCACGGACAATAACTGTGAAGCGGGCCGTCAGATTTCGTCTTATTTATACCAAGGCTTTGGCTTTTTTCTTTTCTTTTTTTCTTACAAGCTCCACGACTGAAACCAAACATAAATATCTCATCATTCTCCCATTGTTGTAGCTCTGAACAACAGACCTAGGTTTCTATATCAGATATTTATTTCCAAGACAGTTAAATCTTCTAGGATCTAGCTCACCTTGTAAGCCTTTTTAAGGATATCCAGGTAGCCTATATATCCGTTGGTTAAGTTTATATCCCGAGTGAATGCTTCAGAAGAGGCTAATTTGATGGATACCTTCTCCAGTTGCTCCTTGGAAGGTGGAAGTTGCTCTTACAACCAAGTGCATTCCAGGGTAATCGACGTTGGCCGGCCTGGCACTCTCCTCGGTCCCAACTCCCTGAAAATAATGTGCACGCTGAAATGATTAGAATACTCAAATTAGTTTATCAAATTCGTGTATACCGAAGAACATAATATATCCTGTTTCCTACCTGGTCATAAGTCTTGCCGGATGTGTCCCCAACGGCTCCACTTTTTACCATATCATTGATTGACTTTACATTGTCCGCAGCTCCGCTTAAAGCACCTATAAATATAGTTAAGGATAGAAATTAGCATTTACCAGCAACATCATGATCACGATCAATCAATATATATGACTAGAACCTTGGTACATACCTTTAATTGCATCGTAAGAGCCCTCGGACGTATCCCAGGTCCCGTCAACACATATTATCAAACGTACAGGTGAAGTAGCAGTTCCTCCAGACATGGCTATTGATTCGAGTAGTTCCCGTTATTGAAACTACTCAGACTCAACTTGAGAATTTAGGCCTTTAAATACAAATTTCAGGCTCAATAGCATGTAGCGAAATTTACTAAGCCCTGAGTGAAACCTTAAACCCCGCACCAAATATTTAGGGTACTCGGCAGTCTTTCCAAGTGTAGTATCATGACATTGTGAGATGTGTCCTAAAAGATTTCCCTTTACAATCATCTTTGCAGGCGGAGCTAGCTAGAGGTACCTGGAGCTAGGTGCCGTGGCCACATGAGCAAATACATACATGTATCTACCGACCCAAATGGCTACCTGTACTTAAACCGGGGAACTCTAAACATATGAGAACCTGCAGATAAACATCTTAGATGCAATGCGGATGGTTTATGATCGACCCCTACATACTCAGCTAGCTTGGTACGGTCGCGATGAGCGAACCAACATTTCCCCCGCACCTAGCCCTCAAAATGCTGCAAATGATTGACTGATTTACTAGACATCCCGCTGATTTTCTCACGATCATTTGTGCCTTGCTCGTAAAGATTGCCGACTGTGCGGATCTTCAGCTACTAGACGCCGGAATTCGGTCTTGGCCGACATACAAGTATGCATGTGCCCAGATAGGTAAACGGAGTCTAACTACTAGCTGTTTTTAAAACCAGAATCACTAGTACCTACATGCAACTTTGTTGCCAGACACCCTGTTTCGAGCCTCCTCTGAATAGGTATCGCCAGAAACAGAATGTGCAATCTTAGTTAGATAAACGTCCACCTTTTTTTTTTTTTTTTTTTAATTCATGTAGTTTTATATTATTGTTTCTAGGTACAAAACTCTGCATGCAGTCATAGACTATGGCATGTATATGTCTTTATTCTACCATGTTTGGTAAATGATTAAATCTGTGGGAAGCGAATTCGATCAAGTTCCTTGGGCATATATGCATGTTTCACTTAATTGACTCTGTTGCAGTTAGTATCCTTATTTGGCGAATGTCTTGAACACAGTTATTTAAACTTATAATAGTTAACCGGCACCACCAGTTTTTTCGTTAAAATTCCGGTTCTAAATGGTAATATGTCGCAATCTTATCCGTATGAAACCAAAGCGGTTATTCACGAATGCCGTGGGACCTATCTTCTATTCAACCCGAGTATCCCCGAATATAGCGGCATTTCGGTGCTATATTGATCTTTATAGGTGATACACATTAACGACAGTGCCCCATACATACCTCCGGTAGATGTACAACAAATTATAAATTTCATGACAGATCCAAAACATGTTTCCACCTAAAATTTGACGAGATTAAGGTGATGCCGTCTCTATATAGCTATAAAAGAAGATAATTGTAATAGAGCTTCAGAAAATACTGCGAGGCCCCCTTATAATATCAATTCAGCGCTCACATGATATATTCACCTGACCCTTTCTCTGGAGGAACTGTAAATCTTTAAGATTGTCAGCCGGAATTATCGGGACTATGTATAGGTTAGTATATATAGGGCCGGTGAAGCCCCGTATCTTTCCCTAATGTTCCAAGAAACATCTGATATAAACAAAACATTTATTGCTATCCACATAGAGTCTTTGGGGTGTAATGATGACTCAGTAAGAGTCAGCAGTATGGAGGTGGTAAAGAGACAATGGTATGCCGCAGATTCTCATTATAAGTAGCTATAACAAAGCTACCTTTGATTATCAAGGACGTTTAAAATTCTCATCTACTGCAAATGCATTCATTTCAGTTATATATTGGGTATATTTGAGAGACTGTATAGTAAGTACCTTTAGCCGGCCTGTGTTGCTGTCCATAACATATCAAAATGCAAATCATAATTTTGATCGGGAATCCTGTCAGTCAAGATCACGCCAGATATTTAACTTGGACTAAAGAGAATAAAAATACCATGAGTGAGTAGGGTCCCTCTCTTTTGATTGCAATATTACCTAAACTATCAGTGAGGTTGGGTACATTAAATTCACCACCCAGAATTCCAATACAAATCCCTGCACGGTCCCACGAGTAACCCAGTCTGTTTTTGCACAGCTAGCTGGTTTCATCGATAACATGTTTCCCGCCCGTTGCTATGCGACCTACCAGTGGGAAAACGTTGTCGTTCAGCAGTGTTTCCCTATCATCCATGTAGTAGCTACATGTATTGTACGAATACCAACTAGGCTTAGCTAAATACAATGCAAAGTAAATATTAACCCTTAACCCTATTGCTACTTACAATATTACTGACCCTTAAAGAACTCACATTCTCTACAAGAGGTTTTGCCAAGGGGCGCATTGATTACTCCAAACATATCTCGATCCCAATATTCTTTCCTCTTCGCCATAGCTCCCCCGGCAGGCCTTGCATAGGCGAGTCCTTGCTGTTGTCTCAAACTTCTTCTTTCTTATAATTGTATATCGCGTTTATAAATTGGGGCGGTCGATTCTGCCTTGGGTTCTGCCCCTATGATCCTCCAGCTGTTTTTACACACGACAATTTGTAAAGCTGGCAGGAACGCATAAATAGTATCATCAATATTCTAGAACAATGACTACCTGGTTACCTGTCTGCGTAAACTACGTTGAATTTTTTGATAGGTGGAGGATGAGCTTATACCCTGGTTCAGTGGGTAAGCAATAATATATGACGGTGATCGGCTGTGTAGGAATACTGAGTGATGTTGTAATCGTGCACAGACCAAATCTAATCGGACCCTGACGCTGGCAGTAAAACGATCCCATGTGGGCGGCACATATCATATTTTTAGCCGGGAGACCCTTGATAATAACATTGTAATTGACAGCGACCACATCGATGGCCGGGTACCTAAGTCATCTACATATCTCTACCGAGAGAATCACAAGGGTCAAAGATAAGATAACAAACAAAGCAAGCTGAGCTATCAATTTAAATATGCCCACAAAAAAAACTGCAACTTATATTATCGCCCAAACTCCGGATCCCTAGTAATATACAGTAAAGCAGTGAAGATATTAAGTATAGTGGGTATGCAGCAAAAAGAGCGCATATTAAATTTTTGAGCTGCCCCTCTGCGCAAGGAGCTTTCTGTAAAACTCTTTCTTGCCGCTCCTTTTGCTGCTTGTGATCTCTTCGTATTTTTTTTTGAACCTTTTGCGGTTCCCTTCATCAGCCATGAGTTCCTCTGCAATGGTCCGTTTTCTGTCCTTCTTAGTGATCCTCGAGGAAAAGAACTCTGTGTTGCCCTCAATGATCGTTCCGACCTGAGAATACTCTGGAAGAGCAGTATTATCCTTTTTGTAATGACGGTGCGGGTCTAAGACATTACGCATCTTGATGAGCTGTAGGTCTCGCTTGAGCTGTGGAGTCAGGTCTGTCCTTGGCATATCGAACCAGTTTGCTCCGGCAGTTTTTTCCTTATCCTGGCATTTTGTTAGTCCTCATTGAACAAAAATCACCGAAGAGACGCGATAGGACGCGAAAACAAAAGCAAAACAGGTGTTTCGGAGTGGAGCCTCAGAGTAACTATGATGTAAAAGACATCAGGATGTGCAAGACAGGCACCCAAGACGGGGCCTGATTTCGCTCAGGGTCTAAATGGGAATTTTTCCTCATAGGCAAATCCGAAACATAAGGGTGAAAGTAAAAAAATCAATGGAAGTAAGAAAAAGGCGACAAACTTCTTTGGTCTTCTTGGATGCAGCTCGATCCACACGCGAAATCCCCCCTGCAGCTGCTGAGGTGTCCGCCAGCTCGCGATCAGATGAGGATACCAGCATAGAAGGATCCGATATTCTAGAAACAGAACCCTGGGATTTGATGGGTGCGTTTGCCAAAGCAGAGCCAGGGTCGAGCTTAGGGAATCTAGTGCAGGTACACGTATCAGCCCGCAGTAGTTTATTTAAGGGAAACAACCAAATAATGCATGGCGGGGCACACCGCCTCCCACACACACACAGGGGAAAAGATAATTCGAAAGGGAAAGGTGATTAAAGGAAAGGATGTGCATACTTCGTCATAGAGATTTTGTTAACGACTGTGGATGAATTCAAGAGTGCAGACGAGACTCTCATTCTTTCCTCGGCCTCGCGGAGAAAGCGGTTGATGGTTTCATCCGACAATTCGGCGTCATCATCTTCTACCACACCACCAGACGGCGAGGAAAGAGAGGCGGTGGAAGCCTTGACCACGTCATGGATGTTTCTCCCTTTCTCTGCTCCTGCTGCTGTTTGTAGGAGTTCAAGGGGTTCTTCTGTTGGCATTGCGGGGTAGGAGTGGGAGAAGAGAAGAAAGAGAAAAGATACCAACACGAGAGGAAGATTTGAGAGAGTGAAGGGGAAGGGCGAAAAAGAAAAAAGCAGTCAAGAAATGTCTGGGCATGGACAGTCGGTAAAAAAAATTTAGGGAAAAAAAAAACGAGGTGTGGCTGAACGTTTCACCGCCGAGGGGCATGAGGCTGAAAACCGCGTGGGGATGTGTTTGTGTGATGGGTGGTGGCTAGGCAGATTCTGAGGCTGAGAGGAAACCGTAGGTAAACTAACCGCACATGAGCTAGCGCGTGCGCTTTCTGCAGCGACACCTCATTCCTGCCGCGAGAAGCAGACGAGATCGAGTGAGAGACCGAGCGACAGCGTCAGAGTAACGAGAGAGGCATTGAGGCCGAGCAGCAGTGATAGCTACGAGTTAGAATATGTGCCTACAATAACGGAAAGACGATAATTGAGAATGGGAGATAGACTGGTAAAGGAAGACAAAACGGGAAGAAGAATTAGATATTGAGAAGGACCCAGGAAACGTTCTACACGCCCACCGTTTTTACCAGTGAACCAGTCAGTGGGGTGTGCGCTTACCTGCTGCTGTTTCTGCAACTCCTGCCTCGCCAACTCCTCCGCATCCACATAGAGTACCTATCCATCCATCCATTCAATCTTTACCTTTATCCAGTCAAAGTTGCTGTTGGTCGACGTTGTCGGCCAACCTGGTTCGTCACTCGTCCTGCCCAGAAATCTGTCCTGCGCCATCAAGTGTAGTCCCAAGTCTCTTCCTGTGCAGCACAACCACCAATAGTTGTCACTCTCCCCCACTAACTGGACCCCATTTTATTACCACAACCCCAGTTAATATCAAAGCACCAAAGCACCAAAGCACAAGGCCACTCCCTCCCGGGCCCCCCGACCTACATCCCCCCGGTCTCTCACGTCACAGTCTTGTGTTTCGCTGCTGCAGTTGCTTGCTTGTGTGTGTGGTTGTGTGTGTGTGTGTGTGTGTTTTTACGTCCCCAACGGCATAAGCATACTACTTACATACACTACTACTACTCGTCGTACTCTGGAATACATACATAATCTTCGAACTTTCCGCTTCTTCCCCAGTTTCATCTATTTCTTCCGCCATTCGTCCCGCCATTCACCCTCGCGCCACTAGAGTATCATTCAATCCAAACTGCCTTCTTACTATTGTTCCAACAGCGTTCATTGTTTTGTCGATAGAATAGAATGGATCCGCAATTCCCCTCTGCGGGCTCAAGGCACGATCCTTCGCAGTCGCAACACCAGCAGCCCAATGTCCCTCCTTACGACATCTCCGTGATGGGCCATGTCAGTCTACCTTTCCTTTTGAAACAATCACCCCGTTTCGATTCTTTTTTAAGAATTATCTGGATTTTTATCTCGACCCCCAGGTGATGGATGATGTGTTGCGCGCAGAATGCTGACTTCCGGTTCGGGATGGATTCAACAGTATGGAGCCAGCGCGGCGCTCGTAGCATCTTCATCAGTGCCAGCTCCAGATATATACAGCGGCGCATTCGCAAATGTATTCTAACTCCATCCTTCTCACCATTACCGACTTCTCCCTCCATCACATTTGAGCAAAATATTGATGGATTCACAGGTTTCTCAAGGTTTGCACGGTCATTACCGCGATATCCTCACAACGTACTGGCAACAGACCATAAATCAATTAGAAAATGAAGAACACGATTACAAGCTTCATCAATTGCCATTGGCAAGGATAAAGAAAGTCATGAAGGCAGATCCAGAGGTCAAGATGATTTCCGCAGAGGCACCTATACTTTTTGCAAAAGGGTGTGACATATTCATCACGGAACTCACAATGCGCGCCTGGATCCACGCCGAGGAGAATAAACGCCGCACCCTGCAACGTTCCGATATTGCGTCGGCATTGGCGAAGAGCGACATGTTTGATTTCCTTATTGATATTGTCCCACGGGAGGAAGCATCGCATACCAAACGGTCCGGAGGTGGTGCAAGTCATCAACAGCAACAACCACAACAACCTCCACAGCAACAACCACAGCAGCAGCAGCCTCAACAACAGGTCCCCCCCCAGCAGCAACCTCAGATTCCCGCTGGGCAAGATTACCTTGGCCATCCTGCAATGGCTCAAGATCCGGAACGGTATAATCAGCCAAACATTTATGGTGGAGGGGTCCCACAGCAGGGAAACTATCCATCGCATCCGATTTACCAAGAGAGCTTAGAGGGGATGTATGGATATCCACCAATGCCACACCAGCCTCATGTAAGACCCTCCTATCACCGACCATCCTCCCATGTTTCCCCCGCTTTCCCATTTGTTTCACACCCTGGAGCACGGGACCATTTGCCAATACCTAATTCTGTTCCATTGGCTCATGATCAACAGATGTATCAACTGCCCAACCAACGTGGCCATTTACAAGATCCCCAAAGCGCAGGGGGTAGCAACGAACAAGGCGAAGTCGGTGATGCAGATGCTGAGGGCGAACGAGATTACGACGTCGCCTAATTCAGGGACCATTCTTGACGCCTAAATTTTTGGTTCCCTTCCTTTTATTTTTATTTTGGATTACTCACACTGTCTTTTCCCCTGCCTCTCGCTTTTTTCCGGATTGAACTTCAATTGGTTTGAAGCATGGGTTGCATGCATATTTTCTCGCATGGGTTTTTACCTATTATTTTCATTTTTGAGGTACTGTTTTTGTGCTGGGACCGTTTTTCGACGTTTTACGTTTTTATGGGATACGTTTTGACCAAGGGAATTTGAGGAGTTGGAAGTCGTTTTTTCACCTAGCCCGTTTGGCTAATGGCTTCGTATTTTTTTGTGTCTTTGTTTTCAATTTTTTTTTTGTCGGTTGGATATGGACGTTTTAACATGAGTGATGTCAAGATTGGGCGAGACAGGGGTTGGTTGGATTGGATACCAGACAGGATATTTTTCCGAGGCACCTTTTTTTTTTTTTTTTTTTTTTTTTTTTATTTATTGTTGCAAATCATTTTCTTTTCGAAGCAATTGTATTAGTTATGTTACCCTTGGGCTATTATTGCCAATCCTTTTCTCTGTCATCATTGTCCTGTTCTGGTTTCAACCATACATGAGTATATAAATATGCTTCTACCCCCCTTCTTATTTACAATATGGAACTAGAATGAGGTTGGTAATGATCAAAGTTGTACTCAAAGTAGTTTTACATACCTCCTTAGTTACCTATCTTGTGTACTGATATACATGGTACGGTACTACATATATGTAGGCAGGGAATCACAGCCGGTTAGACGGTTGGGGGCGGACAAGTCACAGATGAGAATCCACATTGAAACTCCGGAACACCAGGTGATCGGACAGCATATGAACCTCCACTGAAGTGAACAAAGCCCATGTATGTATGTGAACGGAAGATATATATAAATACATGTCTATCAATAATCACTACGCGGTCTTGTGACCAGCACGGACTATGATTGTGAAGAAGATAGGTAGAGTACGCACATGAGTACATATTGTACTGCACTTATGTTTATTCGTGCCGCTTTCTTTCTTTTCTTTCTTTGTAATTAATTTCGTGCCGCTAATCTGCCGACTTTATTCTTTTTTTTTTCGGCCCAGGGTCTCACGATTACGTCTGTACCTACCGATAACTTCCGAAATGCCCTATTCAAAACCTGGTAAGGATGAGGTTGGTGTTGAGAACTATTCGCTTACCATGCTACTCTATTACTACTACTAATATAATCTTCCGTGTTGGAACTGTTTTGCATCTGTTTGCAGCTACCAGGACCGGGATTGAGGCCGGGTAGGTTAGGGGCGAACGAAACCTTTCACTCTCCTCGCGGTCATTCTCGGGCATAGCGATATGCATTCGTTCGTTACTGTGAACTGCATGTTCCAAGACCGTGATGGGTGTTGCTTGCTTGCTTGCCCGCCCTACCGATAAAAGTGCTACGTGCATATGCGGAGGTTTCAACACCGTAACTGGGGAACATAACTACTGATACTACTCTATTCACAGACATAATGACGTTTTTGGAGAATAGGCTCGAGCTTTAGAACATCTCTTTTGTCTTTCTCTCTTACTTCTTCTCTTTCAGTATCCGCCGAGAAAGTACCCTACATACAGTACATACCGTGGCCAGCCAGGAAGGCAAACTTGCAGCAAGGTAGTGAGTGATGAATGAGTGAGTAAGGTAGAGTGCAAAGCTAGGTGTGTAGAGTAGAGGACAGCTTTACTCTATACTGGGAGTTCTCTATTTCTTTCCTTGACATTGCCATGGATGCAGAGGGCTAACTTGCTTTGAGGAGTTCTCGCTAATAGACACCTGTAATGAGTGCGATGAGCAGATGGATCATGATCCCAAACCTTTTTTTCTCTCGGTACGCCGGGTGACGCGAGAGCCTGAAGAAGCTTGAGGGCAGGGACTGCGGATTTCGGAATGGCGCAGAAATAAGATGCGATGCTTCCCCCACCCCTTCCTCTCCCCCGACCCTTTCCCCCTCGTATCCATGTCTGCTGTTGGGTGGACGTTAATGTGGTGACGAGGTGAAATCCGAAAGCCTTAACTCACATATAAGATGGCAACCAAGGCAATCCATGACAATTATACAAGGTGGACAGCTTGATTTCATCGCATAGACGTACCTCTAGGATGAATTGAGGACAGATAGATATAATGGGTGCTCAGATCAAAAAGCACGTTTCAAAGCACGCGTCTATCAGTGCTCTATCGAATGCTGTACTTAGGTACATATCGTTTTTGCGCAATCAGCGTCGAAACGGAATGACGGATAGACCTGTGTGGGATTGAGAATACTGTGTATATCCTATACATATATCGATATATGACTCGAGCACTCGACGTCAAATCTCTATATTAAGCAGACGGGGTGCGCACAACGTACTTTGTATCTTTGAACCCATCGGGAACTCACCAGCCGGCCCAAGAACACAACATACATATTTCTTATATATCCCATGATCCCAACATCTCTTCCGGATAATATTTGCTTAGATCTTCCGCCTTGTTGGGATTTCAATCCTCCATTTGACATCGGATATGGTATCTCGAACACCCCCCGTCAGATAACACCACTGGCGCAATCTCCAAAATCCGTCACTTCCTCGTCTCCGTGGATTTTCTCCTTCCACGTGCTCTGACTTCCAAGGAATTCCTAGAGCACGATCTGTGAGACCTCTACCCCGCAGCAGTACTACCGGCTTGCCCTTGTACATAAGCCGGCACAGACGACACTCACAGGATCAAAGGCAATCGACGCCAGCCCGGGTCCATCCTTGGACCCCGTGCAGGGCTTGGTTATAACAAAACCACAGCGCCAATTCTTGATCCCCGGTGGAGTCAGCATCATCATGACCATCGTGATGAACATCTTGTGCCATCAACCTCGAGGAGGCAGTCGTAGGCTGCGCACGCCGTCTGTGGACCTGTATACAGCTCATCGCTTGATGTTACCGATAGTGTTAGATTATACTTATGAAAGTACTATACTGCATGTCCGCATCTCTGACGATAGACCGGCCTGGATCATACCCCACCCCTAGGCTCGGTTTTGAGTATTTGGAAGATATGCGGATTTTTTTTTCAACTTACTTGACAGAGTTCTCCCTCCGGCAGTATCGATTTAGAATCGGCCGATCTTACTGGCCTGCCTGCTCCACCGCCTAAAATTGAGTGGACCTGTCCCGGTCTGTTGTGCTGATGATAATATTGCTTCCGGGGTGCAGTTTCATGTTGCGAGGGCAAGGTGGATACTTGGGGTGGTCTGGTCATTGTATTTGTTGTGCATCTGGGCTGATTTCTTTAGGCCACAGTATCTCCGACGAGGTCTGCAGTGGCCAGTAAGCTTGCTGATGATGAGAGGTACACGAGATTGGCCGGGAGCTCCTTCTCCAGGCGATCATTCATGCAGTCCAATGGATGCCGAGAAACTAGAAAAATTTCTCTAAAGTTCCAGAACGAATCATAGTGCAGGCCGGTAACAACCGCCGTCGAACTACCGCGGATGAGGCCTGATTGGCCTGGTGGATGTGGACTATATTCGAATATTACTCACACTTCAGCCATTTCAATTGATGAGGCAGCAATAGTAATGACGATCATGATCATGATCAGCATTCTCTGGCGGCAAACAAATCCAATTTGCCATCTTTATCGTGGGATTGGCTCTCAATGCGCCGACAGCTAGATGGACGGCCATCGATCATGATCGATAAGATGGACCGGTGTTTGTCTCAGTGAAATGTTATCATACTCATCTCACTCATCTCTGAGTTATATAGATTATAGATGCATTTTGTTGATAGCATACAAGGTGATGGGCTGTTGTTTGTCCCTATCATGTTTTCTGGTATGATTTTGTTTGTCTCTGAATCACATGCTATCACTCATAACCACTGGCTTGGGTCATGACGATCATCTCGTGTCACTCGGTGTGACGGGTAGGCGCCTAGTGCACAAACCTCCTATCAAAGCCACTTACCCACACGTCAAAGTCAGCCATTGCTGCTCTATGAGGCCGTCGACAAACCCCTGCCTCGCCAGACCATACAACCGCCCTCTTTACCTTTAATTTCCTGTATCCCAATCAATTATAAAACCCCTGTCGTTCCGTTAGCCAAACAGTGCGAGCAAGCCATTATATATAAGATGTGCCCATCAGGAGGCTGCCCAGTTACAACACATCTACTCAGCGCTCTTTTAGTGCTCGGATAAGGCCATACAACCGCGGCGGTCCTTTCCCGCTCTCTGGTAGCAGTGAATGTCAATCAGATGGTAAAAGTTGTTCAATTTCCATACAGCTGAGCAGACCTGACCCCGATGGTTGTTTTGGACGTTAGAAGGATCTGTGCGTATTCGTTCCCACACCACTGATTCTACTATAGGAGTCCGAATCGCTGAAATACTCCACTGTACTCGTTATTTTTTCCGGACTGGACTGGGTCTGCATACCACCAAAATATGGTTGTTATGCACGATTTTCGCTCATATGCAGACCCAGTTTGGTCCGGAAACGCCAAAAAAATAAAGAGTAGAGCACCGGTTCTTCCCAAAAGCAGCCATCACACATTTTGTGTTTCAAAGACTATACCCCAAGCGATACCCATCATCCCCAACCTCGCCCTCAGTATAGATCATAATATCGTATGGAATTCTTACCATCTAATGATACTCATTTTGAGGGAAATTTGCGATAGTGGCAGGATCACCTGGTGTCTTGGATGTGTAGTAGAAATTTAATTTCGATTTAGTAGTCGTGTATGTCCCGGCCCGAGGGCAACCCGGATTGCTCTGCATATGGTTTGTCCGGAACCCGAATATATAGCTTTTGGTATCTACCTGGCTTCCGGACCTCGTGACCATTCGATCCACTATGTAAAATCGGCAGCCTGTAATAGAAGGTAAGCCCGAAGTTTCCGGTCTTACAAAATAATCTCTTTTCATGAGAAGCCACTACTTTCCCCCCCATATATGCCGTACTATATATAGTCTTTGACATGTTGGTGTAATCAATTGAACAGCTCCAGCCTGAATAGATGTGAAAGCTAACAGATGAATAGATATACTCTTGCCCCACCATTCTGAGAGTTGCTCGAACACGCTTGGGCTAGTCCCAAAAACCGATATCATAAGCCAGCGTGTCAATGATACATATGTTGATACCTTTGTTTTATGTTTCGTGATAAGATATTTACCAAGGCTAGGCATACAATTATATTATCTGATATCATATCATTCATTATATGGAAACAGAAGGGAACGGTTCATTGTGGATCAATTATGCGACCATAGGTATTGTCTTAATGGAGCTTTTACTTCATCGAGTTGTCGATAATTACTTTTCTATATCAAAGACATGTCACACATGTCCTCTTCCGGTATTAATTAAGGGTATGCATATGATAAGATATCAGCTAGGCTCGCTAAGAAAACCACAGGACCGAATTATATGAAGTCCAAAGTTCAGCCAGCAGCGCGGAGGGTTCCAAGCGCAAAACGGGTCTTACCAGTAAGGCCTGCATATATGCGATATCCCAATAAAAAGGTATGGGTATCAAAACATCCCCACCCAATTTCCTGGACCACCTTACGCTTGTACCATCCACAAGTCCCACCCGCCGGCTCCTACTAACATTCCAGCTCGCATGGACTCCCCCAAGAGGTATGAACGAGGAAGAGCCCTTGTCGGGTCGGGATGGGGTGGGATGGGATCGTGAACCGGGATCATCTAGTCACCTCGATCGACGGGAAATCGCCAATCTTTCGGCTAATATAGGCGAATGTGTGGGAAACGTTTAATATGCCGATAAGGTTTTCTTCCTAAAGAATAATGGCCAGCTGAATCAGAAATTTTGCGCAACGGAAGACACCTGGCCGTCGCATTGTTTTGACTTGTGCATGTGTTTGTGTCTCGGTGCAGACAGGACGTCTCACGGCAAGTTACATGGATATTACAAGGATATCCCAAGTGTAACTACATGTAGAGTATTAGGTACAATACCGTAAATAGTAATTATGATTATGATCATGTTTTGTCACTCGGTATCACTCCAACATCATGAATGACCAGTGTACTCTCCATGGCTTTTGTACGCGGTATCTCTCATATAAAAGTAAATTTTGATTACGATTCCTGTGAAAGAAAAGGATCAAAGCATGTGAGACTCGAGAGCTAAGATGATGTCCTCCTATCATGATCATATGAAGTGTTTAAGGTTGGCAATCATAAAGTGATAAGAATCCAGTATGCGCGTACTTGAATGTCTTTCGGCGGGAATTTAGATTCTGAGCTGCGTACGATTTGTAGCTGCATGCAAATGTACCTACATATATGTATTATTTAAATGGACTAGTGGGCACTATCTAGCTACTGGGGTTTCTCTGCAAACTTGAACACCCACATCAAAAAGCAGTTAATTCCCTCGAAACGTATATATAGGCTTGAAACTATCGCAAATATGTTCGACCTTGTCTATATACCTTGCTACAACCTGATATCATGCCACCGAAACAAAGGTTCTAACTAAATCTATAGACTAAACAAACACCGGAAAACCGAGGATGTAAGTACCAGTACCTGCAATGTACTTAACCATATTGAACACTTCGCACACAACTAACAAGAAAGTACATGACACAGGATAGAACACATTTATGAGATTAGAAAATCATTATACCAGCTCAGTCCCTTATCGTCCCCGTTTCTTTCGGTCATTTTTAATAGCTCCCTTCTTTGCTCCAATAATCCTGTCATCAAAATCTGATTTCATAGCTTCCCGCTCTTGTCATATATCTAACCCACTTGACGCTTGAGTAATTGCTTTTCTCGAATACTTTCAAGTATCGTACCAAGAGGCCCGAGGATGTAAACATCAACAAACTGAAGCTGAGCGACAATGGCGGCCGTGACCAAGCTTTCTGGTTCGTCATCGATGTGAGGGTAGCGTCTGCGGATAGAACATATTCGCTCTGGCCGGTGAAACGAGGGATCCTGTGTTATTTCTGTGAGAAATCTGAAGCGTGAAGAGATCGTGGTATTTGGTAGGAATGCTTACTTCCAAACAATAATATTCTCTGAGGGTTCGTATTTGGCCTTTCCTTGGCTCGTCCGAGTTTGAATACCAGCTGTATTCAAGGGTGTCGGGACACGCACAACGACATTAGTGGCAAAGAGCTTAGTACCATAGTTCGCCCTGATTGCGACCTGGTATTCAACCTTCGTCTTCCCAATTTCGTTCACTATAGCATGCACCCTGAATGGCAGATTCACATTTTCCGTTGCACGATATCTCATTAACTCAAACTCTCCATCAGGAGGTACGAACGATATAATCCTATCGGTATCGAACTTTCCGAGTTTTACACATTGATGAAACTGGCAATCCTCAAGTGTCACGCTTCCAGCAGCAGCTCTTGTTGCCTTGGTGCCACTTTTATTTCCAGACGGTCTAGTAAGTCCATCTCCGTCGAGCAGAAGTCGGTCATTGAGACCAAATTTGCATTCCGGGGTGCCAGAGAGGTAAGCACGCATTATGATCTGCCCCGAAACGTCTGCCCGAAGGACGGTACCGCCGGCAGACATGAGAAGATTCACGTCCTCGATGACGTCAACGAAGGCTTCATTCTTACGGTATTTCACATCCGCACGCCGCCACGAGAGAGCACCAGTGGCTTGCATAGTGATGCGTGTTGAATCTTCCTAAAATTAAATTACTATGCCGCTCTGGGAGTAAATTGTAAAAGGAATTAACACTTACTATTGCTCGCTCAGACTTTACCCCCTCTGTTGTGATGTACATCTTTAGTGTATCAGTTTCTGTATTCTGGGGATACCCAAAATCCAGGATTTCTGTTCATAGTAAGATTTCAGCATTCCGAGTCCGAACCCCTATCTAACTATTTGCCAAAGTACCCCACTACTCTTGCCATACCCCGCCACTTCTTCCAGCAAATAATTGACCAGGGGGAATAAACGCACCATCGAGAAGTTCATAAATCAGCACGAAATTATTCTTCACGGCTTCCTCGTCAAACTTCCCAAAGTAGCTCTTTCCTAACGCGATCAGCCTGTACAAAAATTCGAAAACTAATGCGGCATTGGCGTTGCTCTTGGTCACAGCAACAATGTAGATGTTTTCGTGCTTTACATGGGAGAACGTAGTTGACCCGAGTGTGAGAATTGGAGAACGGACTTGGGCGTTCGATATGACTTGGATTCGGAAAACATCAGACAGTCTTGGCCGACCTACATTGTTTTGGTATTAGAAGACGATCTTAAAATGACTGAGTATCATAGATAGGGCGCGAAGCTTACAGTCGTTTCGAAATTGGCGAAAGATCAGATTCTCGCCCTTCTGGTTGAAAAGAAGTATTCCTGAGAGCATATCTACTTGTTTATATTTGTCGCTTTCTGTCCTCTCCTTTGTCTTTCGGTGCGGCTCGAGAGACCGGCGGCTGACGGTGGCTTGGAGCTTGGATTACTGTCGAGGAGGAACCAGAATCCACAAACTGTAACTTGTGAAGAGTGGTGGTAGCAGAGTGTGCTTTCTGGTCCTCACGGGGGATGTCAGGGAGATGCTCGATGCTGCAGGGTGGTCGCTTCAGAGGTGCCGAGATGGCACACCACAGATCCTAGTCTGTCCTGCTTCCAGAACATCACGGGAGTAGGTATGGTGTCCAGGCTTGGCAGCAACCATAAACTACAACACAAGATAGGTATCAAAATAGATAGCAACTGCCAACTGGTGATAGTTTTAGTGCAATTCTTTCAATTGAAGGTCCGCTAACAATCTTTGCCGCTGGTACTGCTAACTGCTGGCAATTGACAACAAGCACGACAATGCCCCTAGTTTATGTACTCTAAGTTTCATCTTCTGCGTATATTTTACCCTAAGTACTCTTCTACATGCAACCCCACAATTATTGTGGAGGTCTGCTATTGGTCCTAGAAACACAGCCTGGTTTTGTTGGGTCTGGTAATTGTCACTCACTCCTGCCTCTGCTGACGCAAGAAGCAGTGCATACGGATTTTTCTCGCTATTCCAACCACAACGTTTGATTTGCGCCGCTCCCGCTCTTGCGCATAGGTTAGTCCTTGGCCAAGAAGCTCTAGCCAACAGGCTGCGTGGGCGTATGTCATGCATTAAATGGAACCTGCGATGTCCATACTTGCATAAAAATACGCGCGCGAGGGGTAGAATAGGCTTCCGCTCTATCTCGAGATATTCAAATGGACGAGCTCACCGAAGCAGCTAATTAATCAAGCAGTCGAGTTTGCTACTGGACTGAACACAAACACAAAAGTGATGAGTTGGAATCGTATCATCCCTAAATCGTTCAATTAAAAATACCCAAAGGTGATCAAAGCTCGCTCCTATCTTAGATCGAGTGATAGATTGTGTTCTTATCATTTAACAAGGCCCTTACCAAAGATAAGAAGAGCTAGTCCAAGGAGATATATTTGTTTTATGCTAGTGACGTAGCTAGTATGCCTTACTTCCAAACTCTGTCTGGGGCGCGCAACCAGAATGGTAGGATTGAACAAGGAAATGTTTTCCAAGCAGTTTTGAATAAGAATACTTTTTTATTTGAGATTTAAATGATCAAAACAAGCGGAACTTGAAGAGGGGGAAGTTGTTCTCGATTTTTAGGAGTAATTCATTCAACAAGTTATATTTTTGTATAGTAATGCAGTGCCCGAGTGATGGGCTATGACTACATGTAACTACACGCAAGTGGGTAGAGTATACATGTATGTACCTTTGATCGCCGACCTGCGCTTCTGGGTCATTGGCAGTAGTGTCCAAAGCTCTCCACGAAACAAGACTCACTAAGGCCGTATTTGTCACGATTCGCGCTTTGTCTGTCGTTTAGTAGTTTGTAAGAAATAGAGACCCAACAGCGGGGTCAGATCTCTACATGTATGCACCCACAAGAATGGATTGATGCGTAGTGCATCAGTCTTTGAGAGATGAGATGAGAAGAAGCTTCGTGCCCTCGAGTTTCCTTCATTCTAATGCAGAGATCGGGTGATTAAATTCCCAACAACCTCAACCGTTGACCAAATGATTTCGCAATCAATGTATTTAGGATGCTCTGCGCAGCCTAATGTTGTATGCGGATCAGTATCAATAAACGCCGGAAACGGGAAATCGCTCTGTTAGCTCGGGCAAGGGGTCAATTGATTCAAATATATAGTCTGGATTTCAAGCTCTCGCGCTCGTTGGCCGAGGAAATCCTTGGTCGTTTTTTCACCGGCTCAACTGGCATTAAGTTCAAATGTGCATGTAGCTTTTGTCTAAAACATCTCTCAAAGCAGGCCTAAAAAAAGAAAAAAGAAGGCAGAAGGAACCGGGGGGGGTTATGCTTTACCGCCTTGTACGCGACGCGCCCAGCAGATGTTGAAGGCCGGCCAGTGGAAGTGTGGCCGTGGTGGGGTAAAAGCGCCCTGTCACGTGCTTGTTTACTAAGCTTCCCCCGCTGCTTGGAGGGCCCAACCCTACTAGGCCCCTCCATTCTTCATTGATTCTCCTCTCATCAATTTTCTGCGTCCATCAACCTCCTCCACTTTCCATCGTTTCCGAACACTCCCCTTACTGCATCTCTCCTGCTCAACTCATCTCTTCTCAAGGTTTTCTGTATCTCTTTTTTGCGAGCGGAAGTTCCTCTCGTTATATCATCCCAGCCGTAAAGTTCCTCGCGGAAAAAGTACTCATAATTAGCCATGTCCGAACAACCCATCAGAAATAAGAAGCTCGACACCCTCGCTGGTGCTCCGTAAGTCAACGCCTATTCTCTCTATCCGATTTTTCCTCTGTTTATCTAGCCAGGAATAATCCGACTAAAAATGAGTAAAAATACAGCACCCCTCAAAATACCCCTTCTGTCAATGCCCCAATCAACTCTCATGCTGTTGAGCCAAAGGTTTCCACCATCAAGGAAGGTTTGTAATCCTGTTTGCCACTCAGCGAAACAATTTTTTCTTGCACAATTTTTTGCTGACCTGTGGCGGGATTCCCTTAACAGAGCAGTTTGACCGCGCCACCGCTGCTTCAATCTTTGCTTCCGACCCCCGGTTGGTCTCGATGATTCAAGGAAAGCTTGGCTCGCTTGTCGGGCGTTCTTCCGGCTATATTGAGTCTCTTCCGCCGGCTGTCCGCCGTCGTATCGCTGGCTTGAAGGGTGTCCAAAAGGAGCACTCAAAAATCGAGGCCGATTTCCAGGAGGAGGTTTTGCAGCTCGAAAAGAAGTACTTTGCTAAATTCACCCCTCTGTATCAAAAGCGTGCCAAGATCGTCAATGGTACCCTTGAGCCCTCAGAAGACGAGGTCAAGGCCGGAAAAGCAGATGATGAGGAGGATGATGATGAAGAGAAGGAGGAGGATGTTAAGACCGAAGATAAGAAGGATGCAGAGGACCTTAAGGGTGTTCCGGAGTTCTGGCTGTCTGCCATGAAGAACCACCTCTCGCTCGCCGAGACCATCACCGATAGGGACGAGGCTGCCCTTAAGCATCTTACCGATATCCGCATGACCTACCTTGACCGTCCCGGCTTCAAGCTTATCTTCGAGTTTGCCGAAAACGACTTTTTCAGCAATAAGGAGATCACAAAGACCTATTATTACCAGGAGGAGAGTGGTTACGGTGGTGACTTCATCTACGACCACGCAGAGGGTGATAAAATCAACTGGAAAGAAGGCAAAGATCTTACTGTCAGGGTTGAGAGCAAAAAGCAGCGCAATAAGAGTATGTGTTCCACTCCCGTTTTATTCATATCGTTCCGATCATTCTTTGGATCTAACACCCTTAGCAGACACCAAGCAGACCCGTGTTGTAAAGAGGACTGTTCCCACTGAAAGTTTCTTCAACTTCTTTTCTCCTCCAGAGGCCACCGGTGGTGACGAAGAGGACGATGAAGCCTCCACTGAACTTGAAGAGAGGCTTGAGCTCGACTATCACCTCGGTGAGGATATCAAGGAAAAGCTTATCCCCCGTGCCGTTGACTGGTACACTGGTGAAGCTCTTCAGTTCGAAGAACTGGAGGATGACATGGACAACGAAGAGTTCGATGATGATGAGGATGATGACGATGAGCTCAGCGAGGACAAGGATGATGATGATGAAGAGTCCGAAGATGAGGTAACTCCCAACTACTATCTTTTATTTTGAATTGGACACGAGCTTACTGTATGTTAAGGATGATGGTACAAAGCCTAAGCAGGAGGCTGCCGACTGCAAGCAAAGCTAAATGCCTTAATTGTTGCATCTCCCGTATTGTCATTTCTGGCTATCATGTTACCACGAGCCTATGAGTGTATGTCTAAATGTTCTTGGGGTTTTCAGGGACTTTGGAGCGGGCAAAATGGTGAGGGGGTATCTGGGTAGAAAAGACAAAAGTGATCTTGTGCTAGGAAATTTGTTTCTCTCTTCGTTTTCAACCCCCTTTATAAACTATTACGATCTCTTATGGATCACATTTTCCTTTTTAGTGTTTCTTCTGTCTTGTCGTTTCTTCGGGCAGGACAGGAATGTGTAGTTTGTTCTTGTCCTATTTACTCTTTTGCTGTGTTTATCTCCGGTTTTCTTTTTCTTTTCCTTCTTATATGTTCTTCCTGTGGTGAATGTCTCTGTGTCCTATTCATGAATTTCACGTGTGGTGTGGCTGGGAACGTATGTCGTGTACATGCTATGCTATGCTCTATTGGGGTCAAACTATGAAAGATTGCTTTCCATGTTGTAGGCTTTGGGCGTTGTGATATATATTATTTGCCATGATTGATATGATGGACTCTTGTGCGAAATTTACATTGGATAACATTGAACCGGTGAAATATCTCTCGTTGGATAGATTATGGTTGAGACTACATAGGAGATAGCTAGATTGTACTTATATTCGCCGTTTAAATTTCACTAGTGTCTGATCGTGTTTGGTACGATTTCAGAAGACAGATTGATTCTTGAGTGAGGCTCAAGGTAAACGGTCCCAGATTTGCTTTTGCCTGTTGGTGCAGGTCACGTTCCTGATTGTGCCTGGGGTGGGGGTAAGGACACGAACACCAGTACAGTTGCGGTGAACATTCAACGGTTTGTAGGTAGAAGTACCTTAGGAATGCTCAAACAATTTTACCTAGCAGCGTTATGAATTCGGATGGTTACACAAAGCCCGTTGATTATTCAGTGACAGCAAGAGATACTGGATTTAGTAGGACATGTAAGCTTAAATTCCAGTAAGTGGACATTCTTACGGGTGTCCATGTGTACGGAAGAGAGGAGGAGGAGGAAGCCTCCAAAGTTAGTTGGCTTGCCTGAGACAGTTTAACCCGCCTGGTCCTGCCCCTTTTCGCGGAAATTCAGTGCCAAGCATCCACGGGGTCTTTCCCATCATATCTTCACTCACCTCTCTGTTACCTTTCAATCATTCCTGGTTCAGATTTATTTCCTTGTGCCCATCTCTGAAGGTTCTTTCTACATACTTTGTTGGACAACCCCAGGAAAAAAAAAGGGTTCTTCTGGAAAGCTGTCAGCTTCTATCAGCTATTCTCCCCTACGGAACAACCACCACCCCGCCCGCCCTGAACCCTCATCCCCTCATCAACTACAACTGGCAACCATCTTTACCTTCATCCCAAATCTCATTTCTTGGTTCTCTTTTCATCCTTTACTGTTATTTGTTCGAGTTACTTGACTTCAAATTAGCCATCTTCATCTTCACTAAACCCCCGAAAGAGAACTGTAGTCAATCTGCCTGCTAGCATTAGGGGGCAGTTACCGCCGAATCATGGCGCACACGTATAATATCGACACAGGGGCGTGGATCCAGGATCCCACAGAAGGATGGGTCTCCTCCAAGGTGGTCTCCAAAAACATAACTGGAACAACAGCCACCTTGGTGTTTGAAATCACTCATGGTGATCGGTTTGGAGAGGTAAGATTCAGCTGCTTCCCCGGATAAAGGACAACATAATGGGAGTAAATAGCTGACAAAACACGATTCTAGAGAATCACTAAAACCACATCTCTTGTTGTGCTCGAAGGCAATGAAGAGGATAAGGATCTTCCGCCGTTAATGAACCCTCCCATTCTTGAGGCATCAGACGATCTTACCAGTTTATCACATCTGAATGAGCCTGCAGGTAATTAACACGAGAGATCAATTTTGACGTGTTTTATGAAGCTGACCTTTCAATTCTCGTACAGTCTTGCAAGCCATCAAACTTCGATATGCAAAGCGTGAGATTTATACCTATTCCGGTATTGTCCTCATTGCGACAAATCCGTTCGATCGAATGGACTATCTATATGATCCAGGTCTTGTACAGGCGTATGCCGGGAAAAGGCGTGAGGATCAGGACCCTCATCTATTCGCAATCGCTGATACTGCTTACCAGTAATGACCCCTAGAAATAATAACAGACACAGAATTGGAGCTGACGGAGGTTTCTAGGGCAATGGTTCGGGATGATAAGAATCAAACCATCGTTGTTTCGGGAGAGTCTGGTGCTGGTAAAACAGTCAGCGCGAAATATATCATGCGATACTTTGCTACTGTCGAAGACCCAAGTCGACCTGGCAAGCGGAAGAAGGGCGCGGCGGGGGAAACCATGAGCAAAACGGAGGAGCAGATTCTTGCTACCAATCCAATCATGGAAGCTTTCGGTAACGCGAAAACTACCCGTAACGACAACTCATCCCGTTTCGGAAAGTATATTGAGATTCTATTCGACAAGAACATCGACATTGTGGGAGCCAAGATTCGGACGTACTTGCTCGAGAGATCTAGATTGGTTTATCAACCAGCAACCGAGAGAAACTACCATATCTTCTATCAGTTGATTGCTGGATCTACAGAAGAGGAGAGAAAAGCTTTGGGTCTTGGCGCTGTTGAGGATTACGCCTATCTGAACCAAGGAGGAGACCCACACATTCCACATGTCAATGATGCTGCCGAGTTCAAGGATACCCGTTCCGCTCTTGGAACGATTGGTGTTCCTGAGATCACTCAATCCCGTATATGGAAGGTCTTGGCAGCCTTACTACATCTTGGTAACACAAATATTGAAGCTGCCCGAGGTGGATCTATACTTTCTGGTACAGAACCATCGTTAGTCAAAGCTTGTGAGCTTCTCGGAGTTGATAACGAAGAATTCGCCAAATGGACTACAAAAAAGCAATTGGTTATGCGAAACGAGAAGACTGTTTCTCCCTTGAGTCAGAAACAGGCACTTGTCGTCCGTGATTCTATCTCCAAGTTCATCTATTCGAGTTTGTTTGACTGGCTCGTGGAAACCATCAATGCCGGATTGGCTACGGAAGAGGTTCGGGAGAAGGTCAAGTCCTTCATTGGTGTATTGGATATCTACGGTTTTGAGCATTTCAAGCGCAATTCTTTCGAACAGTTTTGTATCAACTATGCGAATGAAAAGCTACAACAGGAATTCAACCAGCACGTCTTTAAGCTGGAGCAGGAGGAGTACGCGAGAGAGCAAATCAACTGGGCATACATCGAGTTCTCTGACAATAGGCCATGTATCGACTTGATTGAAGGAAAACTGGGTGTACTTTCCCTTTTGGACGAGGAATCTCGTCTTCCTGCAGGGACGGACGAAAGTTTTGTCAATAAGCTTCACCAAAATTTCGGTACCGGCAAGCCCAAGGATTTCCCTTATCAGAAGCCTAGATTCGGAAAGTCTGCTTTCACAGTGTGTCACTACGCTGTCGACGTTACGTACGATTCTGAGGGATTCATCGAGAAAAACAGGGATACGGTGCCAGATGAGCATCTGGAACTTCTGAGAGCCTCTACAAACCCCTTCCTCACAGAGGTTCTTCAGGCCGGATCAACAGTCAGGGATAAGGAGATATCTACCCCAGTCAAGCCGGGTGCTCCTGCTGCCGCCCCCGCTCCACCCGGAAGAAGAACTGGTGCCACTGTCCGAAAGCCAACTTTGGGTGGTATATTCAAGTCTTCGCTTATTGACCTCATGAGCACTATTGGTGGCACTAATGTCCATTATATCCGTTGTATCAAACCGAACGAAGCAAAGGTAGCGTGGAAGTTCGAAGGTCCCATGGTTCTCAGTCAGCTTCAAGCCTGTGGTGTACTGGAAACTGTAAAGATTAGTTGCGCTGGTTACCCGACCCGATGGACATATGAGGAATTTGCTAGCCGCTATTATATGTTGATTGAGTCAGATAAGTGGAAGTCGGGAAGTATTCGGGACGTTGGGCTCTGTATTCTGCAGAAGACAATTCCGGCGGAGGGTCATCCAAAGGATGGGCAAAAAGATGGTAAAGACAAGTTCCAATTGGGAATGTCAAAGATCTTTTTCCGTGCCGGCATGGTAAGAAAGCCTACTCCACAATGACGTGAATTTTGTTACTTACTGGGGTTTAGCTGGCATATCTGGAGAACATGAGAACGAGTCGGTTGAATGAATGTGCTGTCTTGATTCAGAAGAATTTGAGAAAGAAATACTATAGGCGTAAGTACTTGGAAGCTCGTGCTTCGATACTGCACGTCCAAGCATGGTCAAGGGGGTATCTTGCTCGCAAGGAGGCGCAAGAGATGCGTACTGTCAGAGCTGTTACTACAATCCAAAGGTTCTGGCGCGGCTCAAAGGAACGTAAGGCCTACCACAAGATACGCGACAACGTGATCGCATTGCAAGCTGGTAAGCATTAAATTAACCTTAAGTTCCTGTGATATTACGGTCTAACTTGCTATTAGTGGCCAAGGGTTACCTCACGAGGAAGAGTATCACAGATCGGATAATCGGAAACGCTGTAAGATATATTCAAAAGGCTTGGCGATCAAGGTATGTTGTTTTTCTCCCATGAGTTTATTTTAGACCAGAAAGTAACTCTATATCTTTGAAGGCGTTTCTTGAAAGCCTGGAGAACCTATCGAAAGAGGGCTATCTATATTCAAAGTATTTGGCGGGGTAAGCTTGCTCGACGTCAATATAGGACGATGCGCGAGGAAGCACGTGACCTTAAGCAGATATCGTACAAGCTTGAAAATAAGGTTGTTGAGCTTACCCAAACGGTAGGAAAGCTCAAACAAGACAATAAGGCACTACTGGAAAAGGTAGAAAGTTTCGACAACCAGGTCAAGAACTGGCGAACAAAGCATGCGACGCTCGAGAACCGCAACAAGGAGCTGCAGTTAGAAGCCAATCAAGCTGGTATCGCTTCAGCCCGGTTGTCACAAATGGACGAGGAGATGAAGGCTCTGCAGCGCCAATTTGACGAGTCAACGGCAAACATGAAGAGGTTACAGGAGGAGGGCAAGTCCTTGCGCGAGGCCCTGTCCAACAGGACATCAGAACTCGACCTTGCTAAGTCTCGAGACCAAGCACACGAGGACGAGAAGACGACTCTCAGGCAACAGATCCAGGCATTAGAAGATCAACTTCAGCATGCTGGTCCACCGATTGAGGAGAACGGTGTATCAGAGAAACCTGCAGGTGGCCTTGCCAACGGACTCATCAATTTTGTGTCGAATAAGAAGCCAAAAAGACGCAGTGCTGATGTAAGTGGCGCAACTGGGAGGTTTGAGGGCGATGGGATGTATCGGTCCTCGTACCAGACTCGCCCTGTTTCAATGATGCCCCAATCTGTGCCTATGCGACACCGGGACGCGGAGGCAATGACCTTTAGTCCCGTCGAGAATCATGAGTTCGAGTTGCACAGGATACTTGAGGATGATGAAGGGCTCAGTGATGAGGTTGCCGTTGGCTTGGTAAGGAACCTCAAGATCCCACAGCCTAACCCGACAACCCCGCCTTTGGAGAAGGAGGTCCTGTTCCCGGCCTATATCATCAATGTGGTTACGTCTGAGATGTGGAACAATGGGTTTGTCAAAGAATCTGAGCGCTTTTTGGCAAATGTCATGCAATCGATACAGCATGAAGTTATGGTGAGTAAAATAGTTTTCTATTATAAAGATAGGAGGGAAGCTGACTATCTGTTTTAGGCCCACGATGGAGACGATGCCATTAACCAAGGTGCATTTTGGCTCTCAAATGTCCACGAGATGCTATCTTTCGTCTTCCTTGCCGAGGACTGGTACGAGATGCAGAAGAAGGATGATTTCGAGTATGACCGACTGCTGGAGATTGTCAAGCATGATTTGGAGAGTCTTGAGTTTAATATCTACCACACATGGATGAAGGTTCTTAAGAGGCGATTGCACAAGATGATTGTCCCAGCGATCATCGAGTCACAGTCACTTCCCGGCTTTATCACAAACGATGGCAACAGATTCTTGAATAAGTTCTTGCAAACATCAAGTACACCTGCGTACAGCATGGACGACCTGTTGAGTCTTCTGAACAAGATCTACAAGGCGCTCAGGGGGTACTATATTGAGGACTCAATCATTACTCAAGCAGTCACCGAGCTCTTGAAACTTGTAGGAGTTACGGCGTTTAACGACCTACTATTGAGAAGGAACTTCTTGTCATGGAAGCGTGGGCTGCAGATTAACTACAACATCACTCGTATCGAAGAGTGGTGCAAGAGCCACGATATGCCCGAGGGAACACTCCAGTTAGAGCACCTGATGGTAAGAAGATACTTTCCCCTAAATATAGCACACTTAACTAATATACCCTCTAGCAAGCCACGAAACTCTTGCAGCTCAAGAAGGCAACACTCAGTGATATCGAGATTATCCAAGACATCTGCTGGATGCTATCGCCGAATCAGATTCAGAAGTTGCTCAATCAATATTTGGTGGCTGACTATGAGCAACCTATCAATGGGGAGATCATGAAGGCTGTTGCATCAAGGGTCACTGAGAAGAGTGATGTGCTATTATTGCAGGCCATTGATATGGACGATAGTGGTCCCTACGAGATCGCAGAGCCTAGACAGATCAGCGCACTTGAGACATACCTTCCATCGTACCTGCAGACATCCCGCCTAAGACGTCTCGCAGACATTGTTTCTGCGTCAGCACAGGCACGCGCGGACCAAGCCGCACGGGAAGAGATGATGTCTATTAAGACCACCACCACCACCACCACTGCCGCCGGTCTTGGTATCACAGATTTGGATGAGAAGCAAGACAAATCAGAAATGACCCCCCTAGCTGAGTTAGAGCCGGTGCACGAGTAATGAATAACCTTTGTAAGTTGTACAATAGACCCCAACCTTACATCGCAACGCTAATTGGGTATTTATAGGCTTTTGAATTATCCTGTAACGAGTTTGATGACCCTGACGAACAGAAAGAAAGCCACCTACTGGTCTGGGAGGAGGGGGAGGGGGGGATTCTTTTTTAAAAGAAAAGGAGCTATTATTAAAATTTCTCTAGCATGGTCCGCGCTGCGTGTGCATTTCTTTATTTTGGATTGTTGAAAGCGAGTTTGAAACTTGAGATATCTTTTATATGAGTTTTAACTTGTTTGTTGCGTGTGTGTAATCGTTGGATGAGCTAGAGAAGGGGAATCTTGGTACTTGAGATTGTGGGAGCGGGGACAGTACTGCAGAGCATGCACGTTGGCTCGTTTCTTTCTTTTCATCTGTGGTAATGTTCTTTATCATCGTACTTTTTTAGTCATCTATTCCGGAAAGATTAGTTTGAGTTTCCTTTCTTTTCTCTATTGAGTATATCTCTTCATGTTAATCAGCACGCACCTGCCTGTCTTGCACTGCTATTGCCCTTATATTTTTTATCTCTATTACTGTTGCTTTTGTCTGGCATCTATATCTCGGGTAAAGAAACCCACATATATCCCAATTATTGTTAGGAATCTCTTTTCTTCGGCATTGTTATTTCTCTTCATTTCCTAGATTTACAAATAGTCTAAATCGCAGTTATCACATAGAATTTCTACTAGCTAGCTGGGACGAGCATATCAAAAATAAAGTACATGTACTTATTTGCTAAACACCATGAGCAGCCGTTGTCGACTATAATACAATAATATTATTCTAGATGTATGTACAGCCACTCTGCAAAAGTGTTCGTGATTCCGATTTCAGAGTGAGACATTTCTCCATATGTAACTGCGGCGGACCCAAGAGAAGACTTTCCCAGTGACCAATGGCACCCAAATTAATGAAGAATACGATCAATGACCTATCTTCTTTTTATATATAGCCACGAACTATATTATATACAAGTAGTTTCCGGCCTTCGGCCGGTACTATATGTGTATCAGTCTAATATACAGGCAAGCCGCTTTGCGGCTTATTTTCTCTATTTGCCTGTCAGTCGGGGCTCTCAGGCCGCTGCATGGCCCTCGACCCCTCCTGGCAGGCAAAGTCCATCACTATATCTAGATCTGCTCTGGTCGATATTTGCCTTTTCTGATATCCCCCATATATCAGAAGTTCAAGCTGCAAGTATATCCCTTTAACAGCCACCAAGTCGCTAAAATCGAACTACTAATCGATTCCCAGAACCAGTAGAAAACATGTTAACAACATAACACCACTCAGTACAATTAATACCCTATGTTAATATCCAACACAACATGTTTCAAGTGAAACAAAACCTCTCAATGAGCCAATCAGAAGACTATAAAAGCACATTGCATATGCAGGTTATAATTATATACTTATTAGATTTTTCGTTGTTTTAAATCTCAACTTTAATAACATCAGTATTACGGGTGCGCCACACTGTGCACTGACATTAAAACTGTATCACGAACACTTTTGACGAGTGGCTGTATGTATGCGCTTTCTGCACTTTACATAAAACATGATCATCATCTGATATTTTAAGCATACACATTCCAACGATTGGACCTTTTGTAGTAGGCACATACAATACAAGATATCCGTTTCTACCGTGATTTAGCCTCACAACCGGGTTTGGAGCTCACCCTACTTGCCCGTATTGTAGTTAGTTATTTGTATTATACCCGGGGAGGATATATCACATATTCTCACTCGAAGGCGGACAGGGAAGCCGCGGCAGCACTGTGATTGGCTGATTGGCAAGCCCTACTCCGGTTCAGGCCGCAAGATTGGTTGTAATGATGCTAAACACGACCAAGGCAAGAAAGAAAGAAGAAAAAAAAAGTCAACGCATGCAGGCAAAGTAAGTGCTAGTTCGTAGATGCGAGAGCCCCGCCCTTCTTGCAAAATATAAAAAGAAGAAAGCAAACACAAACCAGAGGGTCTCCATTCCCCCCACCCAGCCGTTTGTGGGGGAAGTGATGACGTTAATACTTTTTTGAATCAGCGGCGATTTAAATACCACGGTTTCCCCACAAAACTTTGATTTCACGTCAACCCTCTCAAGCAACATTCAGCGAGAGACAAGATTGCTGCAGAGGTAAGCACCAACACCCCCCCCCCCCCCAGTACTTGCGTGGCATCTCACTAATGCACTCTACAGATCTTGTCAAGAAGTATATCTACTATAGCTGTATTTCAAAAACGCGCATCAACAATGTCGCTCCTTACTCTGCCCAACGAGCTCCTCCTCCTGGTCGCCTCATCCCTCACCACCCCTTCAGACCTCCTCTCTCTCCTCCTCACCAACCATCGCCTCAACCACCTTCTAACCCCCGCTTTCCTCGACATCGCCTGCCAACCCGCCCACGCCCTCACAGCCCTCTACTGGTCAGTCGTAACCAACAACCCTTCCGCCACTCATCACATCCTCCGAAAGACCTCGAACATCGTCATTATCAGTGTCTCGCCCCCAAATAAACACGCTGTGCACCCTGTTCCCGGCAAGCCCCTAGATTGCACCATCAAGGCCCTCTTCGAGTCAACAGACCCCAATATCGACTTCGTCTTCCTCGCTCAGTACACGAACGAGACGCCGCTCCACCGCGCGGTCAAGGCGAAGGCCCTCCCACTTGTTAACAAACTCCTGAAGAAAGGTGCTTCAACGGCCCATCAGGATAATGGAGGATGGACTCCGCTACATATCGCGGCCCGACTCGGCGCTACCGACCTCGTCAAGACGCTTCTAGAGCATGGTGCAGACCCGAACATCCAGGGTAGCTATGGAGAGACGCCGCTCTGCCTCGCAGGGGTATACCAGGAGGTCGCGCGGCTCCTGATCTATGCAGGTGCCTCAACAAGCATTCAGGATAGTCATGGCCGCACGCCGCTGCACCTGGCGGTGAAGTATTGGGGGGTCCCACTCACGGCACTATGTCTGCAAACTGGTGCGCATGTCGGCGTGTCGGACCATGAGGGACGCACGGGGATACATATAGCAGCTATTTATGGAGGTGTTCCGTCAATCAAAGTTCTGTTGGAGCGCGGCGGAGATGTAGATGCCAGGGATGTCTTTGGCAGAACACCACTTCAGCTAGCTGCAAAATTTGGTAGGGCTAATGTTGCCAGGGTTCTGATAGAAGCTGGGGCAGATGTAGGGGGTGTGGATCACTATGGAAGGACTGCGCTGCATTTGGCTGCATCGAAGGATAGCGAGGAGGTAATCAGGGTGCTCCTTGGTCGTGGTGCAGACCCTCGTGTTAGAGACAATGTGGGGAGAACAGCGTATCAGGTAGCCGTGCAGAGTGGTGGGATGAAGGTCTGGGGTATGCTGCAGGCCGCCCGTGAATAGCGCATATATTTTCCCGTAAGTCTCTTTTGTTTTTTCTTCAAAACTGTTTGTCGTTTATCTTGCTCTCCTTTCTCTTTTTTTCCCCCTACTTTTTTTTTGCATTGCATTGCAGGTGATAGAGTCTATGGGATATTGGCGTTTTTAGGAAATTTAGATACCATTGCAGGGAACTGGATGCGGGTGCATAGTACTTGGTAATCAGTGGTAGATGCGTGTAGTTTGTTCTGTTCCGTTATGGATTTGGACTACGTGAGCTTAGTGTATTTTAATTTGTTTTCTTTCCTTTTCTCAAGCTCCAAGTATGGGCGAGTTAGATACCATTAGTATTTAGATGAGTTCTAATAATGCAATTGCTTACTCTATTAAAAGTTTGGCTTGTGCTAGTATTCGTTATGGCAATGGTGGGTTAAGTATTGATATCGGCGATATTAGTTTTTAAGCATTTATATAAGCATAGACTTCTTAGTTACGTATTAGACTAATCTGGAATCATGGAAGCTAGGATTACGCAAAGCCGAGTTTTGACAATTCGGAACTCGGAGTTTCGACAGTGTGGAAACGTTGAACTAGGGCACATAGACATATGACAGGGATTTTTTTTTGCCATTTCGGAGTTTGGGCATTTGCCATTATAGGTTCATAACTACTCTATGGCATTCGGTGGCCTTTTTATTATTCATGGTGGGCCATCTGTAGACTATATATTCGTGAATGGTTGCTATCGGCGTAGCTTTCTCTATTGAAAGCTAGGATTCTAAACAGCTTAGCCATCTCTCGAGTGATACTTGACTTGGAATCCCTGTTCCCTCGGTGTTCTACTTGTAGAGTTTGTTTCGGGTCAATTGGCGGGTTTCTCCCAGATATAGCCCCAGAAATCTTAACCCATTAAGGGCCGCTGCCCAGGAATAATATTCTGGGTTATAACATATATAAAGACTCCCCCCTGGGAAGATACTTACCTATAGCGTAAAGGAGCTAACAGGGTCAATGAGATATGCGCAGGGAAGTATATCTCCACAAACGTGTTCAATGCTTGTGAAATTTGGGTCCGTTAGAGTGACGTGAGATTTAACTAAAGGCTTACTCATATCTCACGCACCAGTCCTAATTCCAAATGGGGACGGGATGAGAGACTTGACTATAATGCACCTGTTCTTCAGCGCAATCCGCAATCTTTAGTTCTTGTACATTTTTCACTTGCCCAATTGGGATCGGTCTCCTAAGGGGTAGGAGCACCGCAGGTCATGGCCTGCATCTCATTCATATTCGAATCCCTGGCATTACAATAGACAGGAGCGAAAAGTTGAGAAACAAGCTCTTCTAGATTTATGAGGTGATTTGTGAGCTGGAGAACGCCCGGAATTCAAGAAGCAAAGATCTTACTCTTAAAATTTCAATGTCATTGGTTGATGGTGATCTAGATGGTCGATTGGCAAGTATTAGCAAGTGTTAGCGTATTAGACAGAAAAATGGGGGAAGAAAAAAAAACCAAGATAATAGAAAAAATGTAAGTCACAAAAATTGGTTTTATCAGCTTCGATACCTGTGCTGTATGCCTAAATTAGTCAAATACGATGGTGCACAGATATTCAGAGACAGGACCATAATAAGAAAATCCTAGGGGCGAATCATTGTAGAAAGCAAAGCCCTCTCGACGAGCTCAGGTCAAGTTCACGATCAATCCCTCGGTAACTAGTACAGGGGTCTCAATACACCTCTTTTCTTTGGCTTCAGAGTCCAGCCTGGCACCGCGAATTTGAAGGCAGATCCGTTTTCATAAAAAACTTGAAGAGTCGATGCACAATTTCTTATACTACTTATTCCAAACGGTATTGATAGGAAGATAATAATAAGGAGTATATTGTAATAACATAATAGCCAGCCAAATGTGGTATAAGCTACGCATATAATTTCCCATCATAAAAAATCCCTCGAGTGCCAAGAAACATCTCTCATCGATGCCCTCAACCCCTGCCCTCCGCACAATTTAGAGAGGTTTTGTAACGACGCTTTAAATTGGCCCACCGCTTGATGTTGAGATGTTATAGTAGTTAATAGTGGCAGTGGGCTTGATGGTTGATGGCAACAGTGGTTGGTGGTTATGGGCCCAGTCACCCATAAGGCCGTCAAACAATCCCATATCATCTACCCCTCCTCATCGAAGAGGAATCACAGAACATCACTCGGGTGCCAAGAAACGGCCTCACATTGACAGAAACGGAAAAGGTATACGTGCTCTGCACTAACACGCCCTCCTAGAAGAAAAGAGCAAAGCGTTCTCCAAAAATACAAAAGGTACTGCACCGTCTTATTGAGAAATTTGCGACTACTACCCCCACCCCTGGTTTGAACCCAGGACCTTATGTGTGTTTGGTTGTATCCTGGGTACTCTCGGTGTTTGGTGAGCAGTCTATCCACTAGACCACCCGCCCATAGTGGACTACGTGCCGGAAGTGATACTTGATCTTGGCAGTGTGCCAACATAAAGCAGAACCCTGACCCTTCAATGTCATTGCTCAGCCATCCATACATCTAATAAGTATTCGTTTTGGATCATACCGAACTGTGTCATCTTGCATCATGTGTTATTGTAGAGTACGTCTACCGAAACCCAGTGTCATTTTAGACCTGTTCTGTATTCGAAAAGGACAGGCGGGACACAAGAGGAAATCTACATATAGGGGCGAGAGGATAGGGCATAAACGAGAGCCAGCGGGAGACAATGGATGGGGAGGAGTTGATGGATGAAGGGAGGCGATAAATTGATGACAGCCTACCTAGGCCCTTGAGATACGTGTGCGTAATGACGATAAGTAAATCATGGGCAAAGACTTGTCATTTAAGTTTAGGTGACATCATATGGTTCTTCTGCTATATCATGATCGAGCCCTCTTTGCTCCATCATTAATACAAAACTCATAAGACCTTGAGTATTCCAAAGTAAAATTCATATCCGTTGACAATGCTATCTCCCCCATACCCATGGATCCGCCTTAGCATATTACACTTCTCAAGAGTAGGGAATCTTAATCATCCAAGCCAACTATCATTTAAGCATTACACGACTATCCCGTACGTCTACCCGCTACCTCTCCAGCACTTCTTCAAAAATACCTCTACATGGCACTCTACTTCCCAACTTTGCGCACATCAAGAACGCACCGCTCAACTTCCTGTGCAAACTATATGTCTCCTCTGGCGGGGGGGTCAACCGCTCCTTGATCATCAACGGAATAAACTCCCGCACCCTGTCCGTCACCGTCTGGTCCCTGAAATCATACAACTCGGGCGCGGTATGGCTGAACGGCTCTGCCAGCGCCAGGATCGACCCAACGTGGGCATCTAGCATGGCCTCGGACTCGAAGCCAGTCAGGTATCCCAGATCTTTTGAGAGCTCCATGACAGCAGCAGTGTCGTTGCGGGCCGCGGAGGTGAGGAGAGAGCAGTATGTCTCCACAAATGGAGCATCGTATGCGCGGGAAGCACCAAAGTCGAGAAGTTCAATCTGGAAGGTGTGTTAGTGGGAAACGACCGGAAAGGCGGGATAGTGTGTGGAGGAAATCGACCTTTTTGTCCTTTGCGTTCCAGAGGAAGTTTGTCCAGTTTGGATCCGTCTGCATGAACTTGAAGTCTTTCACTTCCCTGAAGCACAGCTTCAACACCTGTGTGCCGATGAAATCCCTCTCCTCCTGGCTCAGGTCGTTCATAATCTTTGTCACGCCTACACCCCACATCCGCTCCATACACAGGACTTGCGGGCCGCATGCCTCGTCAATGACCTTTGGTACGCGGAAAATATCTGTGTCATCTTTCAGCAGCTCGGCAAATCGTTTTGCACATTCACCTTCACGCACATAGTCACACTCCCATCCAAGCTCTAGGCGTGCATTCGCAATGGTTTTATCAAGATACAAGCCCTTTGGCAGCAGTCTCGACGCAGTCAATAGCACAGCGAGATTAGAAAGATCACTGGATATACTATCAGCCACTCCCGGATACTGTATTTTGACCGCAACGGGCATCCCCGTGCTGGCAAGAGTGGCAGCATGGACCTGGCCAATCGACGCAGCAGCCATAGGCACCTCGTTGAACTCGCCAAACAGCTCTCTCCAATTCGGGCCCAGGTTTGCAGTAAGAACCTGGTTCCGCTGGGAGGCAGGCATGTAATCTGCACTGTCCTGCACCCGAGTAAGGACCTCGTGAATGGCAGGCGGTAACATTTTGTCCTGGAACGACATCATTTGCCCGAGCTTTAGCGCGGCCCCACGCATACGGGAGAGCTTCTTGACCAGGCGTTCCACATTGGCGGGCGACATCATGACGCCGCTGCCACTGGAGGAGTCGCTGAGGCCTGTAGCACGCTTGATTGTTTCGGTTGCAGCGCCCCAGGCCATGCCGGTTGCGAGGCCGCCATAGTGGAAGAGACGGCCAATGCGGGAGGAGGGCACGCGGGAGGCATTCATTTGGAAGGCAGCGGTTTCAGGCTGTTGCGTGAGGGAAATGTTAACTTGACCATGTTTTTTTTTTACAAGGGTGTGGACATCGATCGAAGGGCTAGTAAAGAGAACCACACATTTGAGATGAACTTGCCTGCTTCTCAGTGATGGGTTTGGCACTCTCTTCGGCATCTCTCGCTAGCTCTGTAGCTAGACTTGCTGTCTCTGCATCTGTTGCCTTCAAATCGGAGGCGGCAGCATTAGCAGCGACTGGGTGAGAGGAGATGGAGTCCTTGACATAGAAAGTGTCTTGGTCCCTCCCTTCTGTCAAGGGAGTATTGTCCTTCGGCGTCTCTGCCACCGTTGGCTTCAATTCCTCAACACCCTTAGTAGGCGTTTGAGCCACTATCTTCCTTGCCCTTCTGCTGTGAAACAGCTCGTTACTCAAATCTTGCACCTCGCCCTCCTTCTTCCCTGGTGTTTCATAAAACACATCACCATCAATACCCTCTCCCGTCACCGGCTGTGCGCCCTCCGCCATTCTCGGAATCTTCTTCCTTGGCAGGTTACTCAGTACACTGGATACCCTAGCTTGGCGAAGATAGAACACATCGTTCCCCGTATCGTCCGCCGAGTCCTCGGCCGTCATCTCGGGGATCGACGACTCGGACGCATGCTGCAGCCGCTTTGCCGCCTCCGGCGAGAGGTGCTGTCTCGCCGCCGGCGGTGTAGATGCGAGCGGCGAATCAGAGGGCGGGATTGTACCGTCGGGGAGTGGGTTGGAGGCAGCCTGTTTCTGCGTGACTTTGAGCGAGTCTACTGGCTCGGGGTCGGTGACTGTGGCGGCGCCGGGGGTGTAGAAATGGTCCTGAGTGATTCCTTCTTCTTTTGGTACTGCTGCTGCGGAGGCGGTCTGTTGGCGGGCACTACCTTGGACTACTGGGGGTTTGTACCGGAGGGTCTTGAAGATGCTGGACGAGGTGGTGAGGATTTGTAGCTGCTGGCTTCGGAGGGCGAAATGGCGCTGGGCGATTGCGGAGGAGACGTTGGCCAGAGCGATCAGGTCCACGAGGCGTCGGCCCGCCATTGTAGAAGCTTGTATCTATATTTTTTTTTTCTTTCTTTCTGGATAAATGGGTATCGTGAGTTTTGGAAGATTGGACCGTTTGTTGGACTCAATTGCGGGGTTTGGGCGGCGTAGACGCTGTCTGCCTTTCCGAAGGGTTGTCAGTTGTCTAAGACAGGTTTGATGTCTTGAAGATATGCCAGAACAGAACGGCGCCACTCCATACAATAATAATAATCCCTGTAATCGTCACTTGTATGTTCTGGTTCTTTGTAAATTATCCTGGCCGCGAGTATGTAAATTATGACGGAATTTACTCCCCACGCTGCTGGGAACGCTGGGAACGCCTATTTAACTGTAAGTAGCTTAGCTTCTCCTTCCGACCAATGAGGAGGCCGAGGATTTCAGTTGTATACCGGGTCAGCCATAAATACCGAGAATCTGATAAGATAAACACAGCAATATTCCCTTATCAGATTCTTCGTATTTACCCTCAACGCCCTATACATATGGGTGTTCGGTACAACCCTACATACAAGCACCACAGCGCAACTACAGAGACAGGAAGTGCATTCAATAGTGAGTATCCCAGCTTTAATTTCTTTCGGAGGTTTCTAGCTCAGGCACGACGTAAGAAGTGGTACTTTGGAGGTGATGGCCGAGCTACCAAATTTCAACGTTTCAAAAGCTTCTATGGCGAATGCATCTGCCGGAATGACAAATGCTGCAAACGGGCTCACAGACATTGCGGCCACTAAAATGGGGAAAATCTAAAATATGGCTGCGGCCAATATGGCAGCCCAACTGCAACGAATGGAAGAAAACATACTCCGGGAGCTTGGGCGTTCGTATGTAGGCATACATGAATGAGACTCAGTGCTGACATCGAGACAGTCAGAAGAACAGCTTTGCCCGATTGCTTAATTACAAGATTACGAATGAAAATACGCCATTAAATCCATTGTATGGTAGAGACCAACAATTGATTCCAAGTTTTCCGGCAACGAGTGCCCATATTCATGCTTTGAATGGTAAGCGAGCCCTGAGCCTCCAGAAAGAAATTCTCCTACCTACAAGTACTAATTCCAATACCTTTATTAGCTGCAACTATATATCAACCAGCTTCTATTGGCTTTAGATTTGCCGGTGGGTGGCGGAATCGTGGAAAAAAGGAACAGGTTTCATCAGGAAATTGGGTTAACTGTATTGTGATCAGTTGTGAGAAAGGGAGACATCTGAAGGAAAAATCCAGAGGCTTTTTTTCTATAGGGCGTACGCGTTTGCTTAGGTTGAGGCTGGTGGCTGGTCGAAAGACCCGGGATGGATTGAACGCGTGAAGGGAATAAGCGTTTCCCGCGCTGGGAACACTCGACTGTAGATCTCCACCTTTCGGTAGGTTGGGAACGTTTTGCCAAGGTTCCCAAGTTGCCTGTTTTGGTTGCACTGGCGGTGACAAGGGTGGATCTACTACACCCCTACACCCTAGTAAGGATCTTCCTTATATTTTTAAGTGTCATGAAGAGCCAATTTTCAACTTGCAATAATACATGGTGGAATTATAATTATGTCTAGCCGTTTCACCGTTCCACACGAAAAACGGATAACCTGCGCTTACCCGGTCATTCGCCATTGACCCAGACACAGACAGACCCAGCAGGTTCGCCGTTGACTTGGCGGGGGAGAGAAAGAGCTAGAGGACGAGTGATGAGTTGTGAGTTGTGTTTGTGATTTTCCCACATCGATCCTACCTACATCCACCATCCATTCGGGTTCCCTCAGTCAGTTGGGGCCCGTACGTTGCTCGACTCTATCAATGGCAATGACATAGGCCGGCCGCGGCCTCTTGAATCAATTCAAGTATGTACATACATACATCTCTAGCTCAGTAGGCACTCTATCCACCCCACCCCACCAGTGCTCTACCCAGAGTAGAGCAGATTAGTAGCACATCGTATAACGTACATGAGCGGGTCGGGAGTCCCTGCAGATCTGATCAGCAGGCAGCTGAGCTAGAATAGAACCACATTCCCCCTCCGCCCCCCCTCCACCTACCAACCCCGCCTATGAAACCTTATGATCGAGGAAAGGGAAGGCACGTGTTGCAGAGTGAATGGGCATACTGGCTATGGTGGGCCTGAGTGGTTTCCCTTTTTTTTTTTTTTCGCTCGGTTTTTTTTCTCGCTCGGTTTCTTTTTTCTTTCTGCCCTTTACGATCCCGGTGCCATGGATCGTACCCGTATCGGCGGCGTGAAAAAAAATCATGATGTGACGGTGGATGTAGCTAGCTAGGCCAATGGGAGGTTTTCCTTCCCCGGTTGGGCACCCCCTCTTCACTTTCCTCTTTGCTTTGCTTTGCCTATGTAGCTAGATAGCTAGCTAGCTACTAGTGCTGGGTGCACTCTAGATACATTATAGCTGACCTAGACCTGGTACTAGTACTTCTGACAGCTCGATATCCGCAGTACTAACTACAGATATGTATGTAGCTTGTATCCTGACCACGACTATCCATAGCTACATGTAGCTACATGAGCTACATATACCCAGAGACCCGGAAATACATACAATCCCAGAGCTCGCAATGCCGATGACACCTAGGGGTATGCGTCCACGTCGTTTCAAGAGCTCACGCGGGCGAGGGGCCATCCATCTCTATGTGCTCTAAAATTGAAATGCTCCCGCAAAAGCAGCTGTCATCGGATGAGCTGTTTCCACAGAGCTCCCGGGAAAGGTGCTGCTGCCCCAGGGCGTGCCACGCAGGGCGAAGACGAAGATCGAGGGGATTAAACGGTGGCCACTCGTGCCTTGTGCTTGTGCTTGGCGGGGTGAACCCCCCTGTTGTGATGGGGATGATGGGCCATGGGGGGGGAGGGATGCTTGTGGCCAATTATGGCGGTGTTTGTTGACTCGCGCGCCTACTGAGTGGTGAGTGGAGGAGTAGAGGAAGAGGGGACTTGGGGGCGTGTGGGTGGATGGATGGATGCTTGCCTGGGTTTGGAGAGGTGTGAAACTGATCTGATCAGATCAGATCTAGCTCTCTGGGGTCTGTGGGACTGTGGTTCGTGGTCCGTGTTTTTCTGTGTCTCTGTGTCTCCAGCTGTGTTTATGGCTGGTCTCTCAGTGTCTGTGTCTGTGCTTGCTTGCTGGGGGATGGATGATTAGAAAAGAGTACAAGTGGTATGATATAAAACACCAGCACTGCCCTGCCTGCCCTCCCCCTCCCGTACTTGTCTCTTGTTTCTCTGTTCTGTTCTATTCTATTTATTTTATTTTGCATTCTTATTAGCTCTCTTATTCCTCCTCTCTCACTAAACAAAACAAAAAACCAGAACATCTCCGAAACAAAGTCTTGTTGTTGTGGTCGCCTCCAACAATGCCCTTCATCCCCAACACGCCCGAGTCGCTGTCGACGCTCCTCGCCCGCGCCGACTCGGACACCTGCAGCGGCGTCACCAACGCCGGCAAGCCCTGCACGCGCACGCTCAAGACCACCCCCGGCAGCACAACACCCACCGCCGGCATCGTCGCCACAATCGCAAACACCCGCGTCTTCTTCTGCGAGGCGCACAAGGACCAATCGCAGAATGTGGCCCTCCGCCACACGGCCTCGTTCGCGCGCCGCCGCGAGCGCATCGGCCGCGGCTCCATGGACACGTTTATCGAGCAGGTTGAGGTCCTCGTCGGCGCGCCGGGAGGAGGCGCAACGACAAAGACGAAGATAACGGCAAAGACGAAGAAGGTCAAGGGAAAGGACGACCCGTTTGCGCAGCAGCAGCAGCAGGTGCCGCCGCAGCAGGTGCGCCCGCCGAGTCCGCCGGGGAGTCATGCGCGGCCGCCGCGGCCGCCGCGGAGGGAGAAGAAGAAGCAGAGTCTATTGAGGAGGCTGCTGTGTTTCTGTTTTGGGAATGATGATGATGATGATGATGTCGAGTATGGGTTGAGCGCGGGGAGGAAGCAGACCGAGGCGGAGTTGAGGGCCGCTGCGGCGGGTGTGGTTGAGGGGAATGGGAATGTGAGGCCCGCGAAAACGCAGGCTGCGAAGGATTCAAAGGTCTTGTTTGAAACTACGCCGCCGACACCTCCCTTGCCTAAGATGTATCCTGACCGGAAACAGGTTTCGAGCGCGATGGCGAAGAACGGGAAGGCAGCCGCTGCTGCTACCGGTGGACCGCCTGGACGGACGCCCGCGAGTGACTTTGATTACACGCCGGTCTTTGATCCGAATAGCACCACAAATCGTGAGTCTAATACTACCCTCTTTGTCCCTCTCCTCCGGAAATGATTGATATGAAAGGAATGTGAATATACTGACTCGATACAACCCAAACAGCATTCTTCTCCTACATCCCGCCGACGCTCTCCCCCAAAGGCCAAGCCCGCCTGCAACAAGAGCTCTCCAAGCCCTTCTCCGAGGGCGACGAGCCCGGCTACATCTACATCTTCTGGCTCACCAACTCACCCCTCTCACCCAGCAGCACCCCGGGCGCGCCCGGCGCCACCGCCGCCGCATCCGCCCTACACCGCATCTCCTCCGGCCCTGGCCAAAAGCCGCGCATCCTTCTCAAGATCGGGCGCGCAAACAACGTGCAGCGCCGGCTGCACGAGTGGTCGACGCAGTGCGGCTACAATCTCAGCCTGGTGCGCTTCTACCCGCACGTGTCTGCCAGTGCCACACCGACGGCCGCGACGCCGCTCGCAGAGCAGGTTGGCAAGAAGGTGCCAAACTCGCACAGGATCGAGCATCTGATCCACCTGGAGCTGCGCGACTATCTGGAGAACCCGGAGATTCAGTGTTCCGCGTGCGGGAAGACGCACAAGGAGTGGTTCAGCGTTGAGGCGACGCGCGAGGGTTTGCAGGCTATTGATGCGGTCGTGAAGAAGTGGATGGACTATGGTGAGCGCAGCGGGATGGTGACGGGGGTGAATGCGGGCGTGGCACCGATGGTGCCGAAGAAGGGGGCGAGCCCGGGCGCGAAGGCGAAGAAGACGGCGGCGAGGCCGGATCTGCAGGGCGCGCCGGTGGGGCCGAAGAAAGGGGGCAGCGGTGGTGCAGGTGGGAGTGGTAGTGGGAATGGGGGGTTGACGCCGGCGTCGGCGGCGGCGGGGAGTGGTGGCAGGGGGAAGAGTCCGGGTAGGGGGAAGAGCCCAGGGAGGGGGGCGAGGGGGAAGAGTCCTGGTAAGGTTGGGGGCGCGAGTCCCGCCAGGAAGAAGGCGGGCAGGGACCAGAGTTATGTGGATGATGATGGGGATAGTGATGGTGAGGAGGCGTATGTGCCGGATAGTGACTAGGTGGGCTTCCCTTTCTGTCTTTTCTGCCTTTCTTTCCTCCTTCCTCCCTTTTCACTCCTTTTCTTTGTTGTTGGAGCTGCGGATTGGTTGGTTGTAGATGGACCTGTTTTGTTTATGATGGATTAATGATGCCTTGTGATTGTCTATGCATGATGGTCTTACGCTCGTTTTATACCCCCCCGGATACCCTTTCCTTTGTTGTATGATTGTTATTATAAGTAAAGTAGTGTTGTGTAGATAGTTACATGCATGCATACATAGAACGTAGTCCCCGCCACGAGCTGGGCTTTGAAGCGGTTTGATTGTTGTGTTGCCTGAGTAGAGTGCGTGAATGTGAGTGTGAATGTGAATGTGAATGTGAATGTCAGAGATGGTGTGAGGGTTGCCCCGGGTGCTCGAGAAGAGAAGTTGAAAAGGTTGATTTCGCAGGGAAATTCTAGCCCTCCGGTTGGTATATCAGAGAAGGAAGTATGCGGTCCTTCTTCTTCTCCTCCTCCTCCTTCTTCTTCTTCTTCTTCTTCTTCTTCTTCTTGTGTGCGCCCTCACTTCCTATATATGGTGTTCTACGGAATCCAGTGTTAGGCGGTCGCGCGCCGGTCGTTGGTGTAAGAGGGGAGAGAATTGAACGAAATACAGCTAGCTAGCACATGCACACAAACAAATAATGAGCAGAGGCTCGGACAAAAAGTCCAGCAAGTAGTATGGTACCGGTGTGAGATACTCTGCGATTGGCCCCCGTCTGCCTTTTTTTACGTAGGTAAACATAATGTGCATAATATGGCAATCACCAAATATCACTCGACTCTCTAGACTCACCGACCACCATGGGGGTTTTTTTTTTTTGTTTGTTTGTTTGTTTGTTTAATTCATTAATTGGACCACCCATGGGCGCCGTTCAAAAAGGGGAGCGAAAGGATAGAAGGAAATAAAAAAATAAAATAAAAAAAGGGAATTCCATCCCAAGGTCCAAAGCAGCAAAAAGGAGAGGCGACCCGCTTCTACTCCTTTACCCAGTCACACAGTGTATGTTTTCCCACCAAGTCTGGGAGGTTCGAACTATCGACCTCGGCCCCTCTGGGCGACACCTCAGCTGATTAGGCCACGGAAGCGGTAGATGGTAGATAATTTTCTAATGCGATTATAATACCATTAGCGCTAGTGCGTCCGCCAAAGCCCTAACCCATAAGAAGGCCTTTGGCGGAGAGAATATCTTGAGCTCCAGAAGCTACATGTATGTAGCAATAAATCTACTACACAATGACCCACTGGCCACTCTCTTGTGAGCAATAAGAAACAAAAACAAAAAGCCCTGTAGAGTATTTTCGTACTGTACAGGCCTCCCACCCAAGATTTGAACCCATGACCTACCGTCATGGGCTTAAACACTCGGTGTTCCTCCTTGACGAGCCGTCTACTAGCTAGACCAACCCGCCCCACACAGTTTTTATTGAACTGGAAGTGGTACTTAAGGGGGTGAGGTAATGAGAGATATAATGGTGACACCTAACCCTGGGAATCTACCATGTCTTCGAGGTCGTAACCCATTAACCTCTTGTCCACTTCATAACAAAACATGGTTTTTACACCCCCCGCTCTTCCTCTCGCCGGCCGCTCTTGACACATGGCCGTCTTCTTTAGGGGTGACTGTTTCCTCACTCTTGTTGAATAACAGATAGAGTATTCTCTGGATATGGATTTTATAAGTTCTCTACGAAATCCTACGACGAAGTAGCTGCTGGGGGTGACACGTTTCTAGCGTGCGTATGATATGGGACAATTTTATTCTTTACTTCATAAATCATCTCCGCAGCTACTAAGCTACTTTTGCAGCCCAATCTAGTTTTGTCTGGGAAAACACCTAGGCCTGCTCCTATGCCGTTTTATGAAGATCGCGCACAGGAACTTCTTTGATCTAGTTGTATATTAGTAGCCGGTTTCAAGTCGAGTCCACATATCTCTGGATGCCCCGGATATTTCCTTACACCGGATTACAGTTTTCTTTATACATCCCACTAGGCTTGATGACATAGTACTGTCCTGTCCACTATGTCTGTATCCATTATTGGAGTCCTAGCCCGAATCTCGACGGCATACCCGTCCGAGTGATAGCTCATGCAGCTATACATCTCCCACCACAAACACAAACCGCACCCGCGAAGTAAGCTCTCCACCAAGCCAGCACCAAACACCCCATTATAACCTCCCTCCTCCTCCTCCCTCCCTTCCCTCCGTCGCCCAAACATCCATACAACAACCCTAACCCACCACAACTAACCCCACAACCAAAAAAAAAACGCTTGGCACCCCACCTCTTCCCCCTCCAAAAAAAACCCCACAAAGATCATTACCAGCCGCGCCAGCAGCACCAACAGCTCCTCCCAACCCACCCACAAGCCCACCCCAATCCCGCAAAAATGACCAAATTCCGCGGCTGCATCGACATCCACCGCGGCGTCGTCAAACAGATCGTCGGCGGCACGCTCTCGGACGCCTCCCCCACCGCCCTCAAAACCAACTACACCTCCCCGCACCCAGCGAGCCACTACGCAGAGCTCTACCGCACGCACTCCGTGACCGGCTGCCACGTGATCCTGCTGGGGCCCGGGTGCGAGGAGGCGGCGACGAGTGCGCTCGCGGCGTGGCCGGGCGCGCTGCAGGTCGGCGGTGGGGTGAATGGCGGGAATGCGGCGGAGTGGGTGCGGAGGGGGGCGGCGCAGGTTGTTGTGACGTCGTGGCTGTTTCCGGGGGGCAGGTTTGATATGGGGAGGTTGGAGGAGGTGGGGAGGGAGGTGGGGAGGGAGAGGGTGGTGGTGGATTTGTCGTGTAGACGCAGGGAGGGACGGTGGGTGGTGGCGATGGATAGGTGGCAGACTATGACGGATATGGAGGTGAATAAAGGTATTTTTCTCCTCTTCTTGGTGGTTGGTGTGGGGTGGGGTGGGGTGGGGTACTGATGGGTGGGTGCGGTGCGGTAGAAACGCTCGATATGTTGTCCGACTACTGCGCTGAGTTCTTGATCCATGCTGCGGACGTGGAGGGCCTGTGTAAGGGCATTGACGAGGAGCTCGTGGAGGCGCTGGGGAAGTGGGTGACGATCCCGACGACGTACGCCGGAGGTGCGTATAGCATTGCGGATCTGGAGACGGTGGAGAGGTTGTCGGGCGGGAAGGTGGATCTGACGTATGGGAGTGCACTGGACATCTTTGGCGGGGACAAGGTCAAGTTTGAGGACTGTGTGGAGTGGAATCGGAAGAAGGACGCGGAGGTGGCGGTGTAGATGGAGTTTTTGTTTGTTTATAGGGTTTTTGTTTGTTATATAGATGGAATGGCACTACTTGTTATAGGTCTGCGAGTAATTGGCTGGGGCTACTAATTGGAGTGGGCTACTAATTGGCTGGGCCACTAAGATAATGGTGTGGGCTACTAATCATTAAGGTTTGGCTACTACTAATCTACTAATAACCAAGATTCGGCTACGAGTGATGTGCGGTGCGGTTGGCTGGGACTACATGCTACTGAATCATTGGCTTCAACGAGTGATATGTGTGATTGCTCATGATGCAAGTTCTCAGTCCTGCTATGTATCAATCTTCAATCCCTCCATTCCATCTAGTACCGCCTCGGGATATCCCAATTATTAACCCCCCACCACCACCGTCTCACTCTCGCTACACCCGCAATCAGTCAGCCAGCCCATTCTATCACTCCACGCCCATCAATTCCCCCCAACTCCCCACCGCAAAAACCAAGGAATAATCAAAAACTCACCTCCCACCCCCGCGCCCGCAAACTTAGCCCCCCGATTCCACACCCTGAACCCCATCACAAACAGATTATACCCCACGCCCTGCAGCAGTGGCATCAGACACTGGTCCTTGAGCGTGATGAGCGCAATCTTCCACCACACGCCCTCGGCCGCCGCAATGCTCGCCAGGTAGCTCTGCTCGAAGCGGAGGTCCGGCAGCGTCGGCAGCCGCCCGCCGCCGCTGTGTGGCTCTTCGACGAGCGAGAGGGTGATGGAGGCGTCGTCGTCGTCGTCGATAGAGTCGTGGCCGACGCCGACGACAACGGACTTGGGGGCCGAGTCGGCGGAGGTCGGGGGCGCGGTGGACGGTGTGGACGTGAGGTGTGTGTCTTGGGCGAGGGTTTGGGCGGCAAGGGGGGCGATGTCGGCCATGACTGTCTTTGCGATCGTAGGTGGTAAGGTAGTGGGGGAGGTTTGGGGTTGCTAACAGCCTAACTTGTGAGAGGACCTGTCTTGCATGGGCAGATGGGGGAGACAGAGTGACGTCCGTTACACCAATCATCGGCCACCGCCAAGGCCCCACACCCACATGCCGGCCACGTGAGAGAGAGGGTCTGTGTGCGTGTGTGTGCCTGGCTGCTGCCCTGCTAGTAAAAATATGAGCCAAATTCCCCTTCCACCCCCCCCCCCCCAGTCCCAACCCAACACACTGGGTTCCGGAAGCTACTCTGCTTACTGGGGTCAACCTCGTAATCTCCATGATCCAGCATTTTACATATGTAAGTGATTATGCAGAGGGGCCCGTGAGAGACCTGAATTATTATTTGATGGGCCGTTTCATTTCACGATTTGGGACGGTCCTGTAATCTCAATCTCCGGGGTGATAATTAACTGCCAGATTGCGGTTTTGAAGGTGGGTTGGGTTTGGGTTCGGGCTTGGGTTGGATTTGGCGATTGGGTTTGGAGGATTGGGGGTGCGGTGAGATGGGCTGTAGGTACTGCTGCTGGTGATGGGCACAGGTACGGGTGGTCTACAGGTGGTAGAATATGGAGATGTAGGTAATAGGTAGAGTACGAAGACGTACATGTACCTATATGTACCCTATGTAGAGCTACACAACCCTACCTATAGCTAGCACGACTGTAAAACAGACTGTGATAATACTCTATCGTTGTGCGCCATACCACCATACCACCACCGCTCTACAGATACACTATCATAGCTACACTACAGGTAGCGACAAATACACACCCATCCCATCATATCCCTCTCTCTCCGGCCCTATATCGAAGCTTTCTCCATGGCCAACCCATCGCAGCTCAACCCGCTATCTCGTACCCCCGCCCCCGCCCGTCCTCAAAACGGCTTTCCATTGCAAGCTGCACATACCCGTCCCATTGCAATTGATGATCGAAAAATAAATAATAAAAAAACGTTAATTGTCCGCTTCATCCGTTATCGAGCGTAACATATATGCAGGCTTGTTTATATTATATCTACACGAGGTGTGGGTGAGGCGAGCGTGAGCTTGAGAGTTGTATTGAGTTCTCTGAACTGTAGAGAGAGTAAAGCGAGCCGAGTGATAGAGCAAGCAAGCAAGCAAGCAAAGCTTCCCCCCAAGCTCCCCAAGCTCCCCAGAGCTCCCCAGAGCTCCCCAAGCTCTCCAAAGCTCCAAAACTCCCCCCCAAAACCAACAAACCACCCTACCCAAGCAACCCCCACAACTGAACGCATGCGCAGCAAACGCAAACACGCTAACCACATCGTCATAATAATCCCCCCCCCCCCCCCCAAATCCCAATCCCCCAATTCCCAAAAAACCCAAACGTAACCCACCAAACGACCATCCCCCGAGCGCAGCACACACCCAACATCCATCCATCTGTGTACCGCAGATCCCATTTCCCGTTTCCCAGCAATACCAAAAACTTAAGATAACTGAGACACGCCTCTTGTTTTTTTTTTTTTTTTTCATGCGCGCGGACGGATCTGTGTATTGTATGTATTTGCCGTTCTACACACACACACACACACACACACACGCACACGCACACATCCCACGCGCTACACACAAGAAAAAAGGAAAGAAAAGAAGGGAAAAAACGCAAGCTGCACGACTCAATTCTCCGGACGAAACATTCTGGTAAGCAGGCAAGAGGAAGGGGGGGGGGGGGTTCGTGCCGTGTGGCCCGCTCTGGTTACGAGAGATCACTGGTAATTTGTGCATATATACATGTATACTCTATTATCGATATTGATATACATGTAGGTATAGGTATAGGTATAATATTCGTTACGGCGTGTATGCATGGCATACGTGCGGCGAGGAATCACAGCTGAATAAGACGTAGCAATGTCATAAATAGAGTCCCGCATGTAGTAGTATGATGATGATATGATAAGATTTTAACTTAACTACATACACATCTTTCCCTTCCCTTCCCTTCCCTTCCCTTTTTCCCTTTTCCCTATCTCCCCAACTCCACTTTCCTCTCGCCCTAGATAGATAGATCTCTCCCGGATCCTATACCCCCCTGGTTCCACAAAAAATATGCTATACAAGAATGAATATATCCGAGAAAAACCGTCATGATAAAAAAACAAGAATTGCGCTACATAATAGTATAGTACACCCAACATATACGCACACGCACACGCACACGCTCTAAAGGCAATGGAAAGAAAGAAAAGAGAAGGACAAGATAAGATAGGTTTTTATATGGAAACACCATGCCAGTTGATAGTAGGTCATAGTCTGTTTTCCGACCGATCATTGAAAGAAAAGAAAAATGGTTAGTAATGACAAGAAATGAAAATACATAAAGCCCACACATACACAAGAAAGAAAAAAAGAGAAAGTAAAGGGTAAAGCAGATACATGAAGATAAAACCTAGAAAATAAAAAAACCCAACCGTTTTTTTTTTCTGACAAAAAATGTTACACCAGTAAAAAAAGTAAGGAAAATCCAAGAGTCCGAAAGTCCGAGAGAAAAGAAAAGAAAGACAATAAACGCGAAAAACGATTTAAACACGCCTCCTCTTCTTATCCTTCAACCCCACCTTCCGTGATGAGATCAATCCCTCCCATCGCTTTCCGATGCTCTTTGCATCTTTCCGTCCCCCTAGGCTCTTTGCACACTCCTCCCAGTCGTTCTTTGATAGGTTTAGTTTGCTCAACACCATCTCCACCAGTAGCTTGTCCTCGTCTACCGACCACTCAGCATCGCTCGACTCGTCCTCTTTCGATACCCGAAGGTTTCTGTTTGGCGGTGATGGCGGTGTCGTGAGCCTTACGCGTTTATTCCTGGGTGTTGTGAACGGGTCTTGGAACTCGTGGTCTGAGTCACCACTCTCCAAGCTCTTCATGCACGTATTCTCGTCAGACAGAATCGGGAATGCCACATCTCTGGCTCTCTTGTTCCTTCCTGCAATTGGCGTTCTTGGTGCCGGCCTTCGCGGTGTGCTTGGTGCGGGTTGTGCTTGCTGCTTCCGCTTCTGGACGCTATTCTTCTTGGGGGGTGTTGCAGCGACGGGTGGTGGAGGCGGAGGTGTTGAGAATCGGTCAACCGACAGGGCCTTCTGCAATCGTCTGCATGTTTGAAAAAGGCCTGCAGGCGCGCTTGCAATGAAGGAAGGTGCCTCCTCTAGAGGCGGGGAACGATATGATGAGGACGATATTGCTGCCTGCTGTACGTGTCGCGACGAACGACGAAGAGGGCTGGCGAGGGATTGAGTAGTTGCGCGGTACTCGCAAGGAATTGCACTCGGAAGAAGCATGATAGGCTATTCAATTGTTTGGTTGAGGGTGTGGCGGAAGCGAGGTTATTGTGAGTTATCGAGAGTGATTGAGTATGGGGGGGGCGGCGAGTTATATGATCTTCCTTGCAGGACAAGCAAATCGGTAAAACACGACGTGCAAGACAGGTATGTATGTATGTGTTTATGTATGGGCGAGGAAGACGCGGTCGTAGCGGGGACGCGGTGCAAGGGGAAAGAGAGATGATGATGTGGAGTCGCGTTGTTTATACAGTATTGATCCGGATTATCTTTTGAGGTCGTGTTTCCAGGAGGCTGGAGAGAGATTGTAAGAAGAAAAAAAGGTTTGTTGATTATTATAGTGAGCAGGGGGAAAGAAGAAAGAAAAGTAAAAAGAAGGTGGCGGATTGGGGGGGGGTGGTTGTGTGTGTGTGTATGTGTGTGTGTGTGTATGTGTGTGTGTGGGTTTGAGAGAGAGGGAGGGGGGGTGGTTGTTTCTTCCTAGAATGGGGGATAGACCAAACAGCCAGCCGGACGGACCAGAGACGTGCTGCTACCTACGTGCTTGTGCGGGTATGTGGTAATAGAATCAATCTGTGGTGGTGGGAAATTGTTATGAATATGGAAATCTCTCTCAAGGGGGGGGCCGTGACATGGCAGATGACTGCGCGGAACCAGGGTCAGGGCCAGGGCAAGGGCCATGGGTGTACGTGGCGCCTTTCCCGTTCAGGGCTTCTTGGTTGTTCCTCGCATCGCTTCCCCCAGGTGTGTAACGCTGTGTGTCCCGTTCTGGTAAGGTGCTCAGTCCGCTTTCGACTCAGCAAGTCTGCTTTAGTCCTTTTGAGACATGGCCAACTTTGTCTCTCCCAGTCTCGCTGCACCCACTACGGAAAAGCGCCAATGCCCTAAATGGGAGATTTGCCCTGCATCCTCCCTGTCGTGTACAGTCGTCTCTGGGTCAACGACGAAACCAGTTCGATGGCGAATAGGCCAATCGGAGCCAATAAAAGCCAACAAAAGCGCCCCGACCCCTTTGCTTTGACTGACTATCAGCCCAAAAAGTAGCCACTCGTCATCGAGCCGGGTTCGTCGTTGACCCAGAAACGACTGTACCTGTCAACCTCTGCAGAAAATCTTGCGGGACCGACCAAACGAGAGCAAATATATCTGCCTTCGTTCCCCCCCGCCACAAAACTATCCAAAAATGACTCGCAGTTTCCCCCTCCCCGTTCCGCCGGTAGGCAATCGATAGAACGCGATAAGCGATTTGGCACATCTCCCTCATCTCGAGGAATTGTTTATATAAACGAGTCCTTAAGACTGGCACGTGTTTGGCTGCGGGCTGTTTATTCCACGAAATTCTCCAAAGGTACGACGTTAGAATACGATACATCCACAACAACAACCCCGAACAGGTCTCATGCTGAGAGAGAGAGAGGGCCCTGCTTTCCCTCTTCGGTATCTCGTCTCGCCTTGTCACTTCACTCGCTCGGTATTGCCCGGCAGAACGGTCGGTGGTGGATGTGGGAATTTCGTTTTGTTTGTTTAATTTCGTCGATTGAAATTGGAAATCTGAGGGGAAACATCGAATGTTCCGATAACCCACTTGGATCTGCGGCACCCGTTCTGTGCATACACACCAAGTTGGCCCGTTCGGAGCCCACTCCGAAACCGACTTTCTATATTTGTCCCCATGTCGTTTCGCTTCAAACGTAAGCCTCAAAGCCAAAGCGTTACACAAAACATGTGTGTGTCAATTGTCGTCTCTATCTGCTCTGTCATGGAAACCTCCAATCTCTATATATAATTGAACAAAACAGACGGACGTGGAGTGTTGGTAGTGGAGAGAACATATCTGTCCCGTCTTTCAAGGCGTCCACAAATCGATTCTCATATATGTAAATCTCCGTACCCTTGACTATCTACTAGCAGGTTGGGATCAAGCAGATAGGTAGACGAGATGTCTGATCAGCAACGCACGTAGCAACAAGCAATCCAAGTCCAGGGTTCCATGACAAATTTATAGATGGGGAAGCATGAATATGCATGCACTGATGACGCTGGAGCGGTAAAACCGAACGTTAGATACATGTACATACATGTATATTTGTCCAAACCATCCCCGCAAAATTGATTAGTCGTTGAGATCTCAACGTCATCTCTGCGGGGAGTTAATCTATCCGCCTATGAGATTGCTATGGGAGGCTGTACTGTCCTTATGATAAAACGTTGAATTAGTCTGACTCTGAACAAAGAAAAAGACCAGGGGAGTAATCTGATTGGCTTTGAAAGTGGGAGATTTGGTCTCTGGAGTAACAGTTGACACCTGTTGTGATCTCTATCAACACCACTCATTTCCACTAGCGCCTAGCTAACGTACACCCCATGCCGTACCGCTGGTGAGGATACGTCAGCGCCGTCGTTATTTTCCAGAGTCAAGCTTTTCTCGCTCATCTAACGCACTCGCTTAGTGTTGATCCCGAGGGCGCACACACACACACCAAGCGATCATGGGGTATCACTCGTTTTCATGTTTGTTTTGACAACAACGGATTTCACGCGCCACCGGCGAGCATCATCCGTCCGACCTTTTAGGGTTTACCAAGGAGCGGGGTTAGGTTCGGGTTTTCAGCACTAAATCTTAGTCCGTATGTACCTGCATGAACCTAGCTGAAACGGGAATGGTGGTGAGTTTCTTTCGCTAAAAGACGCCGTTCCCAAAGTTTAGATAAGAGTGATTATTAAATTTACCCGTGGTCTTATTTTATGCAATTGAACCTCTTATCATCTCTTAGTCCTCTATCAAGATCGCGCTCGCGTTCCCATGGGCGATTATTGCTCACTAGGCTTGATAATCGGACTCTCTGAGCAAAGTTTTTCCATGATCCAGTTATGAGGGAGAAAATCCATATCTCGATACTGTGTTTTTGCACTATATCCTTTTGTCATGACGTTGTGAAGGGCGGGGAAAATAAACCGTGGTGATGTTCAATTAAAGTGGGGAATCTCGATCTCGGACAAGACTTCGTATTGTCTGACGGGTTTACGGAATGTCTCTACAACTTGAACGATAGTAAGTCACGGCCATATATATTCATTTGGGTGGCCAGGGGGTTGGCAGCTTCAATATAGGCGGGCTTTCAACCATGACGATCGCGAGCAGATTCTCTACCCAACCTCTCTGAGAGATGGGCGGAGCTCCTCTTTTCGGTAAAAATGAAAACTCTGTATGCGCAAACCCTGCACTGACAGCTAGTGGCCGGATATGATTACATAGTAAATCAATTGGATCATAGTCCATCACTCGCTATAATATGTCCATGAGCGGACCGTGAAATTTCGAGCAGATCCTCATCGAGATTAGAGGGCCTAGCGCTGGTGTGTGGAGTGACGAACTCAAATGGGTACAGTATCTATAGTGGTCTCAAAGGCTGGTCGTGGAGTAATACTAACTTTTTTTTTTTTTTATGAAAAATATCCTTGGTGGTTTTAGACCACTCCCCTCTTGTGTATTGAGCCGAGGGGAGAGGCATTGTATCGCCGCCTCATCGCTCCCAGTTTTAAAGGGTGTATATCTATACCAGAGACCCATACCTATAACTCAAAGGCCTTGAAATCGGCTATATCTAGGGACTCGCCGGGGAAGGTTCCGTGGATCTCTATAAAACAGAAACCACTCCCGTGCTCTCTTTAACTCGCAAGCGTATGCTGAGAAGAAGATCATTGAGTAATATCAACAAAAAAAAAATCGTCACTACTGCAAGGACGTCATTTTTATATCCGAGGCACCACGGCGCAGTTAAGCGATCCGCGGAACTGGCTGCTTCAGGATCTTCGTACTTTGAATCCGGTGATTGCAGGTACAATACATAGTAAATGTATATGCCTGTTGCTATATGGGCGGCGTTTTTTTTTTGTAACGAGAACTGGAGGTGAGAACCCCCTTTCGGCAGCTTTATTATAGGTGTTTAGGTACTGCCCAGTGGGCTAGCTATCTGGGTAGATAGCCCGCGCAATAAAGTACAATATTGCCACATATTGTACGCGGGCTAGAAGCAAGATAGCTCTAGTAGTGGTGAGAGCAGAGTATTTCACAGATCCAGATCCAGAGCATACTCTATCGATTACCCATTCCTTCCGTCCACAGTGCACCGTCCTTCCACAATCATTCCAGCAGCACGCACACGCGCGCTCCCCGGTATTGCGGGAAATCATGCATGATTCAGATACAGTCGCAATTTCTCGGGAAAGCAAGATGTAATACCGGATGGCAGGGGTATCCTGGAATGCTTCTGGAATGACACGGCACTATATGTGAAGCACGTTTATTAAGAGGAGTTGATTTAGATAGAAGGAATGCGTCACGATTTGACGTGATGCGACGTGACGCGACAGGTATGTGGGGAGCGGCTGTGGGATGTGGTTGTGGGGTAGTGGCGGGGCAGGCGTGTGTAGGAGAGTGATATTTCATGATCCAATATTTCTTCTTTTGTTTTGGGGGAGAAATATTCGCTGACTGTTGGGTGTTTGAGTCGCCGTATATACCACTAAGAACGTTAGGTGTTCTTTTGAGGACCTAAGGGCGGTGATAGAGGTATATTTGAGGGTTTAATATTGGGTGTCTTGTAGCGAGAGTGGGATACATATGTATGTATACCTGGACATTATTAGCTACGTCATCAATATCGACATTGCCAGGAATAATATTACCAGTAGTCATCATTACCATTATCTATCACAATTGCCATCGCCATAACTATCGCCATTACTATCACATAAAGATCTCAGCAGAAAAGAAATTCGTTTATTACTTAATATGTAATTACTGGATGCCGAAATTACAAAAGAAAAGAAAGCATGCAAAGAGAAGTTACCACCCCTTACTGATTTTATTTTGACCATTATAGTCATCCTCACCATCGTCATCCTCGCCATCAGTATTTTCGCCATCAGTGCCCTCACCATCTTCATCCTCCCCCCAGCCATCACCGTAATGGTTGTCCTGCATCTTCACCACAAAC